GACAGGATTTGAGCAAAGAGACAATACGGAGGCTTTCCCATTTCCTTACTCCTTGCAGAGAAATGTTTGAGGTCCATTTGGGAGAGTCAAAATGGCTTCAGGATTGCTCTCCAGTACCATTTCAGACATGTGGAGTATATACTTATGTATGTGTTCGCATTGTACATTTATGAACATTTGATTTATATTTGAGACCTTAGAATTCTGAGAACAGTAGGATGTTCTTGTGGCCTGAAACCCAGGAAATGTGCATTTAAAGAATGCTGCTTTCTTTGATTCATCTCACAGAGGCCTTTCCCAGTATATTATATTAGAATGAATTGATTTTAGAATGTATTTCAATTAATTGATTGTGACTTTATGTAAACTGTGTTATTTTTACTGTTGTTAGCCGCTCTGAGCCCGGCTTCAGCTGGGGAGGGTGGGATATAAATAAATTATTATTATTATTATTAACAATAATAATAATAATAATAATAATAATTAAATTTATACAAACCCCCACTTCAGCGCTTCTTCCTGACTAATAAGCCCTATGCCCCTTCTTTACCACCTCTTAATACACGCATTCATGCAAAATGAAGAAATATTGATATCTACACAGCTGGGATGCAAACAGAAGCCGCTGTGGTTCATTCCCGCAGAGCAGGACACTGTCAGAGTTAAATATTTTAAGAATAAGATGCTGAACAAATCAGATCCCCATCTGAAAGAGCCGACTGCCACCTCCTGTTGAGGAAGGGAAGGGACAAAACCAGGAAAAACTTTACTCTCCCTCCTGAAACCTCCAAACTGCAAAGAAGGGGGAGGACTGAACAGGTGGCTAATATGCGCCAAATTGCCTCGGTCACAAATAACACACATCAAATTATATGGAAGATGGTGTTATAGGAATTCTAAGGTCTTATATATATAAATTAAATGCTCATAAATGTACAAGGCAAACACATACATAAGTACAGAGGTCAGCACTCCCTCAGACCTTGGGGGGGGCGGACTATATTTTTTGGGGGGGATGAACGAATTCCTATGCCCCACAAATAACCCAGAGATGCATTTTAAATAAAAGGACACATTCTACTCATGTAAAAACGCGGATCCCTGGACTCTCCGCGGGCCGGATTGAGAAGGCGATTGGGCCGGCCCCGGGCTTTAGGTTGCCTATCCATGCATAAGTATTTCTGAAAGAGCACCGGAGAGCAATCCTGAAGCCCTTTTGACTCTTTGAGTCTTTCAGTGACCTCAAATATTTCTCTGCAGTAAGGGAGGCAAATGGGGGAAACCTCCCCATTGTCTCTTTGCACACAACTCTGAGTAGGGAAGCTTTTAATGTTTAATAGATTATTGTATTTTAATATTCTGTTGGGAGCCACCCAGAGTGGCTGGGGAAACCCAGCCAGATGAGCGGGATATAAATAATAAATTATTATTATTGTTATTATTACTACTACTACTACTATAACACTTCCATGGGGAGGAGCTCCGCATAAGAACCTCAGGCGAGCCCAGCAGGATCAGGCAACAGGGGGCCCCCTACTGAACACAGCGTCCTCTTCTCATGGGGGCAGGGGCCACCAGGGGCCTCTTCTGGGAAGCCCCCTAGCAGGACTGGAACCCAGAGCCCCTCTCCCCACCTGTGATTGGCAGCCACTGGGATTGTTAAGTGGAGCTGACTAGGGAGACAGAGCCCCCCCCCAGCCCTCTCCTCCTGCAGGCATTGGCCTCATCCTCTCCTTAGCGCCATCGCTGCTTCCTGTGGGAGGGAGTTCCACAGGCTTAGCTCCGCACTGCGCGGAGAAGCGCTTCTTCCAACAGCCTTTCTTTCCCTTCTTGCCAGGGCTGGATTGAGGTTTGATGAGGCCCTAAGCTGCTGAAAGTAATGAGGCCCTTTCTATGTCCAGCTGTCCTTTGTCCACAACAAATTGTCGCTGTCTTTTATGTTGAATATATGCTATATGGTCATTGATGGACCTGATAGTTATCTAAAGCTATTTGCACATAACAAAATGTGTATTTTATCAAAGAAATTGCTGAAGTGAAATACAATTAAGAAGTATGTTAATACTGAAATACAATTAAAAAGAAGTAAATTAATAATATTACTTACATCATAGGAGCCTACACAACACAAAACACTGTTGCTGTATGTAGGTTTTATTTTATTTGTTTTTTATCTTAAGTTTATCATATATTTATATATACATATCTATTCATATTCTTTAAATTGGGGGGGGGCAAGAGAGAGGGGGCCTAAGCTATAGCTTGTTTGGCTTATACGTAAATCCCGCACTGCTTAGGTCAGGCTTTGGTTGTGTGTATACAGTATTTTATAGCAAAAGGGCTACAACCTCCGATAATCAGTGCGACTTATTCCTCAATCTGAAGCGGGTTTCTTTGCGTGCCCCTTTGCCCTCCCCATAAGGCAGGCCTAGGCAAACTCAGCCCTCCAGATGTTTTGGGACTACAACTCCCATGATCCCTAGCTCACAGGACCAGGGGTCAGGGATGGTGGGAATTGCAGTCCCCAAACAGCTGGAGGGCCGAGTTGACATCTGAATCCATGAGCTGCAGAGAAAAAGGGGGAGGTCCCTCTGGGTTCTGTTACGGTAAAATCTGGGTGCGGGGTTACTCTGCCACCCAGCTCGTCGGACTAAGTCCGCGGGTCCCTGCGGAGGAAAATGAGCTCAGCCGGAGACAGGAGCAAGATGCAGAAGATCCGAGTTTATTGCGCAACAGGTTCAAGGCAAGATTGAACTGCGAGAAAGGGGTGACATGAACTTTTGAAATTTCCCTCCATGTCCCAGAATACAGTGCAAAATACATCCCAGTTACATCATGAATACATTAAGAAGAGGTTGGGTTACACAGATTACATCACGAATACATTAGGAAGAGGTTGGGTTACACCGGATTAACATATGGAGGAGGGAGGGGGGAATATGCAGAGCTGGAGATATGCGCAGATAAGCACATCCTCGATGAAGACAATGGTCCATGTATGCATAGTCTGTCACCTGGCATCGCCCGGAGGAAGGGCTTGGCAGAGCGATTTGACAGGATTAGGGTCTTGACACCTTGCTTGAGGGATTATGGAGGACAGGGGAGGTGTCATGGAGTCCTAGAGAAATTGAGCAAATTGGCATGTTGATTTTCTATGAATTTTATAGATTTTAGTCCCTTTTGACATTGGCAATTGGAAATAAATGGATATATTGTAGCGAAGAAGAAGGTGAAGACGACATGCCCCCCCCTTCCGTATCAGTTCTGATTTGGGGGTCCCCCACGCAGAAACTGAGCAGCCCCCCCCCCGGGACTCCCCCTTCTCCCCGGGACGGGGCTGTCCACGTTTCCCTTTGAAAGGGCGATTCCCTTATTCCGAATGGGATTCCTCGCAGGAAAAGGGCCACGTGGACAGCCGCGTCCCGGGAGAAAGGGGCGGGGCGGGGCGGGGCTTCGGCTCCGGAGGACCCGCCCCCTCTAGGGGTCCAGCCCGGCTCATGTTAACCCTTGGCGAGCCAGGCGCGCCCACTTCCCCCCCTCGGAGGCTCCCAAGCAGCCGGAGTCACGTGTCTGGCGCCCCCCAGGGAAGGTTCGTGGGGGGGCGACCCTCCCTTGGAGTGGCAAAGGGAAGCCCCGCCCTGGAATCCCAGCAGATGGGAGAGGGAAGGGTCCCCCCGGGGCCATCTAGTCCGGCCCCCTCCTGGAAAGCATCCCAGGCAACCTTCCTCTGAGCACACGCAGAGCGCGCCTCGAGCCTCCTCCTCCTCCACCTGGGCCGGAGCCCGGCAGCCAGTCCCCCGCCCCAGAGCGCGCCCAGATGCCGCGGGCGGGGGAAGAGACGCTCGCCCCATGGGAAGGGCGCCCCTTCGCCCCCAGGATGCGCCCAAGAGCCGGATTAGAACTCAGCGCCGGGTCAGAACTCCGAAGGCAGCCCGGGGGCGCCTCGGCCAGGAATCGGGGCCCCTCGAGTCCAGCATCCTGGTCCCACAGGGGTCAGCATCCCCCCCCCGTCTCACTAGGGGGGGGAGCTGAAAAGAAGGCCCCTCTGTTTCACATCTGGCAAGCAGTGTGCCCCTTTGGCTTCACAAATGTTCGCGGTCCTCTAGCGCCGGCATGTCCAAAGTCAGTTTTGGGGGCCTAATGCGGCCCACCGGTCGGTTTAATCCAGCCCCCGTGGTGCTGGAGGAGACTCTTGAGAGTCTCATGGACTGCAAGAAGACCTCTCCATTCTGAAGGAAATCAGCCCTGAGTGCTCACTGGAAGGACAGATCCTGAAGCTGAGGCTCCAAGACTTTGGCCACCTCATGAGAAGAGAAGACTCCCTGGAAAAGACCCTGATGTTGGGAAAGATGGAGGGCACAAGGAGAAGGGGACGACAGAGGACGAGATGGTGGGACAGTGTTCTCGAAGCTACCAGCATGAGTTTGACCAAACTGCGGGAGGCAGTGGAAGACAGGAGGGCCTGGCGTGCTCTGGTCCAGGGGGTCACAAAGAGGTGGACACAACTAAACGACTAAACAACAGCAAGTGGCAGTTTTCCTGGGGTAAAATCCTTAAAAAAAACCTTAACAACTTCAATCCTAAAAAAGGCTCGACAACTTTGGTCGGCGCCCAGGGCCCTTCACTTCATCAAATCTGGCCCTCTTTGAAAAAAGTTTGGACACCACGGCTCTGGCGGCTCATTGACCAGAAGGAATGTATTCAGCCATAACTCTGGAGGTGTGGACTCGATTCTGGCCAGATTTCAGCCTCCTGGTGCATATTGTGCTCACAAGGGAGCCTGTTTCGGGCAGGAGCCAAAGAAAGTGCCTGGAGAAGCCGGGTCAGTGTGCACGGCTTGCGCTGGAGGCTCTACTGGGCGGGGGCGGCCTCTGGTTGTGGGAACAATCATAGAATGGTGGCATTGGAAGGAACCCAAAGGCCATCTAGTCCAACCCCCTTGCAAGCCAGGAATCTCAACTCAAGCATCCATGGCCATATCTATGAACAAGTACACACATAATATTCTGATGTTTCCTTTATTGCGTGCTTATTTGAAAATTTAATTTAAAATATCCTTAAATAGTGCCTAAGAAAAAATTCAACAAAGGCCGTCCTGCATTCAGTCATTAATCCTTGGTCTAAAATGTTGTCTGAAAAGATTAGTTACTTGCAATGGGTGCAAATAAGACAATAAACAGCAGATCCGCCGCCCAGCATCTTCAGAGGAGGGAGAGAATTTGGATGTTCTGAATGTGGATGTTTGGGGCGCCTGCGAGGGGCTCATTCTTCCTCCTCCTCCTCCTCCTCCTCCTCTTGCTCTCCCACCTCCAGCTCCCTGGGGGGCACCTGGATGCCCAGGATGGCCTCCACCCGCCAGAGTCTGCTCCGCACTTTCTGCAGCTGCGCCCTCAACTCCCGGAGGGACCTCAGGCACTCCTGGCACGTCCGAACGTCCCTTTTCCCTGCAGGGGGAAATAAAAAAAAATAAGGTCTTAGATATATAGTAAAGATTCATAAATGTACCAAGCAAACACATAAATATATAAACCACATGTCTGAAGCAGCACAGGAAAACAACCCTGAAACCATTCTGACTCCCAAACTGACCAAGTATTTTCTCTGCAAGGAGGGAGGGGGTCAGAGAACCTTCCCATTGTCTCAGGAATTGGGAAAACACCATCTCTAAGGAATGGCCAGACTACCAGGAAAGGCAATCAGATAACCTGCCAGACAGGAAAAACAACAGCATTCAAATTTCTGTTGTAGACCACCTTGTCTGTGAAGGATGTATGATGTTTCTGGCAGTGGTCTTGGACTCCAGGCAGGCAATTTAAAATGTCTATATAAGGGCGGGCACACCTTTGTTCGGGATCCTCCTCCTTTCCTGCGTGTGAGGGCAGCACCCTGTTGCAACAGATCAATAAAGGTCAGGCTTTGCTTCTCAATATTCCCTGGTTGGCCTCTGTTCTTTTCTCCGACCGATGGAGAACCTACAAAGGACTCTATAAGGGCTCTTGTGTCCCCCAGAAGGGAATGAGGGCAGATTTTTGTTTATTACAAGGGGAAGAGAGAAGGTGATGGGCTGGTGGATGAGGGCCCCTCCTTGTCCCGGGTGCTCCTGGCCCCTTTCCAGACCAGTTGGGAGGCCAGTTGCTGTGCCTTTGCAATTGCTGTGGGTCGCTGTGATGTCAGTGGGTTTTAGGGAATCTGTTATGTACTGAGTTGAATAGGATCCAAACTGCAGCAGTCTGATTGGTCCTAGAACAATAGGATTCAGCATGCAGCAGTCTGATTGGTCCTAGAACAATGCAGCAGTATGATTGGTTGGCAGGAACCACCCAATCATGCTTCAGATAGAAGTGAATCCACAACCTGATTGGCTTACAGTAGAATTCCGGAATTAGCTAATCATGTGCAGCCCATTGTGTAAATAATGTATATAAAGCAGATACTTTGAGGGGACTTTCATTCATTCCTCCTCACCACTATGAGCTGAATAAAGAGCATGAAATCACTTTGCGACTCTGAGTATATTTCAGAATCCATGGGCATTGAACTTTGAATAACAGAATGTCTGGGACGAGGTGGGATTCTGGCGGCTGCACCTCTGGCTGAAGGGTGTCTGCGTGCTCAAAGGAGGAAATCGGGCAGTTTGGGGCCTGGCTCTGGAAAAGACACAGAGGCTGGACTTGCTCTCTGTGCAAATCCAAAACGGATAGTTTTGGTGATGCACCAGGAACCCTAAAGGGAGGAAGGGGAATCCGTTGGAGCATGGGTAGGCAAACTAAGGCCCGGGGGCCAGATCCGGCCCAATCGCCTTCTCAATCCGGCCCGCAGACGGTCCGGGAATCAGCGTGTTTTTACATGAGTAGAATGTGTCCTTTTATTTAAAATGCACCTCTGGGTTATTGGTGGGGCATAGGAATTTGTCCTTCTTTTTTTCCAAAATATAGTCCGGCCCCCCACAAGGTCTGAGGGACAGTGGAGCGGCCCCCTGCTGAAAAAGTTTGCTGTCCCCTGCAGAGTGTTAATGCTGGGATCCCCATCATCTTCTTCTCAGCCTGAATATACATGCAAAATAAGCCTTAGACCACAGAACACACTGCCAGTTTCCAGCAGAACTTCATCCCAAGCAAGGCTGGACTTAGGTTCGGTGAGGCCCTAAGTTACTGAAGGTAATGGGGCCCTTTATATGTCCAGCTGTCCTTGGTCAACAACAAATTGTCGCTGTTTTTTGTGTTGAATATATGCTATATGGTAATTTATGGACCTCATAGGTATCTAAAACCATTTGCACATAACAAAATATGTACATCATAGGAGCCTACACAACACAAAACACTGTTGCTGTATGTAGGTTTTATTTTATTTCTTTTTTAGCTTATATTTTGGAAATGTACAGTCAGGTTTTTTTTTTCCTTTAAATGTTTTTGGGGCCCCCAAAAGAGGGGGTCCCTAAGCTATAGCTTGTTTATCTTATACGTAAAACCGGCACTGATCCCAAAAAATGCCCTACTCGGAGACTGGGGTATTGGCAATGACAGGATAGTTAGAAAAACTAGCTATGACACAGCTATTAATGATAAATTAACATGTGCCATTAAGGTAAGGCGGGGAATATGCAGGAGAAATTATTTTCAGGCGATATGGAGGGTGTTTGTAGAATTGGTACTGTCAAAACAGAAAGGGGTCAAACCATCGCAAGAGGTGTTGAAATTTTGGGAAGTTGGATAGTTACAATGGAATGGTCTTGGCGGTGCGGTGCACATTTTTATTCTTATTTATGTATGATTATTACTTTGTCAAAGTAAAGAAAAATGTGCTATCGGGACTATGAGTCTAGTGAGATAGCTTGCCAAGGAAGGTGTCAATGATCTGAAAGACCATCTCCATTGCTAGGACCTCCTCGGGAGCGAAGTTCTGCAGGGGTGAGGCCGTCTTCCATGGTAGTTCCACTGGCCCTCAGAAGTATGGGGGACTGTGGCCTGGAGGGCAAGAGAGAGTGGGGAGACAGGGCCTTCTCTGTGTCAGCCCCCACATTGTGAAGATCCCTCCCTATGGAGTTGCACCTGGCACCTTCGTTGTGGGAGGTTTAATCTTTTCCACCTTAGCCTTTGCCATTTCTGTGGGACTCCTTTGGCTGAAATGTATGCTGTTCTCCACTGGAAACAGTTTTATCTGCATAGCAGGGGTTGGACTGGATGAGCCTCTGGGTTCCTTTCTGATTCTATACCTGTTTTTTTATAACTTTATATTATAGGACTGTCACCAACCCTGGGGCTTATTTATAAGGAATCTTGTAAACAGGATCAAAAGGAAGAGCCACGGGGGGAGCTTCTGTCTGGTACTTACGCTCCTGCAGCTGGTGGGCCTCAATTTCGAGCAAGGTCTCCAACGCTTTTTGCAGGACCCTGAGATCTGGCTGAAGGAGGGGTGGGGAGGGGGGAGGCGGGGAAAGCGGGTGGGGCGGGAGGGAGAAGCTGGAGGTGGTGGGCGTGATGGAGACCACCTCCCCAGAGCTGGAGGCCGAAGTCGACTCCAAAGTGGGCTTCGAAGATGACAGGCTTGGGCCTGGGGAGCTTTGGCAGACACCTGCAAGAAACGGAAGGGTGGGGCAGTGGAAAGCATAAATTTGGCAGGCATGGAAGGCCAGCAGCCCCCAGCATCCACCCGCTTGACCCCCCCTCACCTGTTTACCATTTTAAGCTGATTTCACGCCACAAGAGGAACTTGGAGGCCAGCAAAACAGAAAGGAATGGGGGCATTTTGTCAGAGCCTGGCCAAGGATGTGTTAAGTATTGTTTAATTGTACGTTGAAATGGAAAATGGCTCTGTATATGTATTGCTAGAGGTTTAACATTGAAAAATTCCATTGAGGTCAACTAGAGCTCTCAGAATGCCTAACAGGTTAATGGTCAGCTGCTGATGTAGCTCTGCTGCTCTGACATGAGGTGTTTAACATAGATCACCTGAGAAAGGTATTCAGTTACAAATCTCCATTTCAGGTCTGTGAGTTAGTCTTTGTTCTTAGGCCACCGGAGAAAAAGTGTGTGCTTCATCTCTCTCCAGGAACACAGCTAAGGTAGTCCGTGTGTTGGAAACACAGAGCGTTGTTTTCAGTTCCAGGTGAAGTAATTTCCTATTTCTAAGATGTTGTTCCTATGCTTGGACAAGAACATGATCTTATGCAACTATCTGATGTAACATTATTTGCTTTTTTGTCTGTTTTGAACAAGTTCTGTTAGTAAAGCTTTGGAACCATATTTTTGGACTGGACAGTTTTTATTTCAATAAGAGCCTGTTTTTGTTCATCCTATTTATTTGAGTGTCGAAATGTGTGCACCACTTGGATTGTAATAAAACTTCTAAGTAATTTGCAAAAAAAACAAAAAACCCAAAAAATGAAGCTGCAATGTTAACATTATAAATCAAGACGGTTAAAATCCATTTGGCAAATAATTGAAACCCGCAGCAACTTCCGAAGAGGCGCACCAGGGCTGCTGGCTTGACGCTGCAGGCGGACCTCTGTGCGAATGAGCCTCCGCCGGGTGCGGCAGATCTGGAGGCTGGCGGCCCGCAGGGAGCGCGGGAACTGATGGCAAGCGCTGCGGATCTTCACTTCTGAAATTGGGAAGCGAGAAGGAGAGGGAAAGGATCAGACCCCTGGCAAGAGGGTTCCCCGGCTGGAGGCCAGGAGGTGCCCCTCTCCAAGACTTACCTGCCTGAAGGTACTGGCCCTGCATCTCCTTGAGGACCTGCAGATGCTTCTGCAGAAGCAACAGGGAGCCCCTGGTGGGGTCCAGGAGGGTCTCCGCAGGGGGGCTGGTCAGGAGCGCCTTGACCTCCTGCTGTTGGGGCTCTGGATCAGGGGCAGGAGGAGTCGCAGGAGCAGCAGGGAGGGTTTCTGCAGGAGGAAAGAAAGGTGACTAGCAAGAAAGAGCAGGTGACAGCTGGCCCAGTTGGCTCTGGCCCTGACCTGCCTCCTCTGCAGCAGGGGTCAGGCTGGTGAGGGACAGGGGGCAGGTTTCCTTGGCAGCCCCCCGTGGGGCAAACGTCCCCAAGCAGAGCCCAGCATGCTGGTGGGGTGGGGTATGAATTTGGGTAGTGATCTGGGTTGCTGGACTAGACACCCCCAGATCCCCACTCACCCCCTTCCTGTGGCTCCTCTTTCGTCTTCGGCAGCCTGGAAAGACAGAGAAGCAAGGAATGCTCTTTGCAGCAGGAGGGCACTGGGAATGCCCCCCGGGATGCCAAGGGGAACGAGTCACCCCCTTCCCAATTCCTCCTGGCTGTGGGACACGCACAGCACCCTCCCCAAACGACCCCGGCGGCCCTGGCTGCCTGTCTGCCCTAGACCTTCCAGGCATGGGCCAGATGAGCAGCTTCTCCCTGCTGAAGAAACATCCACCACTTCCGTCCGGGGTCAAACCCTCCTCAATTGGAAGCTGATACTTTCTTATCAAAGGTACATTCAAGGGCACGAAAGAGCCACTCACTTTGTGTTGTTTTCAGATCTGCTCCTGTGGAAGGAGAAAGAGGAGGGAAACATTGAGGCGAATTTCTTGGAAGGAAATTTAATGCAGACAGGGTAGCCAAAATAGCCAAACTAACAGCAAAAATTCGACATCAGGGTGACGAAACATATCAAAAAGAATGGGGAAAATTTATGTTTAAGAAGGAAGGAGGGAAGTCAGCTCCGGGGAGCAAGAACAAATGTGAAATATAATGTATGTGTATGTATAGTATGTAACTAAAAACTCAATAAAGATCATCTAAAAAAACTACGGAAATTTAATGCAGACAAATGCAACTGTGCATTGGAGTCGGGGCCGGATTTAGGTTTGATGCGGCCCTCAGGTACCAAAGGTAAAGGGGCCCTTTATATGTCCAGCTGTCCTTTGTCAGCAACAAATTGTCACTATTTTTTTGTGTTGAATATATGCTTAATAATAATAATAATTTATTATTTATACCCTGCCGATGTGGCTGGGTTTCCCCAGCCACTCTGGGTGGCTTCCAACAAAAGATTAAAAATACATCAAAACATCAATCATTAAAAACTTCCCTAAACAGGGCTGCCTTCAGATGTCTTCTAATCGTCAGATAGTTCATTTCTTTGACATCTGGTGGGAGGCCGTTCCACAGGGCGGGCGCCACTACTGAGAAGGCCCTCTGGCTGGTAATTGATGAACCTAATAGATACCTAAAGCCATTTGCACATCTTGCCCTGCAACCAGTCCATGCAGAATGTAGGCACCCTATATATAGAAAGGAGCAAAGCAGTGTTATTTCAGGGAGCAGGCTAGTAGGTGGGGCCCATGACTTACATCATGGGTAGGCAAACTAAGGCCCGGGGGCCGAATCTGGCCCAATTGCCTTCTAAATCCGGTCCACAGACAGTCTGGGAATCAGCGTGTTTTTACATGAGTAGAATGTGTCCTTTTATTTAAAATGCATCTCTGGGTTATTTGTGGGGCATAGGAATTCGTTCATTATTTTTTTCAAAATATAGTCCCCCCCCCCCCACAAGGTCTGAGGGACAGTGGACCGGCCCACGGCTTAAAAAGTTTGCTGTCCCCTGACTTACATCAAAGGAGCCTACACAACACAGAACACTGTTGCTGTAAGTAGGTTTTATTTTGCTTTTTATCTTGCATTTTGGAAATGCACATCCAGTTGTTGTTTTTCTTTAATTTTTGGGAGCGCCCCAAGAGAGCGGGGCCCGAAGCTACAGCTAGTTTAGCTTATAGGTGAATCCGGCACGGGAGAACAACCGGAGTCTTTAAATCCTCGAGAAAGCTGCCGGGCTCCGTGTGGTCGTGATCCCGCATCTCTCCAGCAGGAGGAGGAAAAGGATCTGTTTGCCTTTTGCAAGCAGTGCCACTTCTCTCTCGCTGAGCTCTGGAACCGAAGGGATGTCTGGCGGCTGCAGACGCACCCAAAGGACCTTCCTGCTAACAGGGATTTTTTGCTCTCGGTCGATCTCCTGTGCCTCTGCCTAGATCCATACAGCACCGAAGGGCGCAAGTTCCATGTAAGTAAACCTTTCTATTCTTACTTGAAAAGCTGGTCTGATTGTTGGGGAGCAAATCCCAAGCGCCCGGAGAAGAGACCCAAAAGAGGCTTCGCCGCCTGGTCGCTGCTGGATTGCTGGGCAAACGAGGCAACTCCGCGGCGAGAGGCTTTCAGGCGAGAGCCAAGTCTCGTGGATTTGAACGCGGGTCCCGGGGTTGTTGCAAATGCACGTGGGGGGCAGCCGAGGTAGATTTAGGGGCGTGTGAGGGGCGCGGAACCGGGGAGAGGGCGCTGCTGGGCGCGCCCCCACCATGCCTTAGAGAAGCAGCAGCGCGAGAGGCGAAGGTGCTGAAATTGGAGAGCCGGAGATCCGCCGCTGGTAGCAGGGATCCCTAGGAAAGCTCTGTAACATCGGTCCATTTGCCACGTTGGGGAAGGTCTGCCACGCAGTGGGGAGAGCGTCTGCTTTGCGTGCAGAAGGTCCCAGGATCGGGCCCCCCGGGAAAGATGCCTCCTGGTCTGAACCCCTGGACAGCGCCTGCCAGTCTGGCTTAAAAGGGCTGAGCCAGGGTCAAGTTTATCCTAGATCTTTCAACATTTTTATTAAGTGCAGTGGACACTCGGGTTGCGAACGTGATCCGTGCAGGACGCGCAGGTTGCGATTCGGCACTTCTGTGCATGCACAAAGCGTGATTTAGTGTTTCTGCACATGCGCCAGCACCGAAACCCAAAAGTAACCCGTTCCGGTACTTCTGGGTTTCGGCACATCCGTAACCCCAAAACATGCAACCTGAAGCGTCTGTAACCCGAGGTAGGACTGTACATTGTAATATTTATTTATATCTTAGAATAGGTAGTTGAGGATCAATTTATTCTTGTTCTTTGTAAATTTTGTAAATGAAATAAAGTGGAAGGAAGGAAGGAAGGAAGGAAGGAAGGAAGGAAGGAAGGAAGGGCTGAGCTAGAGGAGCCTGACTGCACCAGGAGGCACTGTCCTGTTTTCATCAGCCTCCTGGTACTCAGAACCATGGAGGGGGTGGGAAAGGAGGGAGGCCCCAACCAAAGAAGAATGGTAACTGAAGTTGACAGAATATGCGCAGTTTGCAGACTTAACATATAGAATAAGAAAACAAGAAGAAGATACGTTTAGAGAAGGCTGGAAAACATTTCTGGAATATATGGGGAATAATTGTGTACAGCTGGAAACACTGTCAGAATTAAGGTAAATTCAACGGCATAAATAAGCTTTGATGGATGCAATAATGGAATACAGAATGGTATAGTTTTTGTAAAATAAGCTGGGACTTATGAAAATGAACCATGGAAAGAGAAGCAGGGAGGGGAGGGCCTTCTCGGTGGTGGCGCCCTCCCATCAGATGTCAAGGAAATAAACAACTATCTGACATTTAGAAGACATCTGAAGGCAGCCCTCTTTAGGGAAGTTTTTAATGACTGATGTTTTGATGTATTTATAAGCTTTTGTTGGAAGCCACGCAGAGTGGCTGGGAAAACCCAGCCAGATGGGCAGGGTAGAAATAAAAAAATATTATTGTTGTTATTGGTATCTTAAGGATGTATAAATGAGTATTTCAAATTGTAAAACAGAAAATTTAATTTCAGAAGTTATATATAGAACCATGGAGGGGGAGGGGGGAGCAGAAAATAATTCCAATGCATTTCATGTCTGGCAACCAATGCGCCCCTTTGGTTTCGGATAGTACATGGGTAGACGGGGTGAAAAAGCCCAGGGCACAGATTTTCTGGGGGCTCATTTACCCAAAGTATTTAGCATGAACTCTGGAAGTGTCTACTCGACTCTGACAATATACACCAGGATGCTTAACTTGGCCAGAATCAAGGAGACACTTCCAGGGTTTGTGCCAAATCCGTTCCTTCTGGCCAGGGGCGTGGTGCTCTTTGCCAGAGCCCGGGAAGGCTGCATGTCCACACGTACCAGGCAGGGGCAGAGCGTACTTGCCCAGCCCTCGCCACCCACTTCTACAGGTGGGTGTTCACGCACCAGTGGCAGCAAGGACTGGGGAGGGCAGAGGGTGATCTTCACCCCGCCCAGTGCCTGAGCACCCGCTTGGCGGCAGTGAGGGCTGGCCGAGCACAGAGGGTGAAGATAATGTCCGCACTCACCCAGCCCTCACCACTGGAGCCTGGCAGGGTGGGCACAATGGGGATCTCTGAAGGGGGTGCCTGGTTCGCGCCCCAATTGTGCGCCCAGGGACCCCCACGCTAGGCCACTGCTTCTGGCAAATAAGCCACCCTACCCACAAGAGAGCTGTGAAAATTTGTGCCCCAGGCTTTTGAGACTCGTCTACGGTAGACGAGTGACAGATTTATCTATAAGCTAAACAAGCCGTAGCTTAGGGCCCCACTCTCTTGGGGGGCCCCCAAAAAATTAAAGGGGGTGAAGGAATGAGTTTCTGTGTAGTAAGTTTAAAAACCTGACTCAACCCCCCCTTTTTTGTTCTTTCAAAAGAGAGCACTTTTAAATGCGTAAAATTTGAACTGTTGAGCAAAACCATAATAAGGACACAACTGCATAAACAGTTCTCTCCTTTATCAGTCACAGCAAGGGATGGTCTTGGCTCTCCAGGGGAACAAAGAAAACACGTCAGAACTTTATCTTATGTGCTGACCACAAAATACACGCGAGACCAATGTCCGGGAAAAACGCCAAAAGCGTGTTCCCGGAGATTATGACGTCTTCCCAGATAAGAGTAGGAAGAGAAAGATCCTTTTATGGTCAGAAGTACAGGAAGGAAGATCCTTTTATGGTTGAGAGTACCAGAGCAGGAACATATGTGATGTCAACCTGTGTATACAAGTTGACGTGGCTGGGGAAGGGGGAGAGGATGCCGGGAGGGTATATATACTGCATGAAACTTGTCATTTCTTTGGACTTGCTGTGGACTTGATCACGCAAGTGCCTTCTGCTATCCGGAGAAGAAGAAGAAGAGGAGTTTGGATTTGATATCCCGCCTTTCACTCCCTTTAAGGAGTCTCAAAGCGGCTCACATTCTCCTTTCCCTTCCTCCCCCACAACAAACACTCTGTGAGGTGAGTGGGGCTGAGAGACTTCAGAGAAGTGTGACTGGCCCAAGGTCACCCAGCAGCTGCATGTGGAGGAGCGGAGACACGAACCCGGTTCCCCAGATTACGAGACTACCGCTCTTAACCACTACACCACACTGGAGAGCAGAATAAACTCTTTCTTTGAACCAACTTGGTGTCATTTGACTTCCTTCCTCCTGTCCCGGAGCAACGCAGACTCAATTGGTGAACTCCAATAAGGCTACAGCGGGAAAACTGGATGTACATTTCCAAAATATAAGATAAAAAACAAATAAAATAAAGCCTACCTACAGCAAGAGTGTTGTGTAGGCTCCTCTGGTGTAAGTCATGGGCCCCGCCTGCTCCCTCAAATATCCCTGCTTTGCTCCTTTCTATATATAGGGTGCCTACATTCTGCATGAACTGGCTGCATGGCAACATGGGCAAATGGCTTGAGATACCTATTAGGTCCACAAATTACCATATAGCATATATTCTCTTCCCACCTTGGATCAAATCTATGCTTCCAGGTGTCATAAAAAAGCTGCAGAGATAGTGCAGTAAATTCCCCCCCCCCCCCGAGAAATGATCTATTTCAGCTTCTGCCTACAGAGTTATTAAAACCAGGACTAGCCGCCTGAGAAACAGTTTCTATCCAAATGCGATTTTGTTTTTTAAACACAGTGTAAGGTAGTCTCTATGGGAGTATATTGTATTTAATTATGGGGTATCAGAGTTTTTAGGGGGTTAACCAGGCTTGTTGGTTTTTGAATGTCTGATGTAGATTTTTTTTCAATTTCGTTGTTCTGTATGGGACAATGACAATAAAGATTATCATATTGTATATTCAACACAAAAAACAGCGACCGTTTGTTGTTGACAAAGGACAGCTGGACATATAAAGGGCCCCATTACCTTCAGTAGCTGAGGGCCTCATCAAACCTAAATCTGGCCCTGCGTCTACCCATGTGCTGTCTGAAACCAAAGGGGAGCATTGGTTCACAAATGTGAATTTCCCCCCCACCTCTCCACCCCACTAATGAGGCCAGGAATCTTTCTTTTTAGGGAAGGACCATGGCTGGGTTCAGAATGCCCCAGGCTGCACCCAAGGCATTGTCAGGTCGACTTGAGAAGGTCCTTCGCCTGACACTCCTGCCGCTCAGAATAATTGGCAATACGGAGCTTGACGGATCTGAAAGGCTTGACTCCCCACCAGGGAACCAGTCTGGAGGGGGTGAGCCAGAGAGCAGGCGGATGTCAAGAGCCAAAACCAAAACTGCCTGAGCCCCTGAGCCCAGGGAGCAGGGGCCGAGAAAAGGGGGGGCGGGCGTGGGGGGGCTGCCCCAGGTGCCATCATGGAGGGGGGTGACAAATTATCAAGCAACAATTACTGCCCTACCAGGGCAGTTCATAAAAAACTTTTTTTTTTTAAATGCCTGCTCCAAAGGTCTTATCTTACTACACTAGGGATTATATAGCTACATATGAAATTTCACGCATATCAGTTAATATATTGATCCTCCTCCACGAAAATAGCCGTTTACTTGGCCATTTTCCTTTGTCGTAAAGGCTGAAATTTCAACAAAGCACGTGCCTTTGCTAGACTCTTTTCAGGCACCTGCTAGAAGCATTCTTCTTTAGACAAGCATACCTAGATGCTTGGGAAATTGAAGTAATTTTAATCTTAATATTTTAGCTTTTGTATGTTTTAAAGTAGGATTGTTAATTTTTCTTGATTTTACTGCTGTGGTGTTTTGTTGTTGTTGTTTTGGTAAACCACTATGCAGGTTTTTAAAATAAATTTTATTAAATAAATAAGCAATAAATAGAAATAAAATAACATAAGCCAAAACACAATCAATCCTGTAGATTTAAGAATCTGTCCATAGTCGCCTGCTTGTTATCAGAGGCTCAGAATCCATGTTCCTTTGTAAGAAAACCATTACGTAAAACCATTTTTGCAGGCAAAAAAAATTAAAATCAACGTGTGGGGTGCATGACAATAAATTTTCCGCACCAGGTACCACCTGACCTTCCTACGCCTCTGCCAGGGGGTGGCAGGTTCAAGCCATCGATTTGGCCGGGGCCAGAATCCTCCATCAGAGTGAGGCCAAGACAATCTCAAGAGATGGGGAGCTTCCCAGCCGGCCGTCAGCCTCTGACTCCCAGGCAGGCTTAGTGAGTCTCTCCCAGCAGCCTTTCCCTCCTCAAAGCAGAGCCGGGACCTCCGATTCATTTGGTGTGGATCCTTTTCCCGCTTGCCTTCTGAAGTCTACCCCAGGGCAACAGGCAGACCAGTGTCCTGCAGAAGCCCAGAGGGGGGCCTTGAAGGGGGCTGACAGCAACTGGTCCCTTCCCTTTCTCACCCCGATCTGGCCACAGTGATCCACGCGATGGTCACCTCCAGGCTTGACTACTGTAATTCGCTCTACATGGGGCTGCCCTTGAGACTGACCCAGAAACTCCAGCGGGTGCAGAATGCCGCGGTGAGACTTCTTACAGGGTCCTCGCCATGGGATCACGTTCCCCCGGTGCTGCACTGGCTCCCGGTGGAGTACAGGATCAGGTTTAAGGAGCTGGTTTTAACTTTTAAAGCCCTATGCGGCCTAGGACCCTCGTACCTACGGGACCGCCTCTCCTGGTATGTCCCACGGAGGACCTTAAGGTCCATAAATGACAATATTTTGGAGGTCCCAAGCTGCAAGGAGGTTAGATTGGTCTCAACTAGGGCCAGGGCCTTTTCAGTACTGGCCCCGACTTGGGGGAACGCTCTGTCACAAGAGACTAGGGCCCTGCGGGACTTGACATCTTTCCGCAGGGCCTGCAAGACAGAGCTGTTTCCACCTGGCCTTTGGTTTGGACTCAGTCCGACCCTTATGTTTCCCTCCTCTTATGGTTTCGATCTATGGGCTACTATTAAAATGGGGCTGCATTTTAAATTGTATTCTAACCCGTATTTTAAATTGGTTCCCCCCTCCCATTATTTTAATTGTAATTTATTTGGTGTTAGCCGCCCTGAGCCCAGCCCTGGCCAGGGAGGGTGGGGTATAAAGAAAATTTATTATTATTATTATTATTATTATTATTATTATTATTATGTGGTGCTTCTGCTGCAAAGGACTAGCCCCTTGAATGCAATTTAAGACACTGTAAATGCACCCAAGGAAGGAGCACCCAAGAGGGCATGTGTGGGCCCTGGAGAGGTGGGGTTGTATTTTAGGGTGGAGTGTAGGATGGGCTCCCAGGATTCCTCATCCTATTTGTGGATGGAGAAATTGGGGGCAGCGGGGAGCATTTTTTTGAATATTTGCTGGGTTGGGTGGGGTTCTCCTGCAAACTGAACGGAGACGAGAAAGAAAACTCTCCCAATATTCACCAGGGAAACTTTTGTCTCACATAACAGCCAGAACAGGAGTTAGAAGAGTCAAATAACAATTCAAAGTATTGGTGCTGACCTTGAAAGCCCTAAACGGCCTCAGCCCAGTATACCTGAAGGGGCGTCTCCACCCCCATCGTTCAGCCCAGACACTGAGGTCCAGCTCCGAGGGCCTTCTGGCGGTTCCCTCCCTGCGAGAAGTGAGGTGACAGGGAACCAAGCAGGGAGCCTTTTCGGTGGTGGCGCCCGCCCTGTGGAACCAGATGTCAAAGAGAACAACAACTACCAGACTATTAGAAAACATCTGAGGCAGCCCTGTTTAGGGAAGTTTTTTAATGTTTGATGCTGTATTCTGCTTTTAATTCTGTTGGGAGCCACCCAGAGTGGCTGGGGAAACCTTGCCAGATGGACCGGGTATAAATAATAAATTTATTTATTTATTTATTATTATTATTATTATTATTATTATTATTATTATTATTACCAAAGATTGTCTTTGGGCATTGGGGGACAGAAAAGGCTTCAGATGTCTCCCCTCTCCCCCCTGACTTTACCTTCTGTGGCAGCAGGTGAAACAGCCGGCCATGGTGCCACCACAGGGGAGGCAGAAACCCGTTCCCTCGGCTTTCAACGGATCCAAAGAAGGCAGTTCTCCAAAGGAGACAGGTGTCTGCGATGTCAGCTGATCTAAGGGTCCTTTCAAGCAACCCTCCTGGTCTCCTGGGAAACAGGGTTCCGCAGCCTATTGTAAGGTCAGAGCCTGGCCAGGGATTGGCCCCGAGGAACGCTGGGCTCCCGGCCTGGGTCACCACTTGGTACCTTCAGGCAGGTGGATCTGGGCTCCCCTTTTAGCCACCCCCAAATGCCCCCAAAGGAAATAAAGCAGACCACAACTGTTATCCACTTCCCAGCACCTCCTTCAAACTCACCTGCTCACCCAGGTGTTGCCCGACTCATTTGTGTCTCACAAACATGCCTCCCTCCATTGAGGGCATCCCACAAAAGGAGCCACTGCAGAAAATCCTTCCAGTGGCCGAGGGGGGGCCGATTTGTCTTACGGAGCCACTTTCTCTCTTCACCATCAGTCACCAGAGGCTTGGGAGGGAAGCTGCGCACCTGCCAGCCATATGGTTGACAGGGCCTGCAAGATGGAGCTGTTCACAGAATCATAGAATCATAGAATCATAGAGTTGGAAGAGACCACAAGGGCCATCGAGTCCAACCCCCTGCCAAGCAGGAAACACCATCAGAGCACTCCTGACATATGGTTGTCAAGCCTCTGCTTAAAGACCTCCAAAGAAGGAGACTCCACCACACTCCTTGGCAGCAAATTCCACTGTCGAACAGCTCTTACTGTCAGGAAGTTCTTCCTAATGTTTAGGTGGAATCTTCTTTCTTGTAGTTTGGATCCATTGCTCCGTGTCCGCTTCTCTGGAGCAGCAGAAAACAACCTTTCTCCCTCCTCTATGTGACATCCTTTTCTATATTTGAACATGGCTATCATATCACCCCTTAACCTCCTCTTCTCCAGGCTAAACATGCCCAGCTCCCTTAGCCGTTCCTCATAAGGCATCGTTTCCAGGCCTTTGACCATTTTGGTTGCCCTCCTCTGGACACGTTCCAGTTTGTCAGTGTCCTTCTTGAACTGTGGTGCCCAGAACTGGACACAGTACTCCAGGTGAGGTCTGACCAGAGCAGAATACAGTGGCACTATTACTTCCCTTGATCTAGATGCTATACTCCTATTGATGCAGGCCCAGAATTGCATTGGCTTTTTAGCTGCCGCATCACACTGTTGGCTCATGTCAAGTTTGTGGTCAACCAAGACTCCTAGATCCTTTTCACATGTACTGCTCTCAAGCCAGGTGTCACCCATCTTGTATTTGTGCCTCTCATTTTTTTTGCCCAAGTGCAAGACTTTACATTTCTCCCTGTTAAAGTTCATCTTGTTTGTTTTGGCCCAGTTCTGTAATCTGTCAAGGTCGTTTTGAAGTGTGATCCTGTCCTCTGCGGTGTTAGCCACCCCTCCCAGTTTGGTGTCATCTGCAAATTTGATCAGGATGCCCTTGAGTCCATCATCCAAGTCGTTGATAAAGATGTTGAATAAGACCGGGCCCAAGACAGAACCCTGTGGCACCCCACTGTTCCGCCTGGCCTTTGGTCGGGGCTCAGTCTGACCCCTCTCCTTTTACAAGACCCTGTGTGCTGGTCCCGGGGGGCGGGGAATCTAAGTCCGGTCCTAGGTCGAGGGTAAGGAGGCGAAGCGAGGTCCAAAGCGAGGAGTCGGGCGTGGTCAGGAACTAAGGAGAGCAGGTCAGGGGGCCAGCAGGAACAAGTTACCAACGATGTTGCTCCCGCAACCTGGGACTGGACGAGCTGGCCTTTATCTCCTCCGAGGCATAGGGCGGCCCCGGTCACAGGTGACTCGCCTCTCCTGGCCTTAAGGCGAGCACTCCTCCTGCGAGAACTTAGTTCCCTCCGCCTCTCTGCCCTGAGCCTCTGCAGCTCAGGAGAGGCTGGAGGGTTACTGGACCCAGAGACAACCTCACCTTCCCCTGACAGGGCTGGGAGAGGAGCACCTGCAGGCAATGGGTCCTCGGATCACCTCTGGAACCAGAGCGGATTCAGCTGGTGTCTGCTCCTGAGGATCCGGCACAGGTGAGGGCCCTTCAGATTCAAGGCCCTGCCCCAGCTCAGCCGGCCCTGGAGGCTAAACTGGCACAGCGCAGCGCAAGGACTCGCTTTCGCGGCGCCAAAAATCACAGGCGTGTGTGCATGACCCGGCCCATGGAGGGATCTCCATGGGACCGATCTGGCCCAGGCAACATAAACCTTGCTGACCCCTGCCCTATAGTTATAGTTATAATTTGCAGGTAGCCATCTGATCTTGTTTTGATTTAATCTGATTTTAAGCTGTATTTCAGTTGATTGCAGAATTTTATATTTTGATGTTAGCTGCCCTGAGCCCGGTTCTGGCCAGGGAGGGCGGGATATAAATAAATTATTATTATTATTATTATTATTATTATTATTATTATTAAACCTCAAGGGTTTGGGGATCTTGGGGAGAGGCCATTCTCTCAGTCCTGCCACCCTTAAAGGCACACTTGGTGGGGAGGCAGGAGAAGGCCTTCTCGGTGGTGGCTCCTCCCAGACAACTTTGGAACTCCCTGCCTAGGGAAGCCAAACTGGCTCCCTCCTTGCTGTCCTTGCGATGGCAGACAAAGACCTTCTTGTTCCAACAGGCTTTGGGGGACTGACTGCTTTTAATGATCTCTTGGTCTCTTGAGACAGAGCGTTCACCAGACTGGGGCCACAGCCAAAAAGGCCCTGGCTTTGGTCGAGGCCAGCCTAACCTTTTAATGCTGCTTTTATTGTAATGATTGGTATGGGTTTAATAGATTTTAGATGCGTATATGGTTTTAATTCTATCAACGTTTAATTGCTTTATGTCAGTGCTGGCAGGGCTGCTGCACACCTGGTACTTATCTCCACATGTGGTGGGAATGTACAAAAATCCAGCCTTTCTGGAATTCGATATTCCAAGAAATTAATAAAATGAGAAAATTACCATTGGAAGTCAAACCAAATTTAGCTTTATGAAGTATATTTCAAGACAACAATCTGGATTTATATAATAAAGCATTAATAAGCTATTCATTGCAAGTGGCGAGAAATAATATAACTAGACTCTGGAAAGACGTTTCAGGGACAATGATAGACAATTGGTACAAAACAACTTGGGAAACAGCCCTTCTTGAGAGATTAGCAAATAGCCTATGATTGACACATGAACAGATAAAGAAATATGGCTTTATTTTATTATTAAATTTCACAACATGCCAATATTCCAGAAAATGAACAATCCCCCTTCAGCCTTTGGTCAATCTAGTGAATCTAAATTTAAATGTCAACATAAATTATTATCTTCCCTTTGAACCCTGCTCCCACATTCATCAATATGCCTTCATATTGATTCATCAGTAGCTTAAGAGGAAAAATGACTATTACTCACACTTAATCTAAGCACAACCGCAAGGGTTCCTGACTAGGCATTTAGCTGTGCAATGCTGCATGTTATCTGTTATTTCTGTTCTATCCTATTTCCCCTTTGGTTTTGTTTAAACCAATTCACAAACCAAGAACTCACACATTGACCACTAAGAATGAGCCCTGTGTTGCAGATGTTGCTGCAAATTTATCGCGCTGTTTTTGTGATACACAAACGACACAAGAAGACTTGGTCTATTAATTTGTGTCCTTTCTTATTGCTATGATCTTTGTTTATAAAACCCGACAAAAAGTTATTCAAAAAGGGGGGGGGGGACAAGAGGTCCTCAGGGCGACCCTTTTCCTTGTGAAATTCTCCATGTACCAGTTTGATTTTTTTAATTCCCTGCTTCTCTTGAGGATGATGAGATTTGCTCCTTGGTTGTTCATTACGCTGGAAATATTGCTCTGCAGAAGTCAGAGGGGGCTGGGGGCAGAAAGAGATTGCTGAATGCCCCCAATATGCTGCGAGGAAGTGCGGCTCTTTCTGATGCCGTTTTGGAGAGGGGTTTGCAAAGAGAATGTTTGGCTCGTGGAATGTGGTTTATTTCTTATTTACTGTATTTTTTGCTCCATAAGAAGCACTTTTTTCCTCCTAAAAAGTAAGGGGAAATGTCTGTGCATCTTATGGAGCAAATGCATGGTCCCTGGAGCCGAACTGCCCTGGGGCAAAAAGCGGGTCGTGCTTTTTTTTCTTTTCTTTTTTTAGAAAGAGGGGTGTTGAAACAAAGCTGCTGAGCAGCTGATCGGCAAGCAATCGGGAGGGAGATAAGGGACTCTAGCGATAAAGGAGGCTGCCTGGGAGGGGGCAGGTAAAGGCAGCGAACTTGCAAGGAGAGGAGACAGGAATACTAAACCAAGCAACGAGGAGAGAAACTCACTGTCAAATCACATATCATGTGTGTGGCAACAGCATGAACCACAAAAATCATACATCCACTGTTTTGTTCAGAATATTTTTTTTCTTGTTTTCCTCCTCTAAAAACTAGGTGCGTCTTATGGTCAGGTGCGTCTTATGGAGCGGAAAATACGGGATATCCTTTTGTGTTGAAATAATAAGCAGAAGAGCCTGCCGGACAGCGGAGCAGCTTGCAGGACAGCCGGGGTACTGTGACCAAGAGTGGGGTAGAACTAGTAAGCATAAATGGCAGAGCAGTCATGGAGTGTGAGGTTAGGAGGTCAAGATCAAGGACCCCTGGACAGTTAAGTCCAGTCAAAGGTGACTATTTATCTACTAGCACTGGCGTGCTTTCGAGCTGCTAGGTCGGCAGGTGCTGGGACAGCAACAGGAGCTCACCCTGTTGCAGGGATTCGAACAGACCTTTGGACTGGCTGCTTTTGGAGGGGGGGGCTGAGGGGTTTGGGCTCTACAAACGCACAAACTTTATCCCACCCTTCATCAATGGTCGGGTGAAAATAGCTGAAAGACATACAAAAGACAGTCCATAGCTGAACTAAGTGCCTAAACTATGACAGTCACACACTCCCATAAGAGCCACCAATTTGGATGGTTTTAGAAAAAGATTTGTCACATTCGTGGAGGATGAGGAAGCTGCCAGGGCTACCAGCCAGAGCCACGTTCTGCAATGATTCTGAGTCCCAGTTGTCAGAAACCGAAGGAGGGGAAAATTTGGGTCTCAGGTAGGAACAAAATTGACCAGGGCTTCTGCAGAACAGCAGGAGCTTCAAACTGCAAATTCAGGTCACTGGCCTGATTCTCTTGCAAGTCCTTGAGCCATTTGCACACAGGGCCATCTTTAGCATATGCGTCGCTGGTGCAAAGATCCGCCCAGAGCCCCCAAATTTGGGGGGGGGGGTTTAACTCAAAGTTGTTGAGCTTTTTTGGGGGGAGGAAAATTGCTCACCTATAACAACGATGCAGCGGAAAAAACTGCTTTTGTTTCCTGACTTGTCAGGAATATTTGACGCTAGAGAGAGTAACAGAGCGACATAGGAAAGGGGACTTTCGCTCCATTGCTTTTCACTGCCACTGATCAAGAGGGACCAGTATACAGTAGGTATACATTTTGTGCCCCCCAGAATTCAGCGCTCGGGTGCCCCACACCCCTTGCACCCCTGGGTAAAGACGGCCCTGTTTGCACAAGGCTCAAGCCCACTGCTTCCCTTAAAAAAAAAAACAACCTGCATTTTCTTCCGCCTAGAGCTCACCCCCTTGTCCGCTGACCTTCAGCAGCCCACTGCATCAAAGAGCGTCCAAGTGGTCCCTGCCTGCCACCTTGCCCAACAAAGGCACCGGGGGGGGGGGGCTTGCTGGCTACTTTCTGCTTCCCCTGGGAATCTGCTCAGCCACTAGGAGCTCAAGAGGTCTGGCCACATGGCAGACTCCCCTGATGTTCTTAAGCTCCATGCCTCTGGCCGCCCCACAGCTTCCACCCAATAACCACAACCATCAGCTCTCTTTCCTACTTCAAGGCCCCAGCCTTTGCCTGTTGCCTGGGAGGGCCTTGCGATGGATGGACTCACTCTCTCAAGGCAAATCTGAAAAAATGTAGCATAAACACCGACAACTGGGAAACACTGGCCTGCGAGCGCTCCAGTTGGAGAACAGCCTTGACCAAAGGTGGCATGAGCTTTGAAGATGCTCGAACTCAGGACGCAAGGGAGAAACGTGCTAAGAGGAAGGGTATTTGCAAACCCTCACCAGGATCAACTTCTGCCCGGAAACCAACGTTCCCACTGTGGAAGGAGGTGTGGATCCAGAATTGGCCTCCAGTCACGGACTCACTGTTAAAACCGTGTTGACGGAAGACCATCTCACTCAGCTACGAGGGATCGCCAAAGAGAATTGATAATGGGGTGGAGGCAATGGGGGCCCTTTATATGTCCAGCTGTCCTTTGCCAACAACAAATTGTTGCTGTTTTTTGTGTTGAATACATGCTATCTGCTAATTTATGGACCTAATAGGTATCTAAAACCATTTGCACGTGTTGCCCTGAAACCAGTCCATGCAGAATGTAGGCACCCTATATATAGAAATGAGCAAACCAGGGATATTTGAGGGAGCAGGCTAGCAGGCGGGGCCGACGACTTACATCATAGGAGCCTACACAACAGAAAATACTTTTGCCGTATGTAGGTTTCATTTTACATTGTTACCTTGGTTTACAAATATAATCTGTTCCAGAGGTCCGGTTGTAAACCAAAACAGGTTGTAACCGAAGGCGCGCTTTCGCCAATGGGGTCTCCCCCCCAAAATGGGTTGTAATCCAAAAAAAGGGACACACACATTGGGGTTTGACATGGTTGTAATCCAAAGCAGTTGCAAAGCAAGGTACCACTGTATTTGTTTTTTATTTTATATTTTGGAAATGCACATCCAGGGTTTTTTCCCCTTTATTTTTTTTGGGGGGGGGGGCAAGAGAGTGGGGTCCTGAGCTAGAGCTTGTTCAGCTTCTACGTAAATCCGGCCCTGGCTGCCCCTCCAGTGGCAGAGAGTTCCGCCAGACTGGGCCGGGGTCTCGCCAACCATAGCTGTCAACTTTCCCCCTTTTTTAAGGGAAATTCCCTTATTCCGAATAGGATTCCTCGATTTTCTCGCCCCGGCGCCGGCGGTGTGGCGATGGGGCCGGGCTCGATGGGCCAGGAGCGGGGGAGCCGCCAGTCCCTCGCGGCGCTTCTTCGCCTTCTCGCCCGGCTCCCGGCTCCCGGCGGCGGCGTCTCCCTCCCGCTCCCGCTGCTGCGCCTCTGCTCGCGCCTTTACGGCGGTCGGCGGGGCTGGGGGCGTGTCCTGGCGCGCTGACGCCACCGCGCACGCCCCGCCCCTCCGTCTCTGGAAAAGAGAAGAGAAAAAACTTTTCTCTTTTTTTTTTAATTGAGGAATCAACAGCCGCCATCTTGTCGCGGAGCCGGAGCGCGTCGCGGGCGGGAGCCGGGCCGGGCCGGGGCGAGAGCAGCCAGCCGGGCGGGCGGACGGGCGGGGGCCGACGGGCACGTCGAGGCGGGAGACGCCGCCGCCGCCGGACCCCGAGGCCGGCCCTCGCCCAGACCCCGCCGGGAAGGCGGGCAGAGAGAGACGCCGCCGCCGCCGCCGCTGAGGAGACGCCGCCCGCCCGCCTGTCAGGGGCCTGGTGGGCCGCGCCGCCCGTCCGCCCGGTTCCCTCCGCCTGCGGGCCCGCGCCGGCCGCGCCGCTGGGAGGGGCGAGGAGCGAGCGGGGGTCGGGGCCGGGCGGAGGGAGCGCCATCCGGGCACCTCCTGGGCCGGGGGAGGGGCGCCGGGCCTGCCTGCCTGCCTTCCTGCCTCCTCCCCTCCGCCCGCCCGCCCCCCCGCCGGCCCAGGGGGGGCAGCAGCAGCAGCAGCAGCCGCGGGGTCGGCGGCCGGAGCCCCCTCCGCCCCCCGCGCCCCTCCGGCGCTGACCGCCAAGAGGAGGAGGAGCAGGAGGAGGACGAGGACCGGGAGCCGCTGCCTCCGGGCAGCAGCAGCAGCAGCGCCAGCGCTACGGGGACGCCGAGGAGGAGCCGCCGCCGCCGCCGCCGCTGCAGGCCATGGCGGAGAACTTGCTGGACGGGCCGCCCAACGCCAAGCGGGCCAAGCTCAACTCGCCCGGCTTCTCCGCCGCCGACACCGCAGGTGAGCCCGGCCCCTCGGCTCCGCTGCTGCTGCCGGCCGGCTGGCCCCGCTTCTCCCGCCCGCTGCAGGCTTCCCTGGGCTCGGTCCGGGCGCAGAGCGGGGGCCCCGATCCCTCTCTACCGCCGAGAAGCCTCCGAGGGAAGCGGGCGGGCGGGAAGCCGGGTCCCGGTTGGGCCGGGAAGGCCCGCTAGAGGCGAAGGGGGGGAGACACGCTGCGCCTCCCGGGCCCCCCGGGTCCCGCGCAGCAGCAGCAGCAGCAGCTCCGGGGAAGCGGAGACGGACCCTGGCCGGCCTCTCCCCTCGGGGATCCCGCGCAGGTGCGCCTGGCAGCCGCGCACATGGACTCCTCGGGTTCAGGGATGAAAGGGAGGCGGAGTTTCCACGGGGGTCAGGAATGGATCGCCCTCGCTCTCCGCACATCCCCCGGGAAGGGCTCATTTGGTGGGGTTGCAGGTTCAAAGCGCCCCAGGGCCGATCCGTCGCGGGGCTTTGGGATACTGGGGCCCTGGGCTTCTTTTCCAGCATGTTGAGCCTTCTGCTACCCATTGATGGGAAGTAACATTGTGGCCATGGAAGGATGCTGAACAACGCTGTATCCCTCGTCCCTTGGAAGTTTTCTGTCTGCACAATGTTGCGCTCATGTCAGTTCTGCTGTACAACTTCAAGGGCTGAGCATTAAGCATTAGGGACAAAAGGGGGCCTGGTGTTGGAATACATTTTGTGCTTTCAGGCATTTGGATGGAATGCTGGCTTGCCTCAGGCTCTCCAGATGTGTCAGGAGGGTTATGGTAGAAGGAGCTTCAGGAGATGGTTTCTCTGATGATATGCAAGGTGCTGCAGCTCATGAGATGCCTGTTCTTGCAGTACTGAGCTTTCAGATTATTCAATGTTTCCCCAATTTGGACTATATTCCAATAGCTATTTAACTCAGTGGAACTCCTCCATCAGAAATGAACTTTGTCTCAATGTTGGAGAGAGCTTGCTTGGCAATGTGGCACCCCAGCTGTGGAATGCCCTCCCTAGAGAGGTACACCTGATGCCAACTTAGTTTTCTTTTAAGTGCCGGGCAGAATATTTTCTATTTATCCAGATGTTTAAAAGCATTTTCACTATTGTGACTATTTTAAAGTGTCTCATCAGGTGGTGGCTTTGTATCTTTATTTTTGGTTTGCTTGTTTATTGCTTTTAAGCTGTTTGAAATATCGGATAAAATGTTCCATGTTAATATTTTAAACGGATAATTTGGGCTTGAAATTATGTAAAAAGAAATATTTACCTAGTTAATGCCATATTGAAATAATGTGACATTTCTGAGACCCTAGGACTGAAACTATATGCATGCATTGTACACCCCAAACTCAGTTAAGGAGTTGGTTCATATGTAGCGCTGCACCATGGTTTGGTCCTGTACTCATGTGTCCCACTGTCTGGTTTTCAGCAAACTCGTTTGCATGTAACAGTAAGCTAAACGATGGCTTATTGGGACTGTGCAAAGGTGTTCGCTCCCTGAGTGGAGCTTGGACCCTTTTATAGTCCCGTGCAGCATTGGCAGCAAAGCCAAGGTATGCCTTAGCACGTTGTTTGAACACAGGATCATAATTAAGCTTTCTCTTCCTTAAACACCTTCTGCAGCAAAGAAAAAACCTCAGCTATAAATCATGGTTAGGGAAGAGAGAGCTTAACTATGGTGCTGGGTCCAGACAACATGCTAAACCCTACCTTGGCTTAGTTGCCACTGCCATGCTGGGCTGAGCTAAAAGGACCAGGGAGGAGCAAAGTGACTGGGATCTCCTCTTTGGGAGCCTTGTGTTTGTGCTAAGCCACGGTCTGCCTTAGTGTTACATGTGAACGTGGCCATTATTTTCAAACAGAGTTTGTGCAAGCCTTGGAAACTAGGCTTTGAAGTGGATCTTCGAACCAAAAGTGGTGCTGAGTATGGCTTGGTGAGATTCTACTAATAGGCTTCTACATGGAAAGGGTGTTGCAGTATCTGCTTCTAACATACTTTCCCATTAGCGATGTACAGTACTGACATAAACATCAGATTAGTTTTTCCTAAATTTGTGTGTGCTGCTTCATTCTTGATTGCTCTTTGTTTTGTTATGATGTGGAAGGTACATTAGTTCATTCCACGTTTAACTCACCCTTCCTTCTAGACACTAAGGTAGGCACCCCCAAACTTGGCCCTCCAGATGTTTTGGGACTACAATTCCCATCATCCCTGACCACTGTTCCTGTGAGCTAGGGATGGTGAGAGTTGTAGTTCCAAAACATCTGGAGGGCTGAGTTTGGGGATGCCTGCACTAAGGTGTTGACAGGTCCTCACTCTCAGTCTCTCTCAAGGCTAACATAAAATATTTGATTTGATTTGAATACTATCTTGAAGCAGTTCTACTGTGGAAAAAAGTTCATAAACCTCATGCATATAGAAACTAGATTTAAAAAGAGAGGAAAAGGTTTGACAGATTGTTATTTGCTTAAAGACTTTGCTTCCCAGTCATACTTGAGTAGAGATAGTTGAGAGGGCAATGTTACATTTCCCCCCTTGTTCCTGCATGCACCTAATTTACTGGTATTTTGCTTCTTGCGTACAAGGTACTTTTGCGTTATGCTAAAGTTAAGTCATATGGTGCCTTATACAACAATTTAAAACATGTTTGGCTGCTCAGCAAAGTATCAGAATACAGAAGGGCTTCGCTTTTCTTTAGCAACTGCCTCTCAGTTATTTGAACGGGGAAGCTGTAACATGTAGGCATAGTTGCACACAGCAGAACTTGTCTTGAGCAGGGTTGCTGAGCAGCTGCATCAAGAAACAAATCAACTGGGTGTGAATGTTCTGTCTCTTACATCAACCTCCTCTGTTCACCTTGCAGATTTTGAGCCCCTGTTTGACTTGGAAAATGATCTTCCGGATGAGCTGATCCCTAATGGAGAGTTGAGTCTCTTAAGCAGCAGTGGGAACCTTATTCAAGATGCAGCTTCCAAACACAAGCAACTTTCTGAACTTCTGAGGGGAGGCAGCGGCTCTTCTCTTAACCCGGGAATTGGGGCCGTGAACTCCAGCAGTGCCGCCACGCCAGGAGTGAATAACCAAGTCCAGGGGCAGCCGAGCGGCGTCACCATTAGCAGCCTGGGCGTCCTGGGCAAGAACCCCTTAAGCCAGGCGGACGCTGCTGCCTCGAGTCTGGCCAAGCAGGCCGCCAGCACTTCTGGGCCTAGCACCCCAGCTGCTCCGGCCTTGAACTCCCAAGCCCAGAAACAAGTGGGGATGGTGGCCAGCAGCCCAGCAGCCTCCCAGGCAGGAGCTGCGATGTGCATGAACACTGGCTTCAGCCAGGCTCACCCGGGTCTTCACAACAGTAACTCTGGCGGCCACACGTTAATGAGCCAGGCCCAGCAAGGGCAAGGGCAGGTAATGAATGGATCCCTTGGAGCAGCTGGAAGAGGACGAGGTGCCGGGATGCAGTATTCTACCCCCGCCATGCAGGGAAATGCAAGCAGCGTGCTGGCAGAGACCTTGACACAGGTGTCTCCTCAAATGACAGGTCATACGGGCCTGAACACAGCCCAGGCAGGAGCCATGGCAAAAGTACGTGGCACTTACTTCAGTTGTTTTTGTTATAGTGTCTCTTGAACTGATCTTATGGATGCTAAAGTTGAAGATGTTTGCTTCTGGCTTGGGTCTAACTGGTCTCCGTGTGCAGCTATCAGAATTCTTGTAGGAGTAAATACGACAGAATTCTTATAAGCAGTCAAGGAATTAGCTGGGCCAGTTAAAGTATTGATTCTTCGTGTTTAGTGAGGAGGATAATGTTAAATCTTGCAAGTGTGCCTCTATAACCTTACTTTTAAATATGTGCCCTTGTGTTACTGTTTCTCAAACACCGTTTTTCACAAGCAACAGTTGTTGACAGCTGCCAGATAAGTCAGGTGCCACTTTTGTGGTACAGTCAAACCTCAGTTGTCAAACATAATCCATTCCGAAGCTACGTCAGACGTTCGACTTCCAAAAGTATTGGAATATTTTTTGGAAGTCAAACGTCCGACGTAGCTTCTACTTGAGTGCAGGATGCTCCTGCAGCCAATCGAAACCGTGCTTCGCTTGTCGAACATTTCGGAAGCCAAATAGGCTCTCGGAATGGATTAGGTTTGACACTTCCGGGTTTTCGGCGTTCGGGAGCCGAAACGTACAGTAATGGAGGTGTTTGGGAGCTGAGGATTGGCTGTACCTGGTAAACTTCATTTTTCTTGGAACTGCACACTTAGGGTTGTATCCAGCTAAGCTCTACTCAGAATAGACCTTTAAAAATTCATGGATTTAAGTTAATCATGTCCATTGTTTTAATGGGTCTTTCTTCTCTGAGTAGTACTAGCCTTGGATACAGCTCTTAATACTTTCAGGTATTACAGTGTTGTAAATATTCAGTGTTAAGGAGCCCTTTATTCTATTGCTGTTCAGGAAAGGAATTTTTTTTTGGACTTGAGCATCTCTACTAAATGCTGCCACCAGTTGCAGGGAAGAAGACAATTGAACAGAAAGCAAACTTGTATACCTGGGTGGAATAAAGGGGATTTTGTCAGGTACTCTAGACAAGCAAGAGCACCCCACTCCCAGAAATGTTCTGAGGGTCATATCATCACCTCAGCTTACTTTAAATTAACATTCAATGTTAAGGTCTCCTAATGTGCGATTGGGAAGAGTCTGTGCGTATTCGTTGTCATCATCTGGCTGTAGAGCAGGGATGGGGGAATCTTGTTCAACTTGAGGGCTGCAGTCCCCTGTAGAAGATCTGCTGTGGGGGTACATGCCAGTGGTAGATGAGGCCAGAGGCAAAAAAGTTGGCAGAGCAATGGCTATGCAATCTTTTCACAGTAGAGTGTATTTCACCCTCACAAAGGGTTTTATACGCACAAAGTAAAAGCACTTGAGGTAGATGTGGCTCAGCGCAGGAGAAGGATGGCCTGGGGAGATCCCAAGGGCCAGGCAGAGAAGCATGAAGGTCCCTGCTTCTGCTATGGATCACAGATATTTTACTGTGTTGGATACCTTGTCTTCAGAGAAATTGAAAGATAGTTACATGTACATCTGCAACACTGATTTGTACTTAAAACCCAGAAGCCAAAATTAATCTCTTCTCCGCCTCAAAACTTCTGAGGGTCAAGTACTGAAAATGTAATAGGTATGAGTTTCTGTATTCTAATTCCAGGTGATCACAGCTCAGAGGCATTAGAATTGGAGGGTCTGCGGTGAATCACTGAAGTCTCACCTACCTTGAGGAGTTGCATGCTCTTCCATCTGTCCATGGCAAAGCAGACTTCACTGCCTTTTGCTTTTCATGCAAAATGTGAAGTTTTGACTTCAGGAGATAAAATTAGTGGGGCAAAAGTGTGTGTGTGTGTGTGTGTGTGTGTGTATAGATGAGACCTTTTCTCCCTTTGGACCTGGAAGCTTGTAATAGCTATTGCCCAGTTGTGAAAACCTTGTTTTTGGATGAGGAGCTGTAGAAGGTGGTGGAGATTCACTCCAAGTGCCATTGGACGTAGTGGATTATCTGGGTCCATTTTCATCCAGGTTCAGTGCTAGGTTTGATCCTGAGACAGTCTTGCCATGATGAATGACCATTGTTGGGGGAGAAATGGGAGAAGTGTGACCCTGTTTATTCTCTCAGTGGCTTTGACCATGTTATCCTGCTGTGTTGTCTCTGAGATGGAAGTCGTTGACATTTTTTTCCCCACTGGTTCGCTGCTTTTAACAAATATGTATTCTGGGGGTGCTTTTGCATCCAACATTGTTACTTACAGATTCAGGTGGCCTTTTTCCATTTTGAGGTGGTTCAATGGCCAGGACTGTCCTAGGCAAGGATAGTCTGGGGTCACAGTGATCTGTGCTCTAGTATCCTGACTGCATTGCTGTGATGTACTGCAGGGGTCAGCAAACTATGGCCCTCAGGCCAGATCAGGGCCTACCTGGGTCCGGCCCGCACTGCAAAGCTGGAACCCGCCGCAAAGCCGAGGCTCCCGGCGATGGTGACAGGAGGAAGAGGCCGAGTGGCGGTGGCTCTGCCAATCAAACGCTGTGCCTGGTTTACCTCAGTAAACCAGACACGGCATTTGATTGGCAGAGCTGCTGCTGCTCGGCCTCTTCCTCCCACTGCCACCGATGCCCTGGTGCTCCTGTGGGCCAGAGAGCGGAACAGACGAGCTTGCTCTGCCTACCCACGAGAAGGTAAGCGCAGGGGGTGGGGAGGAGGACTACTTGCCCCCCTCGCCTCTTCTTCCAGCTCGCTCACACACACCCCGTTCTGCTTCTCCGGCCCGCCACAAGGTCTGAGGGACAATGGACCAGCCCGCTGCTAAGAAAAATTTGCCCACCCCTGATGTATTGTATGTGGGGCTGCCCTTGAAGATTGTCAGAAAACATGAATTACCTGTCAGAATTTTAACTGGTAGACTCAACCCAATTCTAAAAGAATTATGTTGACTGTCTACAGTGGTGCCTCGCAAGACGAATGCCTCGCAAGACAAAAAACTCGCTAGACGAAAGGGTTTTTTGTTTTTTGAGCTGCTTCGCAAGACGATTTTCCCTATGGGCTTGCTTTGCAAGACGGAAACGTCTTGCAAGTTTGTTTCCTTTTCCTTAACACCGTTAATACAGTTGCGACTTGACTTCAAGGAGCAACTCATAGAACGCAGTGTGGTAGCCTTTTTTGAGGTTTTTAAAGACTTTGGTGATTTTTGAAGCTTTTCCAAAACTTTCCCGACACCATGCTTCGCAAGACGAAAAAAATCGCAAGACGACAAAACTCGCGGAACAAATTAATTTCGTCTTGCAAGGCACCACTGTATTTGCTTTCAAGCCCAATCAGAAACACTGTTGCTTACCTTTAAGAATCCTACATGTCTTGGGATCCAAATACTTTAAGAATTGCCTTTTCCATATGCCAGTCTGCCAGGTTCTTGGGATCATCAAAAGAGGCTCCTCTCTGTATTCCACTGTTTGCAGAAGCTTGCTATGTGGTGATTTGGGATAAACCCTTCTCCTTGTTGGTGCCTTGTCTGGAATGACTGGACCAAACTTTGTTATAACTAAAGTGGCATGTTAAGACTGACACATTTTCCCAAGCATTTTAAGTTCGTGAACTTAAAATGTTTTTAAGTTACATTTATTTGTTTTAATGGTTGCATTTTGTGTGTGTGTGTGTGTGTGTGTGTGTGTGTTGTATGTTACATTATTTGCTTTTTTATGTTCTGGTGTCTGTGTAGATGAAGAGTTGGTTATACAGTAAATCGTTTAAATTTAAAGAAGTAGCATTGGTCAGCAGCTAGTTTTGCTGGCAGGCCACTGAAATTGCATGTGATAAAGGACAATAGACTTCCATAGGTATTGGAGAGAACTCCCGTGGACTCCAGACTGTGTACTTGAGTCTCACGGACATTATCTATGTGGCAGAAAGCCAAGATATCAGTTGTCCTTTTTACTTGGGTTAAGGTTTTGCAGCTGTTGCCCCACCCAGAAAGGATTTTAGGTAATTTAGCTTGGTGTTCTTGTGAATGGAAGTCATATTGGCTCCAAATCCCTACCCGCAGTTAATGCAGGCTTCCTCAACCTTGGCCCTTGAGATGTTCTGAGACTACAATTCTCACCATCCCTGACCACTGGTCCTGCTAGCTAAGGATCATAGGAGTTGTAGGCCAAAAAACATCTGGGGGGGCAAGGTTGAGGAAACATGAGTTAATGTCTCCATGAAATCTTTCAATCACTAGTTTGTGGAGCTTGCCCCTTGGTTGCTGTATGTTTCCCTTGTTGCTGAAGAGGTACATCTAGCTTCTTCAGGGCCATAGAATTTTAAGTTGGAAGGGATCCTGATGGTTCTCTAGTCCACCTCCTGCAATGCAGGAATCTCAGCTAGGTCATAAATGACAAATGACCACCCACCCTCTTCTCAAAAACCTCCAAGAAAGGAGTCCACAACCTTCCAAGGGAGACTGTTCCACTGTCGAACAGCTCTTACCATTAGAAAGGTCTTCCTGATGTTGATTTGGAATCTCCTTTCTTGCCACTTGAAGCCATTTTATGACATTTTATTATGTTTTATATTTTGCTGGAAGCTGCCCAGGAAACCCAGCCACATGGGCGGGGTATAAGCAATAAAATTATCATTATCATTATTGGTTCGAGTCCTACCCTCCAGAGCAGGAGGAAACAAGCTTGCTCCATCTTCCAAGTGACAGCATTTAGATATTTGAAGAAGACCCTCACATCTCCTCTCAGCCTCCTCTTTTCCAGGCTAAACATACCCAGCTCCTTCAACCTTTCCAGGCGCTTTATCATCTTGGTCACTCTCCTCTGCACACATTTCAGCTTGTCAATATCCTCCTTAAATTATGGTGCGCAGAACTGGACACAGTACTCCTCCAGGTGTGGTTTGACCAAGGCACAATGGAGTGGTACTATTGCTTTCCTTGATCGGGACACTAGACTTCTGTTGATGCAGCCTAGAATAGCATGAGCTTTTTTGCTGCTGCATCACACTGTTGACTCATGTTCAGCTTGTGGTCTGCCTAGATCTTTTTCACATGTGCTACTGGCAAGCCAGGTGTCCCCCATCTTCTATTTGTGCAGCTGGTTATTCCTGTCTGTGTAGAATCTTACATTTGTCTCTGCTGAAATTAATTTTCTTAGGTTGGGCCCTGTTCTCCAATCTGTTACGGTCATATTGAATCCCAATTCTGTTTTCTGCTGCATGAGCTACCTTTCCGAGTTTGGTGTCATTTGCAAATTGGATGAGCATCCCCTCAGTATCTTCACCCAGGTTTATAAAGACATTGAACAACAACAGGCCCAGGCCAGAGCCCTGCAGCCATGCAGTCCCCCACTTGTCCCTTTTCTCCATGATGACAAGGAAGCGTTAGTGAACCCAACTCTTTGGGTTGGGTCAGTCAACCAATTATAAATCCACCTAACAGTTATCGCATCCAGGCCACATTTTACCATCTTGTCCGTAAGTATATCATGGGGGAATTTATCATAGGCCTTATTGAAATCAAGATACACTGCATCCACAGCATTCCTTTGATCCACCAAGCTTGTAACTCTATAAAAAATGAATTGAGCCGTAGTAACCACAGCTGCAAGGTCAACTGCACTGGTTTTCCAACCTACGTTGTGGTCTTTATAGTCCTGCACTGTTTCTACCTCTTTCTTTGATTCACCTAGAATCCTAGTTATCCTACAACTTTGTTTTGGTCAAACTCATTTAGAAGCTCTTCCTTCACTTTAGGCTGACTTAAGTTTCCGCAAGCAGGTTTAACGTTGATACCTGTTTTCTATTATCCACATTCTGTATTTTTGCAGCAGTTTTGTTGTCAGTGTTCTAGTTACAGCCATCTTGTACCTTTAACTTTCCAAAACTTCAGCCTTCCCCCTTTTCGTTTCTGACCCTACTTTGCAGTCTGTCTTTTTCTATTATTTTCACTTTCTGTATTTCAATGCCAGTAATATGCAATAGCCATGGTTTTCTTGACATGGATGGTGCTTCTTGGAAGCATAATACAGATTTCTTTTATTAACCGACAAACTTTGCTTACAAAAAAACTGGACTCTCCTCCCCCCCTTTTCATTACATTCAGTGGGAATTATATTAAAGGATTTTAGATCTTTCCCAAACCGTTACCCACTTACTTTCAGCACAAGGTCTTGTTACAGGCTGATCTGGTGTTCAATGGCACCACCACTAAACTAGAGGACTCAGCAGATAAGCTACCAGGAACTTCCAGAGAAGTGCGGGTTGAAACTGGGGATGCGGACCAAACATCTAGGCCTCTGCCTGAGATGGTTGTCAACCGCTCTGCTCAGACTGTACCTTCCGCTGTCCACCACCACTGAAATTGGGGTCATATCATTGTAAGCCCCTATGACACACACACCTGGGCAAATCATAACACCATCACCCAGCACCGCTAAGCGCAGCACAGAGACGAGGGCCACAGATGATAAGCTAGCAACTAGCAGTAAGCACACCTTACACTGCCATTTGGAAGACTGAAATGCCTTCTCCACACTTCTCCCCTTACCTCCTGCTCCTCAGGAGGAACCCATCAAATGAAATCCTAACTGTCCTGTAAATCCCCCAAATGGCAATATCCTTTGGTGTTAGCCTCTTTGGGGATGACCTGACCACAGTCCAGCCCACTGCTGGTAAGAGAGTTCTTACTGCTCTTGCTTTGTTCACTCAGCCAGCAGTCAAATCTGCAGCACTTTGCAGTCGGCCAGAAGACCCCTCTAACCTGCAGGCAAATACTACGTGGGACAAGGCAGCCAAGCAACTGATGCCGACAAATACACTCACTCTCTCCCCGCCCTCCTCTTTCTCTGGCCGGGAGAGCAGGCAGGGGCCAGGATAGTGCCAACCAGCCCCTGCTCCTTCATCTTCCTGTGGGTCTGCTTCCAAGGAGGAGGGAAGGCAAAGTCTCTTCTTATAGCCAAGGCCAGGTTCTGGACCATGCCCACACTCCAGCTAGGTTCATTCAGCCAGTGATCAAACAGTGCCACAGATAGCATCCTTGCAATTATAAAAACAAGGAAAGCCATTCTAAATGGAGCAGAATGGTACAAATTCAGCAAAGCAACTCTTGAGGGCCAGGTCAAAGAGGTGCGTCTTCAGCATGCTATGGAAGCTGTACAGTGAAGGTGTTAGGAGCACCTCTGGGGGGAGGGAGTTCCACAGTTTAGAGGCTGCCACAAGGAAAGACCTCCCCCCGGAGTGCCATTCCCCACACTTTTGAGGGTGGTGGAACTACCAAGAGACACAAACTGACCCACTCACACAGAAAGAGATCTAAACACCCATGAAGGTCGGTAGGGATGGAGGTGGTCAGATATTTGGGGCACAAGTCATGTATTTTGTGTTTTTATCTTTTATCTTTATGTTATGAACCGCCCTGAAATTTTCAGATAAAGCATGCTATACAAATTGAATAAATAAACAATAGAATAGATAAAATTTAGGGCTTTAAGCACTTGAATTAGACAGTATAGGGTGTAGGGGACCACTACAACTCCCATCACTGGCATTGGCTCATGTGTGCTAGGGCTGATGGGAGTTGTAATTTGAAATTGTGGCTTTCCTCAGGGTGTTGAGGGTGGGGTTAGATGGAGGTACCTCTCTGCTCGTAATGCATAATTGACTTTGAGAACTCTTTGCAACAAGTAGCTTAGATGGACTATAAGAAAATGATTGGACACAATTGGTGAGTGCTTCAGATGCAGCGCTCCTCTGGTCAGTGCCAGGAACAAACAGCAGGCCTGGGAGTTAGCCTTGTGCCCTCCTTGTGAGCTGCTCAGAGGTGTCTGGTCAGCCCCAGAATGGGAAACAAGGCTGGTGTTGATGGCCTTTGATTAGATGAGATGCTGAGGTAGCTTTTGATGTGGCCCAATCCTCAACACTTGCAGGAGGGTGCAGTAAGTCTGATGATGTAAGGGGATTGCAAATAAAATGACAAAAAGGAAGAGAGAACCTCAGAAAGGTATGTCTCTTCCCACCCCATATGGGGGTGCACATTCCATGTTGCAGGCACGTGCTGCAACACACACACACCCCTTTCAGCAGATGGTAGCAGACAGTGCAATGAGGGCAAGGGCAGAGGCCAGCCTGGCTTTGTGGAACTGTGACCAGCATTTAAAGGCATGCCTTAACCTACACTGAAGCAACCGGAAGCATGTTTTTAATAATTGCTATTTAATTCACAGCAAAAGTGCTGGGCTTTACATTGACCGAGTTAGAGGTTTGTCTAAGCTTTGCCCTTTGAATGTTGTCTTAAGGCAACTTGGTTCGAGAATTACACAGGGAAGGGCTGCCACTCACTGGCAGAACATGCTCTTTGCATACAGAAGGTATCACAGGCTCAGTTCCTGGCAGCATTTCCAGTTAAAAAAGCAGGTGATGGGAAAGACCCTGGAGGGCTGCGACTTGCCAGAGTAGACAGCCTTGGTCTTAGGTGTAAGGCAGCTTCTCATGTAAATCGTTGTATTCAGGAGCCTTGCTTGTCCAGACTAGTCACTTGAAGCTCTGTGTGAAGACCAGGAGTCCCGTTCCTCTCCTGTCTCCAGCAGCTGCTTTCCAGAAGCATGCAGCCCCCTAATCCTGAAGGTGTGAGGTGTTGGGAGTGGAAAGTGAATACATAAACTCTAATGCAAGCACACCAGCAGGGCCTGAATACTGAAAAGGGGTAGAAAACTGACCACCTACATTTTCAGATGCACTGACAATTTGTTCCAGGGAACAGGGCTAAAAAAAATTGAGGCTCCAGAGTTGTTCTTTGGCACTGTCACTTTCCACAGTAGGACGCCTGGTAATGCCTAACACTTTGTAGTTCTGCATAGCATTGTGCTCCCTCAGGACACAACTGAATCATGGCGTTCCTTTGCTACCATTTGCTCCACTGGTGTCACAAATGGCAGAGAGCCTCAACTGGAGGAAAAATATGCTGGTGTTAAAAATGTACATCCCATCTGATAATGAAAAAAATTGGTACAAGTTAAAAATACTCCTAAATGTTGTTGTCGTTTTGTCGTTTAGTCGTGTCCGACTCTTCGTAACCCCCCTGGACCAGAGCACGCCAGGCACTTCTGTCTTCCACTGCCTCCCGCAGTGGAAATAGCATCACCTTTAGAGGAAAGAGGCAGCCTCCTGGACCCTGGTTGGCTGGTCGACTCAGGGAGAGCAAAACAGCTGCCATTCTGCCCCTTTGTGCATCATGCTGGCAGCCCTGCACTTACCTCTCCCAGCACTGAGGTTTCGGCAGTAGTCCCCCCCCCTTATAAATTTTGCATAATTACACTTGCAGATGAGTAATTGATTAGTAATTGAGGAACAATGTAACTTTCAAGGTTGTTAGTAGAGCATAAAGATGAAATAAGTCACGATGGTAGAAAAATAAGATGATGAAATAAGTCACGATGATAGAAAAAGTTCATATCACTTAAAATGATGAAACTTACGAAGAGCAGTAGTCACTTGAAGCTCTGCTTGCACACAAAGTGCTTAGAAACTATGGAGGCCACAAAAGTGAGGCTTGAGGGGCAGGAACTGGCCTGCCTACTTGCAGGAGCAGGGGCTTGCCAGTTCAAGCATCAGAACTGCAAACTCTTAAGCATTGCCTGTCATAGTAGACAGAGAAGCTGCCATTTGCTCTTCTGCTTTCCACTTCCAATATGTGATTGGCCATTGTGGCACGCTTCAATCCTTGGGCCATCACAAAGGACGCAGCCCTTACAATTACGTGTTCTAAGCAGGAATAAAAAGGTAACGGGCAAACAACTTCCTCTTTGTGGGTTGTGTGCTTAACACCATGTTGAGTAGTAAATCTCATTTCTTCAAAAGAAATATTTGCAGTTTGTGGCTGGGGTAAAGCAAAACCATACCTGTGGTTAGATCGCTAACTCATAAGATAAAAAGGTAAAGGTACCCCTGCCTGTACGGGCCAGTCTTGACAGACTCTAGGGTTGTGCGCTCATCTCAGTTTAGAGGCCGGAAGCCAGCGCTGTCCGCAGACACTTCCGGGTCACGTGGCCAGCGTGACAAGCTGCATCTGGCGAGCCAGCGCAGCACACGGAACGCCATTTACCTTCCCGCTAGTAAGCGGTCCCTATTTATCTGCTTACACCCGGGGGTGCTTTCGAACTGCTAGGTTGGCAGGCACTGGGACCGAGCAACGGGAGCACACCCCGCCACGGGGATTCGAACCGCCGTCCTTTCGATCGGCAAGTCCTAGGCGCTGTGGCTTTTACCCACAGCACCACCCGGGTCCAACTCATAAGTTAGGGGTAGGTTATTCATTCAGCCAGCTGTACTTTTGTTCCTGAGACTCAGACAAATAGATGGCTTTCCTTACTGTCTATACCCGCATTTGGTTGACTTCAAGGCACTAATGGTAATCATGTTGCTTTCATTCCAGATGGGAATGGCCAGTAACCCAAATCCCTTCGGGCAGCCATTTAGTCAAGCTGGAGGGCAGCAGATGGGAGGAGCGGCAGGAGTCAACTCTCCATTACCAAATAAGCCAGGCATGGCAAATAGCTTGTCTCCTTTTCCTTCAGACATCAAGAGTGTTTCAGTTACCAGTGTGCCAAATATGGTGAGTTTTCTGCAGCTCACAATTTTTCTCCATAGTTCTTGTATGCCTTCCATTGACACAAACTTTCTAAGCTTGTAAAAATTGCCCTGAAAAAGACAACTTCTTATATTCAGTAGAAATTGTGTTGGATCTGTCATATGACATGGGGAAATAGAGGCACCCGGAATAGCCTGGAGTCACAGCAGTCAGTGTGATATTTTGGACCGTTTTACCAGACTGCCTGCTAAGATGCACGTGCGCAGATACTGTTTCTTAGCTGGATATTTGGCATCCTTGTGCAGCATTCATTTCAGCAGTTTTCAGGAACAGCTCTGATGGGTCGTGCTGCGGGAATTTCATCTGTTAGCAACTTTTCTGAAAGTAAGGAAGCTAATGAGGAACATTAATTGTTATGCAACTTTTTTGCTTGAAAAAAATGGACAGTGGGAGACGTATCTGTAAATGAAAGGGGTGTTTTTCAAACGTATAGTGCGTATAATTTCTTCAGTCTCTATATCAAGGAAGGAATATATTTCTGTAGGGTTTTATTTGCTCATGTTTGGCAACTCAAAACACTTTTTGCTTCTGAAAAAATTGAGGTAGGTGGCAGTGCAAGACCATTCAGGATTTGGAAACCTCAGATTTTTAACCATAAATATGAGTTGGAGTAAACTCTTGAAACAGTTTGCTATGATCTCTTCCTCTTCTAGCTGTCCCTTCTCATCTTTCCTCCTGTCTTCCTTGCTTGATGAATTGACTACCCTGCTGTCCTCCTCTAAACTCTCCAGATGTGCCCACCTCACCCTGTCCTGTTTTCTGGGTTGCCATCTGTCCTTCCATTATTCTCCTTCACACAACCAGACCCTTTGCTCCTTTTCCCAGCCCGCCCCCCAGCCCCATTTCAAATGTGTCAATACCTCCTCAAGAAACCATCTCTTGGTCCTCCTTCCTCATTTGGCGCATGCTCCATCTGCCATGACTTTTCCTCCTCCAGCTTCACTCTCAGCCTCTAAATCTGGTATCTGCCCCCACCCTCAGCATTCCCCTGCCTTCACAAAGACCACTGGCCCTCCACACTGCAAAATCTAAAACCTCCTTGATACTTCAAACACCTTTGATACTTGATCACTCTTCCCTACTTGATCCCTTTTACACGTTAGGTTTCCACGATTCTCCTCTTACTTAAGCATTCTTTCAGTTTTTTGGTAGGCATAAGCTCTTCCACTGCTTTTCTCCTCTTTCTATTGGTATCTCTGCACACACTGTCCCTGGGTGACCTTAGTAAACCCCATGGCCTTTACAAAAAAATAATAATTAAAAAATTGTCCAGTAGCACCTTAGAGACCAACTAAGTTTGTTCTTGGTATTAGTTTTCATGTGCATACACACTTTTTCAGGTGTATTTGGGCACAGTTAGAGACCACAAAACAAACTGATAATGCAGCCCTATAAAATTATTAATTAATTAATTAAATTTGTATACCATCCTATACCTGCCGGTCTCAGGGCTGTTCGCAACATTAGTGAGGAAATGGCTGAGTGGGTCACAGCATTAGTTTTATTGAAAGAGAATGGGGTTTAATGACTGCAGGGCTAAATTACATGCTGCCATTAAGAATTTAAGCGACATGGAAAATGAAGAATCAGCTGTGTTCATTTTTAGTTTGATATCTGAATATTTCATCCAGGGATCAATTCTCACATGTACGTATGTGTGTGTTATTGAATGGGAGCGAGTGGGTAAAAGACTTACTGATAGTTTTTAAAAATTTCAATAAATTTATATTTTTGTCAGAAGAAAAACGTGGTGGGGAAGGGACCTTATATTTTTCATTGGTCTTCCGTTATCTAACCTTGGTCTCTTTGTGTCTGTTCAGCACTCTGCTGCCAAAATTATTCCTCACCTCTCTGATCACCTGACACCCCTCCAAAAATCCCATTCCCAGATGCTGCTCCTCACGCTCCTTGTCTTGCCTTTAGAACCTTGCATGGCCTTTCTCCAGCTCTGATCTTTGCTCGCCCTTCTCCCTTGGGGCCACCAGTGCTTGGATTTCCTCACGTGTTGCCACCTCTCGTCATTTAAACGCTTCTTCAAGACACATTTTCACCCCCTAGTTCCCATGCGCTGTGTGTAATCTTAAGCATGTGCAGCTGGAAGAACCACATATTGCTTCCCTCTTTTCTCGTGCCTCCCCTTCCCCTTCCCCTTCCCCTGCCTCTTTTTCTCAAATTTTAGAGGGTTTGCTTCTGAAGACAGAATGGCCTGTCCTCCTGTACTCCCTGAAGCAGAGGTTCTCAACCTTTTTGAGTCAGTGTATCCCTTGACCAACTACATTCTTTTTGCAGCACCCCTGTGGGGCTTACGATAGGGTTGCCATATTTCAAAAAGTGGAAATCTGGACACAAAAGTTGTTGAGCGCTTTTTTGGCAAAGTTGTTGAGCTTTTTTCTCCTTTTTTAATTTTTGAGCTGCTATTTTAAAGGAATTTCGCCAAAATCTACACTTCCAACATGGGTTACCATACGTCCAGATTTTCCCCAGACATTTCAGCGATTTCCACCCTGACACTGTTTCTGATGGCTGTTTCCCGGCTATGTCTGGGAAATTCCAGGTGAATGGCAACCCTAGCTTGGGAGCCCAGTTATGTCACCCCAGAGCTGGCAGCCTCTTCTCCTCTCCCCTCTCCTTGGGAGTCCTCCAGTCATCTGCTGCTGCTGCCCCTGGTCTCTGAGCTGCCCCCCAAAAGAGAGGGGCCTGAAAAGAGGATGCCCCCAGCCTTACTGGTCCAGAGGAGAACATGAGGCCCTCACCTTATCTGGGGGGGCAGCAGTGGGCGTCACCAGGCCTACATGGCAGAAAGGCTCCCCTTCAGCCTTGGGCACTCAGCTCCCAGGCAGACAGGCCTTGCACACAGCAAACACAAGAAAGGCCAGCGCACTGCCTGCTTGCCTGCCTGACCTCCCACTAGTCTGTCCATTCCCAGCCCCAGGGGCTGGTGGACTGGCTGGGCTCCCTGGCCTTGCTTGCTTGCTCAGCTCCTGGCGACCAGCACCCCCTAGCCAGCCCCAGAGGCAGCACTCGCCTGCAGAGCTTGTCGCAGGGGCTGCTGCAATAAACAACTGTGCAAGCCTCTGGGAAGCAGAGATGCAAGAGGGCATCAGAGGAAGGAGGGAAGGAAAGAGGGACAGAGGCCAGGGTGGCCCATGGCACCCTTGACCATCTTTCAAGGCACCCCAGGGTGCCACGACACACTAATTGAAAACCACTGCTCTAAAGCATTAGGCACACTGATGGTGCTATATATGAACATAAATGATATTTGATGTTAAATCCAGTGCTGCCATCCATGTCACAGAACAGCTTTTGATTCAGCAGAAGGGCCTACTCTCATAAGAGGAGGCAGTGTTCTTCACTTCCCCCTTCCTGATCCAGCCCCGTACGCTTTCTCCTGCTGTTCTGCAGTGGCTCCCCATTTGTGGAATGCTCCCCCCAGGGAGGTTCTCCTGGCGCCTTCATCGTACACCTTCAGGCGCCAGGTGGAAAGGTTCCTCTTTAACCAGGCCTTGGGCTGATTGATGCCCAGTGCCCTTCTAAAATGTGTTGGGAAGGGCACAGCTTACTGGGTTGTGTTTGTTTTTATTATGTATCTTGTGCTTTTATATTGTGTTTTTACATTGTAACCACCCTGAGACCTGCAGGCAAAGGGCACTATACTAATTTAATAAATAATTTAGCAAGTAATAATAAAATAAAGGCCAAGGCCTGAGGCTTTCTGAGGCCTTATAAATGGTCCAAATTCTGGCTGCTTGCAGGAGCCACCAATCCTTAAAGCTTTCGAAGATACTGGTGAGCATTTTCCAAACCAAGGAGGAACCAGGTGCTGCTTTTGTAGAGTGAAGGAGAAATGTTGGGGTTCCCTGCCTTGCTGTTCTTCCACTTGCTGAGAAGGCAGGAGCTGGAGGCCTCTAGCAGAGAAGAGCAAGCTGTCTCTCTGCACACTAGAGCCCCAGCATTGGTGGGGCTGCTGGGCTTGGCAGCTTCCCCATTGGGTCATCCCCACCTTGGTCACGGGTTTTGGATGTGTCTTCAGAAGTGAAGCGGATGGGCTCCCTTCAGAAACTGCCTTGTGCAAAAGAAGGCGATGTTGGGCCAGTCAGTACCTGCTGACCTGAGAGTGTTCTGTTCTCTATACCTGCAGAACATACTTAGCAAAGTCTGAGGAACAGTGCCTGCTTCTGTTAGGACACTTCTATGCCAGCTATTGTTGGCCCAGGAAAAGCACTGCAGTTTTTGTTTTATATCTCTAATTCTTTGGGATGGCAGCAACTTTCTCTTTGCTGAATAAACATGAATGGTTTCCTGTTTCCCAAACTAAAAATGAAAGCTTTTTAAAATACCGGTTTTAAACTGACAAGTGTGATCTGGAGAAGTGTGAATTGACCTCCAAGTATGTCTGAGGTGGTCCGCATTGAACTGCTTGGAGTGCTAGTTATGATTTGGTGATAATTTAGCAAGAGAACATACTGCCTGCTGAAATATTATTAAAAAGGAAAGCAACAAATGTGGAAGTAGACAACAACAGGTGCTTTCAGATGGAGGCAAAGTAGCTTAAACTGTCAGTCATTCTCATCTAATCTCATGTGGATGGCAACTGCATTGAAAGGAGCGAGACTTGCATGCAACATGTTTAGAATCATGCATACATCTGGTTCACAGCACACCTCAGGAGTTCCCATTGAATTTATTGGCACTTCTGAGTATTTATGTCCAGGGTAGAGTGCATAGCTATAAGTTCTCCCACAAAGTAAATGCTAAAAATTGCATGGTGGAATCTTAGTGGCTGTTAGTTGTGGCAAATTAGTTTGAGATGGTGATCAAATGGATGCTCTTTAATAAGATTGCATTGCAAGTTGTTCTGTCCTAAGTGAAGCTTCGTAAGGTGATACAAAAATGTTTTGTCTTTCTTTTTAGTCTCAAATGCAAACCCAGGTACAGCAGGTGGGAATTGTACCAACGCAGGCAATGGCAGCCGGGCCAACAGCTGACCCTGAGAAACGCAAACTTATTCAGCAACAGTTGGTTCTGCTACTTCATGCTCACAAGTGTCAGAGACGAGAGCAAGCCAACGGAGAGGTGCGGCCATGTGCCCTTCCCCACTGCCGAACCATGAAAAATGTCCTCAATCATATGACACATTGTCAAGCTGGAAAGGCCTGTCAAGGTAAGAGCAAGGGTTTAAAACCATGTCAGGAGGTCTGTGGTATATGGTTCTCCAGTTGTTTGTCTTCTGCACGATTGTGTCCCTCTCTCTGGTCAGTGAAACTGGGCCTCCTTAAGTTTGAGCGTCATGGCCGAGTTGACTTTATTGCCACAGGAGGCATTTTCCAATTCCAGATCAGCCCATATATGGAGTAGGTAGCTCTCCAGGGCTTCTGGCATTGGGGGTTAATTCCCTCCCTTGTGGTTTAGTCCTATACTGTTTTTGAAATTCTCACCATGCCTCGGTTCACTTGGAAGCAGGTGGGATAATAAGTATTGATTTGCAGATTGCCTCTAGAAGCACACCTGTTGGCCTCATCAGAAGGTCCAGGCTACTGCTGCTTTTCTCTGCAGTCCTCAAGGTCTTGCAACAAACCTGCAGCAGGAGACAGACAGGACACTCAGATCCTTTCAGAAGTACTTTGGCAGGCTGAGCAAGTTGGGGTCACAAGTCCCACCCTGACCATGTAGGCATCTAGCTTGACCCCCTGCTAACGTTGGAGATCCAGAGCTAGAGTACTCCCCTCCCTACACACGACAAAGAGATGACTGCCCACCCTCTGCTGGAGGCCCCCTTCCCAGAAAACTGCTTCCATTGCCAAGCTGTTCTTACTCTTCTAAAGTTAAGCTGAAATCTACCCCATTGATCTTCATGCTGTTAAACCTCTGTGTTCCCTCTTTTCTCTCTTCTCTGGGACAACTCTTCATGGGTTGGAAGAGGGCTGCTATGCCTCCTCTCCGTCTTCAACCTTTCCTCATAAGACTTGTTTCTCATACTACCAACCAACTTCATTCCCCTTTTGAACCTATCCCAGTTTGCCTGCGTTCTTGGAAGTGTGGCACACACAGCTGGACTCACGACTCCAGATGCAGTCTTACTAATGCAGAATAAAGTGGGCCTGTTAATTCTCACCACTTAAAAACACTGGTTGGCATCTGTTTGTCTCGGGAGACAGTGGAAGAGTGTGCCTTCGGGGGGAAGTCAAACCATTGGAGAGTTACAGCGCCTGCTGTGGCTGTAGAGGACGAAATGGGGGGAATGTTTTGTTGTAGCTGGGGCAAATGAAGGCGTCTGCTTGTGCTGGTACAGGTGTACCATGATGTTTCTTCTTAGAAACAGTGGTTCTGCTGAAGCAGCCTAAACTTGTATTAGCCTATTTTTGTAGCTGCAGTAGACTACTCATACTGGGAGTAGATTGCAGTCTCTTAGAAGTTGGACATACCTGATCTAAGTCATTGATAAAAATGTAACAAGGCTGCTCCCAGGACAGCCTCCAGCACCTCCTTGAAACTCCCCCCCCCCCCGGCTTGATGCAGAGCGTTGATGGGCGTGCATCCCTCTGGGGCACTCTTTTTACCAGCTGTGAACCCACCTGGTGGTTTTTATCATCTACGCTGCCTTTAATTAACCCAAATGTCATGGAGATTTTTGTCTAATGCTTTGCTGAAACCAAGGTGAATTTCACTGAGAGCGTTCTCACAATCCTCCAAAGGATACGAGAGCAAAAGGGAGAGAAGGCTGCTTTTCTGTTCCCGGAATGTGACTCTTCACTTCAAAAAGTTTGCCTGCCAATAAGATGGTCGTCGGGTGTGAGGCCAGGGTCCCCGTTCGTGTGATGGGCAGGGCAGGCATTTCCCCCGCAGCTGACTAGGAATGAAAGGTTTGTAAGGCCCTCCTACAGTGGGCTGCTGCCCCAGCAGACCAAACCTACCACTGTCCTCCCTCATAGGTTCATGGCAGCCAGAATTAGACCTCCCTCTGAATTCTGCTTTTGCACAGGCTTTAAACCCGTTGTAATTCCTGTTTCACTGTTTGTTTGCAAGAGCCAAAGCCGCAGGGAAGAAGTGTGGCACACAGCAGATGTTTGGAGAGCAGCTAAGATATTTGGCTCCAGGATGGGTTCTCTTAGACCAGGCATTGCTGGTGGTGGTGGGAGTGGTCTTGAAAGGCTTGGAGAATGTCTGTATTAAACTGTTTCCCAAACCTTTGGGGCTTCTCCCTATCCCAGTCCAGCTTGCAGTCCACTGTAGTGGGGGGACGACAACGGAGGAGCCACTTCCTGGGCACTGCAACCCAAGGCCAACTGTGCCGGCCGTGACATGGAGGGCTTTGACTTGTCCTGCTATTGTTGCTATTGTTCGTTTGTTTAAATTTGTATACCACCCTTCATCCAAAGATCCCAGGGCAGTTCGTAACAAAACAAAACAAAAATAATTAGAATACATAATAAAACAAAAACTGCAGTCCGCCCAGGCCCTGCCCTCCTAGTCCAGGTGGAAGTATTGCCTGAGCAGAGTGGGGGGTCTGGACTTGAAGACATTGCCTGCTCTCAGTTTCCCTGCTCTGGATCTGTTTGCCCAGGAGAAACAGACTTGGGCCTCCAGTGGAGGAAGGAGAACTCCCTCTACAGTGTCCGTAGCATTTTCCTTCACAATGTCCACCTTGGTTTCATCACATTGCATTTATTCAAGGATTAATGGCTAAAGTGGGGTGTGTTGTTGCTTTGGAAGAACTGAGAGGGGCTGAGGTTGCAGGATGGGGCCTGGTCTTTTGAGACACAATCTCTACTCCCTTTTGGGGGCGCAATTGCAAAAGCCCTATGAGTGGATTTAAGCTCAATTGGCATTCTCTTGCTAAGAATTCTGAGGTTTACTTTTTGTATTTCTGGTGGCGAAGCATCAGTGCTGAGTCCATATCTTTGGGATATCAGCTGTGCAGTGTGTACGAATTGCATTTCTTGTCCTTTCCGTCCATTATAATTGAGTGGCATGTTGAGGGTTATGTTATTATGGTCATGGAAGGTGGATTTAATGTTTAATAATCTTATTTAAGTTTGCCATTTATGCATATTTAGATATATCCTTTTACCTGCCAAGAACCTCTAAACAGCTTTAAATAGATGAAGCATCTTTCAAATATTTCATTTTTATAAGTTACTGTTACTTACCTTTGGTAGGAGACCATTTAGTCGTGACAGCCTTTTTAAAACGATAAAATAGAATAAGGAAATTATTTGTGTCCCCTTATCTTCATTAGTCTAGTAGGTGACACTGTCAGTGTTCCGTTTCTACACCAATGTAGAATGTTCTCCTGCTGCGTTGTCTGCTTTGCTTTTTCCAGTAATGCTCCTTGTTCATAGATGTGAACTTTCAAATGCTCCTGCAGCATTTACTGGAGAAAACAGGTGACCTCAGAGTGGAACTGAGATCCTTCAAACTATAAAGATGTTGCATATGGTTTCTCTTCTTGTCCTAGTTGCCCACTGTGCATCGTCACGTCAGATCATATCCCACTGGAAGAATTGCACGCGGCACGATTGTCCTGTGTGTCTCCCATTGAAAAATGCCAGTGACAAGAGAAACCAGCAACGTACGTATTCACCAGTGTTCAGAAAAGTCTGGTTTGGAATACATACTTAGGAGATTCTGCCCTGAAGAAGTCCAGTGTAAATGTAATGCCAGCCTAATTCCCCTTCTGATTATTTTTGTGATTTGCTAGTTCGCAAACCTGCGCTAGCAAGTTGAGATAATCATGCATAAAACTGTAAGGGTGTCTCTCATGCCGTCTCTACATGAGAAGGTGTGATGGGATCTCTCCCCCTGCCTTCAACACCCCCAGCACCCCTTTACAATCTGCTGTGAAGGGTTGAGGGACCCCACCCCCCAGAGATGGTTTTGGCATGCTTGTAAGACTGCAGAACTGAGGAGAAAGGTGGGATCTCATTGCACAAGTCCACTTCCACTATGTTGGATTCCACTCACAGCATCTAGAAGAATCCCTAGAAAGATCTCTCTTTGTTGCCAGGTGTCTTGGATGACAATTATAGCAATCGAAACACAAACTGAGCAAGGGTCAGTTAATGCGCCTGCTCCTCAGTCGTGTGTGGCAGTGGGGTGTGGTTCTTATCATTGGCCCAGGTCTCTCCAGTCTGTAAAAGGGCAGAGTTATTTCAAGACCCTTGCCATCTCATCCTCACCTACACCCCAGGGTTGTTGTGAGGATAAGGGGGGTGGAGAACCATGTACACTGCCGCAAGCTTCTTACAGGGAAGGCAGGGCATGAAGGCCATTCAGTCAAGGTTTTAAAAATCCAACAACATCTTGGCCAGGTTCCTCTGCTCTGTCCAACAGCATTTCATGCTTCTTTTGTCCTCCTCTTTTGCAGCACTCCTGGGATCCCCAGTTGGTGGCATCCAGAATTCTATTGCCTCTGGCACGGGACAGGCAACGACTCCTTCTTTGAGCAACCCGAACCCCATTGACCCCAGTTCCATGCAGCGAGCCTACGCAGCTCTTGGCCTGCCCTATGGCAACCAGTCCCAGCAGGCGCCCCTGCCGCCCCAAGTGCAAGGCCAGCCAGCCGCCCAGCCCCAGGCTCACCCGCAAATGAGAACCATGAATGCACTGGGTAGGTGCGGGCGCATGCAAGAGGGGGGTGGGGTGGGTTTCAAACGAATGTTAACTGCTTTGGGGGGCATGGAGGGGAAGGGGGTACAAATCTTACTAGAAATACAACAGCAAATGTAACTGCAGCCTCATTCACAAACTGCAAAAAAGTGGAGCCTCCCCTTTTTTGTGTTTGGTCTCTCTCTCTCTCTCTCTCTCTCTTGTCCTCCTTGACACCCACGCTTGTGCCACAGATTCATCCTTCCTGGTGTAGAACTTGGGGGGGGGGGAGAATAGTGAATCTGTTAACCGCAGTTAACAACAACAAGGTAAATATATGAGATGAAATAGGGTGGAAGAAAAGGATCTGCAGCAGAATACTGTTTGAGTAGAATGCCAAGGAGAGATGGACCGGGAAGTCGTGAGAGAGGTGACTTGTAAGGGAAAAGGTGTAATGTATATACTAAAACTTTGGAAATGACCAAACTGCAGGAGGCAGTGGAAGACAGGAGTGCCTGGCGTGCTCTGGTCCATGTGGTCATGAAGAGTCAGAAACGACTAAACAACAACAAACATATATTTAAAATAGTGAATGTGGTAGGACCGCTATTTATACAGTTAAGGATCTTGCTTGATCTATCCTACGGTACATATAAAAATGTTAGTGATTTAATGGTGTGAATTGACTGGTATTTCCTCTGAACTAAACGAGGGATAATCTTATTCCAAAGGAACTAATCAAATGAATCTGACTGCTGGAGGAATAACAGACCAGCAACCTAGCATGATCCCAGAAACTGCGCTTCCGACTTCACTTGGGGCAGCAAAGTAAGAAATGTTTTTAAAGGCTTGTTGAGTGTTTACACATGATTCCTATTTTCAGTTGTAGAAATAACTAGTCCTTAGTCACTCTTTTTCTCCCAGTTGTTTCATAGTCCCCTTTTCCAAGTAACTCCTCAGTTCTTTGTTTTCTATTTTCCCTTCAAAAGCAAAATTGCACTTGAATTTCATTACCTGCTCTGTTGTAGTCAGTTACTGGATAATTTCTTAGCCTTAAAAACAAGACTTTTCTGGAAGGCAACAGAGAGCTTCCAGAGTTTCCTCACTGCCTTTTCTTTTAGCTCCTTAATGAATGATGGCACAAATTCGATGCCCACAGCTGCACCACCTTCAAGTACCGGGGTGAGGAAAGCCTGGCACGAGCATGTCACTCAGGACCTGCGCAATCACTTAGTGCACAAACTGTAAGTGTGTCGCGTGGGCGGACCCGACTTGCTGCGGGGCAGGGCAAGAGTCTTGCCAGAGCTGCAGCCCTGCTCCTTGGCGTTTGGGGGTTTCATGGGTCTGAAGGCTTCGGGGGGGGTTGGAGGGGGGGTGGAGGGTTACAGTCAGAACTGGTTTAAGAAGATTCTCCATTCTTTCCACTTACGTTTTTATTTTCAACAACCCAACCCTAGACCCACATTTTCTCTCAGGGTGTAACTATCATCAATTTCAATTATGCCATCCTAGGGGAAGACTGAATCTCTCCCAATTACCTGAAAACTGGGCTTTTGGACTTCCGGAGGTGGCGCCAGCGGTTAATGGCGGATTTCCTCGATCGGAGGATTTTCTCACCACGAAACTAAGGGTCGAATCCCGCTTCGGCGTAGCGGGGGACCCTCAAAAATCACAGGCGGAGGAAGCCTGTGAGCCTGGGACCCAGCGGGCACATTTGGCGCCCCCCCAACCCGGTAAAAAGCCCGGCAATGGGCTCGGAATCGGAGCGGGGGAGAGCGCTGTGCTGTGGGCTGTCTGCTCGTTCGTGGTGTGAAGCCGCAAGCTGTTGACCGGAGAGCGCTGCCTTTTTTCCTTGAAATTCGGACTTGAAAATCAACGATCCATGAGTAGGATATAATCTAATTGGAACTGTACAAATTCGGAATTTGGCCGAAAACGGAAAGAGGTATAAAAAGGAAGTCTGCCTCTTTCCTTGTAGATAAAATAAAGCATTGAACTTGAAAGCGGAAGCATTGGAAAAGCACGTATAGTGGACTTTAATCCAACCATCTGACCTGGACTTTTTCCTCCTTAAACTGAGGGAAAAGGGGGGAGAATTGTGGATGTGATTTCTTCACAAAGAAGTGGAATAGAAGGGATTAAACCATCGTTCAATTCCCTGGGAAAGGATCTCCAGAGGTAACTTAGGAAAGAAAGAGAGGTACTGTCTTGCAATATATTTTGACAGCTAGTCCTGCACAGGAAATAAAAGTTTGGACATATTATGTGAATATATATCTCCTGATCCTAAGTTAATATTTGGTATAGACTGTTTTCTTCCTGAATAAACTGGAGGGGCTTAAAAAAGAAACTAAAGTATCCAAGAACTTTTATGACTGTTACAGTGTCCCCCTAGTGGAATTTGGAATTGTTACAACTTGTTATAATTGAAACTGTAGCTGGCTTGAGGAATTCTCACACTGCTTTGTTGGAAATTTCCACTGTTTGATTTTAACTGCGTGACTGACCTTGAGCATTATCTAAAGGAATGGCAGATGGTAAAGAGAAAGCGGATGCATCGACTACAAGGTCGGGAAGGTCTATTCGCACAGAAGAAGGATTACAAAGGAGATCTTCGGCCTCAGGCCCTTCTGGAACCTCAACAACAGCCTCATCGGCACAATTAAAAGTAAAAGGTACGACAAGTGATGATGTCTTTGCTCAAGTCTTGGCCAAGGTCAATGAATCTTTAAACAGAATAAGCCAACAAGTAGCAGAGGCATGTGACAAGATTGATCAAAATACAATAAGTATCAATCAAAATACAACAAGTACTAATCAGAATACTGCAAGTATAAATAATTTGGGCCAAAAAGTAAATACTAATACAGAGACTATTCAGAAATTATTAGAGGAATCGGCCTCAATACGCCAGATTGCTGAGGAGGCTAAAGAAATTGCTACAACTTCTGCTACAGAGGTTAAAGAGGTCCAAGAGACAATACCAACACTGCACAAACAACTGGAAGACCATAAATTGACCCTGTCTATGATAGAATTGAAGGAAAAGCAAGTGAACTTACGGGTCAGATCGGTACCTGAGGTGGAAAAGGACAATCTAGCTGAATTTCTCACGCAGGAATTTTTGGACTTTTGGGATCCAGAATTGGCAAAAGACAGTTTCAAAATAGTAAATGCTTTTAGACTTGGGAGAAGAGGAGAGAAGAAGGTGAGAGATTGTTTGATTACTTTTCGAACAAAAGAAGATAAGATTTTGGGCCTACATTTTAAGAAGACACTGGAAATCCAACGGACAAGGGTGGAAATATTTAAAGATATTCCGAAATACCTTCTGGATCTCAGATCAAAATACAAAGACTTGGTTACCCTGCTGAGAAGGAACAGTATCAACTTTAGGTGGGAACTCCCTCAAGGCCTGTCTTTTAGCTACAAAGGAAAGAAGAGGAAAATAAGATCGGAAGACGACAAAGACAAATTTTGCAGAGACCACGGAGAAGACTTACAAAAAGAACTATTTCCGGAACCAAAAGACCGTCCGAAAGAAGGGATACCACCGACGGATGAGGAACAGGCACTAGGTGCAGTAGGAGGAGAACTAAAACAATAACATCATGGCCCTGCAACTTTTAACATGGAACTGTCGGGGTTTGAATTCCCCTCAGAAAAGGAAGTCAGTATTTCATATATTAAAAAAGGAACAATTGGACCTAATTTGTTTACAAGAAACACATATAACAAGATTACACAGGAAATTGTTGATAAATAAAAGACTTGGTCAGGAATTTATTTCGTCGGACAAAGTTAAAAAGAGAGGGGTTGTGATTTACGCAAAAGACAATTTATCACCGAAATTTGTTTTTAAAGATGACCAAGGAAGATTTGTGGCAATTGAAATTCAAACACAAGGAGAAAAATTTCTGATTGTAGGAGTCTACGCACCAAATGATGGGAAATCTGATTTTTTTAAGAAGTTGCATGAGACCCTGATGGACCATATGGACTATAACACGATTCTGATGGGAGATATGAATGGAGTGGTATCTACTTATATGGACAAGGCACAAAGACAGGTAGTCACCAAGGATGGTAGACTACCGAAAACTTTTTTTGATATGACAGACAACTTGGATTTAGTGGACATTTGGAGAATTAGAAACCCCTTGGCTAAAGAGGGAACTTTCTTTTCTGAAGCCAAAATGACCTGGACAAGAATTGACCAAATTTGGATAACTAGAGGAATGGCACCAAGGACAAGAAAGGTGGAAATCTGCCCAAAAATTTGCTCCGACCACAATGCTGTTAAGATGGAAATGAGACTAACACCAACTGGCTCCTTCAGATGGAAGATGAATGACACCTTATTTAAAGATGAAGAATTTCTTAAGAAGGCCCAAAAAACTCTGAGAGATTACTTCGAGATAAATCTTAGTTCCAATGTGGAGAAAAGAGTAATCTGGGACGCAAGTAAAGCGGTTATGAGAGGGTTCTTAATACAACAGAATGCGATAAAGAAAAGAACTCAAAATGAGAAGAAGGATAAAATAATGGACAAAATAAATGAATGTGAAAAAAGACTGAGAGTAAATCCCAAATCTCAAGAGATTCTGAGAGAGTTAAAGTTATATCAAGTACAATATATGAAAATGATGAACCAGGAAATAGAATGGAAAATTAAACAAATGAGACAAAAGACTTTTGAATCAGCCAATAAATGTGGCAAATTGTTGGCATGGCAAATGAAAAAGAGACAAAAACTAAATACGATTACGAACTTAGAAGTGGAAGGAAGGAATATACAGAACCCAGCGGAGATCAGAAGTTGTTTCCAGAAGTATTTTAAACGACTATATACTCAAGGGCCAATGAAAGAAACAGACTTAGACCAATTTTTGAAAGCAAATGGATTACAAAAAATATCTCAAGAAAATAAATTAATTTTGAACCATAGAATAACTGAACAGGAAATAGAAGGTGCCATTCAAAACATGCAACTGGGTAAATCTCCAGGACCAGATGGCTTGACCTCTAGATACTACAGATCTTTAAAAGAATGGTTAATTCAACCATTGAAAGAGGTCTGCAATGAAATAATGGAGGGGAAGAGAGCACCAGAGTCGTGGAAAGAAGCATATATTACACTTGTACCAAAAACAGAGACTGAAAAGACACAACTTAAGAACTACCGCCCTATATCATTACTTAATGTGGATTACAAAATTTTTGCAGATATTTTGGCGAAGAGATTTAAAAAGTGTTGATGGAAGAGATTCACAAAGACCAAGCGGGCTTTCTCCCAGGAAGACATTTGTCTGACAATTTGAGGAATATAATTGATATTTTGGAAAAATTAGAAGTGAATATAAACACTAAAGCAGTGTTGATATTTGTAGACGCGGAGAAAGCCTTTGACAATATTTCTTGGAATTTTATGAAGAAGAATCTACAGGGTATGGGGGTAGGCCAAGGTTTTGAGAATGGTATAAGTGCAATTTATTCAGAACAAAAGGCTAAACTAATTGTAAATAATGTTGTGACGGAAGAACTTAAAATTGAAAAAGGGACACGACAAGGTTGCCCAATTTCCCCACTTCTTTTTATTTCGGTCCTGGAGGTTTTGCTGAATATGATTAGAAGGGACCAGTCGGTTAAAGGTATACAGGTCGGAACTAAACAGTACAAATTGAGAGCATTTGCAGATGACTTAGTATTGACGTTACAGGAGCCAGAATCTAGTACTAAAAGGGTTTTAGAACTGATTCAAGAATTTGGTCAAGTGGCAGGATTTAAATTGAATAAGTCAAAAACCAAGGTTTTAGAGAAAAATTTAACACCGATTGAAAGAGAGAGGTTTCAGAATGAGACAGGCTTAACAGTGGTTAAGAAAGTTAAATATTTGGGGATTAACATGACAGCAAAAAATGGGAACTTATTTAAAGATAATTATGAAAAATGCTGGTCTGAAGTGAAAAAAGACCTAGAAATTTGGTCAAATTTGAAGCTTTCACTGCTGGGCCGTATTGCTGCGATAAAAATGAATGTATTGCCTAGAATGTTGTTTTTGTTCCAAACTTTGCAGATTGTGGACAAAATGGATTGTTTCAAGAGGTGGCAGAAAGATATTTCTAAATTTGTCTGGCAGGGCAAGAAGCCTAGAATAAAATTTAAAATACTAACAGATGCAAAGGAAAGAGGTGGATTTGCCCTGCCAGACCTCAAACTTTACTATGAATCAGCAGCCTTTTGCTGGTTGAAAGAATGGCTACTTCTTGAAAACACTGACATTTTGGACTTGGAAGGTTTTAATAATGTATTTGGATGGCATGCATATCTATGGTATGATAAGGTCAAAGCACATAAAGCATTTAGAAACCACATTGTCAGGAAAGCGCTATTTAATGTTTGGTTAAGATATAAGGATTTGTTAGAAAACAAAACCCCAAGGTGGCTGTCACCAATGGAAGCGAAAGCCTTGAAAAAGGTCAATATGGAGGTCAAATGGCCAAAATATTGGGAAATTTTGGAACAAGACGGAGATAGATTGAAATTGCAGAGTTTTGAAAAACTAAAAAACAAAGTGCGAGACTGGCTTCATTATTATCAGATAATGGAGGCATTTAAATTGGACAGGAAAATTGGCTTCCAGGTGGAAAGATCCAAATTAGAAACAGAATTGTTAGAACCCAAAACTAAGAATTTGTCAAGAATGTACAACTTGCTGCTGAAATGGAATACTCAGGATGAAACGGTAAAATCGGCTATGATTAAATGGGCACAGGACGTTGGACATAATATTATGTTTGCTGACTGGGAACAGTTATGGACCACAGGTATGAAATTTACGGCATGTAATGCCTTAAGAGAGAATATTATGAAAATGATATACAGGTGGTACATAACCCCAGTCAAGCTTGCAAAAATCTATCACTTGCCCGATAACAAATGTTGGAAATGTAAAGAAACTGAAGGTACATTTTTTCACCTTTGGTGGACGTGCCCAAAGATTAAGGCTTTCTGGGAAATGATATATAATGAATTAAAAAAGGTATTTAAGTATACCTTCCCTAAGAAACCAGAGGCCTTTCTCCTGGGCATAGTCGGCCAAATGGTGGCAAAGAAGGATAGAACTTTCTTTATGTATGCAACAACAGCAGCAAGAATACTCATTGCAAAGTATTGGAAGACACAAGAACTTCCCACGCTGGAGGAATGGCAGATGAAACTTATGGACTATATGGAATTGGCGGAAATGACTGGTAGAATCCGTGACCAGGGAGAAGAGTCGATGGAGGAAGATTGGAAGAAATTCAAAGACTATCTTCAGAAACACTGCAAAATTAAGGAATGTTAGAGTGATGTTGGATTGAAAACAAGTGGTTTCCAGCTGTACAGGTTAAAGTTAATGATAGATTAAGATTAAAGATTAAGATTAAAGATGTTTAAAGAAATGGAAATTTGATATTAAGAGGGAAAATTTTAACGTTATATGATACTAAGACCAAGGATTAGGTTTAAAGAAGTTGAAGTTATATATTTTAATATTTTATCAAACTAAAGATTGGGATTTAAAAAGTGGAAAAGAAACTGCTGGACAAACAGTTTGGATTGGAATACAAAAGAGGGAGGTATGAGGAAGTCCAGAAAATAAGTAACTTAAAAATGGAAATGGAAAAGAGATATTGTTTTTAATTGTTATGTTTTTTGTTTTTTTTATTGCTGAATTTTGTGTTGTTTTTTGTGTGTGGTGTTGTTATATGTATTGTGTATGTTTTTTCTTTTTCTTTGCTGTTTAAAACCTTAATAAAAATTATTTTTAAAAAAAAGAAAAGAAAACTGGGCTTTTGAAATCATTTTGCATGGTGTAGGCAGATAGGGGAAAGTAAGGTTTACCCAGGTCTTCCAGCAGCATTCGTGATGGAATTTATGTCTCTTCTTTCTGCAGCGTGCAAGCCATCTTCCCAACTCCTGACCCAGCAGCACTGAAAGATCGCCGGATGGAGAATCTGGTGGCTTACGCTAGGAAAGTAGAAGGGGATATGTATGAATCAGCTAACAGTAGGGTAGGTTCTGTACCAGACAAGAGCTTGGTCTTGTGAAGTCCTGTGTGGCTGAAAGTGGCTCCTTTTGACTGTGTTCCTCCACTGAAACAGCCTGGGATTATTATATAATTCCTGAAATCTTGAGTGCTGCGCCTCCTTTGTTCAGCAAACCAATGAGTGCCTAGAAGTCTTCCTGTCCATAGGCAGGAAGATCAACTGGTTAAAGAAAATACTGTGATCTTACTAGGGATAGCCTTCATAAATTGACAGAAGCGGGACTGGCTCTGGCCTTGTTATTGCCAACTTAGCCATTGTTCCTTTTGTCGAAGAGTCTACTTTTTGGTCAAGTTCCAGGAAGTGTCTTGGTCTTCACAGCATAGCGCTCAGATTCCTAAAACTCAAGTTATGAAGGAGAACTCTTCAGATCACTTTTCATGCAAAATAAAATTTAAGCCAGTGTTAATCAGTCATCCTTGCTGCTTTTTTCTAATATATTCTAAAACCTAATCCTAACATTTTCCCCCTTCTAGGATGAATATTACCATTTATTGGCAGAGAAAATATATAAAATACAAAAGGAGCTAGAAGAGAAGCGGAGGTCTCGTTTACATAAGCAAGGGATCTTGGGTAATCCGCCAGCCTTACAGGCTCCCGGGACTCAGCCTCCTGGCATTCCACAGGTGGCGGCAGCTGTGGGACAAGCCCAGCCTGTGAGACCTCCCAGTAAGTACTCCCAGAAGGAATGGACAAGTGGAGCAAGGAAGTCTGGGTCAGCTTCTATATCTGTGGCGCACCATTCAGCCTTTCATGAGGCACAGAAAGTGGGTTACAATAATAACACACAAAGAAAAAGCAGTATTGAATAAAATCACCCCAGAAAGGAAAGTACTATGTATATAAAGCCACATTGAGCAGCAGCGTGCTTGCATCCCCTAGAGCAGTGTTTTTGAACCACTGTTCCGCGGCACACTAGTGTGCCGCGAGATGTTGCCTGGTGTGCCGTGGGAAAAATTGAAAAATTCGAAAGATTAAAAAAAAATAATGTCAAATTTTCGCCCACTAGGCGGGCGCCGGACTGTGTCCACCCTATTTTCCATCCGTCCTGGGTGGGGATCAGATGGGATCGGATGAGAGCGGACAGGTGGTCCGCTCTCATCCGATTCCCCATAGAGAGCAGCGGGGCTCTGACATCTCCCTCTCCGCACACAGTGCGGAGACGGAGCTGTCATCCACCGGCTCAGCGGGGATCAGCGGATCGATTCCCGCTGAGCACAGAACGGTCCGCAACGTTTTTGTTTGCCATTAAAGAAAAAAATATTAAACCATGCTTGAATGTCGGAACTGGTTACTAAAATTTTTGAATCCCACCACTGATGTTAAGTGTTTGTGTTTATTTGATTTGTGTTTATTTGATTCCTATTCAAGAGAATTACTTTATATATAGTCAATATAGGCACAGAGTTAAATTTTTTAACATTTTCTAATGGTGGTGTGCCTTGTGATTTTTTTCATGAAACAAGTGTGCCTTTGCCCAAAAAAGGTTGAGAAACACTGCCCTAGAGCCCAAAGGCCCTCCCAGGCAAAAGTACTTTCCTGCCTTCTAACAGTCTGAAAAGAAGGTGCCACAAATGAAAAGGTCCTGCTCCTTGCAGATGTCCAGGTAGCTTCTGTGAAGGTGCTCTTTGAGAGGGCCTGAATTTAGGGTGGTTTGTTGTCAAGATCAAAAGCAGCATGTTGAATTGACCAAGATGCAAACTGTTAGCCGGTGAACTTCTTGCAGGACTGGCATTGTCTTCCATACTTGTAGATTCTCGCAATAGGTTGGTTTTTTTGCCATTCTGAGCTGCCATAAGGTACGCTGCCCCCCCCTCCCCCTGTGCATTACAGCAGTTCAGCTGAGATGCTGTGGAAGGTGTGGCAGTGACAGGCTTCCGTCTGCCAAGGAGAGAATTCTATCTAGGTCTCCAGGGGGGCAGCAGCCCCAGAGAGAGCATGGCCAAAATGAAGATGTCTCCCTTCAGAGGGCAGTGTGAGCAGAAGCAGCTCACTAGCTCAAACTCTGACCATCCCCTCTTACATGGATGGACCTGGTTTAGCATAAACCCCATTACTGTCTTCATTTGGGAAACCCATCACTGAGGAAAAGGAGAATTAAATAGATGCCATCAACATCCAGAGACTTCCCCCAGCAGTTTCATGTAGGTGTTCAGCAGTGCAGGAGACAAGACTAAACTCTGCAGCACCCCAGAGGTTACTTTCCTTGGTGGGGAGCAACTGTCTTCTCTCACATCCTTCCGGAACCACACACACACACACACACACACACACACACCCCAGCTAGTAAGCCCAGGGCTGCTGTAAAACAGCGGCCCCGCTCCACACCAGGCAGGTAAGGAGGACACCCTGGTTGGTGGCCTCGGAAGACAGTTACAACCCCAAAGCTCACTTGGAGTCCTGTTGTAGGGCTGTTTGTTGATTAAAGACCCCTGAGTTGATTGCTCAGTGAGATTCAATCATTTCCATTGGCATATGCATCTGTTGGAAGAGGCATTAGAATGAAAGGGGAAGGCCTGTTCTCAGATGGGGCCTGTCAGCTGTCGTTTTGATAGGCTCTGATATTAAAAATAGTGTTTGTTTTTTAAAACAAACAAACAAACAAACTTGATGCCTAATTAACTAGGGTGGCTTTCTATTTAATTGAGGTTTTAATCTACACATTATTTGAAGTTTGCATCCCAATCAGTTTGATTTCTAGCATTTTGATTTGTCTGCTAAGTGAAGATTGTGCAGAATGAAGCCGCGAAGGAAGAACTGACCGTGCTGCTTTTGTCCTCTTGCAGATGGGCCTCTGTCCATGCCGAATGTGCCTCTGAGCCGCATGCAGGGGTCTCAAGGTATTCAACTTGCACTAACCTGCTCCTTTCCTTAGCCTCACTCTTGCGAGTCTCCTGTTGGGGGGGTGGGGGGTTGTATCCTGCCTCCTCTATGCCACACTTTCACCTGAGCCTTTGTTCCAAGGTAGCAGACTGAGAGCATGCCACGGGCGGGGGGGGGGGGGGCACAGCCGTTGAGGCGGATACAAAAAGCTTGGCTTTCTTGAGCTCTACTTCCCCCAACCCAGAGCGAACCAGGGGGTCCCTGAGTGCAACTTGGTAGCAGTCCTGGGGAGAAAGATGCCCCTCACTAATCTGTTGTGTGCGTTACCCTCGCCACTCAAAGCCCATAGTAAAGCCAGCCAGCTGTCCTGACATAACTGCAGGGTGCTCCAGACGCCACGTAGACACTGGCTCCCTCTCAGCTCCACTTCCTTTTATCCAAAGGGAATGGTGCGTGTACCGTATTTTTCGCTCCATAAGACGCACTTTTTCCCTCCTAAAAAGTAAGGGGAAATGTGTGTGCGTCCTATGGAGTGAATGCAGGCGGGAGGCTCTGCTCAGCGCTCCCTTTAAAGAGCCGCGTGGAGCGTGTGTGCGTTTCTTGGGGGCTTTTCCGCGAGGTGGGGGAAGGGACTGACAGGCTGCCCTCCGTCCCTTCCCATACCTCCCGGAAAAGCCAGCAAGAGCCGCTGCCAGGCTCTGCTCAGCGCTCCCTTGTAAGGGCTCCCTTTCGTCCCTCATCCTGCTTTGCTGGGAAGCCAGCAGAAGAGGCGCTGTGCAGCTATCGCTCTTGCTCTGCTGGCTTCTCAGCAAAGCGGGAGGAGGGACGGAAGGCTTTAAAGCAAGAAAGCCGCTTGCATGCTTTGTGCAGAATGTTTTTTTTCTTGCTTTCCCCCTCTAAAAACTAGATGTGTCTTATGGAGCGAAAGATACAGTATTTTTCACAACCCTTAGCTTTCCATTTTCCTTTCCCCAAACTTCAACATGGTTCCATTCAGTTGAATTTTTTCAACACAGATCCTATCTCTGCATGGCACTTCTGGATGACCCAGCTGCTGGGAGTGGTAGAGGGGATGGAGGAACAGGAAGCCCCTGGTGCCAGCTGTTGGGGGGAGGGATGGCTTGTGCTCTGAGTGCTGGGAATGTCTGTGGCTAGACTTGTGCAGGACAGATCCCATGTGGGGAAGACCACTAAGACTTGCGTGGAGAACAGTGTCTGCTGACAGTAGCAACTCCTCCCCTCAGGGCCCAGGCATCGCTCAATAACAAGACAATGGGACGACCAATGTCCCTGTGCTGCCCTTTAAACAGAATCAGAAAAGGCGTGCTGGAGAATTAGGGGGCTGTTGGAAAGAGAGCTCTCCACATTTAGCGCTCTCTGTCTTTAGTCCCTCTGCTGAGTGTCTTGACTTCTGTGGGTTTCCTTCCCAGTCGCTGCCAAGAGAGAGGGGTTGGGTCTCCTCTGCTCAGCTGCCCTGCAGGCCAGGCCTGACTCTTCCTCAGGCTGGAATGGGGGCAGGAACGTGGTGGGCTGAGCTGTGTGTCGATCCGCGCTTGGGGGACTCGCTCCTAATGAGCTCTTCTGGGGGTGCATTTTGCAGGAGTGAATCAGTTTAACCCCATGTCCATAGGGAATGTCCAAATGTCCCAGGCATCGATAGGACCCCGCACCACCCCTCCAATGAACCATCCTGTCCAGATGAACAACATGGGATCCATTTCCACGGTTTGTAGCTCTCTCTTTCTTCCTGGCTATTTAAAGCTTGGGTTACGTTAAGAGAAATAAACTCATATGCTGGTTACCTCAGGTTCTTTCCGGTATTGCATCATTCAGTTTTGGATTAATTCAGTCACTTTATTTTATTTCATAAAATGTATGCACAGTAGACCTGCAACTTACATGGGGGTTGTGTTCCAGGGGTCTGCACGCAAAGTCAGGAAGGCCCCCCGGAACCAGCTCTCCATGTGACCCCTCCTTTACTGAGCTTTCAGAAGGCTTTGTGAGGTCTCTGGAAGGCTGTGGGTGGATCCTGCAATATCTTTCGGGGGCCCTTCCAGCTCCCCCCCCCCATTCTCCATTTACTTACTTATTTTCCCACCACCTCTGCAAATCTGTAAGTTGTGGGTCTACTGTACCACTTGATTGTTTTTTTAAAAAGCAACAACCCTCAAAGCAATTCACAAAAAGAATAAAACAATGGTGTGGGTTTTTTTACTTAAAAACAACTATTTAGAACGTTTAAAAAATAATTGGGGCGCGGGTGGCGCTGTGGGTTAAACCACAGAGCCTAGGACTTGCCAATCAGAAGGTCGGCGGTTCGAATCCCCGCGACAGGGTGAACTCCCGTTGCTCAGTCCCTGCTCCTGCCAACCTAGGAGGTCGAAAGCACGTCAAAGTACAAGTAGATAAATAGGTACCGCTCTGGCGGAAAGGTAAACGGCATTTCCGTGCGCTGTTCTGGTTTGCCAGAAGCGGTTTAGTCTGCTGGCCACATGACCTGGACGCTGTACGCTGGCTCCCTCGGCCAGTAAAGCGAGATGAGCGCCACAACCCCAGAGTTGGCCACGACTGGACCTAACTGTCAGGGGTCCTTTACCTTTACCTTAAAAAATAATTAAAATCAACGATAAGCTGAAAACCAGGTTAAAATACATGTCAGCTTTCTGAATTAGACATTAGGGCAATTTTCTGTTTCAGTTAGAAATAGAAATCAAATAAATACATTGGATGATTCAGTGTAGTGAAGATGTTAGAGGGCAGCCTGGCGGGAGGGAAGAAGAGACTGCAACTGGCAAGCACATTCAGCTCAGAGAGACGGTGGGGGGAGCCCACTGGTGCCTGTTTCCCCTCTCTTCTGAAACGGATTCAGTGAGAACCTAACTCTCTTGTGGTCCAGACCCTTAATGCGCAGGGCCTGCTTTGTTTGCAGATGGCTCTGTCTCCCTCCCGGATGCCTCAGTCCCAGAACCTGATAGCAGCTCATTCCAACAGTCTGATGGGTCAGGCCTCCACCCCAAGCCCCTTCCTGCCACAGAACCAGTTTTCTGCTTCCAGTGGAGCTTTGAATGTCAACAGCGTTGCTTTGGGGCCAGCAGCGGCACAGGCAGGAGTGGCACAGGTATGGCTCATGGCTTGCTTCATTTTACTCGCCCTGGCATAATGTGGAATTCCAGGTTTTCATCAAAACTGTGAGGACCATTCACTCGCTTCAGATATTTGTGTCCGCACCTTAGTATTTCTGTGGCCTCCACCATTTCCCTGGATGTCAGAGTCAAGGCACTGTGTCGCTGTGGTCCTGCTGTGAACATTTGTATGCAAGAGAACCTCAGCAATGCTGCCTTGTGGCGGTGGTGTAGGAGCTCAGCTCTCAAGCCCAGCCATGACTGTGACGTGGGTCACAAGCCACTTACTTCCCAGACCTCACGATTAAATTCTAACCGAGATCATCTCAGGAGCTTACCTAATGCACGCCTCTTCCCTCAGCCTGTTCTCCTGGTAGATAGTGAGCCAGCCCCTGTGTGCCATGTCATATCCTGTTCACCCAGCCACTGGCAGAGGAAGGGGGTGCAGTGGGTGCAGTCCCCTCTGGGTGTCATCCCTGAGGGGGGTGACATCGCTGCTGCACCACCACCACCCCAGGATGCTTGCTGCAGGCGGCGCACCCTCCCCCCCAACACTTGCCCTGCCCCTGCAGGCAGCTAGCCCCACCCCACGGGTGCAGCTAGCTCCGCCTCTGCACCCAGCCAGCTGGAAACTCCTGGCTAATCTGCATATCCACTTGCTCTGTGCCTTTGCAGACCTCTCCTTTCCTCCTCAGTCCTGCTTGTGGCGAGGTGTAGCAGTATCTTTCTTGCTCTCTTCTTTGATTCTTTCCTTGCCTTGTCTTTGTTGCCCTCCCATCTCCTGGGGGTACGCATCACTTTTGCATCCCCCCTCCCACCTTTACTCCTCTCCCCCAAACTCACCATGGCTCCAAGGTGGAAAAGCAAGGCAGCAGAATCACATGCAGCCTCTTTCATGGCCCCGATGCAGAAGGGGCAGATGCAGCCACTCAGGCAGCTTCTCATGCAAAGCACACGGGCAACATGGCTCCGCCTTCAGCTGCAGCCTGCAGGGAGCAGATCGCCACGCCTCCCTGGCCCAGCTGGGAAGGGTCTTCAGATTCGATGGCAGAGGCCAGCTCCATGACTTGGGCAGCGAAGCCTCCAGCTGCATGTGGACGGGGTGAAAAACTCCTGAGCAAGAAGAGAATGAAAATGTACCAGAAATGGCCTCAGCACACACCCACAACTCCTGAGAGGAGCCGCTCTCCTCAGTCCTCCAACCATCCACAGATTTGCAGCAATGGAAAATACAGCCCTTAAAGCACTAGCACAGACTCCCTTGAACCTCTTAGATCTGTTTCTTTATACTCCAAGGCTGTGCTTCCTGCTGGTCATCACAGCCAGGCGAGTTTTAGAGTTCAACACCCTCTCCATAAGGAAGGAACTATATTTCTTCCGCAAGCCCAGCATGACATTTGCATAGAGACCTTGCGTTTATCCACAAGAGAAGAGGGAATCCTGCCGTTCCCACCCCTCCCATCCTATAGAGAGGACTAGCAAATCCATTAGACATCAGAAGGGCCTTTAGGAGTTCCATAAAGAGCACTGAAACGAACAGAGGCAGAAGGTGTGGGTCCCAGCACCTGGACACATCACAAGAGTGGCAGCTGCCTCGTCTGCTTCAGCCACCACCAGGGGAGATTCCTAGAGCCACTACTGGACCTCCACTTCTGCCTTCACCTACCACTGTTAATGGGACCTCTTTCCTTGGCAGAGGCAGCACTGGGCAGGTGTGTTATCCCCACAGGAGCAGCCTCTCTCACACCTCCACAGCACAAAGAGGCTGGCTCACTCTCTTACCACAAAGGGGCCTTCTCTGGCAGGCAAGGGACCTGGCCACCACCCAGCCCTGCATAGCAGCTGCTCACCACAAGTCTAGCCAGGCCTCAGGATCCGTCCTTCTGCCACAGCTGTCTGTGTCCGTCCACTGATCCATCTGTCAGCTCAGGAACTGGTCTGACCAAGCTTAGTCACAGGTGGAAACTTGAAGGAGAGGCAGGAGGAGGAAGTCGGTGCAAATTAATTGCGTTTCCCATTTTGGTGAAAAGCATATGATGTAACTCACAGTGGCTGGCTCACCTGCCTACCCAAAAAGCGTACTTTCTGCCACATGTGATATTGGGGAAACGGTGTGGCAGAGGGATGCAGCCAGACTGGCGCTTGGTCTGCTTGTGTTGCCCACTTTTGCACAGGGGGTTTTGAATGCAGCACTAACAGTGTCTCCTTCCGGCAGGGGCAAGTTCCTGGAGCTGCTCTTCCCAACTCCGTGGATATGCTGGGACCACAAAGCAGCCAGCAGCTCTCGTGTCCTCCCGTGACCCAGCCACCCCTTCACCAGCCTGCGGCTCCTCTCTTGTCCAGCGTGGCGGCTGGCATGCCGCCGGTCCAGCACCAGACCCCGCCAGGGATGACGCCTCCACAGCCTGCAGTGCCTGCCCAGCCGTCCACACCCGTCTCCGCGGCGGGACAGGCGCCCACTCCAGCAGCCGGCTCCGTCCCCAATGCTACGCAGGTGCAAAGCACGCCTTCGGGGCAAGCCGCAGCCCAGTCGCAGATCCCACCGCAGCCTCAGACCCCAGTGCAGCCCCCACCCGTGCCAACCCCGCAGCTTCCACAGCAGCAGCAGCCAATGTCTGCCCAGGCCCCTGGCACTCCGGTGAGTATTTGGCCTTTTTGCATTACTGGGCCCAGCGTTTGCGCCAGGGAGCAAGCACTCTGTCATGAATGGCAGCGGTGCTCTCGCAGGCACTGTGCAGCACCCCAGAGTACAGGGCACAACGTTTCCTCACCTTCATTGCCTGTCGTTCAGCAGGAGCAGCATAGGAAGCTGCCTTACCCCGAGACTCAGTACTGCAACGAGCAGAATCTTTCATAGTCAGGGGCGGAACCAGGAGTCTTTTGTCTCTCCCACTGACCTAGGATTTCTCTAGAAGCTCTGCCTTCTCTAGAAGCATTGTGCGTAGTTTCAGAAGCAAAACAAAACAAAACAAAGCAAAAAAACCCGAAGGAGATCGGGGCTCCTGTTCCCAAGTTGCTTGCAATCCAAATTCCATCTAAGAGGATCAAGAGAAGAGCAAAAAGAAGAGAAGACCTAGGATGGGCTGGAGAACCTGTGGCCCTTTAGATGTGGAGGCCAAATGGTCAGGGAGGACAGGGGTTGTAGCATAACAACATCTGGAGAGATGCAGGTTCTCAGCAGGTGCTGGTTCGCAGCCCAAATGTTTCAATAGCACATGGTCTGGCAGCCAGCCAAGCTGCTCCTAACGCTCAGAGTGACCGCTGAAGAGCAGAAGTGTCTCTCCCACCTGGGAAGGTAAGCCTGCCTGCCTGCTCAGGAGACTGCTCAAGTCTTTTAAGCCTTCCGACACTGAAGATGGGCAGAAGAAGAGCATGTTTACATGTTCCGCTCAGGCTGCTCTTCCTTTGACGCTGGCAGAGTACGGCTCTTACTGTGACACAATCATTTCCCAGCCTTTCACCAGTTGGTGTGCTCTCAGCAAAGGGCAGCCCCGTATTTTTGTACCTTCAGGAGATGTTGATGTTGGTGTTGATGTAATAATTGTGTTTGTATAAGGGGAAAGGCCACAGCACCTCAGCAGGCAGCACTGGGTGAAGAGGTAAAGCAAGCTCTGAGGAGGAGGCCAAGACTAGGTGTGTTCATGTAGGTCAGCAGTGAGGAACCTCAGGCCTGAGGGCCTCAGGAGGCCCCACAAGGCCACTGTGGCCAAGAAGACATGAGCCCACCCGCCTACAAGGGGGGACAGGTAAAGCTGTGGCTGACTAGAGAGCGGGGTGGGAGGGGGCATTGTAGGCAAAGTATCAGCTGAGCAGGGGCAGCTGCAGAGCCCCGTATGGAGCACTTTGCAAGTTCCATCTCGCCAGATGGGCTTCCCCAGCCAGCCTTAATCTTGGGCCAAAATGGGTCACCCACCGTCATTGTGACATCAGGAGGCCCTTAGGAAACTGAGCCAGCCTGACTAGGGGGAGGCCGGAAGGGACTTCAGAATGAGCCCAAAGATAGCGGAGACAACTCCTGGGAGGAAAAGACTCCATTTAGGAGGAACTGAATGTGTGCGCTTATAGAGCACAATGTTAGGGCTGGCTGGGGAAGCTGCATGCACCAGTGGAGTCCGGCGGAGGGGAGCTGAGAATTGGGACACCGGGGGACCACTTTCGTTGGGCATTTTCAAGGAAGGGTTGCTTGGGTGGGCTTGAAGAAGGGATGGTGTTCTGTTAGGGCAGGAGCGTTGGCACGGAGGCAGCCGCAGAACTTGCAACGTTCCGCTCTTGTTTCCGTGCTTGTATCTCTGGGAAGCACTTGCCAGAAGGCAAAGATGGCCGAGATTGGCAGGGAAGCCAAATTCTAGTGCTGAAATAGAAATTGCCCGCAAGTTTTGAGTTTATTCATTAAGGACTCAATCAAGCCCAAGGTGCTTTTTCCCACTCCAGGTGTTACATTAGCCCAGGCATCCCCAACTCGGCCCTCCAGACTACAACTCCCATGATCCCTGACCACTGGTCCTGTTAGCTAGGGATGATGGGAGTTGGGGATGCCTGCATTAGCCTGTCAAAGCCTGGAGGAGGTTCTGGAAAGGGTTGCAGCACTTGAGGAGGGTCCCTGCTGCTCTTGTGTGCAGAGCAGAGGAATGTCAGAATCCCACCTCTGGCCCTGAGCTTCCCCCTCCTGACCAGGAAGCGCATAGATCTGCCAGCTGAGGATGCTCTTCATGCCTCTGACAAAGTGGGCTCCAGGCAGTGAAAGCTTTTGCCACAATAAATGTTAATATTTAAGAAGTTAATATTTAATACCAGTATCCTGTCCTCTGAAAACCTTTCCCAGGGCAGCTCGCAGACTACTGGGTGTGTTGAGAAGTTGTTTGTTTGCTGTGCATTTGGATCCCTCTTACGATATCGCAACCAAACTTTGAGGGGTGGTGGCTGAGGTCAAGGAGCAGGTTTTTGATTGTTTGGATGCAGTTGGGTGCCATTCCAAATTAATACAGCAGACTCAGCCCTTTAAAAGCACTGGCTTTCTTTGTTTGTTTCTTATGAGGTGGCTATTGGAATATAAAGCAAAGTGGTGAGGGCGGGAAGGAACTATCCAAAATACAACTAAAAATCACCACCGATGATAATATCAGATAGCAAGCAAAGAGCAAATGGAAAACCATACACTAGAGCAGGCTTCCTCAAACTCAGCCCTCCAGATGTTTTTGGCCTACAACTCCCATGATCCCTAGCTAGTAGGACCAGTGGTCAGGGGTGATGGGGATTGTAGTCTCAAAACATCTCGAGGGCCGAGTTTGAGGAAGCCTGGACTAGAGCATGAAAAATAAAAGCCAGGCACCAGAATGATGTTAATGTCAGGGAAGCTATCTTTGTGAGAAGTATTTCATATTTAGAACACCGCCACTTAAAATATCATTTTCCTGCTTGCTACTGACTATCCCTGACGAATGGAGTAGCCTCTCCACCTGACTTTTAAGTCGCAGGAAGGCTCAGGTGGGAAAAGGCAACCAGCAGGCATCCTGATCCTAAGCTGTGCAGGGTTGATCCAGCAAAAGCATTGTGCTCCCAAAATTATCTGCACAGCAGAGGTCCCCACCCCTGTACCCCACTAAATCTGCTCCAGAGGGCTTGGGGTACCTCCAGAGCAGATATGGGGGTGGCAGGGGCAGAGAGAGAGGTAGTTCTGTTCCCTGAGCACAGCAAATGCACAACCCTTTTTGGACTGAGCTTGGAAATGGATCAGGAGCCAGACATTTTGGCAAATGTTCCCAGCTCTTGGTCTCTGCGCTCTCACAGCTTGTTCTATCCGCAGAATATTTTCCAGGGCAGCCTCAGGTATAAAGCATTGCAATGCTCCAGCATGGAGGCTTCCAGAACATGCATAATTGATCCTAGGATATTTTTCAAGGCTTTCTCTGGTTAAGAACTTAATTCATTCTGGAGGTCCGTTCTTAACCTGAAACTGTTCTTAACCTGAGGTACCACTTTAGCTAAAGGGGCCTCCTGCTGCTGCCACGCGATTTCTGTTCACATCCTGAAGCAAAGTTCTTAACCCAAGGTACTATTTCTGGGATAGCGGAGTCTGTAACCCGAGGTACCACTGTATTTGCAACCGTGCTGTGGGAGACGGTTCTTGAGTATTCCCCATTTTAGACTATTAACAGTTATTTACTGTTTAGATTTCTACACCACCCCTCAAATAAATTATCAGGGCAGCTTACAATAAGAAGCTTAGGAGGTGGATGATTCCCTGATGGTTATGCTGTAACATCCTGTTAGGCCTCTTGTTATCAGATGTGAATTCTAGGCAGGGGTAAACTAAATGGATTACTCATAGAATTATAGACTGGACCCCTGGGGTCATCTAGTCCAATCCCCTGCGACACAGGAATCTGCCTCCATGACTGATGGCCATCCAACCTCTGCTTAAGAACCTCCAAGGAAGGTGATCCCACTGTCTGTTCCACTCTCGAATGGCTCTTACTGTCAGAAAGGTCTTCCTGGTGTTTAGTCAGAATCTCCTTCCTTGTAATTTGAATCAGTCTGTTCGGATCTTGCCCTCTGGAGCAGCAGAAAACAAGCTGGTTCCATCTTCCATGAAAGGATAGCCTTTCAGGTGACATGCTGGTGCCGTTGGGGATGTCCCTGTCATCTGACCTGACCTCTTTTTTTGGAGTTCTGCGCTGGGGCGCAAGGCTGGTTTCCGTGTGTTCAGTGTCTTCCCCCCCTCCTCCCCACCCCAGCTATCCCAAGCAACAGCAAGCATCGACAACAGGGTGCCCACGCCAGGCTCTGCCGCCAGTACCGACGTGAATGCTCAGCAGCTGGGGCTGGAGACCCAAACGCAAGAGATTAAGCAAGAAGGGAAGGTGGAAAAAGCAGAGTCCGAATGTGGTGAAGCTCAACTAGATCCAAAACTGGAGGTAAGCAAGGGCCCAAGGGATAGTCGTGGTCAGTCTGTGCTGTTCAGGGACACAGGGAGGAGGAGTTTGGTGCCCACCAGATATTGTTGGGCTTCTTACCTCCAGCATAACCTGTAGTTGGGGCTTGTGAGAATTCTAGAATCCCATTCCAGGATTAGGCAGCAATTTCTAGCTTTCAGGAGGAAGCGGTAGGGAAATAAAGCCTGCCCTTTGTGGGGTAGAGCAGAGAACACCTACTGCCTGTTAAACTAGGAGGAGAATTCACAGGGAAGGGAAATCATCCAGAATATGGGATGGATGGATGGATATTAACATGTTAAATATTCCATTCTCTCTTGCTTTGCTGGGGAAGCTGACCTGGGTGGCTGTGGAGGTTGTGACTCCTCACTGTGCCATGTGCTTTTCAGGTGGAGGAGGACGTTCCAGGCCCCACGCAAACCAAAGAAGAAACAAATGGGGTGGAGATCAAGCAGGAGCCCATGGAGATAGAAGGGAAGAAGCCTGAGATAAAAGAGGAGGATGACGGGGGCAGTAACGGTGCCGCCTCCCAGTCCACATCACCATCTCAGCCACGGAAAAAGAGTAAGTCTACATCTGTGTAGCCCTCAAGTACGTCTGTCTGCCACTAGCTTGCGCTCCATGTTGATGTTGTCCCCATCTTCTTAAATTAAAGTAGGAAGATAAGAAGCATCTTGCTCAGTTGGGCTTCCCCAGGTTGTCTCCTGCAGTGGCCAGGCAGCTTCACAAGCAGGGGGTGACAGGTAGCAACTGCGGTTTTCTGTCCCTCAGCCTCTCCTGAACAAAGGCATTCTGTCTCTGAATAGGGAGAGCCTTCTTTTTTACCTGTCACAGTTAAAGCCACTTCTTTTTTCCCCTGTGAAGTGGCCCAAGTCTTCTAGTTGTTGTTGCTGTTCTTTAAATTTGTATACCTCCCTTCACCCATCGATCCCAGAGCGACTCCCTGCATAAAAACACAGCATCCTGAGCAGCCGTTGCCACATCTTATAGACTGAATTCCACCAGCTATTTACGATTTGATGACAAAATACTGCTTATTTCATGAATGAGATGACTGTAGTAATAATAATAATAATAATAATAATAATAATAATAATAATAATAATTTATTATTTATACCCCGCCCATCTGGCTGGGCCTCCCCAGCCACTCTGGGCGGCTTCCAAAAGAATATTAAAATACTGTGATACATCAAACATTAAAAGCATCCCTAAACAGGGCTGCCTTCAGATGTCTTCTAAAAGTCTGGTAGTTGTTGTTCTCTTTGACATCTGGTGGGAGGGCGTTCCACAGGGAGGGCGCCACTACCAAGAAGGCCCTCTGCCTGGTTCCCTGTAACTTGGCTTCTCGCAGTGAGGGAACCGCCAGAAGGCCCTCAGTGCTGGAACTCAGTGTCCGGATAGAACGATGGGGGTGGAGACGCTCCTTCAGGTATACTGGACCGAGGCCGTTTAGGGCTTTAAAGGTCAGCACCAACACTTTGAATTGTGCTCGGAAACGTACTGGGAGCCAATGTAGGTCTTTCAAGACCGGTATTATATGGTCTCGGCGGCCGCTCCCAGTCACCAGTCTGGCTGCTGCGTTCTGGATTAGTTGTAGTTTCCGGGTCACCTTCAAAGGTAGCCCCACGTAGAGCGACTTGCAGTAGTCCAAGCGGGAGATAACCAGAGCATGCACCACTCTGGCGAGGCAGTCCGCAGGCAGATAGGGTCTCAGCCTGCGTACCAGATGGAGCTGGTACACAGCTGCCCTGGACACGGATTTAACCTGTGCCTCCATGGACAGCTGTGAGTCCAAAATGACTCCCAGGCTGCGCACCTGGTCCTTCAGGGGCACAGTTACCCCATTCAGGACCAGGGAATCCTCCACACCTGCCCGCCTCCTGTCCCTCAGAAACAGTACTTCTGTTTTGTCAGGATTCAATCTCAATCTGTTAGCCGCCATCCATCCTCCAACCACCTCCAGACACTCACACAGGACCGTCACCGCCTTCACTGGTTCTGATTTGAAAGAGAGGTAGAGCTGGGTATCATCCGCATATTGATGAACACCCAGCCCAAACCCCCTTATGATCTCTCCCAGCGGCTGCATGTAGATGTTGAAAAGCATAGATAGAATTGTAGATAGAATTGACCCGTGGTTTTATTTACGTTAACTCATTTGGATATTTCCAACAGTCTTTAAGCCTGAAGAGCTGCGCCAGGCCCTCATGCCCACCCTGGAAGCTTTGTATCGCCAGGACCCAGAGTCCTTGCCCTTCCGGCAGCCCGTGGACCCTCAACTCCTGGGGATTCCGGTAAGTGAGAAGGTGGACTGGGTGTCCCTGGGCCTTTCCAGGAACCAGTGGGTCGGTCTTGGCACCATAGCTAAGTAACAATCTCAGGCAGATTGAATTGAAGCCAGTTGAGCAGCAGAGTGTTTTGCAAGCGGGTCACAACCATCTCTCATAGGGTGTGGGTTTGTCAGGTAGGCAGTTGTGGGTAATTTTCACCGTTGGGCAGTCCTTTGACTGGTGGCAATTCTTTCAGGTTTAGGTTCTAAAGTAATCCCTGTGGTCTTGCTGCCCAGGAGCTCCTGTAGCTCCCGGAGCCAAGCGCATAGTCTATTAGTCTGCCCTACAGCCAAAGTCTTCTTCCAGGTCTGTCTCTGAGTAGACAAATACAGGAAATTTGAAGGCAAGACAGGATTTTCCACAGTTAAGAATTTCTTTCAAGTGAGGACTGTTTTCAAGGTTTACTGTACCTTTCTGTCTAGGTCATTATTTTGTGTAGCACTGCTCAGAAGTTGGGACAGTTGGCTTCAGTAAGTGCGACGTCTTGAGCTGCTTAATGGCTGCTGTTGCTAACGGAGCTTTGGGCATCTGTTTATTCAGAGCTGTAGGAATCCAGAGGGTGGTGTTGTCATCCCACCCAGATGGCAGTTCAGCCCGATTCTCTCTAAACCCTGACAATGTGTGATTTTTGCAAGCAACATCCACCTGTGACAGCACCCTAATTTCAGGTGCATTAGACTGGTCAAGACGCAGGGTCCCTAAGAGTGAGATCTGGCTGGGTGGGGATTTCAACCCAAGTCTCCCAGGCACTCTAACCATTACGCGACACAGTCTCCTGAGGAGGTTGCTGTTATGATGGGCTGCTCTCCCATCAATAAAAATTGCTGTTTTTTGGAAACTTTGAATTTGAATGCCCAGCTGACACTGTGTTCCTTCTTTTTTCTAATTTGCAGGACTATTTTGACATAGTGAAGAATCCCATGGATCTTTCCACCATTAAGCGCAAGTTGGACACAGGGCAGTATCAAGAGCCCTGGCAGTACGTGGATGATGTCTGGCTAATGTTCAATAATGCCTGGCTTTATAATCGCAAGACGTCACGAGTCTATAAATTTTGCACTAAGCTGGCCGAGGTCTTTGAACAAGAAATCGACCCTGTTATGCAGTCCTTGGGATACTGTTGTGGACGCAAGGTATTCATGGTTTCTTCACAGCTATGGTCGTTGAACATACAAAACCTGTGTGTTTCATATTCACAGTGTGAATATGTGCATTTATCAGAACCTTCTCTTTGAGAAGCTGATTTTATGAGATTTACTTTAAATGTCATTTAAAAGGGGTTGTATCCATTTTTAGGCATAATTACCCCCTGAAATTAGTGGACCCAAGTTAATCATATTAATTTCAGTGGATCTGCTCTGAGTAGGACCAGCAGGTCTTTATTTTCAAAATCTTTGTGTTGAATTTTGACAGATTCTTGTACTTAAAAATGTTGACTCAGATACATGCGCAGGTGTGTGTTCCACTTGCTACAATTTGATGAGAGCTAGATTGACTTCATATGCGCAGCACATCATGCTCTACAACTAGTAAAATTGTGCAAGTGAGGGCTTCTTTTGTGGCTCCTCGCAACAGCGGCTGCATGCTTCCCTCAGAATGAGGCAGCAAAAGCTGCTGAGTATCAGTTGGGGCGGAGCAGCAGCAGAAGGAAGGGCTTGTGATCTCATGCCCTGCTTGCAGGCGTCCCAGATGCACCTCGTTGGTCACTGGGGGAAATGGGGTGTGAGACCAGAGGGACCCACTTTGGTCTGATCTAGTGGTAGCCAGGCTTTTTTAATTCTTCCTAAAAAGTGCTCTTGAATTTTTAAAAAGATGAGCCACTGTCATGTTTTTTGGCCCACATGGATCTTTCTCAAGGAGATCCGTGTGTGAACTTTCCTGCCCTGAGCATTTGGTTACTAAACTTGGAGTGCACATTGTCAGAACAAACATTTTAAGGCATTGTGCTCTGCAAATATGATGAATAATGCTGCAATTGTCTACTATCTGTAATAAAGTGAGCCAGCAGCTAACACTAAGTATTTTAAATTCATACATAAAGGTCAGAGAACACAGAACAGTCTGCTTAAAATATCTATTACTTTTAAAAAGTGTTGATGGCTTGCAGGCTGTTTTACAGTTTCTAAATTCCGCCTGCACAGCGTTGCAAAGAGCTCCTCTGCAGATGTTGGCTAACTGACTAAATAACTATCCCAAGAGCACCTAGACAGAAGAATAATGCTCCGTTAGGGTTTGGTTTTTTTAATACTACAGATTTTAGTTAGACATTGCATTATGCTCAATCTCTTACTGTTTTCTGAGAATTTCTAACTTTCTGGATTTATCTCTTTTAATGAGTGCGAGTGCAGCCCAGTGCGGCCGTGTCTCCTTCCTGCTCTTCCCAGATGCAGCCCTGCTCTTCAGCCACCTGTCAAACAGGCCAATTTGCACACACCCATTTTTCTTTTCCAATTGGCACATCATATTCAGTGGCTGCTGGCTATGCTCCATACAGGACTATTTTTTTGAGGGGAAGGGGGTTGTCCTCTTGGAGAGAACAACAGTGAACAGTGAATTAAAACAATAAAATTCTGAAACTAAAAAAGCGCTGCCTCTGCTGTAGAAGAAATTTGTGCCACACAAATGTGTGCCTTTAGTTCATGCATCTAGTCATCTGTTCTCTCTGGCTTTTCTTCTTTTTCAGTACGAATTTTCTCCCCAGACCTTGTGCTGTTATGGGAAGCAGCTGTGTACTATTCCCCGGGATGCCGCCTACTACAGTTACCAGAACAGGTAAGTCTGGGCCTTCTCAGGACTCAGAGTGGCACAGTATTTTCTTAGAGCAGGACCTGAGCTTAGAGGTGGCTCCTCGCCCCACAAGAACACGGACAAGGAGTCCCTGGAGAGTTCCCACCAAGACTGACTAGCCCTCAAGGGGCTAACAAGTGGCCTGTTTTGATGTTTTCAGAAAAGCTCCCCACCCCACTTGGGGCTTGGACTATTGCGGTGATTTAGTGAAGGTATCCCCTGGCAAGCTCCTTGGCTGGTGGGTTGCATGTAGCTTGGAAGCTCATGAGTCAAAATAAAAGAGAGAGAGCAAAAATAAAGAGAAGGGGAAGGAAGGAGAGGTGGCAATTTCACGTTGGCTTATTTACAACACGGTGGTACCTTGGTTTAAGAACAGCTTAGTTTATGAACAACTTGGATTAAGAACGCTGCAAACCCAGAAGTGGGTGTTTTGGTTTGTGAACTTTGCCTTGGAAGCAGAACACATTCTGCTCATAGCTGTCAACCTTCTCTTTTTTTGTGGGAAATTCCCTTATTCCAGCGCCGTTTCCCGCTGCTATCCCGGATTGTTAGATATCCCGTAGACTGTCCCCGGGACAGGTGAGGCTGCTGATCCCTTATTTTCAAATCTGAAAGTTGACAGCTATGGCTCTGCTTCCTGTTCAGTGTGTTCCATTTGTAAATTCTGCTATGGGAAAGCATGCCTTGGTTTAAGAACACTTTGGTTTAAGAACGAACTTCCGGAACGGATTAAGTTCATAAATCAAGGTACCACTGTACCATACTGGGACTAGCAGGTTGTTCCAAAAACTTCCTGGAAAGGTGGGGTTTTAGGTTGCAATCCTGTAAATGCTTACCTGGGAGCAAATCAGCTGAACTCAACGTGGATTACTTCTGAGCAGAATGCACTCTTATATTGTCCAGGAATCGTGGAGTTTTTTAATTTTTGTAGTTATTCGGTGACTGCACACATAGGATTTAAAAATCATGAACTACTGAATGGAGGCCTTGGGCAAAGTCCTGGTTTTAATAACTCCTCCCTCTGGTTGCTGTCAGTTGTGCACCCTGCTGTCGAGGCCACCCACCCCCCTCTCTTGCTCACTGGGTCCCCTATGGAGGAGCGGGGGCCCTGTCTGTTGCTGCTTTCTCCCTGGGGAGGCGCTTCTGGTGCCTGAAAATCATCACCGGCCCCTGGTTTTCCGAGTAGCTCTTGGTTGCTAGCTTGTCTTCTGGGAACACACTTGCCCCGTAGGTTTCAATAAAAAACTCTCTCCCCTTGAACGAGATAGTCCCAGGAGACTCTCAGCCTGTGGACATTTGTGTGTATGTAAAGACCTCCCAGGAAACGGCTTTCTCATCTCCCCTTGGTTGGTTCATTGTGGTGACCAGAGTGGAGAGCTGTGGTGTTTGGACGGCTGACGCTGTCATGGCTGCTCCCACCTGTTTCCTCTGTTTGTCTCAAGGCATCCCGGTGTGTCTCTGTCGTCCGTCCGTCCGTCCGTCCCCCCCCCCCCCATGGATTGCCCTAGCCTGTGTTTCTTACCTTCCTTGGTGTTTCAGTTCATACCCTTTCCAAACATTTAGTCAAGATTGCCTCAGAAGGGGATAGGTTTTGCTTCCAGTTTACCCAAAGCAAAACAAGAAATACGGACTTGGGCCTTATTCGAACGCAGGTTTGTGTCTGAAAGAGACCTTTGCTTTTAACCTTCTTGGATTACTTAAAAGCAGCAAGGGATGTGGAAGACTGACCAGTTCAGTTTGGTTCACAAAATTTTTCACAAGTTCCTATTTCACTTTGCAAAGCCTTGATCTATTTATTTATTTTTTTGCTATATTGTATTTAATTACAATATAAACGATGTAGTTTATAAAGTTTACACACGTGACTGGAAACACTGAGCGACAGAAATGCATTTCTGTTAAATGTTTGTCTAGAGTATGAATTGGGTGTCGTTTGTGTTCTACTACATTTTAATTGAGCAGCTGGTCACATTTAACGCAAGGTTTTCCATCTTGAATGCTTTAATGCATTTGGCAATGTTGAAATTGTTCCTGCTTCTGTGGCTTTAATAAAATAATGGCAGTCTCATGATTCTGGCTACTGTGAGACTGCTTTCTTCTTAAAACCCGACCTGAGAATTGGATCCAAATTCTGAAACGGATGCCCTTGGAAGTCTGCTCCAGAGCCTCTCCTGGTCACCAGCGGTGGCCTGTGGCGGCTGAAATGCGACCGAATGCTCCCCTGCGCTCTTGGCCGTGCCTTTCTGCTCTGCCATGTCCTGGTGTCTGTCTCTTACTACTTCTGTCTGTGCTGTTTGTCCCTTTCCCTCCCCTCTGCTCCTCCTCATTGGCCACACTGACCCATCAATCGACCAACCAACGACGCTCCCCCTCCTCTCGCCTTGGTGATCTCTGCCCTGCTCTGATTGGTGGCTCCCTTGCTTGGGTTGCTCTGTGTTTTGATGGACCAGTTCACCCAAATATGGCCTTCTTGCTGACAGGTATCACTTCTGTGAGAGATGTTTCACTGAAATCCAGGGGGAAAACGTAACCCTTGGTGATGACCCTGCCCAGCCACAAACGTAAGTAATTTCTTTTCTTTTATTTAAATGCCGGGTAAAAGTAATGAGAGGACAGGTTCCATCATGCCTCAGGTGCAGCAGGAAGAGATGTGCTTCTCATTCAGGGTGCAGCCCCCCAGGTGCAACTTCTGCTTGGCTTTGGAGTCTCGTTTGCTCCGAAGAAAGCTGCATCTCCCAGCCTTTGCCGGGAGAACAAAGGAGCATGGCGAGCTGACGTTCCATTGCACTTAGAAGTTCAACAGTGTCCCGCGGAAGGGCCCCAGTTCACATACTTAGCGGCCTTGGGTAAACCCTTGTGCCTCAGCCTTCAGCCCCGTGTTCTGCAATTTGTGGTTAATAATCTAGGCTGGTTGAAAAGATTTCAAAAAGTGAATTAAGAGCAGATTTTCAATGCCCAGGCAAGATGCCCAAAACTTAACTCCTCTGAATGTTGTTCATTCTCCGTAGGTGTGGCGCTTGCTTAGGTGACCCTCTGACCTGTAAGCCCCTTCCTGCCATGTCCCTTGGCAGCTTTCTGTATTGTCATTAACCTACATGAAAGCCTAAGTGTTTTCTCAAATTGGCTTCAAGAATAGAGTTGACTTGGGATCTGTTTTTACCTGCTGATAGTTAGCCTGCCATAGCTGGTGTGGATAACTGGGCTGGCAATTATTTAGTTCGAAGGTTTGCTTGTTTAAAAGGTTTATGGCCCTCTCTTCCTTCAAATAATCCCAGAGCAAGGTACAATATAAAATATAGGCTCTAAATTATACACAGCAATAAATTGCACAACTTGTGCAATTGACATATCGAAAAGCTTGAGTGAATAAATGCTACAAACCCTCCAGGGTCAGTCATCCCTGAGAGAGGAGAGCGCCCTATAATGGGAACACCAGCCCTGAGAATGCCTCTCCCAGGTTGCATCCTAACAGAGACTGCAAACACAGGGTCATAACAAACGAGCAGGTCCACATGGGAGCAGGTGAATCGTCCAATATCTAGGTCCTGAGCCGTGATGGGCTTTGTGTGTTGGAACAAGCACCTTGACCTTGGTTTGGGAGCCATGCAGCCACCTGTGCACCTCCTTCGGAATGGGGGTCCTGATTTCTTGGCAGGCTGCTGCTGAGGCTTCTGGACCTGGTTCAAGGGATGCCCCACATGGAGCACATTGCAGTAATCCAGACACGAGGTACCAGTGTGTGGATTGCCATAGCCAAGCAATCCCTGCCCAGGAATGTCAGCCAGAGCTGGTAACAGGCACTCCTTGCCTTGGAGCCCCCTTTTACCTTCCTCAGACACCTTGGATCCAGGGGTACCCTGGCTACGACCCTCTTCCTCCAGGGGAGTGCAACCCCACCCCAAAGCGGCAAACTGCACCCTTCCCAGACCTGGGAGCTGCCTTCTCCCCACATCCTCCTCCTTATTAGGGTTAGGACTTGCTCTTAGGAGTGTCCTGAAGGAGTCCCTCCCTCTGCAGATACCTTTTTAGGAAGAGGTGTGCTCCCTGGCTAGGATGAAGCGGAGCAAAGTGCAAGACTAAACTTACTCTGTGTCTCTTTCTGCAGAACAATATCAAAAGATCAGTTTGAGAAGAAGAAAAATGATACACTAGACCCAGAGCCGTAAGTATCAAGACATCTCAGCATGAAGCCCTTTTTCATACTTTTTAAAAGTCCTTGGCTAGAATTAGCATGAGCAAAGCTGTGCTCCATCGAGTCAAAGGAATTGCAGAGGCAGGCAGGCAGTTTATTGTACCACATTAGCCTTTATGTCGTAAAGACACATTTGCGCATGTGACTCCATGGAGCGAACTGTTTAGATTCCAACAGCAGTTGCTGTTCAGCTGCAGATCCTTCGCTTGCAGCTGTTTCTGCTTAAACCAAAACAAACTAATTCAATATAATTTTGCCTTTTGTGCTGCTGTTTCCCTGTTGCATCCTCCCTGGTTACTAGCCAAACATAACTCAGTATTTCCTCTTGTGGTCTGAGTTGTGTCTCAGGTGTGGATGCTCATTACCCAGCCCAAACAGAGCTGCCGGAGGCCTGATTCTGGTTCATTTGGGAAAGATTAGGACCTCATCATTGTTTGTGGAGATCCCCGCCTGCGTCATGTGTGCTTTTTGCCTGGTTAGCAAGTGCACGGCACCTGCACACAGCCTCTCTTGCCATCTGGCCCTAAGCGGGAGCTGCTTCTGTGGCGCTTTGTCCTGAGGTAGCAGAGCTGCTCTGCGCTCTTTGTGCCAAATCTGTTGTCTTTATACCATCTACTGATGGGTGCAAGTATTGCAGCTCCACTCCCAATGTTTCTGCAAGAGCCGGTTTCTAATTCGACTGCTCCAGCAGTTTCCCAGGGAGTCAGTAAGAAATGAGGCTCTATATTGCAAACAATGGACAGATTTAATGGGGTTTCCATGAAATGCCCGTTCCTGCCTGCCATCTTTGAACTTTTTCTTCATGGCTTTAGGTATAAAGTGCAAAGCATAAGCTGGACATGATATGACTTCACACTCAGCGCTATAAAAATGCTTTTTATTACTAATGCCAAACATGAGTGTCCCAGAGAATATCTGGTATGTTTAACAAGATTGCCCACTGTCGTCGTATTTCATATTTATTGTCCACTGAGGCTCCTCAACCTTTTAAAAATCCAAATTCCAAGAAAACTATATTTTTTAAAAATATACTGGCAATATAAAATATTACACAGTGCTCAAATCACCCTTTCTTATTCTTGGTCGTAAAGCCAAGTGAAAGATTTTGCAAACTTCAGGGAGGAAGTGAGTTAATAATCTCCTCATAATACTTAGATATTTAAAATATTATTATTATTTATGTTATTATTTAAAGTTTTGTGACTAGGGAAGTATTCTCTGGCTCCTCTTTGTGCTTCCACATTTTCGCTTTAAGAAAACCAAGGCTCGTTCTCTTGCCTGCTTTCCTCCCTCAGCTTTGTGGACTGCAAGGAATGTGGCCGGAAGATGCACCAGATCTGTGTGTTGCATTATGACATTATTTGGCCTTCAGGGTAAGTAGCTTCGAAAGGTGTCGGGGTTTGGGCTGGTGAAGCTTTAGCAAACCTCCTAGGTTCTTTTTCAGTTCAAATGATTTGAAACAACAATGTCTTCACTCTGGCAAAGATGCAAAGGTTTGATTGGAAGCTCAGCATTTGCCCAAGCGCCTTGGGGTCTTGAGCCAGAGGCCTCCCTCTCTGCTGATGCCCCCTGGAAGACCCAGCCAATGGCATCTTCTGCTTTCCCATGGGATGCCCAGTCCCAGCCCTCTCAGCACTTTCTCCGTCGTTCACTCTCTGCCTTGTTTTGGGGCACCTCGCTGCCAACAAGTTTCTCAAGGCCTCGGCTTTTGTACGCACTTTGTCCATTGCCAGAAGAGTGATAGATGAATGGGTCAGAGGAAAACAGAAGGAAGGGGGCTCCAGTCCATGTGGGTGATGCCACACAGGCCCCAGGGCATTCACACGAGATCAGTTCAAGCACAAAGTCTTTTGATATTGCAGATTCAGCCATGTGACCTCTAAAGGAGTGTAGGGGAGAGAGGGTCTTTGGCCCACCTGGTTTCTCAGCACTCAGGTGCTGTGGCCTCTTGGGGTGGCATCTCCCCTCCAGCAGAACTGCCCTGCCAGGTGTTGGATGTGCCCATTTTGGAGATCCTGCCAAAGCTGCCGCCAGGTTGGGTTGAGGTTTGGTGTTGCCCAGCGGTCAATAGACAACATGGCAATCTTGCCCATGGACTGCCGGGCAGCACCAAAACTAAGCCCAATCTGGTGGCAGCACAGCCTGCCAAAAGGCCACCCTGGAAGCCAGAAGGGCTGGAGCTTGAGCCCCCCGAAAGTGGGCTGGCGTGGCCTGGAGCCCCACCTTGATGACAGGCCCGGTCACAGGAAGAAGCAGCTGAAACACCGAGAGGTTTTTGGCTGCCACTGTGTTCACTGTGTTTGCTTTGTTATGATATTAGCTTTCATAACTTACTAGCTCTCTGTTGTGGTTTTAGCTTTGTGTGTGACAACTGCTTGAAGAAAACTGGTCGAACACGCAAAGAAAACAAATTCAGTGCCAAAAGTAAGTCTGTGGCCTCCTTAGTTGTATATGAAGATGCTTTTAATACAGTGTCTTAATGCACCCCCATGCACCTTTCTAAGGTCTCTATTTTTGGAAAGTAACCTTGTGGGGGAAGGGGTGCTGTTGGGCTAGATCCTGTGGGGAGGCTTCAGTCGAAATGGAAAATCAAGGGTGCAGTTTTAAAACTAAAGTAAAAGCATGTAATCTGTTACAAATAAACAGAATATGCCCAGCACTGGTATGTGCATAACATCAAATAAGTCGTAAGTTGACTGTTGTGATGTACAATTAATCATGTTGACACTCTCCAAAGGCTACTGAGCAGATGTAGCAGTCACAGAATCAGAGGGCAGGACTCCTCTTCTGGGCAGGGAGCTGGTTAAAGAACAGGAAGCAGGAAAGACAGAAGGGAACAGACTTTCTCACAAATAAGGGAAATAGGAAGTTGAGTCCCCGAGAATCTGTTCTGGGACTGGTGGTATTTCACATGTTCACAAATGATTTTGTCAGGGATGAGCAGTGAAGTGGCAGTTTGCCGATATCGCCAAAGTATTTTGAATTGAGTTGGGATCTTTTAGGATTTACATTGGGTGTCTAAGTAAGCAAGTTAGTACCAGATTGTTGTGGGATAGTAACTTATTTTGGAGGCTGTGGTAAGGTTAAGGGAAATTGCTGAAATAAGAGGGAAAGTTGGCTAAAAAAAGGAGAATGCATAGTTTGTGGAGAGGAGTACAGTGGTGCCCCGCAAGACGAATGCCTCGCAAGACGGAAAAACCGCTAGACGAAAGGGTTTTCCGTTTTGAAGTTGCTTCGCAGGACGAATTCCCCTATGGGCTTGCTTCGCAAGACGAAAATGTCTTGCGAGTCTTGAGATTTTTTTCGCTTTTCCCCCTTTATCTAATCTGCTAAGCCTTTAATAGCCTTTAATAGCCTTTTAGCAGCTAATCCCCTAAGCCTTTAAGCCTTTAATAGCCGCTAAACAGCTGATAGCGCTAATAGCGCTAATCCGTCAATGGGCTTGCTTCGCAAGACGAAAAAACCGCTAGACGAAGACTCTTGCGGAACGGATTAATTTCGTCTTGCGAGGCACCACTGTATAAACATGTTAAGGGTTCAGAGGGTGGTAGACCTTGAAAAGGGAAATGTGAAAAGAATGGCCCTTGATGCTGCCAGGAGTCTCCACAGCTGAGAGGGCAAGATTCACTATTTATGCATTGTGCCACTTCAGAAAGTAGGCAGGACTCAACATGCCTTTGCTAGCCAGATAAATGTTCTTATTCCACGGAGCCTTCAGACACAAACACTTCCCTGCCTTCCCCTTGGCTTCCTGCTCAGTTCTTCTCAGCTCGTTTTTCAAAGCTGGCTTTGAGCCCAACCCAAACTATCTTTCCCCATTGGTTTCAAAGGGAGCACAGCAAAGGGACCAAGCCCTACGTTTTTCTAAGTCTGACCTGAACGTGGTGGGAATCTGGATGCTCTCTCTCTGCCTCCCAAGGGTGACTTCCTCCCACAGCTCTTTCCTTGCACTTTCCCCTGTAGGGTTGCAGACCACCCGCCTAGGAAACCATTTGGAAGAGAGAGTCAATAAATTTTTGCGACGGCAGAATCACCCGGAAGCTGGCGAAGTGTTTGTGAGAGTGGTGGCCAGCTCAGATAAAACGGTGGAAGTGAAACCGGGGATGAAATCCAGGTGAGTTCTGGCCTTCCTCAGCAGGCGCACATTGAAACAGTTGTCATCTGCACCATTTCATTTATTCTGACTACAGAAATAGTAATTCTTAATTATACTATACTATTAGCATTTTCAAGGACACGGGTGGCACTGTGGGCTAAACCACAGAGCCTAGGGCTTGCCGATCAGAAGGTCGGCGGTTCGAATCCCCGCGACGGGGTGAGCTCCTGTTGCTCGGTCCCTGCTCCTGACAACCTAGCAGTTCGAAAGCACGTCAAAGTGCAAGTAGATAAATAGGTACCACTCTGACAGGAAGGTAAACAGTGTTTCCATGCGCTGCTCTGGTTCGCCAGAAGCGGCTTAGTCATGCCAGCCACATGACCTGTATGCAGGCTCCCTCGGCCAATAAAGCGAGATGAGCACCACAACCCCAGAGTCGTCCGCGACTGGACCTAATGGTCAGGGGTCCCTTTACCTTTTTATTAGCATTTTGTCTCCATAGAATCTTTTTTTTTAATGTGCTTTATAGGCAGGTGAGGAGAATACCTGGTTGAGTGCATAGCAGCAGCACATAGAGCTGGAATCAGCTTGGGGGGAAATTCCCAAAACATGGTCATTTTCAGCTGTTTTCATGCAAGAGCCTAGCCAGTGGGCTGTCTTGAGCCCAGTATCATAGAATGGTAGAGTTGGAAGGGACCCTGAGAGTCATTTAGTCCAACCCCCTGCAATGCAGGAATCTCATGTAAAGCTTCCATGAGAGATGGCCATCCAACCTCTGCTTAAAAACCTCCAGGGAAGGAGAATCTGAGGGAGTCTGCTCCACAGTTGAACAGCTCGTACGGTCAGAAAGGTTTCTCGTAACTTGAATCCTTTGGTTTGTGCCCTGCCCTGTGTAGCAGCAGAAAACACGCTTGCTCCATCTTCCATGTGACAGCCCTTAAAGATAGTTGAAGGTGGCTATCGTACAGTGAGGGGGCAAAGTATTTGATCCCCTTGCCTGTTTGCCCTCTGACAAAGAAATGACCAGTCCATAATTTTAATGGTAGGTTTGTTGTAGCTGTGAGAGACAGAATAACAACAGGAAAACCCCCAGAAACCCAGAAGAAAAAAGTCAGGGATTGATGTGCATTATAATGAGTGAAGTAAGTTTTTGATCCCTTTGCAAAAGTCCTTGCTGGCAATTACAGAGGTCAGATGTTTCTTGTAGACGGCCACCTCCTCATTTCCAGGCTAGACATTCTCAGTTCCCTTGGGACAAAGCCTAACTGGCCTGTTCCAAAGATAGCTGCCGGTTTCCAGTCTAGCTTTCACTCATAACCTAATCGTATACGAAGGTTTCCTTGAGAGTAGCAGGGGCTCTGTTGCCATTGGTAATCAGCCCATCCTAGTAGTCCCCGGGGAGTATGTTTGCAATGAAGTGGCTGTTGACGGCATTATCTTTCCATCAGATTTGTAGACTCTCGTGAGATGGCCGAGTCCTTCCCCTATCGCACAAAGGCTCTCTTTGCTTTTGAAGAGATAGATGGCGTGGACGTCTGTTTCTTTGGCATGCATGTGCAGGAATACGGTTGGGATTGCCCACCCCCAAACACCAGGTACGTGGCATTGCTTCCGGTGGGCTGTGGTTCTCCTTGCCTTGCCAATGAGACACATTTCCCTGAATTTTGCCTTGGTTCCATTTTTGTCTCTTTCTCCCCTTCTCGTCTGTCTTGTTCCCAGAATCCAAAAATTCTAAATTTCTTTTTATCCCAAGCCACACTTTTTCATAATTATCTTTGTAAATATTTATACTTTTTGCAGTTAACCATATCCCTAAATATTTTACTTTTTTATGGACTTCTATCTCAATGCTTTGCTCCAACTCTTTTTTCTCTTCTTCCTTCAAATCTTTTACTTATAACTTAGTTTTCTTTCTATTTAATTTAAATCCTGCCACTTCCCCAAATTTTTGAATCTTTTCTATAACTCTAGGGAGAGAGTTTTTTGGATCTTCTACTGTAATCACTAAATTATCAGCATATGCTTTCAGTTTGAACTCACTTTTCCCAGTTTTTATCCCACTGATCTCTTTGTCTGCTCTTATATTTCTAGCAAGTACTTCCAGGACCAGGATGAACAAAAGCGGTGATAATGGACAACCTTGTCTAGTTCCTTTTTGTATCTTACAATCAGCCGTTATCACCTGATTTACAATAAATTTAGCTTTTTGTTCTGAATATATTGCTGGTATTCCTTTTAAAAAATTGGGTCCGCAATTAATTTCTTCAAGTAATTTTGTCATAAAATTCCAAGAGACATTGTCAAATGCTTTTTCGGCATCTATAAACATCATTGCTGCTTTCTTTTCATTTTTGACCTCCAGGTATTCTATTACATTCAGAATATTTCTTATATTCTCTTTCATTTGTCTACCTGGGAGGAATCCTGCCTGATCTTGATGTATATACTCATCTAATATTTTTTTCATTCTATTAGCTAAAATATTTGCAAATAATTTATAATCATTATTTAACAATGAGATGGGCCTATAATTTTTAATTTGCAGTAAATCTGAATCTTGTTTTGGAATTACTGTAATATAAGCCTCTTTCCATGTTTCTGGAATTTCACCTGTATTTAAAATCTCATTCATAACATCTTTCAATGGGTTTACCACTTGTTCACTTAATTTTTTATAGTACTTTGCCATTAATCCATCTGGACCAGGAGACTTGCCATTTTTTGTCCACTTTATTGCCTCTAACACTTCTTGAACTGTTACTGGAGTGTTTAAGATCACCATTTGTTCCTCTTTTATGTTTGGTAGATTACTGCTTTTAATATATTCCTCTATTTTTAAAAAAAAATTCCTTCCCTTTCCTGTATAAATCTGAGAAATATTTTACAAATGCTGCTCTTATTTCCTTCAGCTTATCTGTGATCATTCCATTTATATTAATTTTATTTATGGAGATCCTTTGTTCACTTTTCTTCAACTGCCACGCTAGCAGTTTTCCTGATTTATTGGCATGCTCAAAATATTTTTGTTTCATTCTTTTTATTTTCCAGCTAATTTCCTTATTAACTATCATAGAATATTGTGTTTGTAATATTCTAATTGCCTATTTGACTGGCTCTTTATTTGCTTTCTTTGACAATTGTTTCTCCTTATTCACAATTTCATCTAAAATCTCTTTTTCCCTTTTTTCTTTCTATTTTTTTTTAAATGAGTTTTGTTGTATAAACAGTCCCCTCCTTACCGCCTTACTTGCATCGCAGATCGTCTGCAATTTTGTCTGTACTTGAGTGTTTGTTTCAAAATAATCACTCAAGGCATTTTTAGCTTTTTCCATAAATTTTTGATCATCTAATAAATCTTCATTCAGTCTCCATCTGAATGAAATTTGGCTTTCTTTTTGTATTTCCATTGTCAAGGAATTACGATCTGAAAATGTCCTGTGATCTCAATGTTTTTAACTCAAGGTTCCAACACTTTGGATATCCAGAAAGAGTCTATTCTTGAACTACTATCATAAACATTGCTATAATAAGTGAACTCTTTGTCAAACAGATGTCTTGTTCTCCATATATCTATCAAATTCAAAGTTTGAGCCAAATCAAAAAAAGTCTTTGGTAATCTACCTTCTTTTGTTTCTTTTTTCCTAGCTGATCTTTCTTTTTCTAATGATGGGACTCCATTTAAATCTCCCATTAAAATCATCTTTTGATCTGCAAATTCAAGTAATTCTGTTTCCAGTTTTTTGAAAAAGACTGCTTTTTTCTCGTTGGGTGCATAAATTCCTACCAAGATCACCTTCTCTCCCTGAATTTTTATTTGTATTATTAAAATCCTACCTTTTTCATCCTTCTGAATCATTTTGGGTTCTAGTGCAGGATTAACATAAAAAATCACTCCTCTTTTTTTTGCTTTGTCCGCCGAAATGAAGTCCAAGCCTCTATTTGCCTAGACTGTGTCGTCCCTTAAGCGGACGACACGGAGCTCACCGCCATTAACCTCCGCAGCGAACCGAAAGTCTCCTTCTCTTCTCTCTTGTTCCCAGATATCAAAAATTTTGTTGCTTAGGTCTGCATGCAATTTAGCTCTGTCCACACGTTAAAAACACACAGCCTGAAATTGTAGGTCATTTGAATTGTGATGGCGATGGGGCCCAGCAGGCAACCCTCCTTCCAACTCTGTCATTTGGGGACAACCACGTAGCTGTCAAGCGCAACTCCACAAACTCTCTCTTCCCTTTTGTCACAGGCGTGTTTACATCTCCTACTTAGATAGCATTCATTTCTTCCGCCCAAGATGCCTGCGAACTGCAGTCTATCATGAAATCCTTATTGGCTATCTGGAATACGTCAAGAAATTGGGGTGAGTGTTTTGTTGTGGCGTCTTTGCATCGGCACATCGGGGGGGGGCTCTGCCTCATTACGTGCTGCTTGCTCCTGCGTTGTGAAGTGGGGTCACCTTGTATCTACGGGACCGCCTCTCCTGGTCTGCCCCACAGCGGACCTTAAGGTCCATGAATAACCATAGTTTAGAAGTCCCGGGCCCTAAGGAAGTCAGACTATCCTCCACCAGGGCCAGGACCTTCTCAGTGATGGCTTCGACCTGGTGGAATGCTCTGTCCCATGGGACCAGGGCCCTGCAGGATTTAACCTCCTTCTGCAGGGCCTGTAAGACAGAGCTATTCCGCCTGGCTTTCAATTTGAACTTAGCCTGATCTTTTATTCCCCTTCCTTCCTTCCCTCCCCTTCCCCTTTTTATGAAGATTACCCGCTCTGGGATACCACAGCTAATTCTCCCCTGGTCTCCTCACCGGCCCAAATAGGACTAATTTAGCCAGCTAGCCCTGGGGATCATCTAATGTTTATTGGATGGATTTCCCCCCTAAATTGATTCTTGAATTCTGAATTTATTGTTATTCACGTTTTATACTGTCTTTTATGCTGTTTTTTGTTGCATCAATTAAGTGTTTTAAATTTGTTGTTAGCCGCCCTGAGCCCGGTTTTTTGAACTGGGAAGGGCAGGGTATAAATAAAAAAATATTATTGTTATTATGAGGGCTTTTCAGTGCAAAAAAGTGTGTTGTCTGGTGCTCTGGCCACAAGGTCCCATGCACTAGTTCTGGAAACATTGCTGGTCTGCTTCAACTCTGAGCCACAGCAGAAACAGCTGCAGAAGCGGCCAGATGTTGGAGCTCCCCCAGGTTGTGGTGGCTGATGCAGGACACACTGGGAGAGGGAAGGTGGGGCAGATGCGCTTTCCAAGCCTCCCTCTGGTCCTTGGATGTTCCCGTTCGTGGGTGGTAAAATACCTTCAGGTGTGGGCCCAAGGCATCCCTGGGCAGTAAGTCCGAGAAAGCGCAGCCTTGTGACATTGGCCTGCAAGTGAGCAGTTTCCCAGCAGAGGCCATCCTGAGATCCTGGGTGGGACAGTCCTTAACTTGGATGCTTTTGCTTTTGTGCGGCGTCCAGGTACGTGACGGGCCACATCTGGGCCTGCCCCCCAAGTGAGGGGGATGATTACATCTTCCACTGCCACCCTCCTGACCAGAAAATCCCCAAGCCCAAGCGCCTGCAGGAATGGTACAAGAAGATGCTGGACAAGGCCTTTGCGGAGAGGATCATTCATGACTACAAGGTGAGGGGGACGGGGGGCTGGTTGCTGGGGCAGCTGGGAGGCAGGCGGGCCAGGCCTCTGAGATTAAGGGTCAGCTCCTTCAGGCTAAGATGGGGGTCGTTGTTTTTAAGCATCCATATTAGAAATTTAAAAAACAGCTAATTTGGCATCTTAGTATTTTAGGGAATTCCCTGTTTAGGGAATTTTTAAATGTTTGATCATGTTTTTAAAATTTTGTTGGGAGCCGCCCAGAGTGGCTGGGGAAACCAGTCGCTGGGGTATAAATAAATTATCATTGTCATCATCTATTTATTATTATTTAAATGAAAAGGAGTTTTTATTTTAGGACCTTCAGCACAGTGGCATGTATTTTTTTCACAAATGCCTGGTGTGCAATAGGCTTTGGCTGCAATCCTAACCTCATCTGCTGGGGAATAAGGCCCGTTGAGCAGAGCAGACATTCAAAAGAGAGTGAACAAGCTGGAATGAGACACAGGAAAGAGCCTACAAGTACTAGGAACCAGGTTGCGCTAAAGGAGCCTCACCCTGTAGGATCCTGGGCCTCTGCTGCATCTGCTGGGGGTGTCATCCTGTCCGCCATCGTAACTAAGCCTCTCATGGTGTTTTTGCAGGACATCTTCAAGCAAGCAACGGAGGACCGGCTGACAAGTGCCAAGGAACTGCCTTACTTTGAGGGTGACTTTTGGCCCAACGTGCTGGAAGAGAGCATTAAGGAGCTGGAACAAGAGGAGGAGGAGAGGAAGAAGGAGGAAAGCACAGCAGCCTGCGAAACAACGGAGGTGACTGGAGTCCTGAGCGCTGTGGGAGGCTGGGAGGTTTCTGCTGGTCTGCTTTGAAATCAGGCCGCCTTGGCTCCTTGGGGTGGGCAGAAATTCCGTGAGTGAGCATGATAACAGGTGCATGTCATTCTCCCAGCTCCAGAGCTGATCAGAGAATCCAGGGCAAGTTCTAGACTGGGGCAGCCCTTCCCTGGGAGGAGCCAATGGGATGTGCGGGGGCGGGACATCCTGAAGCCTGAACAAATCAGAATGCCACCCTGCAAAAAGGGTGATGAAGAAATTCTTTTTACCTGGCTTTCCAGGGTGTGAGCTCCTCCTTAAATTTGATTAAATGGGAAATGGCATTCTTCAGGCAGTTACTCCTGCCCCCGCCTCTATTCATTCAGATCTCTGTCCCTCTTGATTGCAAACCCTCCTGTTTCTCTATGAGCGTGAGATGCGCTGTGTCGTTCCCCCTCCTCCCCACGCCATCAGGCGAAGGCTCCTTTGCCTGCCCTGGCAGGGGGAGGAGCTGCTGAGCCCCTTCTGTGTCCGCCTTGCAGGGGAGTCAGGGGGACAGCAAGAACGCCAAGAAGAAGAACAACAAGAAGACCAACAAGAACAAGAGCAGCATCAGCAGAGCCAACAAGAAGAAGCCCACCCTGCCCAGCGTCTCCAATGACCTCTCCCAGAAGCTGTATGCCACCATGGAGAAGCATAAGGAGGTACCTGCAGACGCCCTTCCCTCTCTCTCTCCCTCCCTCCCTCCCTCCCTCTGCACTGGCTTGGGGCATCCATGGGAAGGCAGGCGGGGGGCTGTGAGGGGCAGGGAGCCCCTTCCCCAGGCCCCGCCTCGGAGGTGTCTTGGGCTCACCTGTCCCTTGGCCTGCGCACCTGCAGGTCTTTTTTGTCATCCACCTGCACGCCGGGCCCGTCGTCAACACCTTGCCCCCCATCGTGGATCCAGACCCGATGCTCAGCTGCGACCTGATGGACGGCCGGGACGCCTTCCTCACCTTGGCCAGAGACAAGCACTGGGAGTTCTCCTCGCTGCGCCGCTCCAAGTGGTCCACACTCTGCATGCTGGTGGAGCTGCACACGCAGGGCCAGGACCGCTTTGTCTACACCTGCAACGAGTGCAAGCACCACGTGGAGACCAGGTGGCACTGCACAGTCTGCGAGGTGAGCCCCTGCCGGCTGCTGGGGGGCACCTGCTGGCCAAAGGGCTCCAGGTTCCAGGGATGGCATCACATCCTTCTTTGGGGAACGCAGTCGAGGGCATGGACAGGAAGTGTGTTCTGCCTTCTGCGTGCTGTGGAGAGACTCTTCTGCCAGGCAAGGCAGCCTCTTTCTCCCAGTCGAGTAGGGAGGGGGCAGAGGCTTCCCAGAGAGCCTCTGGACATTTTCATTCCTGTTTTCTCAATAGCATTGCTTCGTATGAAGCACTTTGAGCCTTTCTTCTCCCCCTCCCAGTCCTGCGCCTTGGGGCATTTCCCTCAGGCCAGACGGCCTTCGCTTCCCCTTCCAGTGTCCTTGGCAATTAACTGGGTGGCTCCTATGACAAGTATAGACAACCTGCTTTCTCAAGTTGCGTGTGTGGAATGCTGTCTGTTTCAGGGGGACAGTTTTTGTTTTCATGTTTTAAAAACTGACCACAAGCAACTACATGTCACAATTGTATTTGGCTCTGAAGTCCATAAAGTTGGCTCCCTTGGGAAGTTGTGGACTCTCTTCCTGGGAGGTTTTTAAGCAGAGCTTGGATGGCCATCTGTCAGGGATGATTTAGCTGAGATTCCTGCTTTGCAGGGAGTCCCCCGGCAATGGTCCTCAGGGTCCCCTCCAGCTCTACAACGCTATGATTCTATGAAACAGCATAATTCCATGAAATAAATGTGCCTCCTTGTCTAAAGGATGTGCTTCTTGGTTGCTTTCAGCTGCAGGGCTGACTTTGGAACTCTCTTGGGTGGTTGGGATGCGTGTCAACATGGCTACAAGGCCAAGCTGGGAGTGGCCCAGCCTGGGACCCCATGTTTGTGACGGAGGGGGTTTGAGGACCCCCAGGTCCCCTCAGCGGCGGTCTGGTCTCCCTGGTGTGTGTGCCCTGTTTGAGCTCTGACCTTTGCCTCCCTCTCCTCCGCTTGCAGGATTACGACCTCTGCATCAACTGCTACAACACCAAGAGCCACGAGCACAAGATGGTGAAGTGGGGGCTGGGCCTGGACGACGATGGCAACAGCCAGGGGGAGCAGCAGTCCAAGAGCCCCCAGGAGTCTCGCCGCCTCAGCATCCAGCGCTGCATCCAGTCCCTGGTGCACGCCTGCCAGTGCCGCAACGCCAACTGCTCGCTGCCGTCCTGCCAGAAGATGAAGCGGGTGGTGCAGCACACCAAGGGCTGCAAGCGCAAGACCAACGGCGGCTGCCCCGTCTGCAAGCAGCTGATCGCCCTGTGCTGCTACCACGCCAAGCACTGCCAGGAGAACAAGTGCCCCGTGCCCTTCTGCATCAACATCAAACACAAGCTCCGCCAGCAGCAGCTCCAGCACCGGCTGCAGCAGGCGCAGCTCATCCGCCGCAGGATGGCCACCATGACCACCCGCAATGTGCCTCAGCAAAGTTTGCCTTCTCCTACCTCAGCCACGCCGGGGACCCCCACGCAGCAGCCCAGCACCCCGCAGACGCCCCAGCCCCCGCCCCAGCCCTCGCCCGTCAACATGTCGCCAGCCGGCTTCCCTCCCGGGGCAAGGACTCAGCCTCCGCCCCCCATCTCCGCTGGCAAGGCTGCTCCCCAGGCCCCCCCGCCGCCCGCCCAGCCGCCCCCCGGAGCCGTGGAAGCGGCGCGCCAGATCGAGATTGAGGCGGCCCAGCAGCAGCAGCAGCAGCAGCAGCAGCTCTACCGGGTGAGCAGCAACGGCTTGCCTCCTGCCCGCGCAGGAATGGGGAGCCCGGCTGTGGGCGCCGTGAACCCCCTGCAGGCGGCTGGCATGAGCGTGCCCCGGCCCAGCTCTGTGAGCGGCCCCCTCATGCCCAGCATGCCAGCCGGGCAGTGGCAGGCAGCCCCCCTGGCCCCGCAGCAGCCCCTGCAGCCCGGCATGCCCCGGCCATCCCTGCCCCTCGCCACGCAGCAGGCAGGGCCCGGCCCCCGTATGCCAGGCGTCCAGCAGCCCCCTCGCAGCATCCCCCCCAACGCCGCTCTGCAGGAGCTGCTGCGGACTCTGAAGTCTCCCAGCTCCCCGCAGCAGCAGCAGCAGGTGCTCAACATCCTGAAGTCCAACCCACAGCTCATGGCGGCTTTCATCAAGCAGAGAACAGCCAAGTACGTAGCAAACCAGCCTGGCATCCAGCCCCAACCCCAGCCGGCCCTGCAGCAGCAGCAGCCGCCCCCGCCCCCGCCGCCCCCGCCGGCAGGCCTGCACCCTCCGACCGGCTTGCCGAACCTGAGCGCCCTGCAGGCAGGCGTCCAGCGGCCAGGCGTCCCACTGCAGCAGCCGGGAATGGGGGGCCTGAGCCCCCAGGGCCAGCCCCTCAGCATCATGAACCCGGCCCACGGCGCTGGCATGGCCAGCATGAGCCCGCAGTACCGGGAGATGATCCGCAGGCAGTTGCTGCAGCAGCAGCAGCAGCAGCAGCAAGGAGGGGCCGGGCTGGCTGCACACGGCCAGTTCCCCCAGCCGCAGGGCCCGGGCGGAGGCTACTCGCAAGCCATGCAGCAGCAGCAGCAGCAGCAGCAGCGGATGCAGCAGCAGCACCTCTCCATCCCGGCGGGGGGCCTGGGCCAAATGGCCCCGATGGGACAGCTGAACCAAATGGGGGGGCAGCCCGGCCTTGGCGGGGCCGAGGGCAGCGCCAACATCCAGCAGGCCCTGCAGCAGCGGATCCTCCAGCAGCAGCAGATGAAGCAGCAGATGGGCTCCCCGGGGCAGCCCAACCCCATGAGCCCCCAGCAGCAGCAGCAGCAGCAGCAGCACCTGCTCTCAGGACAGACGCAGCCGGCCCCCCACCTCCCTGGGGGGCAGCAGCAGCAGCTCAGCGCCTCCCTCAGCAGCCAGGTGCGGTCGCCCGCCCCGGTCCAGTCCCCGCGGCCCCAGTCGCAGCCGCCACATTCCAGCCCGTCCCCCCGGATCCAGCCCTCGCCGCACCACGCCTCCCCGCAGACTGGCTCCCCGCACCCGGGGCTGGGGGCCGTGGCGGCCCTGGCCGGCCCCCTGGACCAGCAGGGGCACCTGGGCACCCCCGAGCAGCAGAGCGCCATGCTGCCCCAGCTCAACCCGCCCAACAGGAACGTGCTGCCCAGCGAGCTGTCCCTGGTGGGCGACACTACAGGGGGGGACACGCTGGAGAAGTTTGTGGAGGGCTTGTAGCGGCCGTCCTCCCCGGCCTGGACCTTCTGCTCCCCAAACACGGACCTCTCTGAGCTCGAGGGCAACTGGGATGGGGCTGGTCTGTCCTGGACCCACCGGAGGATGAATTGCTGTTCAAAGACAAACAAAGAATATATAAATATATATATTTTTTGTTAAAGCCAGCCAGGTGTGGTTCAAATATCTGGTCTCTCTTTGTTGTTCTTGTTGTGGGGGGTTTTTGTTTGTTTTTTTAGTTGTTAACTGTTTGTTGACTTTGCTTTTTTAAAGGGGGAGAACAAGTCCATTATAGTCATATTTTTATTTGTACTTTCAAGACTAAGCATTTGTGTTTTAACAGAGAAGAACAATAATCTTCAGAAACGGATTCCTCAAATAATGCCACATTCTAATGTGTCCTGCTCACTTTCTGGCATTTGGCAGAAAGGGTTTTTTAAAATTCTATACTGAACTCTGCAGGTATTTGAAGTATTATCGCCCCTGGAAAAGATGAGAACGGACTCTCGTGCTCACACACACACAGACACACACACACACACACAGACATACCTGTGTTGCAATGTAGAAATCGTTGCTTTGTTTCTCGGATAAAAACTGGTTTTAGATTTACAAAGAAATGAAATAAAATAGGGATGATCACTTCTTAGGCCATGCTAATTTTAATACAGAAGAAGCATATTCTTTTCTTTAATTCATCGATGTGAAACTTGAAATGAGGAAAAGCAATTATAGTGTAAATCATGCAAGTTCTAGAATTACTATAAATATGAAAAATGCAAGAAGATTCAATCACTGTATAGAATGGGGGGGGAAACAAAACTCATTTCTTACTTCTATAGCATATTGTTAAATAAACTGCAACAGACAAAAGGGTGGTCCTTCTTGAATTCATGTACATGGTATTAACTTAGTGTTTGGATTTTTTGTTATGAAAAATGCTGTTTTCAACATTGTATTTGGACTATGCATGTCTTTTTCCATTGTATATAAAGTATTGCTTAAAAGTGATATAAATTACTGAAGTTTTTAACATGTATTCTGTTCTTCAAAACCCATGTAAGAATGTTTAAGGTTTTTATTTATTTATATATATATTTTGGATCATGTTCTTTGTAAGACATGGCTAATTATTCACTCATCACATAGACCCAGCCAGCGGTACCTTGCAAACAGCATATCTGGTCTACAGAGCCCATCTGTGTGTGCCTACGAAAGGGACAGAGAAGGGCAGCCATAGGTTTCACAGTGGTTTAGTATTTGGAGATGTTCATTCGTAAGTGTTAAGTGGAATAAAAAAAATATCTTTGCTTTTTCTAAAAATCAAAAACATTAATTTTGACAGAGACCACCAATTGGGAGTTAAACATCAACTTTAGGATCCAGGAAATTCACCCAATACAAATTCCTGATTTGAAAACCAAGGGCAAAATTCAGGGCTTTCTGTGCAGTAACTGATGCAAGCAGCCCTCTTCCGTCTCCTCTTCGATGATGTTGGACAAGCCAGTATCACTTGGGAGGCTGCTGCTGCGAGCCTCTTGCCTCATCTGTAGAATCCAATTTTTTTGGCCAGGAAATGGTTATAAACAAGTTGCCTTTTTCATGTGTTGAACATCTGACTTGCTTGGTTTTGAACGTGAAATACGTGCTTCCTTCTATCTTTGTGTTGGAATAGGAACCCAAACACACAAGTGTTTCCCAATGCTAACTGCAGTCGTGTTGTCTCTGATTTTCTAAACTGAACATCTGCACACCAGACAGCTGGCGCTTTGGGTTCCTCTCCCTTGTAACAATCTTCTTTCAGCAAGCAAGATGTCCAGTCTGAGCTGTGGTCGGTGGGTACAACCCAAGACATGTTTAAAAGGATGGAAAGCCCTAATGCTGTGTCATATTGTATACGTAAAAAGAAAAGCAAAAACCTATATTTGTGATCAAAAAGGAAGAAACTTGAAATGTGCTGGTGTTTCTAATAAAGCTGGTAAAAAATGCTTAAAGGGTGGTTCCAAGTGGCTCAGGGCCCTATTGGGCCAAGTGGAAATTTGCAGGCAACTCACTCTTCCGACAGCTATTTCTGCCCGGCTTCTGATGTTGAAGCGGAAAAGATAGAAAGCAGCAGCCACCTATTGCATGCAAGCTACCATTTCCCTCTAAGTAGCACATCTCCAGCCTTTGCAATGGAAGCAGCCAAAGGATGGACCATCACAAAGTTTTAGTCCTATGGAGTTTTTAGTTACCTTTCGGGGTTGCGGCTACAGACACCCAAGCGCATTTGATGCGAGTCAGACCTCTTGCATGCATCGGGGCATGTTTCTGCCTAAAAGGGTTTGAAGTGCTAGTGTGAAAAAGAAAGGGTAGATTCCTCATCAACTCCCCCCTCCCCCCAAAAAAAAACCTCATGAACTTACTGGTTAAAAGGCTGCTTGTGTGTTCTATATAGAATCCCTGCTAGAGCTAGTTAAAAGTCCAAGAACAAGTGACAATTTGCAGTGCTCTTGGCTAGAGAGACGTCACAGCTTTACAATAAACAACTTGCACTGAATGCTAGTCCTGTGAAGGGCATCTTAGAGAGCCCACCAAAGTTCTTAAGGACAAGTGATTCTCGGAAGAGGCGGCCAGTTTTATGCTAGAAAGAGTACAAGGCCAAAATGGCAATCCATTCGATTCTGAGCTTCCCGCACTCTTCCCTTTGGGAGATGCCTGTGCAGGCAAAAGGGCCTGTTGCAGAAGCACAGCCACTGGGAACAACGGCATGTGCATCATTTAAAAACAAATCCAGGCTCCAGTACAGACTAAATGGCAAGAACAATATAAAGCCTCTCTCCTGCTCTAGAGTAAGCTTAAGACCGCCAACCTGTTTTTGTGCACAGTACAAACACTTCCTCAACTCCATCCTTATAGAGTCAAACCTTGGTTCTCAAACAGCTCCGTTATCGAACGTTTCGGCTCCCGAACGCTGAAAACCCGGAAGTAAATGCTCCCATTTTCAAACGTTTTTCAGAACCCAAACGTCTGACGCGGCTTCCGTTTTGAGTTTCCTTATTGAATTGAGGCTTCCACTTTCAGTTTTTGAATGTTTCAGAAGTCTTCTGGAACAGATTATGTTCGAAAACCAAGGTTCTACTATATATGAGCAGCTAGAAATGCAAGCCCCAATTCTCCCCCCTTGGGACTAGCCCCTAGCACCAGACCACCTTCCAAAAGATGTGGGTTGCACAGCACTTGCTGGAGCTGACAGCAGTTGTTCAGACGATGGGGAAAGCAGCAAGTTGGGGGCAGCCTGAGGAAACCTCTCGCTGTTCATCCCAATCACTTTTAGTGAAACATATTTATTACACAGGCATGTTACACCCACATGTTTAATGGTTGGCACAGATCAACGGGTACAGAGGGATGCTCAAGGTGAGCCACACCTAACAACCCATAATCTTGGCCAGCGAACACAGGCCGAGACGCGGCGGCAGCTGCACCTGCAATGAGGAGGCCCTGAAGCAACTGCCGTGTGTTTCAGCGTCTCTCTTCGCTCCCCCTCAAGCCGCTCCAGGGACCTGCTCTGTACAGATTTGAGCTGACAGCCACCAAAGAAGCTGTTTTCTCCCATGGTGGAGCACAGTTCAGTCCGAGTGCATCATCTAAGCAGAAGGCTTAGTCATGTCTTTGCCACAGCTCTTCCAGTCAAAGAAAAATCACACACACACGGAAGTGATAAGAGGCAGCTGAGTGGGCAAAGCACCGGCGGATTCACCATCAAGGCCCATAGAAACTCCTCAGAACCGCCGTCTCCGCTTTTTGGAGTGCCGTTGCTTCTCCCTCCGGGCTTCTGCAGTCGTGAAGGTAATGCAGTGCGCGTCGAGGAAGTCCATCAGCCTGCCCATCGCAATCTTGACGCCGCTTTCCTTCAGTTCTGCCTGCAGCCCAGCCAACTCAATGGGCTGGTACAGGAGGATTTGGCGCCAAAGAGCTGGCTTGGAGGTGAGGTGGCGACGCAAGGCTTCTAGTTTGTGTGCCTCGCGGGCTGCAGCCTGAGAAGCCGGGACGGGCTCCTCCTCTTCCTCCTCGACCAGCGAGCCAAACTCCATTGAAGAAGAGCTGAGAGAGAGAGAGAGAGAGAGGGAGGGTCAGAAGCTCTTCCCTTCACTGGCCCTTTGCGAGGAGTCAGGGACACACCGCTGCTCTGGCCAGAGGACCAGGCGCCACACAAGGAGAAAACATAGGAGGCAGATTGTTGGCAATTTAGCAGACTGGGAAGCAGGTTTCCAGGTATTTACTCATTTCATAAAATGTATACATCACTAGACTGTAAACCACTTTGAGGTTTAAAGTTTTTTTAAACAAAATAAAACAATAAAATTACCAGTAAACGGTAAACAAAACAATAACATTACAAGTAAAACATTCAATAAACTAAAACCAAATTTAAGCACACGCCCCTATTCTGCATGTCCAGACAGGCTCATCTAAAGAGGACCGTTTTTAGCAGGTGCCAAAAAGAGGACAGTGAAGGTGCTTGCCTTGTGTCCAGTGGCAGGGAGTTCCAAAGTGTAGGTGGAGCCACGCTAAAGGATTGGAGTTCTTACCAAGACAGAACAAGATGCAAAGGACTGAATGTGGGGCCTTCTGCATGCAAAGAAGGTGTTCTGCCCTGCCCTTCCCAAACCCTGTTGCAGCAAAAGTAACGGCCTGCCTAAGCACCATTGGAAAACCACTCCAGCCTGGCTCTGGGCACACAAATCCACTTCCTAAGTCTCTCTGCTCTTGCTGTGTTTCTAAAGAAGCCCTGATTCCACCTGGGACAGCGATGTTAGGCAGTGAGCCAAGGCTGCTATGAAAACTCAAGAGAGGGCAGAAGAGCAGAGGGATGGGGGGTGGGCTGGTTTCAGCTCCTGAGCAAATTCCCACTGAGCAGATTATGTGGAGACAGAGGGACAGGACACAGTTTCAAGGGGTGAGAAAGGCTGGGTTTGGGTTTTGGCAGCCTGGCCATTGTCTGGGCAGCTGTGTTCAGTGGCCTTTTCTGGCCAGAGGGAACCAGCAGAAAGGAGCATGCCACCCCCAGCCAGCCTCCTACCTCTGGGAGGCTACGGACACATCACTGCCAGTCCCTGAAGATGCAGTCGATTCCTGGGAGGCCGTGGGCGCCGCGTCCTTGGTGCTTCCTCCACGGGGAAATCCTGTGGGAAGCGAGGCTGTCCCCTGCAGCGGCCCTGAAGTGGGGGGCTCAAGCCCCTCACGACCTCCGCCAGAAGGATCCCTGAAGCCGCCGACAGCCTGGCTTCCCCCAGATCCGGGCAGGCGCTTGCCAACGGGGCTGGAGGCGACGGCCAGCCTTCGCTTCCTCGGGACCGGCTGGGCTGGGCTGTGGGGCAAGGCCAGCTGGGAGGCCACAGCTGCCTGTTCCTGGGGGTTGGCTCTGGCCCCTTGGTGAGTGTACTGAAATATCTCCTTCAGCTTCAAGATCATCTTCCGCTTTGGGAGAGCACGGACTCCAAACCTGAGAAGAAACAAGAGACAAGCGGTCACAGGGGCAAACGCTGCAGCCTTCCTCTCCCTGCCGGAGGAGCCTGTCCCCCGCCCCCCGACAGCACCCACCTGTGCAGCTCCTTCTTCAGCTTTGGGGTCTCCATGACGGAGTAAGATGGCATTGGGGTGGGCGGAGCTGCCTTCGGCGTCTCGCTCCCGGTCTCAAAGGCAAGATCTGGAACAGAGCAAGGTGGGCGCAGCCCTCAGGAGGTTTAGCTGGGCTGCCCGGCGAGTGGAAGGTGACCAGCAGGGCCAAAGGGGCTTTGCCAAGTGGCCAGAGAGCCAGTGCCACACAGCACAAGCCCAGAGCCCCATGCCAAGTGCTCCCCACCCTCTGCTCCCCCCGGGCCCAGAGCGGCCACTTACCAGGCGTTCTCTGGGTCAGAGGAAAGACCTCACTGCTATCAGAGTCTTCTCCTGTTGAAGCACCCCTCTCTCCGAAGTGGGGGGCAGCTGCTCCCCCAGTCGTGGGACTCCTAGCTGGCGGAGTCCTCAGTGGGGTTGGGGCATTTGCTGTCAGAAAAAGAAGGCTGTCCCCTTCCTCCGAGCGACACAGGGAGTCCTCCCCAGGCACAAGGGGGCCGCTCTGGGGCCAAGGGGCTGCTGAATCGAGTTCCTCTTTGCTGTCGCCCACGACCACCACGGGGCTGCTGGCAGACTTCTTCCGGGCAGGCGGGGGTCCCAGCAGAGGCAGCCTGGTAGCGGATCTGTAGGCGGGTGGGCTCTCTCCAGCCCCTTTAGACCCCTGCTCCTCAGTCCCAGGGGCCAAGGTGGAGCTGCACCCGCCCAGCAGAGGAGTGTCTGGCACTCTCCAACTGGAGGCCTCTTCCCAGCTCTCTTCTCCATTGCTGGCCAGCCTCAGAAGCAGAGGACTTCCTCCACCAGCGTCCCAAAACTCCCCAGGACCCACCTCACGGGCGGGTGGCAGGGACGGCCTCTGCCCACTGGAAACATCTGCCCCCCCTTGGCTCGACTGACACTGCGAGGCCCCTGTGCGTGGCCCAGAGAGGGCCGCTCCGGCAAGCTCTGCCTCTTCATCAGAATCCAAGAGCACAATGGGGCTGCCCTCCGAGGCCCCACGGCCGCCTGGGCTGCAGCCAGGACCTGGGGTCTTGTTCCGCGCAGGCCGCTCCAACTCGCTGTTCGGAGGGGGAGAGAACAGGCCCCGAGTGCTCAGAGAGAGGAGGGCCAAGGGGCCGGTGGGTGATGCCGGCCTCCGTTTGGGAGAGGAAGATCCCAGGGGCAAGAGGTCCCTCGGTGGCCCCTGGAGGAGGCCGGGAAATCCCTGAGATGCAGGGCCTGGGCTGGCTGCACTGCCCCTCTGCTCCTCAGCACAACGGCTCTGCTGAGAGAGCCCAGAGCGGTCAGCCCGGGTGGCAGGAAACAGGACTGCCGAGTGCTCGTGCTGCTCCCAAGTCTCCTCCTCCATCTGGGGCACTCTTCTGGAGGCAGCTCTGAGGGGGGCCCCTGGCCCACTGGCAGCAGCAGCAGCTGGCAACTGGGACTGTTCTGGGCAGAGGCTTCCCGTCCACTCTGCCGTGGCTGCCCTGCCCTCTGCAGGCTCCCGTGGCACCTTCCTGGGGTCGGTGGCTCCCTTGCAGACGACGAGCCCATCATGGGCAGCTCTGCGCTGGGTGGCAGCAAACTCATAGATCTGCTCCAGCTCCTGCTCGCCCACTTCCTCGCTGTCGGCTTCCTCCAGCTGTCCGCCCTGCAGGAAGGCTTCTTCCTCTTCGTCCAGCCACATGGATTTCAGGAGCCCCTCAAAGGTCTCGGCTCTGTCCTCTCTTGCCTCCTCTTCAGCTCCAGGAGCCCCCAGGCCAGGCTGGCAGCCAAGGCAGACGCCAGCCAGTTCCGTCACTCCAAACCTGAAACAAAAGACGTGCGTGCAAATGCGCTTCCAAGAGAGGGGGGAAAGTGTCTCCATCAGGCGTCAAAGCGGAAGTCAGCCTGGGGGGGCAGGGAGCAGGGAGCAGGGAGCAGGGAGCAGGGCCCAATCCAGCAGCAGCAAGGAAAACACCAGGAAGCAAGAGCCCACCAACCTCCTGGCCAAAGCAGCCACTTCCGACAGCACATGGCGAGGGACGGAGACGTCAGCCGTGTAAAGGTAGCTCAGGAACACGCCCAGGGCCTCCTTCGACACATCGCTCAGCAGCACCCGGCGGGTCCCTGCACCCCCTTCTTCAGCCACGAGGAAACCTTCGCAGCCAGCCTGGCAAGAGACGGAGGACTGTGGAGCAGCCAGCAGATTGGGGCATCATTCCCTCTTGCCAAAGTGCCCCTAAGCAGCCTGGCTGCAGGCCTGCAGGGAGAGCTTTCTCTTCCTCCTTGGATGAAAGGCAAGCTCCAATCCCTCCCCCCCTCTCTTGCCCTTTTTGGCACCCGCTTCCCTTGGTCCTCCTTGCCTCCTCTCACCCCACACGCCCTCCTGCACAAGCAGCTCTTGCCTGCAACAGCGCATGGCTGCTGGGTTCTCTGCGGAGCAGGCCCTCCTCTCCTGTGGCTCCTGCGTTGGAGCAGCAAGACCCAAAGGCTGCAGCGGATTCCATCGCCCTCCCCCAGGCAGGCAACACGGCTGGGCTTCCTCCTCAAATCTCAGGCAACATTAAGAGAAAACGGCAAGGGCAAAGTCTTGCTCCTTGCCTGATACCCGAAGACCCAGAACCCAGGCCAGAATCAAGGAGACCCCTTGGGGTGATGTGCCCCCCAGCCGCACGTCCTTACCATTTCCATCAGCTGTGGGCACCGTGCATAAAGCACAAACAGGTGCGCATAGAGGAGCTCCCCAGTGTCCACCTGAAACTGGACGTCACTCAGATGAGGGTTGTTCACCATCCCTCTGAAGGCGTCAGCCAAGGAGCCCAGCAGGAGCTGAGAGAGAGGAGAGAGAGAGGGAGAGAGTGGCCACACTCCACCTCCTGCTCCAGCTCCTTCCTGGAAAACAGCAGGGGCTAAACGGACCTTGAGGAAGGACCGCAGTGGGGCTCAAACCCCCCCCACCCCCCCATGCAGAGGCACCCAGATTTCCCTTGCGCATCCACAAGGGGCTCAGGGGGGCTTCCTCCCGGGGGTTTTGGGATCCTCTGCTTCCCAGCTAACACAGTGCCCCCCTTCCAACCAAACATGGGGATCTAACCTTACCATTTGAGGACAGCTCCTTTGGGGCAGCTGCTTCTCCAGTGGTTGGAGAAAACTGCTCTGCAGAACGTCGCCAGAAAGCCAACCTTGACCTGGAGCAGAGAGAGAAAAACACAGGTTCACAATAAGTAACCTGACGACCGGCTCTGGGTCCAGGCAGGTCTCTGCCCCCGTCCGCAGCCCAGACTCCTCTTGGCAGGCTCAGTTCTGCACCTGCCGGCCCCTTTTCCCCAAGGAAGTCCTTGCTCACCCGGCCCCTCCTGCTGCCACTGGGTGAGGGTCAGCCCTTCTCCCGCCAGCTCCGCCAGGTCCTGCAGCGCCTCTGCATCGCCCGGTCGGCCAGGCAGCCTCTCCCTCGAATCTCCAGAGGCGCGTCCTGGGAGAAGCACAGCACCAGCCGGCCCCTGCTCCCTCTCGGCCGGTCCGATGGGCCCCGGGGGTGGCAAAGCCACGCCCAGCACGGCTCCCTGGAAGGGAAGGTTTGGGGTGCAGACATGAGGTTTAGCCTCAACACGCCAGAAGCCAACCCAAATGGCAACACCCACCATCTCTCAACCCATATATATGTGTGTGTGTGTATATATATATATACATACACACACACACACACACACACACACAGTGGACGCTCGGGTTGCAAATGTGTTCAATGCGGGATGCACATTCACAACTCGCAGTGGCGCATCTGTGCACGTGCGGATTGCGATTCAGCACCTCTGTGCATGCGCAAAGCACGATTTAGTGCTTCTGCGCATGCGTGACCACCAAAACCTAGAAGTAACCCGTTCCAGTACTTCCGTGTTTCAGAGGTCCATGAACCGAAAAAACGCAACCTGAAGCATCTGTAACCCAAGGTACGACTGTGTGTGTGTGTGTACACACACACACACACACAGACACATTCACACACACTCTTTGTGTGTGTGTAATTTTTATTAAATTTCCTGTTTTACAATTTAAAGTACTCATTTTTACATTTTTAAGATATCAATGACTTCCCTTCTTCTCTGTCCATGGTTCATTTTACATATCCCAAATCCCTGCATATTTTACAGAAACTATACCATTCAGTATTTCATTATCACAACCATAACTTATTTACACTGTTGAATTTATCTAAATGCTGCCAGTGTTTTCAGCTGTACACAGGTCTTTCCCATACATTCAATAAATGTTTTCCAATCTCTTTGAACATATGTTCTTCTTGTTCTCTTATTCAATGTGCTGAGTCTGCAAGCTGCGCATATTCCACCAGTTTAAGTTGCCATTCTCCTTTAGCTGGGACCTCGCTCCTTTTCCATTTCTGGACGGCATCTCTCAACCCTTGTCCAGTCTCCTAGGATGGAGGTGTCTGATCTCAGGCTGGGGAGCGGCGTCTTCCTATCTGCCTGTGGGCAGCCAGCCCCAGAGCACCCAGGGGAAGAGCGAGGCTGGCCCCGAACCAAGGGGGCCATTTCATGTCCAAAACACCCCACCCACCTCCCCTCCCCATTCTGCCTGGAAACTACAGCCAGCAGAGGAGGGGGCTGGGGGTCACCTGCTTCTCCCCACCTCAGGGCAGAGCATCCTGGGCCTGCTGAGACCCCCTCCGTGGTCCAAGGCCCCCCCTCATGCCCCAGAGGCAGCAGCAGGAAGAGACTGGGAACCAGGAGAACAGTCAGAAGGAAAGAGAAACAGAATGAAGCACTCCTGTTATACAAAAATCTCCAAATGGGTCCGAACTTCAATGTCTAAAACTCCTGGTAGAGGACAAGGATCTAGAGATTACGCTAAGGGTGGCCAAATTCTGTGCAACTGCCATAAAACTTAAGGAACAAGCTGTATTACCAAAAGGTTTTAAACGATAATTTTAGGTTATATTTTAGTGACCAAGATTTAATATATATTTTTAACTGCCGCTATATCTGAATTGTCTGTTATACCCAATTGCAATTCAATGTATCCCTGTTATATTTTTATGATTTTCCTGATATTGTAAGTGACCCGGAACTGGTCTGTGACCGTAATAATAGCATAGGATTAAGCAAAAGTGGAGGCCCCGGCGAATAATAGACACAGATCTGGCCTCAACGGGGCATGTTGAAGCCACCAGTGGCACTTCTGGGAAGCTCCTCGGCCGGGCCAGGGTGCCAGAACCCAGGAGTGAGTCCTGGGCTCCGTTGCTCCCTGGCTAGACAGGGATCCTGTGACTCTCCCCTCCGCTCCTCCTCTTGAAAGAGCTGCTGTGCACAAACTGCCCTGGGCTCAGCGGCGCTGTTCCGGGGGGGGGGAGGCCCTTGCTCAGGGCTCTGCGGGGAGGGCAGCCCCAGGATCAACCGCCCAGAAGGAGCTCCCGTTTCAAAAGGGCTCTCCAGGACTGGATCCCGAGCAAGCAGTCCCAGGAACACCAATGTGCGGATGAGACCCCCTGCACCTTGCCAGCCTGATTACTGAGCACCTAATAAGCAGGCAGGAGTTGGAGCCCCCCCCCCGACACAGACACCCACCTCCTCGGGCGTCTGCAACGAAACAGAGCGGGCGAAGTCCGTGGCCTGAAAGCTGCCCGGGGTACACAGTCCTGCCAAGGAGCTGGCTTCCCACAAAGAGCCGTGGGCCCCCCCTGCTCCCCGGGACAGCTCAATGAGTCGGCTGGGGGGGAGCTGGGGGGTGCTGGGGAACTCCTCCTCCGCTTCGGAGAGCAGCTGCGCCACACGAGCCTCCATCCGCCGGCGGGCCTCCTGGGGGTCCTGGGCCAGCAGCAGAGGCAGAGGCTTCGCTCGGGTCTTCTTCTCTAGGAAGCAACACACAGGGAACGTGGCTGAGAGCCGCGGAGGAAGCCCCTGCCTGCCCCACAGCAAACGCCGCCCAGGCCTCCGAAGGGCAAGGAGGAGAAGCAGCGGGAGGAAGCAGCCCCAAAGCAGCAGGGGCCACAGCCGTTCCCCACATCCCCCTCTGGGAACAAGGGCATTTTGTCTGAGAAGCTTCTATTGAAGGATCCTGGCAGGAGAGGGTCAGAGAGGCGGAAGGGACCCCAGGGGTCATCCAGTCCAACCCCCGCAGTGAAGAAATCGCAACCACAGACATAAATGCAGGAAATGGACATGCTAAATATCTGGCCTGGGATGAAAGGCACCTAACAGCTGCAGAAACCCACTCCTCCCCCCCCCCCACCAGCTTCCTGGCACAGCAGGCCAAAAGCAGCCCATCTCAGCGCTGGGCTCTTCCTGGCGTCTCAACAGGATAAGATGCACCAAGGAAAAGGTTCTCAAGAGAGCTGCAGAATAAGCACATTTCCAGAGGACATAGAAGGAACCCGCGAGTTGCCTTGAGCCCAGAAGCCAGAGGCAGCCACCAGAGACCTCCCCCGGGGGCCGGTCACCTTCCGCCGGGCCCTGCCTGGAGCTCACCTGCTTTTCGGGGCTTCCTGCTTTGCAAAGCGGTGTCCTGCCTGCTCCCAGCCAGCCGTTTGGTCTTCCCCATCTCCTCCTCCTCCAAGAGAGAGCGGGACATGGCCATGGCAACCAGCAGATCCTCCGTCGCTCCATCCACCTCGGCCACCGCCTTGCGTTTCTTCGGCAAGCGTTGCGCGGAAGAGGCACCTTTTCGCTTGGAGCCGCTGGACGGGGCAGGAGAGGTCGGTTAACCCAGCTCAGGAGCTGCAGTGGGCAACAGCTGTCCCCCCCCCCAATCTGAGTGGACCACCCTAAGCGTCCTGCAACACTCCTGTCTACAGACCAGGCTGCCTTTCAGAGGGGAAGTGCTCCTATATCTGCAGACCAGGAAGCTCCCTCCCTGCAGGGCCGCTCCATCTCTAAGCCCAGATCTAGCATCTAAACCACCTCTTCTGATTCAAGAGAGCTGGGCGGGTGCCAACCACCTACTGGCAAGATCTCACTCCTGACGATGACAGCTCCCAGCTGCTTCAGGCAGACATGAAATAGGGAAAGGAACAAGAGGGCAGCAGGAGGCCACAGGAACTGCCCCGTGGTACCAAGCAGTGCCTCCCCAAGAAGCACTTTCGAAAAATGGTCCTGGAGGCAGCAGCAAAACCGCTGCCTAGGATGTCCCCAGTGCCCACCTCCCTGGGCCGCTCCAGAAGGACAGCAAGGTCCACAGCGCCAAAAGACCAAGGAAAAGGAGAAGAGGGACCCTTCCAATGACAAGTGCGATGTCACCAGCCAAGGTGACCAAGCCACTTCAGCACCACTAGACCAGTATGAAGTAAGCAGCACATAAGCGTTTTTAACGTGTGATATTTTACTGTATTTTTGGTTTCTATGGAAGCCGCCCAGAGTGGCTGGGGAGGCCCAGCCAGATGGGCGGGGTATAAATAATAAATTATTATTATTATTATTATTATTATTATTATTATTGGCGGCACACAAAACACTACCAAACCATTCTACGTTCCAAATCTTATATTAATACAGTGGTACTTCAGGTTACATACACTTCAGGTTACATACGCTTCAGGTTACACACTCCGCTAACCCAAAAATAGTGCATCAGGTTAAGAACTTTGCTTCAGGATGAGAACATAAATCGTGCTCTGGCGGCACGGCAGCAGCAGGAGTCCCCATTAGCAAAAGTGGTACCTCAGGTTAAGAACAGTTTCAGGTTAAGTATGGACCTCCGGAATGAATTACTGGTAAGTATTTAACCTGAGGCACCACTGTAATCCAAAAATTGAGAGAAGAAGCTACAAGATCTACAACAAAAGCCACAAACAGAAAACTCATTCAAATTGTGTCCAAAAGGAAGATTCAGTCTTTAAAGTTCCTTTAGCCAGGCTCCTGTAGATATCAACGAAGATAAGTTTGATCAAGCGGAGTGTCAGTGATGTTATGCACGAGATTTAGACAGGGTACCGGCGTTTGTCACCTGTTTCGCCCATGAAGAGTCTCGGGCTTCTTCAGTTTTCTGTTTGTGGCTTTTGTAGCAGATCTTGTACCTTGTTCTCTCAATTTTTGGATTATTAATATAATATTTAGAACATAGAATGGTTTGGTAGTGTTTCGTGTGCCGCTTATGTGCTGCTTGCTTCATACTGGTCTACAACGAGAATTGGTAGCATAGGTTCATTTCTTCAGTATTTCAGCACCACTGAGCAATCCTGAAGGCAGGTCAGCGGTTTTCTCCAAATATGCTGCCCTCTCAGAACTTGGGGGTCTTCTCAAGAAGGGGAATGGGTGCAGCCCCTCTACCCAAGTGAAGCATTAATTGCACCCCAGGCCCCCGGCTCACTCAAGAGGCCAAGAGGAGGAAGAGCTTCACTGAGCAAGACTCCACATCCAAGGGAGGCTGGGCCCTGAAGGACTCTCTGGACTCACCTCTGGGCGGCTGGGGGGCCAAGGAGCAAGGTCTGCTGTTGCTGCTGCCGTACCGCCTGAAGGAGCAGCGTGGGGGGGACCTCCATCCTGGCAGCGCAGCGCTTCAAGTGGCTGCCCCGACTCCGGAGGGAGCTGAAGCCCTTTCCGCAGATGGGGCACTCGGGGACAACCGGGCCCCTGGCAGGGGGGGCAGAAAGGGGGCCCTCCAGGTCATCCAGGCACCTGGAGGAAAAATAGAGTCTCTTCAGGCAGGAAGCCCTCAGGGGAGAGGAGGACCCCCGCCCCACCCCAGCTCAGCTGCTAAAGAAGCCTTTTATTTTTCATTGAGGTTTTATTCATATTTGATTGAACTCTTTACGGTAGATTAAATAGAAAAGGGAAAAAGGGAAAAAAACATGGAAACATTACAAACTATGTAATGTATATTATAATAATAATAATAATTTTTATTTATACCCCACCCTCCCCAGCCAAGACCAGGCTCAGGGCGGCTAACACCAGGTATAAAAACAATTGGTTAAAATCAATTGGCTTAGCCAGCTGCCCCCCTGGCTGAGCCAGGCCTGGCCTGAGTCTCCCAGCAACGTCCCCTCTCTCCAGCCGTCTCCCCCAACCAAGGAGCCCCCACCTGTTGACATGCTGCTCCCTCTGGACGGAGTTCATGGCAGAGAGGTCCTTCTGGCAGATCTGGCAGAACACCCAGCCAGCCTCCTCCAGGCTTCCCGGCTGCAGCTCCGGATGAGCAGCCCCATGGCACCCCCAGGACTGGACTAGGGGGGAAGAAGAGAGTCAGGCCCCCTGGCTCCCTCGGAGCAGCCTCAGGCTGTGGTCTGGCGCCTGGGACCGTGCCGGTGCCTCTGGGGCGCAGGAGGAGCCTGGAAAGCATTTCCCAAGCCTCAGCTGTGACGTTTGGACAGCGACCAGCCTTGGAACCCAGACCTTCGATCCAGCAAGCAGGTTTGGGCAGGATCCTGTTTTCCTTGGATGCAAACGCTGCATCTGAGCTGGGGGGTGAAGGATCTGCCCAGTGCCAACACCACCACCCCCAAGACGTCAACACTGAGCCATGGCAGGACACGGGGCCGTCCTGACACTGACCGTCCGGGCAAGCGGGTGGCCTCCTGGCACAGTCCTCCTCCTCCTCCTCCTCCTTCCTGGCTGAGGCGCCGGGCAGCACCAGGGGCTCCTGGGTCACCTGCGCGGATCCCTGCTCCTCCTGCGGCTGCCCCTGCCAGGGGCGGCTGCATCTTCCTCCTCCGCCGCGTCCTCCTTCCTCTGCTGCTGCGTCTCCCGCTCCTGGAGGGGCTCCTGCCGGGGGAAAACCAGGCGGGCTCCATTTGCTGCTGCGAAGAGAGGAGCTGCCCCCTGTGTGCCCCCCCAGGCCCCCCACCCCCCAGAACGCCCAGAAACAGGCTGACACACGCCTCCCCCCGCAGCGCTTCTTGGTCCGACCCGCCTGAGCGAGGCCAAAGGAAGCGGGTCATACCAATGAGCGAGGCGGGGGGGAGTCCGGACGCCCCTGAAGGGGCTTCTCCGCCATGCTGGGTCTTCCCGGGGGCCTCCGCCTCGTCCCCGCGGGCAGGAGCAGGGGGAGGCGGGCGGCGGAGGCGGAGGCGGCGACCCCCCTGGGGACCCCCCGCCAATTTGGGGCGCCCGCGGCGGGACGCCCGGAACTCGTCCTCCGAGTCGCCCATGGGCGGCGGAGTGCCTACCGCGCATGCGCCGATCGAGGCCGGAGGACTCGCCATAGAGACGCAGAGGGGAGAGCGGCCGGGATGGGAAGAGGAAGCGCCTCCCCGCCCCCGGAAGGGGTTCCGGAGGCGCCGGGTGGGGCGGCGCGGAGCATGCTGGGAGGCGATGGGCGGATCTACCTCTGCGCCGAATGATGACGCCACCGAGCCGAGACGCCGTAGTTTTTGGACTACAATTCCCATCATCTTTAGCTAGTAAGACCAGGGCTCAGGGATGATGGGAATTGTAGTCCGAAAAGTGCTGGAGACCCAAGATTGGGCAACCCCGGGACCCCGCCCTCCCCCTGGACTGGGCCTCGCCTCCCCCTCCAGACCCCCGGCTGGTTCTTGCCCAGGTCCAAGGGCGGCCGAGGCTTCCCTCTGGGCAGAAGTCTGGCTGCCTGACTCGCCCCTCCGAGCTCTGCCAAGCCCCCTCTTCCCCCGCACGGGGACGCTGCCCCTTTTGCAATGCACAGCGACTGAGACCCCCAAGACACCCCCCACGAAGAGTCTCCCCTGCACGTCACCAAACCATTCACTCCCGTACATTCCCTGCCTTTCCCCTGTCAAAGCAAATCCTCCAGTGTCAAGAGAAAATAACAGCAACATCTTTGCAAAGGCGTTGATTGCATCTGCAAAGGGAGCTCAGCTCAGGAGCCTGAGACTCCAACAAAGGAAAACAGGGAAAGTGTCGATACCAAATGTAGCAATTTGCTGATAACTGTATCCATGTACAGTGGTACCTCGGATTAAGTACTTAATTCGTTCCGGAGGTCAACCTGAAACTGTTCTTAACCTGAAGCACCACTTTAGCTAATGGGGCCTCCTGCTGAAGCCCGATTTCTGTTCTTATCCTGAAGCAAAGTTTTTAACCTGAAGCACTATTTCTGGGTTAGCGGAGTGTGTAACCTGAAGCGTATGCAACCCGAGGTACCACTGTAGTGGCTCAATGAGAGAATGAAATTCATAGGAAATCACTCGTATCAATCTTCTCAGTTCCAATGGCATTTAGGATCCAGGGAAATTAGGTATAAGGGTGATATCCTGCCCCAAGAGTGTCAGACAGATCGCCATCTCAATCACAATGCCTACTACCCACCCCATAGTGGGATGGTCAAGACAAAGGGGTGTATTTGGCTTGACTCCGGGACCTGAAACTATAAATGCTTTCCTTTGTACTGTGATGGAGTAAGTGTAAGAGACTATATTTGAGTGACAGGGGCATGCCTGGCTCTCAGGTTCTACCCGAGACCACACCTTTTATGACATATCTATGATGTCTTGATGATGCATTCTGAGATGTATTATGGGAAACTTTGGAAAGCTTTGAAATACAGATGTAACCCACTGATCTGGGCTTCTCTCTGCTTCTATGTTGTAGCTGGGAGCCTTGTTGCAACAATAAAGATCAGGCCTCTTGGCCGCTGCTTTGCTTCAATTTCTTGGCTGTAGTCTTGTTTGACCTTCCAACCTAAGCCTGCGGAACTCACTGCTGCAGGAAAATATCTGCTCCTTGCATCTGCCATTGGGCGGGGGGAGGGGAACCTGAGCATGCTTAGAAGCACTTGGTCCTAATTGCCAGTACGTTTTGTGAACAGTGCAGAGCCACTCTCTTCCCGTGCGCATTGTAGAAGGGATCCAAGAACCACGCACTCGAAGACAGGCTCAGAATAAAAGCAGGGCGATACATTTCAGAACTGGGGGTTTAAAAGTCTTTACTTAGAGGTACTGCCAACACACGCAGCCTGCAGGCAAGTCCAGAAACGCACACCTGACAGCCGGCTGCGCAAACACACGTTTTGAAATAAAGGACAGTGGCTCCAGGTGGCTCAGCTCTGGCCCCTCTGCTCTTTCCAACGGGCCAAGATCCGGATGTGGGAGCCCAGGCCAAGAGCTTGCCAAAAGAGCAGGCAAGCCAGGCCAAGCACCCCTCTGAAGACAGGCAGGACTGCCCCAGCTCAGCTCCAGGCAGGACTCTCAGTGCTTCTCCAGGGCTTTGGCAAGGAGCTCGTTCAGCCGGTTCACCATCGGCCGGGGGTCATCGTTCAGGCCTGCTGCTATCATGGCGTTGTCGTAGATCTGCCAGCGAAGGAAGGAGCAATGAAGCGGGGCGGGGTAGAGGGGGGGCTACCTTGGCTTACTGTGTCCCAGAGTATGGCAGGAGCACCAATGGACAGAGATGGGATTCTGCTCTGAATGCCAGCCAGGAGTGGGCAAGGAAAACAGGACAGGAGGGGCCCATTTCCCTCAGTAGCTGCTCTCCTGGGGGCTGGACTACATGATCTGCTTGGCCTCTTCCAACTCTATAATTCTATGATTCTTCTGCCCGCCCCTCGAAAGCTCTCAGAGAGGCCCAGGGAATCCATGGGGGGGTGGCAGGGGGTTACACTGTTCCCTGCTTGTGCAGGTGCCAGTAGTTTCAGCTCGTCATTGCAAAGGCACTGGATGCCTCCCCCACCCCTTTCCACTGCTCTCCTGAGGGCATGACGAGACGCTGGCAGTCCATGTGCCCCTCTGTGTGCCTAGGCTTCTCCTCTGAGGAAGCAGAAGCTAGCTCACCTGGTCAAGCAGCATCAGGGCCAGATCTGGCTGGCTGGAGCGGAGCTGGTTGAGCTTCTTGATCAGAGCGTGCCTAGCAAGGGAAGACGGAGGAGCAGCTTGAGCGCTGCAGCAGGCAGAGCGCATGGGCTTCCTTCCCCAAAGCCTCCTCTCCACCTGTGCCCTCCCCAAGGAGAGCCCTTGCAGAGGCCCCAAAGGGAGGCGTCCGAAAGCAGGATGTGCAGGAGACAATGCGGTTCCCCGTGCATCACGTCCCGGGATTCCCCCTCCCCCAGTTCCAGCTCTGGCTGTCCCCCCGCCCACTCCCAACTCCAATACCCAGTATTGATCTCCAGCGTGGGCTGAAGGATCTGAGCTCGCTCCTCGGTGGTCTTGGCCAGTTGCTGCATCCGGAGGAAGTGGCGGGCAGCACCCATCTCCAGGACGGTGATCATGGCCGGGTGCATCTCCAGGCGGGGAGTCACCTGTAGGGCAGCAGGAAGGAGGGGGGTGAGGTCAAGGCTAGCAGACCCTCCTGCCTCCCCACCAGGTCCCAGGAAGCAAGCTGCTGAGAGGAAATAGCAGGCCAGTACATGGGTTTGCCCAGATCCCTCACAACTGCCCTTTCCAGTCATTTATGCTCTCAGCCCTTCACACAAACAGTCATCACCATCCTGACAGGTCACACTGTGGCTGCAGAAACAGCTCCCAGCGACGCCCGTTCCTGGAAAGGCCTCACTGAAGCCCAAAGTCCTGCCAGGCCCAGCCAGGGGGCTTCCCGAGACCCAAGCCCTCAAGGTGGCCAAAGTGTTCTCCCTAGATTGTGTGCAAACTCAGGCCTCCCACTCAGGCCAGAGTGGCGCATGCTCTGGTTATCTCCTGCTTTGATTACTGCCATGCGCTTTATGTGGGGCTACCTTTGAAGGTGACCCAGAAACTGCAACTAATCCAGAATGCGGCAGCTGGACTGGTGACTGGGAGCGGCCGAGACCACATAACACCGGTCCTGAAAGACCTACATAGGCTCCCAGTATGTTTCCGAGCACAATTCAAAGTGTTTGTGCTGACCTTGAAAGCCCTAAACGGCCTTGGTCCAGTATACCTGAAGGAGCGTCTCCACCCCCATCCTTCAGCCCGGACACTGAGGTCCAGCTCCGAGGGCCTTCTGGCAGTTCCCTCACTGCGAGAAGTGAGGTTACAGGGAACTAGGCAGAGGGCCTTCTCGGTGGTGGCGCCCGCCCTGTGGAACGCCCTCCCACCAGATGTCAAGGAAATAAACAACTGTCTGACTTTTAGAAAACATTTGAAGGCAGCCCTGTATCGAGAAATGTTTTGTGTCTGATTTTACAATGTTTCATGTGCTGTAAGCCACCCAAAGTGGCTGGGGAAACCAAGCCAGATTGGGAAGGTATAAATAATGAAATTATTGTAATTATAACTTGCCCGCCTGCCCCCCTGCCCCGGACCCTCACCTTGATGGCAGCAACCCGTGGGCCAAGTGCATTCCTCATCCAGGCCAGGAGCTCCTCTGCAACCGAGGCACTCAGAGACTCTTCTGCTTCAGGGGAATGGATCAGGGTGGGGGAAGAGGAGAGAAACCCCTCAGTCACAGCCACAAAGTCCTTCCTGAGAGGGTGGGGAGTGCTGACAAGAGGCCAGCCTCTGGGACACCTCCTGGGGTATTCCCACCCCTCCACGATGGGTGATTCCCCACCTCCTCCAAGCTAGGCAGCCAACTCTGCTTGAGAAGGGCTCACACCCTCTTCCTGCCGCAGAGCAGAAGCCCACCTGGGTGCTTCTCCTCAAACTTCTCCTCCTTGTAGTGGTCGACGACAATATCCGTCTCCACAGACATCAGCTTCTTCTTGTCAAACTCCCGGAGGTGCAGGAGGGTCAGTTCGTCAAACTGCTCATAGCAGAAGAGCACCTGTGGGGCCCAAATGGGGGGGGGGTGTCCTCAGTTCCAAGGAAAGGAAGAATGGCCGCCACCACCCCGGGCACAGGGTTCCTCCTCTGCTCCCGGTGCCCAACCCCAGAGCGCTTGCTGGGAAAGGGGCTCCCACAGGCCCCGGCTGGGGCTTTGCTTCCCAGGCCCCCCTTTGCTCTCCTGCTCACCTCCACATCCTTCTTCTTCATGGCTTCGTAGTAGGGCGAGTGCTCGGCCAGGTGGCGGTTGGGAGAGCACAGGTAGTAGATGTTCCGGCTGCCGGCCTGCATGCGGCCGGCGTAGTCCGAGAGGCTGGTCAGCTGGCCAGCGGGCAGCGCCGAGGACTCGTAGCGAAGCAGCTTGGCTATGTCTTCCTGGGAAGGAGAGTCCCGTCAGTCAGAGGGCAAAGGAGGCAGACCCCTCACCCTTCATCAGGGCATCCGCTGCCCAAGTAAACCACTTGGAGGGTGTGTTTTACAATCCAATTTTATGAAAGAAATGAAGTAGGTGGCATCACACCCGGTTTCCCACCTCCCTCTGGAAACTTGGCAAGAATAAACCTCGCCCCTCAGCTGTCCCTCGACACACCTTGACATCCTGTTCGGCGATGGTGACTATCCCCTCGCGCATGAAGAGCCCGTAGTCCTCAAAGAACTTGGCGTACTTCTCGGGGTCCTTCTTGCTCTGCTCAATGAAGAACTTGATCAGCCTCTGCTGCAAGACTCCCCGGAGCTTCCTGCAGGACAACACCCAACATCAGGGAGATGGCAGGGGGGAGGTAAGTGCCTGCAAGCCCCAAAGATTAAAAGAGGGGCAGGAGAGGCAGCGGAGGAAAGACTGCAGACAGTGACAGGCTGAAGCACCTCTGGCCGGGAGGGGGGTTTCTATTCTTTCCCCCCTTCACCAAAAGATTTGCCTAGGTGCCATGTGCAATCTAAGTGAAGTTGGCATTGCTCTGAAGAAATTCTGATGAAAGAAGAACGGCAGACGAAATTAATGGACTATGCAGAATTGGACAAAATGGGAGGAAGGATTCGAAACCTGCGGGACCAGAGATTTACAGAAGATTGGAAGAAGTATATGAATTATTTGAAAAGCAACTGTAATCAACAAATTACGCTAGTAGGACTACAAGAAGTTTTGTACGGAGAAATAAACAAAGTGTTACAAAGCAGAAAAAGATAAGAGATATTGGTTATGAGTTTGAAATGTAATAAGGAAAATAAGAAATGCATACTAAGAAATTAGATTGGGAAATTTTCAGACAGGACTGATAGAAGTAAAAAAAAAATTGAATAAGATGTAAAAGTATGTTTAATTACTATTGAAAATGATATGTTTAAAAACTAATAAAAATTTATATATATAAAAAAGAAGAAGTTGGCATTGCTCTGTGACCAAGAAGCCTCCCAAAAGCATTTTGACCAATCGCACCTCTGCCTGCTGGGATCCCAATTCCTGGCATTAGCCACAGCAGGTGCCAGGGCTAATGGGAGCAGGAGTCACAGCAACACCGGGAGGGCCCCAATCCCTGCCCCCTGGTGACGAGGAAGGGAGCAGGCCTGCAGGAGAAGGTGCCAGGGCCCAGCCCAAAGGAGCAGGCAGGAAAGGGGGACCCAATTTTTCTGGCAAAGGGTGTCTAAGGAGGTAACAGAAATCCCTGGGTTAAAGCTGACCAAAAGTCCAGAAGTAGCACTGTTATCAATTTACGATGGAGTGGAAGGATTGCAGGCGATGAAGGACTTGCTCACAAATTTATTGACAGCTCCACGAGTTATTACAGCTAGGAAGTGGAAGGGGCAAACAGAATATAAAATAGAAGAATGGTATAAAGAGATGTGGGATATAGCTATTAATGATACATTAACATGTGCCACTAAGGTAAGACGGGGAATACTCGGGAGAAATGACTCTGAGGAGATATGGAGGGTGTTTGTAGAATTTGTACTGTTAGAACGGAAAGGGGTCAAACCATCGCAAGAGGTGTTGAAATTTTGGGAGGTTGGATAGTTACAATGGAATGGTCTCAGTAGTGGGGTGCACATGTTTATTCTTATTCTTTATTATTACTTTGTCAAAAAAAAAAAAAAAGGAAAGGGGTGTCGTGAATTCTCCGTGGCGCTTTAGCAGAAATGCTCAGAGTTCCAGGTTCTTCAGTGCAGTATATACCGGTATATTGTGAGCTATATATACAAATATCTACAGGCTATAATAAACTAGCAGTTCATAAAGTCAAACAGAGTACCTGGCTGCACTTTAAGGCAAATAGGAAGATCTTTCTATCTCTCTCTCTCTGACCACACTCCTCTGCACCACCACCTTTACTGCTGGACAGGTTTCCCTTTTAAACCGATGACAGCCAATCAACTGACAGCACACTACTGCCGAGTCTTTCTGACCCAGCACTTCCATAGAAAGTATTGCAGGCGGATTGCATCAGCCAGCTGCATCAGCCAGCAAACTCAAGCCTGCAGACTGACTATCTCACACAGCATTCTGTGAATCCCGACAAGGGGAACCTTGGAGGGCCACTGCCAGCCAGAGCAGCCGACACTGGGCAGGGCAGACCAACAGCCTGCCTTGGGGGAAGGCGGATCAGCGAGCGGAGCCTCACACGCCCCCTTGGAGGCCACGGCAGAATCGCTTCCAGGAAAGCCCCAGGGCCAGAGGGCGGGAGGTGCACACACGGACACAGCCCACAGGTAGCTCACCTGACGAGTGCGCTCTCCTGGAGCAGCTCCCGGCTGAGGTTCAGAGGGAGATCTTCGCTGTCCACGACTCCTGCACCAAACAGAGGGAGGGGCAGCGTCAGGGGGAGGGAGGGCAAGGGGGAGCTGTGGCCCAGAAGCAAACCCCCTGCCTGCCCCAGGGCACCTGCAAAGGGGTGGGTGGCTACCTTTCAGGAAGCGGAGCCATTTCGGCAAGATGTCCGTGGCTTTGGTCAGGATGAGGACCTTGCGGCTGTAGAGAGCGACGCTGGAGCCCAGCTCCCGGCTGACGTCAAACATGGAGGGCTTCTAGAGGCACAGGAAGTCATAATAATGGCGTTGTTCTTTCTACCCCACCCATCTGACTGGGTTGCCCAAGTTGAAACCGGATGTTCTGCCAGGTGGGAGGGACCCGGCTCAACCTCTCTCCTGGGGTGGGGCTGCCCCCCCTCCTGCAGACCACCCCTCAGTGCCTCTGGAAGGGAGTGGGGCTACCCCCAGGGCCCTCACCGCCTCTGGGACGTAGAAGATGCTGCGGATATTGAGAGGCGCGTCTGTCTTGTAATGCAGGACGTAGCGCGGCTCGTCGTAGGCCTGAGCAATGAAGCGGTAGAACTCCTTGTGCTGCCAGTCCCCAATGTCCTTTGGCTCCAGGGTCCAGAGGGCCTGCGCAGAGGGGGGGCGGACAGGGATGCAGAGGCTGCTGAGGCATTCAGAGGGCACAAGAGACAGCCAATGCCATTGCTGCCAGAAGGAGTCTGGTCCAGAGGCGAGCCCAAAACACCCCGAGGCTCCAGGCAGAATAGCAAAGAGGAGCCCAGAATAATTCTCCTGCCCGCAAAGCGGACCAAGCGTGGGACTAGGAGGGCATTGGCAACCTTCTCCAAGCCACTACCCCACCCTGAAATTAAGAGGCCATGGGAAGAGGATCCGGCATTGAGAAGCATCCTCCACTGTCCTTCTGGCAACTCACAGGAGAGAGCAAATGTTGCCCCTGTGCTCCCGAGGGGGAGCTGCTCCTCAGAGCCACTTGCACAGGACCCCCACAAAGCCCAGGGTGAAGGCAAAATCCCAGGCAGGGCTTCCTGGCCCAGAGCCTTTCCTAAGAGCGGCTCCTCCTCACCGGCACCTTGTTCTGAGCAGGGCGGAAGAGGACCGGGAGGCTTCATTTTAATGTTGCACTTTAATCTTGTTTTTAAGTTGTATTTTAATCAACTGTTTTTATACCTGGTGTTAGCCGCCCTGAGCCCGGTCTTGGCTGGGGAGGGCGGGATATAAATAAAAATTATTATTATTCTGCATGTCTGGGGCCCAAGCAGCGCAAGTCTGCAGCCGCCTTACCTGCATGGCGTTGACACGTCGACCGTTGAGGAAGAGGGGGTAGCCAACAAAGTTGCTGTACTTTGTGATGACCTCTAGTGGAAAGAAGGAAGGGGTTTGATGATCAACCTTAGTCAACAGCCCTGCTCAGGACACCCAAACTCCAGAGGTGCCCACTGGCCCACCCACCCAAGGGGTGCCCAGAAACACGGTAGACCAGCCCACAGCAGCCCACTAGGAAAGGAAAGGAAAGGCAGGGCTGGATGCTGAGGGGATCCTGGAAGGCAGAACCATGAGCGCATTGAGGTCCACCACAGGTATGTTGCACAAGGAGGGCCGGAAGAGGTCAGAAAGGCCCCCCCCAGCCCCCGCTTCTCAACCTGGCACTTAACAAGCCCAGAAGCCAGTGACAGCGAATCCATGCCATGCCAACGGTCCAACTTGAGCCATTAACTGCCCGCTTTTGGTGGCAGCTCTTTGGAGTCTTGGTCTTCACAGGAGACGCTGCCAGAGACTGAGACGGGGAGCTTCTAGGTGCAAAGCCTTTCTCCCCCCCCCCCCACAGACACCCACTCCCCAAGCCAACCCCCACCAAGCCACCCTGGGGAACCCCACCCAGGTGCAGGGCAATCACCTTTGACGCGCTCCTCGTTGGCGAACTCCTTGCAGTCTTCCTTGAGGTGGAGAATTATTTTCGTCCCTGTTTGAACTCCAGAGGCTTCCGAGATCTCAAATGTCCCAGAACTAGGATTAGAAAACCGTTTCCTTAATAACAATTTGAACAATTTATTTAACTAAAACAATAACGTTACAGTATACATATCCATGTTTGTTAACTGATGTGGTTAAACAAATTATTAATATTTAAAAAAAAAAAAAAAACTGGCAGAATCCAAGACCAGGGAGAAGAGTCAGTGGAAGAAGATTGGAAGAAATTTAAAGACTATCTACAGAAATACTGCAAAATTAATGAATGTTAGAATGATGTTGGATTGAAGTTAAGTGGTTTTTAGCAGCAATGTTATAAAGGAATATGTAAAAATGGATTGTTAACAGGTGATAATCTAAAGTTATAATATATTAAGATAAAAGATTAAGATAAAATCAAAGAGGGAAAGGATTTGCTGAATTAACAAATTTGAACTGGAATTCAAAAAAGGGAGGTGTGAGGAGGTCGGGGAAACAAGCAAATGAAAGATAAGATATGGAAAGACTAATCTGTTTTTTAACTGTTTTTATCTTGTATTTTCATTTTCAATTTTTTTCTCTTTTTTTCTTTCTTTTTTCGCTTATTTTTGTAATATGTTGAAACTTTAATAAATATCTTTTAAAAAAAAACATTTTTTTAAAAAAAAACAGCAACACTAGACTGAGTTTTAGTATGGACTATAATGCAACTTAAATAGAATACTATCTTTAGAAAGATTTTTTTCCTCCAAAAGCCTTTTATTTTAAAAATCCAATTTAAATTGAAAAACATCTGATTTAAATTTTAAAAAATCCAAGATTTCTGCCCGCACCCTACACTTCCTCCTGCCTGCTGCCCAGTCTTGCCCAGGTCCCTCCGGAGCACCACTTACCCATCCGAGTGCCAGCAGTACCCAGGGCTGCCTGGCTCTGCTGACTGCGAGAAAACTTCCACCCGATCCGCCACCATGAAGGCCGAGTAGAAGCCCACTCCAAACTGGCCAATGATCCTGCTGCCGGCTTCCGCCTGGCTCCGCAACGTGTCCAGGAAGGCCTGTGAACACAAAGCCCCTTGCTTGCAGCCAGGCTGCCATGACAGATGTCTAGCCGCTTCCCAACAACTCAAAGGGGGGTCACCAAGGTGCCAGTGCCCCCTCTCCTTGTAGCCTCAGGGATTGCTCCGCCCTGGAACTGTGGCAAGCCTAGCTGCACCCCCAGAGCCTGCACCCTCTGCCCCAAACCCTCCTGCCCCGTTACCTTGGAGCCAGACCTGGCGATGGTCCCAAGATTAGAGATTAGCTCCTCCTGGGTCATCCCGATGCCTGTGTCCTGCAGGGAAGAGAATGGCAAAGACATCTGTGTCATGTCCTGGCCCCCACTTGGGGATAGGGAGGGCAACGCTCCCCCATCTGCACAGACTCGGGCAAGAGAGACATTTCACAGCAGCATTGCTTCTAGCTGTTTATGAAAGATCAGCTCTGATCTGAGCAATGCACCAGAAGGTTGGTCTATGGGGTCCAGTGTCAAGGTCAGAAGCTAAGTCAGGGCCAAATCCCACCAGACACCAAGCTCACTGGGTAGCTGCGGCCAAGGCCACGTCTCAAGCTAGGCAGAATCCCCAGACCAGTCCCCCTTGGGCCAGAGGCAGCAAAATCTCTCCGGTCCAGCGACCTCCCTTGGCAGCCCTGGCCAAGGAGTAGGAACAAATAGAGAAGTCTGGGGAGTTCTGGCGCAAGCCATCCACTCGGCAGCAGTACCTGGATGGTGATGGTTCCTTGTTTGGAGTCTGTCTCAAGGTGGATTTCCAGTTCTGGCAGGATCTCCCCTTTGGACATCAGCTTGTGGCGCAATTTTTCTAAAGCATCACTGCAGTTGGAGATCAGCTCTCGGATAAACACCTGCAGGGAGAGGCCACGCTGATGCAAACGGGCACCACAGAGACAGCAGGGGAGTGGCACTCGAGTGTGGAGCAGCGCCCCATCCCAGATGGAAGCGGGTCATGCCTTCCACCCCCACTAGCCAAAGGCAGGGGAGACTCCACACACTGTAGCCGCAGGCATCCTCTAGAGCAGAGCTTTCCAAACTGTGTGTCGTGACATGTTAGTGCGTCAGCTGCAGTAATGCTGGTGGTTAACAAAAGAGGTTTAAAGTCTGTCTCAAGGCAAATCTTTAAAAATGTAGTATAAAACCAACAACTGGGAAACCCTTGCCTGCGAGTGCTCCAACTGGAGAACAGCCTTTATCAAGGTGTCATGGGCTTTGAAGACACTCGAACTCAAGACACAAGGGAGAAATGAGCTAAGAGGAAGGCATGCTTGGCAAATCCACTCTGTGATCAACTCCCACCCGGAATCCAATGTCCCCACCGTGGAAGGATGTAAGGATCCAGCATTGGCCTCCACAGTCACTTACGGACTCATTGTTAAAGCCATGTTTATGGAAGACAAGCTACAAGGGATCGCCAAAGAAGAAGAAGAAGGAATGTCACGTGAATGCTCCCTACACTCATCCCAGAGCTGGAAAGGGGTTAGTTCAACCTCTGGTTTGCTAGTAAAATTGAATTGCTCTGTCGGGAAATGATGCACATCTAAAAAGTGTGTCACCAACATGAAAAGTTTGTTGGAGCTACCCTGGATTTGCAAGCACACTGCACTGCCGCCCCAGTCTGATCTGATCTCAAGCCCTTCAACTCACTCCCTTTCCTGGGAGCCTGTTCTGGTCCTTGCAGTTCCCAGGAGTTGGAGGGCTTCAGGGAAGCTCCACGGACTGTGGAGTGTGCAGCTTTGAGGAAAGACATGTTGGGCAAGGCGCTACATCAGCCATATTCCCTAAGAGGTACAAGGACGGCTTCCCAACTGAGGTGAGAGGAGGGCTGAGTCTGTAACGCAGCGCACCTGCTTTCCACTAACCTGGGGAAACTAACCAACCCACTGCAGAAGGGGTGCAGTGATGCCCTCCAAATGTCTGCATTAGGGAAGTTGCTTCAAATTAAGGCAGCAGCCACTACCAGGGCTCAGGATCCCCCAACGAGGAGTTAGGGTCAAGCCAGCTCAGCGGGCATGGGCAGTGGCAAGCGCTGGCTCTGCCCTGCAAAAGGACCCTTGGGATGCATCAGGGCAGGAGCGGCCAGCCTACCTCCTTCTCTGAGTAGAGAGAGCGGGCCACGATATCCAGCAGCTCCTTGGTCTCTGCTTGAAACTCGTGCCTGGAGGCAGAACCTGCAAGATGGAGAGGAGGGAGAGGAAAGGGCTGCTGCTGCTGTTCTCGGCAAAGGGCTGCCCCCCTGCCCCCCACAGCAGGGCCCAGGAAAGAGCGTGGCTTGACTCCAGGGGAGGGAGAGCCTGACCTGGGACTGCCTCGGGGTTGCTGGTCAGTCGATGCAGCGGAGGGGCCTCCTCGTCACTCTGGGCAGCTTGCGAGCTGTAACTCTTCCTGGACGCCCAGCTCAGCCCCGGAGGCAGCAGCGGAGGGGCCGGTCGGGGCAGGAGTACGGCCCTTGGACCTGAAACAGAAGAAGCATTGGGTGGTGGGCCAGGGACCCTTCTGAACGCGGAGCTTTAGAGGATGCTACCCGCTGTTATAAGAATTCTAAGGTCTCCAATATAGAATAAATGTTCATAAATGTACAAGACAAATGCACATACGTAAGTATATACTCCACATGTCTGAAATGGTACTGGAGAGCAATCCTGAAGCCATTTTGACTCTCCCAAATTGACCTCAAATATTTCTCTGCAAGGAGGAAGGAAATGGGAGCAGCTTTCCAATGGTCTTTGGACTGTAGGGACTGCTTACACCTCCCTGTAAATACAGTCCGGCAAGTATCTGTTAAGCTGAGCACACTATCAATACATGTAGGAGATTCAGGAACTGAGTATTTACCATCACAAAAGAATGGCCAGACTGCCCAGAAAATGCAATCAAGTGAGGCATTATCAGGTATCCTGGCAGACAGGAGAGAAGCAACACTCTCAAATTTCTGCTGCAGACCGCCTCCTTCTGTGATGTATGTATGATATTTTGGGGGGTGGTCTTGGACTACAGGTTGGGCAATTTCAAAAATCTTTATAGAGGCCTGTGCACCATTGTTCTGGGCCTCTCATGTCTGCTTGCAAGGAGGGAGGAAGCTCTGTTGCAACAGTTTATTCTCTGTTAATGAAGATCAGGCTTAGTAGCTGCTTTGATTCTCAATAATATGCTGGTTGGCCTCTGCTTTCTCTAGACGGGGCTCTAAGTACCCCTAAGAGAATTCGAACTGTGGTTCCCAACGTGGGGTACACACCCCACGGGAGAGAATTGATTTTTAAGGGTGGCAATTCAAGAAAGAGTCACAGTGGTACCTCGTGTTAAGAACTTAATTCGTTCTGGAGGTCCGTTCTGAACCTGAAACTGTTCTTAACCTGAGGTACCACTTTAGCTAATGGGGCCTCCTGCTGCCGCCACACCGCCAGAGCACGATTTCTGTTCTCATCCTGAAGCAAAGTTCTTAACCTGAAGCACTATTTCTGGGTTAGCGGAGTCTGTAACCTGAAGCGTGTGTAATCTGAAGCGTATGCAACCCGAGGTACCACTGTATTAACAGTGAATGGCCTTTTAGGCTTCCTCCACGTGAACAGGAGTTCACTTTTTGAATAATAAGGAGAAGAATAAGAATTAAAGGGGGATCAGGAATTGAGAGATGCTTATGTGGGGCATGGGCAAAAAACCGTTGGCATCCCCTGAATTAGAGGTCTTTTTCTGGCTCCCCGGGCCAGATCCGCGGCGGGGACGGGCATGGCGCGGCCTGCGGGGTCAGAGGGGCGGGGGGTCGCGAGGTCACGCGGCGCCCAGGGAAGCAGCCTCCTCCTGGGGCCTCGCCAGGGCCCGGCCTCCCTCACCTGCTCCCGCCGCCGCCGCCGCCGCGGCTCCCGGGCGGACCAGGAGGCGGAGGAGGCATCGCCCGCCGCGCAGCACCTCCAGCCTCGCCATCGCCACTCCCGCACGCCCACCCGACTTCCGGCGCGGGAATCGCGTCACGCGAGACGTAGCCGGCGCTCCCGTGACGTCGGTGCGCCGGAGCTTGGCGCATGCGCTCTTCCGGCGCTCGCCAGGCCCCGCCCCTCGGCCGGACCGGTCGGAAGGAGGCCTGCGCCCCGCGAGGTAAGCCGCGAGGGCGCCCCTGGGCATGTGCAGAGCGCCGCCGGGAGCGGGCAGGGGGCGCTGGAAGGACCCCCGGGCGCGGAGGCGGAGGCAGGGCGCCGAGGGGGCTCCGGGCCCGGCTCCGCCTGGGCGCCCCTTTCGCCTTCCGGCTCCGGACTACAACTCCCAGCAGCCCCGGCAGGCCGGCCCCGCAGGGGGATCATGGGAGTCGTAGTCCGGAGGCCTGCAGGGCCCGGGGGCGGAGGCGGAGGAATCCCCCCTCGCCCCAAGGAGCCCGCCTCCTCCGGGCGCGACACGCCCAGCCTCCGCGGTCCCGATCCGGGGGCTCCGTCGGCGGCAAAGGATTGGGCCCCTGGGCCTGACTCTGAGCCGCCTCGAGCAGCAGAGACCATATGATCATTTTCACTAATGTTGCCGTGATGACTAGCATCATTAATTATTTCAACCCATATGACGACTATAATTATTAATTATATTAAATATAAACAAATTATTTGTAGGCACAGCTCATCCTCTAGAATAAAATAGCTTACTAGGGAAATGCTGAAGCTGCCCTTTGGGGTGCCTCAGGGTCAATTTCTATGGTAGCCCAAATCTCAGTTGTACGGGTGTATGTATATATCTCAATTTTAACTCATGAGCTTTTGCTGCAATCTGCTCTGATTGCATATTTTATTTTTATGAATGCTGTTTTTATTTGTGTTGTGCAAGCTGGTCTTTGACCGTAATAAATTATCTAATATAATTATATTAGTTATATATTATTATTATAATTATTAAATATATTAATTACAATTATTAATTAATTAAAAAACAACTGTGCACAAATGAATTCTGCGCGAACCCCACAAACTGTAGCAATGAAAGCACCGTTCTGAACGCCGGCTGCTGGGCAAGGCGAGAGGGCTGTTGTCCCCGCGGGCGCTGGGTTGGCCGCTGTGGGTCTGGGCCAGGGCGGCATTGGTTTGGCCTGATCCAGGCCCCCTTGTGTGCGGCAGGATCCGAGCTCCTTCCCCAAAGAGCCAGCTAGGATGGAGAGCAAAGACCTGGAAGCCGAGATCCACCCGCTGAAGAACGAGGAGGGCAAAGGTCCCGAGGGCCTGGCCAACTGCACCCAGAAGGAAGCGGCCCCCAAGAAGCTCAAGCGGCTCTCGCGATGGCGCACGGCGGCCTTCTTCCTCTCCCTCTTCCTGTGCCTCACGGTGGTGTTTGCCTTCTCCTTTATCATCCCGTGCCCAGTGAGGCCCATTTCCCAAAGGATGTGGAGCAGAACTTACGAGGACGCAGGTGAGTGCGTGGGCGCAGGGGCCGCAGCCGCTCCTGGGGGCCCACGGGTGCTTGCGGCCCATCGCTGAAGCCCCCCATTCTGGCCTCTTTGCAGCAACCTACGCGTTCCTGGCCATGCAGGACGTCAACAAGGACCGGGTCCAGGATGTCCTCTTTGCCTTCAAGGCTGCCAGTGCCGGCAGCAACAGCACAAACAGCTCTTGCTCCAGCCAAGGTGAGGGTTCCTGGGGCTTGAGCGGCTCTGCAGAGGCTGCTCCTTGGGGGAGAGAGGGGAGGAGGCCGCCGGGGCTGAATGGGCTGCTCCTCTTCCTCCAGGCTTGGCCTCCCCCTGTGCCTTCCTGGCCGCTCATTCGGGCACCAACGGCAGCACGCTCTGGCAGAGGCCTGTCGCCCAAGAGCTCCTGCTGATGGACTGCTCCGGGGAGCAGGATCACAGCCCAGCCTGCCTCATTGTAGGGGAGCCGGACATCCTGGCAGCCATCGACTTGGAGACAGGTAGGCAGGTGTCCAGCAGCCCCTTGCCCAGAGCGTCACGGCAAGAGGCTTGCAGGCAACCTTCCTGGGGCAACGAGGGGGTTGGGGGGGTTGTCTTGCCAAAGGCAAGGTGGTTCCTTTCAAATGAGATTCATGAGCAATACAAAGTACGCAAGTGAGTGAGAAGATTAAAAAAAATTATTCTAAAACAGCAAGCAATATATACCGTATTTTTTGCTCTATAAGACTCACTTTTTCCCTCCTAAAAAGTAAGGGGAAATGTGTGTGCGTCTTATGGAGCGAATGCAGGCTGCGCAGCTATCCCAGAAGCCAGAACAGCAAGAGGGATTGCTGCTTTCTCTGCGCAGCAATCCCTCTTGCTGTTCTGGCTTCTGAGATTCAGAATATTTTTTTTCTTGTTTACCTTCTCCAAAAACTACGTGCGTCTTATGGTCTGGTGTGTCTTATAGAGCGAAAAATACGGTACATACCAAGCATGCACTTAAATCTGCCACTTGGAAATCCTCAAGAAGCGGTGAAGCGACTCCCCCAGGTAGCCTCAGTTTGCAGGGCCCTGCGGCTGATCAGTCCGTGCACGAGCTTCAGAGAAACTCTGCCCAAACTGTCCCATTTTATAGATAGCCACCCCTTCCCAATGCCTCACTTTCTCAAAACAAGGTCCAACATCAAAGAAGGTACCCATCATTATTTTGGGATGCGTCCAAGGGAACACGGGCAATTGGCAGGCCCCCAGCTGGCTCCAGCCCACCGGCCAGCAGCCGGGCGAACTCTGGTCCTTGGATCAGCATGTAACTGTGACCCGAGCTTCAGAAGCCGGGCATGCAAGCCAGCAGAGATAAGAACTCTTTGCAACGGAAGGGCAGAGAGAGGCTGTGTAAAGCGTATTTACAGGCATTTTATTCAGCATCAGGACAGAGGAAAAACATGTCTGCTCCCCTTCGTGTCCAAGCAAACAGCATAAGCAAAAGCTATACACACAACGGAAGTTCCCAGCAGGCTGTGCTGGAATGTAAACAGGCATGTGACACACAGCAGTCATGCCTGTTTCTCTTAAGGTGGAATGGAATATCGTGACACGTCCTCCACAGCTGAGTAAGGGAGCTGCATGTTCCCAGGACACTAAAGACTGTTCTCACACCATCAAAAAACTGAACAAGAGGGAGGGAGGGGGAAGGGACAGAGGAGGCGGAAGGGCTCTGGGTCACCAGCTCCTCAATACATTTTGTCTTCCGGGTGCATTTCTCCATTCTCGTGAAGGAGTGGAACAGGTCTCGGTGTTTCGATTTCTGGGAATGGAGTTGAGAGATTATCTCACCTGGGGAGAAAACAGCAAAGACCTGAAGAAGAGAGCACAGCAGAGGTTATATTTTCCGAGAAGCCTCTGGAAAAAACAATCTCTCAAAGGACCTGTTGATGGCATTTCACCATTGTACTGCGGAGAGTGTCTGTGTGTGTGGTTTGGGAGCTGCATGGTCAGGGGAAAAACAATGCTGTCCAGGGTTGTAAAGACTGCAGAGAGAATAACTGGGTGCCCTCTTCCCACCTTGGATCAAATCTATTCTGCCAGGTGCCATAAGAAAGCAGCAGAGATAGCGCAGGATTGTGCACACCCCGGAAATGATCTCTTTCAGCTTCTGCCTTCTGGAAGAAGGTACAGGGGTATAAAGACCAGGACTAGCCCCCTGAGAAAGAGTTTCTACCCAAATGCAATTCTGGTTTTAAACGCAGTACAGTATAAGAAGTCCCTATAGGAGTATATTGTATTTTAAAATGGGGTTTCAGAGTTTTTAGGGGGGTTGAATCTCTTATGTAGATTTTTCAATTTCATTGTTCTGCATGGGACAATGACAATAAAGATATCGTATTCTATCGAGTGAGGAGCACCCATCTCACTGACGGGGCACCTTTGCATCCTGCAAGTGGGCTGGCGCTAAGTTAACTGGACGCAGCTTTGCTCTGGGCAGCAACAGTGAGATTCCGTTCCACTCAGACAGACAAGAGAGCTGCCTGCTGGATCAGCCCCAGGAAGGATCAGCGACTGAGTGGCCACCTGAGTCTAATTCCGTGAGCTCCGCTCTGTGATTGGGTGCCAGAGCCTGCTCCGCTGCCATCCACCTTTATGCCAAAGCCGGGAGAGCATTGGAGCTCCTGTCTTCTCCTCGCTGGCCCAAATAGGACTAATTTAGCCAGCTAGCCCTGGTGATCATATAATGTTTATTGGATGGATTTTCCCCTTAAATTGATTTTTGAATTTCTGAATTTATTGTTATCCACGTTTTATACTGTCTTTTATGCTGTTTTTTGTTGCATCAATTAAGTGTTTTAAATTTCTATTCTAGCCCATATTCTGTGTTCCAAAACAGAAAGTGGGCAAGAGGGAAGGAAAGGCAGAGTTGCGGCCGAGAGTGTGAGTTGGCTGCCATGGCCAAGGCCCCCAAAATGCTGGGAACTGCGGTCCTTTGTCCCCTTCCTCCCCTCACCCCACGAGGCCCTTCCTTCCTGCTTATTCCTCAGGCCAGACTCTCTGGAATGAGGCTGCCGACCTCGGGCCTAATTCGACAGTGCTGAGTCCATTGCTGAAGATCCCAGATGTCAACGGAGACAGTACTTCTGACCTTTTGGTCTTCGCTGAGACGGGCGAGGAGGTGAGCTTAAATAACCATAGATAACTATAGCGAGGAAACTTGGCATTTCTTCAGCATTGCCATGCAAGCCTCTTTAAGACTGGGCAGGCAGTGGCGGCGGCGGCAGGATAGCTCAGCTTCCTCCCCAGGCGCGAGAATCCCATGGCCTTCGCTTGCTCTGCAGATACAAGCCCACTTCTATTCAGGGAAACATGGCACCCAGATTGGATCCGTTGGGACCTTGCATCTTCCGGGAAGAGTTGGCCACCTCATGCAGGTCACGCCGAAGGGCTCCCACTACGTGCTGCTGTACACAGGTGAGTCCTTCCCCCTCTGGAGACAGGCCCCGTCTTGGCCCAGGAGAAGAGTCTTGGTCTCTGGAGAAGAGACGCTCTTTGGAGTCTGGTGAAGACACTGCTGCTTGGCTCACCCGACTCCCTTCCTCCCTCAGCAAAGGCCCTTTACGGCTACTCTCTGAAAGCGCTGTGCCAGATGGCGTTCAGCTCTCCTGCCCACAGCAGCTCTGGTTTGACGGAAGATCCACTCTGGGAGACGGCGATCAACAGCGCCACGCGCCAAATCACCTTGCTCAGGTACCGCTTGTAGGGCGGGAGGCGGGATTGACCATTGGGGGGCTTGGGGAGAATACGTGGCGTTCAGAACAAGCCGGATGGGAACTTGGGAAGAAGTAAGTTCCTAGAAAGGGCCACGTCTGAGAGCAGCAAGTGGGGTTGAGAGAGAGGTAGTGTTGCTGTGAGCCAAAAAGTCGCCAGTTCAGTTGGTGACCTTGTATTAGGAAGCCCCAGTGCTTTTTTTCTTAGAAAATGTTTAGGGGTACTCTCATTTTGACTCAAGTTCAAACCAAGAGAAATAAATACGGTAAATGGACAAAAGTACAAAGAACATGCATTACAGCGGGAAAGGAAGCCGCCATCAGGGTGGTAACAACAAAATGGACCAATCACTGTGCTAGATTCCAACTCCGACTTCACACATTAAACACCCGCTTCCATCTGAGACTCAGGAAACACCATGACAGAAAATGAGGCTGCCATCGGAGGGAGTAGCAGAACTGACGATTCACCAGGCTAGAGAAGAAACTAAATTTTTTAAATAAAAATTAGTTTCTTCCCCCGTTAGATTCACAAAATGTTTAGGGGTATGCGTACCCCCAGAAAAAAAGCACTGGGAAGCCTCCACCTGTAATACGGAAATACTGGCCCACCTCACATGGTTGTTGTAAGTTCTACAGAGAAGAAGGTGCTTCTTTCCCTTTGTCAGAAGAGCCCGTCTTCTGGGGGTCAGGAGGGCAGTGGGGTCTCCTCCCGCCAGCCTCCCCTTGCCCTCATTGGTGCCAGCTGGCACAAGCACCCCCTGAAGGCCCTGCTGAGCAACAACCAGCACTCTCGGTCCCTCCCTGTTTAGCACGGGAGAAATCCGCTACCTGACAAAGATGCCTGTGTCTTCGAGCGCCGATTTTCTGGTTTCAAGATCGAACATGCTTGAGCTGGTGGACGGGCGGCACTTGGGCTCAATGTGGGTCACAGAGACACCCCACATCTTAAGGTAAGGGGTGCCAGCTTCTGCCAACAACCATGACCTGTGGGGTCCGACTCTGGCTTGTGCCTCGTCCTCAGGCACAGGGCACAGGGAGAGTGGCCTTAGCTGTGACTTCGCACGGGAGGGAGAAGGGAAAAGGAGGACAGGCCAGCCGGTAGTTTTGCCATGCGTGAGGCTCTGAGCTATTAATTAGAGGTGGGCTTCGCAGCCCAGAGGAATTCGCCAACGGTGCTTCTGAGCGCAAGCAGAATGCCCAAGGGAAGAGAAGGGCTTATGCAACTGGGAAGGGAGGAAGAAAGGAAGATAAATAGCGGGAAAGAGTTAACCGGGAACAACTTTCTGTGTATGTACATAAATTGCAAATGTGTCAGATTCTGCAATAGTTGGTATGAAAAGAGGGAGGATGTGAATATTTCACCCCTCCCATTCTAAGACTCTCATGATGCTTTCAGAAAGGAGGGGGCGGAATCTGCTCATCGCTTCTTCCGCTCCAGCCTGACTCTGTGGGAGTCTGAGTGTTATCTGTGTAGAGATAAGATGACTGCATAAGAAACTGTAACAGTCATGCAGTCCCGTATCCTCCATTAGTTTTTGGTTTATAGTTTATTTTAGTTTGCAGTAGCTGTAAAAGAATAAAGAAGTTAAGCTTCAGAGCCGTCGTTCATGCAATTCATACTCTCCTGTACTCAGCTAACGTTGGTGCTGAGGTTGGTCTCACAGCTCTGAGTTGTGAGTCCATTGCACTTAGAACTGCTCTCCCTCAGTGGAAAGTCTCTGGAAGTGCTTCCCAGCTCGCCTGGCCCAGTCGGGGCTGAAGAGGTTGAGCCCAGTCATTGGCACCGGCTCAAAGGCGAAGCTGACAGTTTCCCCACAGCTTTCTGGAGATAAATCCCTTTCTCCGCTTCCCTTCTTAACCAACAATTTCTTCCCCCTTTTCTGGAAGGGTGGGGTGGAGGAGGGAGAGATCCGGTGTGCCAGTCAGGGCTGCTGAAAACGGCTCGTTCAGCCCCTTCTCGTCTCCCTCTTGCAGTGAACCTGTGCTTGGAGCCTACAGGCCAGACGAGGTCGACGTTATCGTTACGAGCAGAGACTCTTCCGGGAAGAAGGTTTGTTTAAAGGCCCACAGCCACATGGAGTCCCTTGCAGCAAAGGCAGAGTTTTATGAGCCGTTTCTTTTATCAATTAAATTCAAATGCCGCCTTCATCTGAGGATCGCAGGGTGGTTTACAGCAAAAAAAAGAGCAGCCCTGATCAGGAAAGTTTTTAATGTCTGGCATTTTATTATTTTTTATATTTTGCTGGAAGATGCCCAGAGTGGCTGGGGAAACCAGCCAGGTGGGCAGAGCATAAACAAGAAAATTATCATAAAAATGCACAGCACAATAGCAAGCAAGAACAATGCCTTTGGCCTCCTGGGGCCCTGCCCCCCCCCCCAATTAAAAAGGCCATAGAGGAATGTTTTTGCCTGGTGTCAAAAGACACATGAAGCAGGCGCCAGGCAAGCCTTTCTGGGGAGAAGACCCCACAAATGAGAGACAACGCGAAAAAGGACTGTCTCTGTGTTGCCACCCTCCAGACCTCTTGTGAAGTAGGGGCATGGGGCACAGAAAGAAGGGCCTCGGGTGACAGTCGCAGGGTCTCGGTCAGTTTGTATGGGGAGAGGCAGTCCTTGGGGTATTGAAGGCTTTTAAACCAGTGCTTTGAATTAGGCCCCAAAACTGAGTGGCAGCCAGTGCAGTTGGGCCAGAGTTGGCAATCCGTGCTCAGACCGCCTTGCCCTGCTGAGCATCGTGCCACTGAATTCTGCAGCAGCTGAAGTTTCCGAAGCATCTGCAGAGGCAGCCCCAGGTGCGCCACATTGCAGTAACCTGACCTGGAGGTTACAGGAGGACAGATGACAGAGGTTAGGCTGTCCCAGTGCAGGTGGGGGCGCGGCTGGGCCACCAGCCAAAGCTGAAGGAGGCCCCAAGCGACAGCGGTGCACCCAGGAGGACCCCAGGTTGCGTACCTGCTCTTCAGAGAGAGTGTCACCCCCCTCAAAAGCGCCACCTCCCACCCTCAGGACTTTGGTGGCTCCTTAAAGATGAGCAAATCTGCTGAAGGAGGGTCCGCTTAATCAGATCCGAAGTGACGCATTTTTTAGGTGTGATGGTTAGGCTTGGTCCTGGCCTGCCATGGAGCAGCCTCTGGGTGCTGAGAGCCTTTGCCTCGCCCAGCGCCCCGTGGCAGAAGCGCCCGGAGGGGCTCCTTGGGGGCAGGGGCTGTGGAGAAGAGCGCTGAGGACCTGAGAAGGCGGCACCCTCTAAGGTGGGCCTCTTCTCCACAGGTCATGGTCATGGAAGGCACCTCCGGCGACATCGAGTGGGAGGCCAGCCTACAGCTGCTCTCGGGCGCTGACAGCCCCCGGCCGGCCACCCTGTCCACCCTCGACCGCAGATCGGTCTTCCTCTTCTGGGGCCTGTACCAGAGGGACGCAAACGGAACGGTAAGCGGAGGGTGGCTGTAGCAGGGAGGGAATGCAAAGAAACTGTTCCTTCTGCCAGCTGGCTTTGGACAGGGGGAGGGGGGCTAGCTGAATGGAATTTGCCTTTAGGAATCTCTAGCTCAGTTCGTAGAGCATGAGACTCTTAACCCCATGGTCGTCGGTTTGAGCCCCACGTTGGGCAAAAGAGTGGACTTTGCATGCAGTTGGACTAACGACCTTTGTGCTCCCTCCCAACTCCACTGCAATTCCATGAAAGCCCTCTGAACCCCAAAAGGAGAACACCAGCCTTCCCACATGTCTGGCTTTGTGTGCCCGGGGCGACAGTCACACTGGCACAGAGTTGCCCCGGTGCCCCTGCCCCTCTCCTCTGCCACCTCATAACAGAATCGCCTTCCCTAATTGCCACAACCTTGCCAGCCCACCTTTCAGGCAGGGAATGCGCTGCCTCTGTGTGTTATGGGGGGTCTTGCTGGCGGGGCCTGCTCTGCGCAGTTTGCCCTTGCCTGGCGCCTGGGCTGCAGCTCTCTCTTCTCTCTTGGCGCCAGGGGTCCTGGGATGGCGCCCAGCAGCAACTGTACCTGTTCCACCCCGCCTTGCCCAATGTCCTCCTGGAGACGAGCAACGTCACGGAGCACATCGTGGCCTTTGAGGGTAAGTCGGTGTCATGGTCCGGTTCACGGGCAATCAAAGTCCCGGCAGGGGACATCAGGACCGGGGGCAAGATGGCGGGGTGGGAGCAGGAACGGGCGTCCAGAAGCCAGGAGTCAGGAAGTCAAGGGTCTGAGGGTCAGGAAGCAAGGAGTCACGAAATCAGGAGTCCGAGGATCAAGAAGCAAGGAGTCAAGAAGCCAAGGTTCAAGGATCAGGAAGCCAAACGCAGCAAGGCAGGAAATGAGTTGCTGTGGCAAAGAGCCGAAGGGAAATGCTGACCTTATAACCCTTCCCAGCTCTTGCCACCAGGTGCTGTGAGTTACCTCACCTGTGTGGCCACGCCTTGCCTCTTCCAAACAAACTTAGGAAGGCCCCAGTCCTGCAGAGTCCTATTGGCCCTGGCTCCTGCACACACTCCTGACAGACAGGGGCCTCCCCATGCTAGCTGGGCAGCTGTGAGAAGGAGGAGGCTGCTGCTGCTGCCTCCCCCCTCAATCCTTCACCCTCTTTCACTTCCAGGGGTGCTCTTTGAGCGGAGCCGCCACGCCTGCTACGTGCTCCTGACGGGGCCCCAGGTAGGGCAGGCCCCCGGGCAAGTGATGCTGTCGAAGTGGAAGCTGAAGGAGGCCATCGCCGGCAGCCGCGTGATCTGGCTCAACCAGGTGGCGCAGAACAGCGAGCAGAGCGTCCGGGAGCGCTTCCTCAGGATGAGGTACCGCAGCCCCCAGTGAGCGCCGCCGGCAAGGCTGGGATGCAGGGAGAGGACGACCCCGGAGGACCCGAGGCCGGCAGAGGCTTCCCGCAGTGCCAGAAGGCAGAGAAGAGCCGCCGCGAGGCTGACGATGGGCAGGGCTGGCATGGCAGGAGGGGGCAGAGGCGGCCTTCCCAGCGCTGCTCCTCGCCCGCATCCAGGGCCCTTTCCCTTGGGGATTCCTGCTGCAAAGGCTCCCTCTCTCTGTCTTTGTGGAGGCCTGGATTGGGGGGCAAGCAAGCAGGCGGCCCCTTGACTGGCACTGGAAGGCTCCCCCACCAATGGACTCTCCTGGGGGGAGGAGAGGGCTCTGCAGCCCCCACCTCACTGGGGTTGATGTCTGCAGCCCCCACTCCCTTGGCTGCCCAGCTCCTCCCTCCCTCGCTGCTGCCTCCACCGGCTGGGAGCCAGGGCCAGTCGCTTGGGGCTGGGGGCCTTGAGGGCTCAGTGGGACCCTGGCCTGCAGGGCTCAGGGGCAGCAGCCTGGGGGCGCGGGGGGTGCTCTCCCTTGCTCCCCCTTCCCCAGGCGCCTGCCTTGCCACCCTGCTGGCCTTGGCTTCAGGGCCCACCTGGCGCAGGGAGGAGGAAGGGGGTTGGGTGCTTTGCAAGGGGAAGGGCCTGAAACCTGCCCCCCACAGCATCCTTTGCCCAGGCGGCCCACCCCCCACTGCCAGGACTGGAACCGACGGGGCTGCTTTTCTGCCTTCGGGGATTTCTCGAAGGTTTTTCCTTTGGGCTTTGGTGGTGGAGGTTTCGCACACAGGGCCACCTCTTGCGCCTGAGGAGGCGGGGACGTGGCCAGCTCGCTGCTGCTGCTGCTGCTGCTGCTATTGTGGTTTCAATAAATCCTGGTTCCTTGTCCACAACCTCCGTTTTCGTTCTAGCTTGGGGCTCCTGCATTCGGTCGCCAGAATGAGCTGGGCCACCAAACCTATGGCATTCACTTGGGGGGGAAGGAAGGAGGCGCAGTGGGCAGAGGCCCCTCCTCTTGACACCCTCTCCCCCTGCCCATGCTCTCTCGGGGATGAAGAGGCCGTGGCTCGCTTGCACCCCAGGCCCAAATTCAAATCCTCCAGACTGGCAAGGAGAATCGGGTGACCTGGTTCTATGCCAAAGTCCTGGGCCGGCCGTGCCCTTGCCGGAGACCTGCCTGCCTCCTCCTGGGCTCAGGCAAGCAAGAGGACCTCTGTGCTTCGGCAGAATTTTCCCTGTGCAGGTTTTCAGCGAGGCCGTTGGTCCCTACGGCCTGCTGCTGCCTACGCTGCCAGGCAGGAGTCGTCGGAGGGGCCAGAGCTTGGCTGGGAGAGGCTGACGGAAAGGGCTTCTGCATGCCAAGCAGCCGCTCTGCTCCTGCACTTTGTTCCACGCTGCATCCCCTGGGAACAGGAGCTGGAGGAGGAGTCCCTCCGTCAAAGCTACTGCAATTAATCCAAAATGCAGCATCCAGACTGGTGACTGGGAGCGGCCGCCAGGACCATATAACACCGGTCCTGAGAGATCTGCATTGGCTCCCAGGACGTTTCTGAGCACAATTCAAAGTGTTGGTGCTGACCTTGAAAGCCCTAAACAGCCTCAGCCCAGTAGACCTGAAGGAGCGTCTCCACCCCCATCATTCAGCCCAGACACTGAGGTCCAGCGCCGAAGGTCTTCTGGCAGTTCCCTCATTGTGAGAAGCGAAGCTATAGGGAACCAGGCAGAGGGCCTTCTCGGTGGTGGCGCCTGCCCTGTGGAACGCCCTCCCTTCAGATGTGAAGGAAATAAGCAGCTCTCTTATCTTTAAAAGACATCTGAAGGCAGCCCTGTTTAGGGAGGTTTTTAAGATTTAGTGCTGTATTGTTTTTAACACTCGATTGGGAGCTGCCCCAGAGAGGCTGGGGAAACTCAGCCAGATGGGCAGGGTATAAATAAATTTTATTATCATTATTATCATTAGCACAGCGGCACCAGAAAAAGAGCCACAGCAGGAACTGCAGAAGCAGGTCTTGGCCCTGGCACCAGGGGCTTGGCTTGCCCCCCTCAGCTGTGCATGTGCGCACACACACGCACACACAACCCCCCACGTCCCTGTTGTGCAGCCAGAGGGGGTCCCGGCAGAGCTGCTCCTGGCTGACTTCCAGCCCTCGGCCCCCATCTGCTCCGAAAGTGCTTTGCTGGCATCTGTTCAGCGGTGGCGGCAGCATGCCACGCTGGGATTAGCGAGAGGGAAACGGCAGCAGTGCCAGGCTAAGAGGATGCCCTGCCCCACTTTCCCCCAGGCGTGAGGACTGGTGGGCCAGGCAGAAATGTTGGGGGCAAAGCGGCCCTCTTGCGCCGCAGGCCTGCCAGGGGAATGAGTGAGACTCTGCTGCAACCCCCTGCTCAAAGATGGGGCCAAGTGGGGTTTTAAGGCTCTCCAGGTTCTGCTGGGGAAATGCAATGGGAGAGCGGAGCTTTGCAGCCCCTACTAATCTCCTTACTGGGCAGATGGCAAATACCTCCCAAGCCCCAGAAATGCGGAAAGATCCTTGCAGGGGATTTGGGGCTGAGGGGGGGTGGCATGGAGCAGATGGACACGGCTGGTCCCTGAGCTCTTTGATTATCTTTCCCAAGGGCTACATGGGTGTTAGAATTGTAGAGTTGGTAACCTCATGGTTAGGGTACTGCAACGCATTCTACGTAGGGCTGCCTCTGAAAACTTCAGCTGGCGCAGAATTCAGCAGCCAGGTTGCTCACTGGAGCAAGACGGTTTCAGCATCTTACACTGATCCTGGTCTGGCTACCAATTAGTTTCCGGGTCCAATTCCAAGTGCTGGTTTTGACCTATAAAGCCTTAAACGCCTCAGGACGGCAATATCTCAAGAACCACCTCTTTCCATATAAACCTACCCGGACCCTGAGATCATCTTCTTAGGCCCTCCCTGTTTGCCACCACCTCGGGAAGTCCAAAGGGTGGCAACACGAGAATGGGGCCTTCTCTGCAGTGGCTCCCCGTCTGTGGAATGCTGTCCCCAGGGAAGTCCACCTGGTGCCTTCACTATACACCTTTAGGTGCCTGGCCTTTGGATGATCCGATTTACAGCCTATGCTCTTTTAAAATCTGTTTTTTTGTGGGGGGTGGGCTGTTGCCTTGTTTTTGTTTTTATTAGGTATTTTGTGGTTTTATATCTTGATTTTATTCTGTGAACCACCCTGAGACCCCCGGGTATAGGGCAGTATATAAACTCTATGAAGAAGAAGAGTTGGAAGGGACCCCCCACCCACTCACAAGGGTCATCCAGCCCAGCCCCCGCAACGCAGGAATGGCACTGTGGGGGTCTCATCCGCTGCTCCCCCCCCCCATGCAGGCAGTCTAGGCAGGCCACCCCACTCCTTGCGGCTGCCTGAAGCCAGGCATCTTCCCTGCCCCCCCTCCCTCTGCTCAAACCCCCGCCACCCCCTTTGGGGAAGGAAAGGCACCCCGGAGGCTCCAGAATGAGAAGCTTTTGCTTCCCTTGCCCCCACCCCTTTCTCCCTGTTGACTGCAAATGCCCCCCCCCGCCCCCAGTTCTTTGGGTGGAGAAAGGAAGAAAAACTGACCAGCCCCCAGACATCTCTGCTGTTCCTACGGGTTTTTATTGGATTCCATCTTTGCAGAACACATCTTGCAGCAGCTGCAACCTCCTTCACACACCGGACAGGTGCTGGAAGACATCTGGAGGGCCGAGTGGGTGCGGGGGGGCCGCAGAGCAGAAGAAAGCCCGGCCCTTCTGGCCTTGCGCTGCCCCCTCCCCTCGGGCAGCTGTAGGAGCAAAGGACACCCCCACCCTGCTCTGGGACCCATCTGGAGGCCTGGCCAGGCGTGGCGTCCCTCACAAACCACCGGAGGACCCCTGGGGGGGGCACACGCACAAGGCCTTCCCCCTCTGGGGTTTTAGGGACAGCCTGAGTCAGTTGTGCATGGGAGGGAGGGGGGCAAGGAACGCTGCTCAGCTGAAGGAGGGGGGCTGGGAGCAGGTGGGCGCTCTAGGCAGGCAGGGGGGCAATTCCTGAGGCAAGACAGTGTCGGGGGGGGGGCAGTGCTCCAAGAAGCAGATAAGGCAGAGGAGGTGATGCGTCTGTGCTGGGCTCCTGCATCATATGGCTTCGTTCCAGTGGGGGGGGGGGGATACAGGAAGGTCAGTTATGAGCCTCAGTCGAGGGACGTCCAGGCGAGTCAGCAGTGCTTGTCTAGGGGGCGGGCAAAGGCAGACCCTTCTACCTGTGTGTGGATGGCAAGGGGAATTGGGGGGGGGGGTCCTAGGTGCCGCCATCCTCTTCACCCCCCTCCTCCACTGGGGCGGGCGGCCCCGCTTTGCTCTTGTCTTCGGCCTTTGCCTCGTGGTCCCCCTGGGGGGGCGGCAGGGCAGGACTGGGGCTGGAGTGGCGCTGCTTCCGCATGAAAGGAAAGACCCTGCAGGGGGAGAGGAAGGGTCCCGTCTGACACTGCAGAGAGGCAATCTCCCCACAACCCCATGCCACCACCCTCCCTGAAGTGGGGGGCACTTGCGGGCCCCCTCCCCATCCGCTCACCGCTTCTTCGTCTCCGGTGGGATGACAGCCTCCGCCAGCAGGTTCTTGTAGAGATCGGACTTCAGGAAGCGAGGGTAGGAGTCCTAGCAGGGAAGGGGGAGAGCTGTGGGGTGACTGGGGGGGCGACGATGGCCAAGGCAGCCCCAGCCCTGAGCACCCACCCCCAGGACTGCTCCGCACCTTCTTCATCAGCATGTAGATGTGCATTTGGGCGTCATCCATGACGTAGCGGTGGGGGGTCTTAATGCCTTCCAGAGTCCTCTCCATCGTCTTGCTGTCGATGTTCACCCAGCGGGTGGCCCCGGGGGCCAGGAATTGCCTGGAGGGAGCAAGAGCTGCCTTGGCATGGGCGGGGGGCAGAGAGCTCCTGGCATGGGGGGGTGTAGGGGTGCAAATATCCAGAGTGTGGGGGGTCAGGTGGGATTGCTATGAGGAATCATGAAAAATGAAGCAAGCCATTGTGTCCGCGACAAAAGCATTGCATTGACTGGGTTTGATTCATTGACAATAGTTTCTGATCGAATCCCACAAGCCTCTCCCATCTCTGCCATTTGCTTTCTCTACACCTGACATTCTAAGTATAAGCATTCTAAACACACAGGCCGGTTGCTTCATCAGGCATCCTCAGTACATAAAGTTAATAGGTTACTTTGATGTAGTTTGTTAATCTTTAGATATATCTTACGGGCCAGGAAGAGAGTTCACAAGGAGATGGTAAATCCTGCCTCTCCTGTTTATTACCACCAGGGTTTTGCTGAATGCATTCCTCCTTTTATTCCTATTTTCTTTACTCTGGACTACTATGCATGCTCAAGTAGGAAATAATTTCTTTGTAGGTTTAACTTTGTCCCCACGTGAGGGTTTTGAAATGCTCAGAGGAAATCTGATTGGTTCTTATGAACACTGCATAAAAAGTTCTTTTGTGCATAAAACGACCTGGACTGAGGGGTGGAGAGGTTTATTATTATTGGCACCCCTCCCAGAGTCTGGCTGGTCAAGCCTCGTGTGTATTTTATTAATCAGAGTCCAATCCTTCCTTGCTTTGGGAACACTACAGGTGGGCACGCCTGTGTGGGGTCCGGGAAACCCAGCCTGGCTTGGAGGTCCAGGTTCCTCTGGGGCTGGGAGGAAGGGAGAGGCGAAGGCTCTGGGGACGTGCCAAACAGCCCCATTGGAGCCCCCTAGAGGTGAGAGGCCACCCAGGGCCGGCCCTACCAGTGGCGTAGCGTGGGTTGTCAGCACCCGGGGCAAGGCAAGTAATTTGCGCCCCCTAACCCGTGGATTTTAGCACTCGCCTGGCACCTCCACAGTGGGCGGCGACCTGGCGACTCGGATCGGATTCGCACAGCCAGCACTGCAGTGAGAGAGAGTGAGTGAGCCAGGTAGGGGCAGAGAGCTGCGAGTGCGAGTGCCCCCCCCGATGTTGCGCCCGGTGCGGCCGGCCCCCCCTGCACCCGCCACGCTACGCCACTGGGCCCTACCATGAGGCAGATACCTCGGGCGGCCAAGATTGAAGACCAGCAAGCGCAGGGAGCTCTGGGTGGGTGAGTGCTTTGCAACCCGTCCTGCACCTGCTAAACTCAGCCGCTGCCTTTTGGGGTGCAGCAGAGAAGGCAGAAACAAGATCCGAGGGTCCGCAGAGATTTCACGGATGGAACGGGACGGGGAGGAGGCTGCTTCTCGCCCTCGGCTTCGGGCAGCAAAACGCCTTGGGCCGGCCATGCAGGCCAGGCCTGTGGGAGCCAGCGAGGGGAGGAGAGCAAGGCGCTTACTGGTAGATGGAGTCCACAATCTCCTCAATCCGGGCCTGCTCTCCGTAGCGCAGCTCTTCGCAGGCCTCCCAGAAGCTCAGGTTCTCGGCTGGAGAAGCAGGAGAGGAAGAGGAGAGAGTTAGAAGAAGCTGAAAAGGCGGCAGCATGGAGGGCCCCGGGGGAAAGGACGATGGGGGGCAACTTGCTCTTGCGCTCCCCAGAAGCAAAAATACATTTCCGAGCAGAAATCAATGTGTTGGTGTTGACCTTGAAAGCCCTAAATGGCCTCGGCCCTATATACCTGAAGGAGCATCTCCACCCCCATTGTTCTGCCCGGATACTGAGGTCCAGTGCAGAGGGCTTTCTGGCAGTTCCCTCGCTGCAAGAAGCCAAGTTACAGGGAACTGGGCAGAGGGCCTTCTTGGTGGTGGCGCTGCCCATCAGATGTCAAAGAAATAAACAACTATCTGACTTTTAGAAGACATCTGAAGGCAGTCCTGTTTAGAGAAGTTTTTAATGTCTGATGTTTTATTGTATTTTTAATATTTTGTTGGAAGCCTCCCAGAGGGGCTGGGAAAACCCATCCAGATGGGAGGGGTATAAATAAATCTATTGTTATTATTATTATTATTAAAGCTGGACCTACCACTGAACTCCTTCTTGAGGAACTCCAGGAGCTGCACCCGGCCCAGGCTGTCCCCGATCAGCTCACTGAAGCCAAAGCTCCAGCGCTCCACTCGCAGCTTGGTGGGGGCTGTCACCCTGCAGGCAAGCGGGGTGGGGGTCAGGGTGTAATGCAAGCCCAGAGGGACCCCTGAAAGCCAAGGGGCCTTTCCCCAAAGAGAGAGGTGGAGGGAAGGCAGGCAAGGGGGGGCTAGCACAGACGCTGGCAGTGAGGGGGCCGGGCAGGCATCTGGGGCACCTCCACCAATTGGGGCGATGCACTTACGTGGGGGCGTTCATGGCCCAGTAGGTGGTGTCATCTGTGATCCAGGGATTACTGGGGAGGCAGCCGGACATGATGGGATCGTGCGGCACGTATTGCTCGTTGAACTTGAGGTACCTGCGGAGGCAGCAGGAGGTGGGGGGTGGGGAGTCGGTGGGGGCCTTCTTTGCTGCCAGGTGCAGCAAGGACTGGAACCGCAACTGGCAAGATGTGGGCAGGACGAGGCAACTGTGAGGTGGATTTGTGGCTGGTTCGCTGAAGGAACCCAAAGATTGCTCCTTCCTGGTTCCTCGTCCTCCTGGGGGAAAGTGACCTGTGGGTGCCACCACCTGGGCCCGTTGTTGTTCCACCTGCAGAGCCCCAGGTGAGCCCCACCTGCCCCTGGAAGCCCCTGGAAGCCCCTGGCCAGCTGGCAGCCCTGGCGCTGCCACTCACCCTTCCAGGCAGACAGAAGACTTGACCCTTGTCCTGCCCATGGCGGCGCGGCAGTAGCGGATCTGCGTCCAAGAGAACGGGGGGGGGTCAAGGAGCTGCCTGCAACCCACTCCCACCCACCCACTCCAACTGGCTCAAGACATCTCAGCAGCAGCCTCAAGGGCACCTCCTGATCTTGACCTGCGTTGCTCTTGGCCCACCAAGAGCTTGGCCCACCTGCCTCCCACATTAACCCTTCAAGAGGTAAGGAGGGTCTCCCCCCGACCCCCAGAAGGAGCCGCAGGCCCGACTGGGCAAACTAGGAAGGAAACAAAACCCTCCCATGTTCCCCAGACCGAGTCTGGAACATGGCATCTCCACCCCCATCGTTCAGCCTGAGGTCCAGATCCGAGGGCCTTCTGGCGGTTCCCTCCCTGCGAGAAGTGAGGTTACAGGGAACCAGGCAGAGGGCCTTCTCAGTGGTGGCACCCGCCCTGTGGAACGCCCTCCCATCAGATGGCAAGGAAATAAACAACTATCTGACTTTCAGAAGACATCTGAAGGCAGCCCTGTTTAGGGAAGATTTTAATGTTTGATTCTATTTTGAATATTCTGTTGGGAGCCGCCCAAAGTGGCTGTGGAAACCCAGCCAGATGGGTGGGGTTAAAGAATAAATTTATTTATTATTATTATTATTATTATTATTATTATTACTACTACTACTACTACTACTACTACTACTACTACTACTACTATTACTACTACTACTGTCCTCTGGAAGACGGAGCCAGCTTCTTGTCTCCTGCTCTGGAGGGTAGGACCCCAAAGAATGGCTTCAAGTTATAAGGGGATTCTGAAGGTGTTAGACTCTCCTTCCTTGGAGATTTTAAGCAGAGGTTGAATGGCTGTCTGTCAGGGATGCTTTAGCTGAGATTCCTGCATTGCAGGGGGTGAGACAAGAAGACCCTGGGGGTCCCTTCCAACTCTACAATTCTGTGATTGCTGTATCCCTTCAGCCCCCTCCCCCCAAAAAAAATAAACTCACCTCCCGTTTGTAATAATCCGTGTTCTTTTCCTGGAAAGGGAAGAGAAAGAGGTGAGCAAATCTCAGGGGCCGCCTTTGCCTCGCTGCCCCCCTCATCTTCTCAGAGAGGGTCAGACTCCTGGGTTGCTGCTTCCCCCCCCCCCCACTGGCTTTTCCCTCCCCTGCCCCCAAACTCCCTTTAACCAGAGATGCCCAGAGTTGAAGCAAGAGGGCAAAGCACCAGGCTCAGACCTCTCCCGATGGGGGGCCCCCCTCCTCCCACCCACTCAAAAGGAAGCATGGGGCTAAGGGACCCTTCCCACCCACCAGCAAGCCGAGCCGCCCCCCCCATCCCAGCGGCAAACAGCGGGTTAGTTACATGGCCGTGTTAGTGACTTACGTGGACGGACAGACGGACAAAGCGGCAGACAGAAGAGAAGAAAACAGACCCCAGTGGTCAGGAGGGAGGGGGAGCACAGGCAGACAGAGCAATGTGAGACAGAGAGACGGACGCAGCCCTGACCCCCCCCTCCCATCACACGTACGAGGGGAGCAGTCCGTACACAAAGGGGGAGGCCCTTCCCTCAGTCGTCATCGTTCCCCCCCTTTGCAGCCCTTCTTGGTGGGGATGCAAGGAGGGCCTTCTCGGTGGTGGCTCCTCCCAGGCAACTTTGGAACTCTCTGCCTAGGGAAGCCCAGCTGGCTCCCTCCTCACTGTCCTCCTTGCTCCCTCAGGTTTGGGGGAACTGTCTGCTTTTGAGGAAGAGGCTGGTGCTGGCTGCTGCTATTGCCATTATTTGCAGGGTTTCCATAGAATTTATTATATGTACCATATCGGCCCATATATATATATATATATATATATATATATATATATAGTTTAATTTTTTTATTTTTTACCAACAACCAAAACACAAACAGTGAAACCCCCCAGGCGGTTGGTACATTGGGTATACATAATCAATAATAACATATTCAAATCAACGATATGTACAATTTTATATACGTTAACACTCCTCCATCCACAAGGTTTATCTAACTTTTAATAATAATAAATAATAATAAATTTTATTTATATCCTGCCCTCCCCAGCCGAAGCTGGGCTCAGGGCGGCTAACAACAACATTTAACATTTAACATTTTAATTGCCCCAAATTGTTCAAACCTACCCAAATAATCTTCTCAAACCAATCCTCCTCTTTCACACTGACCTTAAACCCTTTCATTCTGTGTATCTTCACCGTTAGATATTCTAAAATTACGATATTATTCAGTTTTTTCCTCCATTGGTTCACCCCTAACTCTTGTGCATTTTTCCAATTACTCACTATAACCTTTCTGGCTGCAGTTACCATCAATTTCATTTACATTCTGCACTTTTTTTTTCCAAATTCCAACCACGAAAAGTTAACAGTGCGGCTTAAATTCATGGCCATACAAAAACTGGCTTTTTTTGTGAGATCGCTGCTGAGACAGACAAACGGTAAAAGGGAACGGGTTTGAGCGCCTGTGGAATTTTAAGGGAGCGGCATTTTTCTTTTTTCCCCTTGAATTTTAAAGGTGTGACTTATATTCAGGTGTGACTTATATTCGAGCCGTACAGTATACTGTTTTACTTCTATCAATGTTTAATTGTTTTTTAACAATTCCTGCCCACCCCCTGCCCCCCGGCCAGGTTTATAGCAGTTCTTATTCATATCTGTGAACCGCCTTGAGTCCCATTAGGGGAAAAGGTGAAGTATGAATAATTATATTAATATTCTAATCTGCAACGCCCGGGGGGGGGGCTGCCGAGGGGGCAAAAGGAGCCAGGGCGACAGGCACCTTCCAGAAAGAGGAAAGTCAACACAGAGGCATGTCCTCACCAAAGGGGAACCCACAGTGGGGCCAGGCGCAGGTGGGGGTTGCCAGCCCCACCCTGGGCCGGCCAACTCACCCACTGCAATGGAGGAGCAGGGAACAGAGAGAGCCCTTTGCAAGGAAGCCAGAGGCAGGCATCGCTCTACCACCAGGAGAAAGCAGGTGGTAAGGCTGGCACAGAGGGTGCCCCCCAGCATGGGTGAACAAGAGGCAGGTGCTGGGGGCATCGCTGGGAGCCAGCAGGCCATGCCAGAGGCTCTGATGCAGCTGCAGCAGCTGCCCAGGGAGGTCTGGGGCACAGAGCCCAGGGCAAGGGTGGCCCAGCAGTGTGGCCATCTCTCCCCACTGCCCCCCAGATCTGCCACCACCCCCCTCCTGCACTCACCAGCTGGACTCGGGTGCTCTGGCAGTTCCTCCTCTCCGGCCCTTCCTCCATCACGTTCAGGCTGCCAGGCTGCAAGCAAGAGAGGCTGGATTTTACCCTTCCCTCCCAGAGCGGGATGCCCACCCTGCGCCCAGGCAAGCGGGGCTCCAAGTTCCCGCTCTGCCGCCAACCTGGAGGCACCCTGGGGTGCAGGATAAACCCTTGGCCTGCCTCCCGGGGCGAGAGGGGTCAAGGAGGGGCCTCAGGGGCCTCCTCTGCTCTGGACCCAGCTGCCCGTGGGCAAGGGAGGCCAGCGCAGGAGGAGGAGCTCACTGCCCAGGAGATGCCCACGCCATCCCCTCTGCAATGCCACTCTGGCTGGAAGAACAGGGCAGTGGGGGGCAGCAGCTGAGATGGCTGGGAAAGGGAGCCAAGAAGCTCGTGTGATACCTATTAGCAGTAACAGCCATATAGGTCAAGGACCCCTGGATGGTTAGGTCCCGTCAAAGGCGACTCTGGGGTGCAGGGCTCATCTCACTTTCAGGCTGAGGCAGCCAGCGTTTGTCCACAGACAGCTTTCCGGGTCATGTGGCCACCAGGACTAAACCGCTTCTGGCGCAATGGGACACCGTGACGGAATCCAGAGCGCACGGAAACACCATTTACCTTCCCGCCGCAATGGTACCTATTTATCTACTTGCACTGGTGTGTTTTTAAACTGCTAGGTGGGCAGGAGCTGGGACAGAGCAATGGGAACTCACCCGGTCATGGGGATTCGAACTGCCAACCAGCAAGCCCAAGAGGCTCAGTGGTTTAGACCACTGTGCCACCTGCATCCCAAAAAGCCATACAAAGCCTCCCTGTTCATGGGCAGTCTGCCCCTAAACACCAGTTGCTAGGGGTCACGCTGTTCAGCTCATGCCCCACTTGTGCAGGGCGGTCTTTAGCAGATGCGGCACCAGGGTGCAAATATCTGCCCAGCGCCCCCAAATTACCATGGATAGTGTTGGGGTGGCCGTAGCTGCGCACTGCCAGCCATTGGGGGGCAGAACTCTCCCCCATGCCGCTGCAGGAGAGCAATCCCTGCAGAGGCTTGGGAGGCAAGCTGCACGCCCGCCGGGCATATGGTTGGCAGGGCGCAGCTGGCGGGCATGCAGGGGAAGGGGAGGCCGCCAGCAAAGCCACGCAGCTCCCCCACTTGCTGGGGTGCCCCTGAGAGCCTGGTGCCACCCTGGCGCGATGCACCACTAAGCCCTATGGGAGAGACGGCTCTGCGCTTGTGGCCTTCTTAGGAGGCATCTGCCAGGCCTAGAAGGGCCTTTGGTGCAGTCCGGCTACAGGCCTCTTCTGGTGTCCTTCTGAGAGCTGGACTGGTAGTGGAGGGATGCGAGTTCAAATCCTGGCTCAGCCATGAAGCTGGGGCTGGTGGGCGTGGCTGGCTGACAGCAGCACACAGCCCCTGCCCCCATGTGCCCCTGCAAGTTAGGAGAACAGTGGGGCTGGCAGCCTCCTGCAAGGGCAGCAGCCTCTCCCAGGCTAGGTGCCTCCCCTTCCGCGCCTCACCGGGGGCCTGTTGACGAGCCAGTAGGCCTGTTCCTGGCACTCGATGACGATCCGGTCGCCTTTCCGCCGCTGCTTGGCTGCCCTGGGGGTCAAGAGGAAGGAGGGACAGCGCTTCAGGGCCTCTGGCTTCCCAGCCCCACACCCCACATGGCTGCCACCTCCTCCTGCCCCCCACAAACTCACCGGAGCTGCTCTCTGGCCTGCATAACGACAAAGTCCCAGGTGTGGTTGATCCTTTTGTGCAGCTGGTTGTAATCTTCCTGCAAGGGATACCGTCATTCCAGAAGAGGGGAGCCAGGAAGCATGAAGAGGGGGCTGCACTCCCCCCTCCCCCCTGCCCCCACCCACCATGCCCCCTCCCCTTACCTTCTCATGCTCAATGAGCTCCCCCTGCTTACGGATGTTCTTCTTGGCCAGGTAGATGGCTGGAAAAGGGAGGGTCTGTCACTGGCCAGGGAACCTGGTTGGGGGTTCCCCCACTGCCTGGGGTCAAGCTGCCCAGAGGTCTCCTGGGACTCCCTTGGCTCTTGGGGGGCAGAGAAGTGGCTCTCACCATAATCCAGGTCGGTCACTGGCCACTTGGTGCTCATCCAGAAATAGGGGGTCTGTGGAGCGCAGAGAGAGAAGCCGGATTAACTATGGACGGAAAGCAGCACCTGCCAAGGGCATAAACGAAAGAGGGCACCACAGACATCTCCCACTGCCGGATTTACCATGGACTTTGCAGTTAGAAAAAGTATGGGATTCCCTCCCCCCCCCAAAAAAAATGTAAATAAAGTATGTAAAAATAAATATTATTCTCTATCTGACTGTAGGTTTTGTTTCATTTCGAAAAACAAAGATCTATTCTGCAGTTTATTATAGTTTATATTTTGAATTAGATATCTATGGGGGCACCCAAATTTCCAAGCGCTTAGGGCCTCTAGAGATCTTAACCCGGCCCTGCCTGACTGGGGGGAGCGGGGCAAGAGGCAGCCAAGCCCCTTTGGCCTGCAGAGGCGGCGCTGCTCCACCCCCAGGGCCCTCCTGGCAGGGGGCTGCCCGATGCAGACGGCGACTCTGCGCCCCCCAGGCTTCGCGGAGCCTGAGAGAAGGACCGCCTCCTCCTTCTCCTCCCTCCCCAGAGATGCTGGCCGACCCACCTGGAAGCGGTAGGGCGTCTCGTCGACGCGCAGGGCGAGGCTGCGCGGCTCCTTCAGCGGGTAGATGTAGCCGTGCTTCACGATCAGCTTGCCCAGGTGCAGGGACTCTGCGGGAAGGACGAGGGTCGTGAGCAGCCCCCCGCCCGGCCGCCCCCTGCCCGCCCCCCGGCACATCAGCCCGCCCGCAGCCGCGCCCTCGAGCAGCTCCGCGGGGCCAGGCAGAGGCTTTGCGCAGCGGCGACTCACCCTCTTCCGAGAGGCCGTATTTCTGCAGGAGCCACTCCACGATGTCGTATCCTGCGGGGAGAGGGAGCCCCCAGGTCAGCGGGGAGCCCGGCGCCGCCCGCCCCCACCGGCCCCGTCATTGCTGGGGCGCCCCGGCGGGGCTCCGACCGGCCCTCCCTGCCCATCCATCCATCCCGAGGCAGCTTTGCGCAGCCGCCGAGATCCCCGCGGGAGGCGCCGCTGCCGGGAAGGCGAAGAGGGGCCGGAGGGGCGGCGGGGCGCGCTGTGGGGCGCCCCCTCGGGGGAGACTCACTCACCGGTCATGGCGTGCGGGATGACCGTGAGCAGGAGGCGTTGACTGCGCAGCTTGATGCCCATGTCGGGGTCCTGCATACCCAGCACCACGCGCTCCATCTGCGGGGCGGCAGCCGCTCAGACCCAGACCCCCTGGCTCCCGGAGGGGCAGCGGGGGGACCCGGGGCTCCCCACCCCACCCCGCCGCCTACGGGGCTGGCGGAGACCCAAGGCAACCTCCGACGCCCCCCGCCCGCCCCCACCCACCTTGGCCAGGCAGGGCAGCTGCAGGCGCGGGCTGCCCCCCGGGCGGAGGGCGCTGATGGTCATGGCGGCGGCCCCGGAGCGGCCGGGCTGCTGCAGGCGGGCGGCGGCGGCGGCGGCGCGCGGTGGCCGCTTCTGCGGCGGGGCAGCGGCGTCGGGCCGGAGGCCGGGCGGCTCTCGGCTGCCCCCTGCTGGCCTGCCCCGCCAGCCTTCCACCTGGCGCCCGGTGCCTCTGCGCGCGTGCAGAGCGCGGCAGCGGGTTGCGGCCAGCCGGGGGAAGCGCCCGGTCCGGCTCCTTCAGGTCTGCGCGGGGGAGAAGCAGTAGCCCGGCGGGCGCGTCCCTTCCCTCCTCTTGGCCCAGGCGGCTGCTCCTTCGGCCGGACCGCTGAGTGGGCCAGAAGGGGCGGACAAGAGCAGAGGGGGTCCCGTCTTGGGTCGCCGTCGCCATCCTTCCTGGCCCCTCATTTGCACTTCGGGGCCGCTTTTGCAGAAAGCTCGTTCCAAGCGCCTTCCGTTCGAAGGGGCCTCCGCTCCCTCGCCCGCCTCTCCCTGCGAAACCCGGCCCCCGACGCAGCAATCAGGCCCGAGACAGGCGGCTGGCTTCGGCTCTTTATTGGGAGGGATCAAGACAGGGGCTGGGGTCCGCGCGGCTAGCGCAGGGGGCGCCGTCGGGGCCGCGCGGAGCGGCGCGGGGCCGTCTTCAGCGGGCTGCTCCGCGCGGACTTGCGCGAAAAGCCGCGGAGCGGGTAGGACGTGGAGGTGCCCAGGCCGGGGTCTCCCGCGGCGGCGTCTGCCGTTGGCCCTTCCCTCGACGGCCGGTATCTGCAGCCGGGCGACTTGCACAGGCAAGCCCAGCGGCGGCCCTTCGCCTCCCAGAAGCGCTCGCCGTAGTCGAACCTGCGAGGGGCAGAAACGCCGCCGAGTGAAGACGGGGCGCCCGCTCCCCTCCTCGCCGGGGGCAAACTGGGCCCCTCCCGCCGCCCCCATCCCGGCAGGAGATCAGAGGACGCTCCGGGACCGCCTCTCGCCACCCAGCTGCTGCAGCCAAAGTGCTGCTCTGTTCAAGGGCGGGGGACAGCAGGAGGGGAGCAGGCAGAGAGCCACGTCTCCTGCGGTTGCCAGGCGCCCCTTCGGGAGCGGCTGAAGCCCCCGGGAGGCCACCAGCAGGTGGCGCCAGAGCCGATGACGGGCAGCGCCAAGTGGCTTGGCTCCAAGCAGCGCCTCCTCCCGGCTGAGTCTTGCAAGGGCAAACCTGAGACTGAAGTCCGAGAAGCCCTCCCGCCTCCTGGCTGGTTGCAAGTCCAGGGGGCAGGCACGGAGGTGGGGCCCCTTCACCCCACGGCAGCCCCCTTTCTCTCCGGCGGCACCACCTACGCCAGCTCTTCGCCCGCCTGGATGGCCCGGGCGCTGAAGAAGGCGATGCCCGGGATCTCGTGCCCCACGACCACCGGCAGAGCCAGCAGGTTGGGCTGGCACGAATGGTTCAGGAAGCGGCCCACGCTGCCGTAGAAGCGCCCGTCCAGGCAGCACTCGGGGCCCGCCTGCGGGGAGAGGGGGGCAACGCTGAGCTCCAGTGCCCCCCCTTGAAGGGGGCACAAATCCCTCCCACCCCCCAAGTGGAGGCAGAGATGTCACCTGCATGTCCACCACAAAGGAATAGGCGGCGTCCTCTCGCTGGGCAGCCTCGGCGCTGGAAATCAGCTCCCCAAAGTACCTGGCGGGGAGGAAAGGGCCATGAGGGGGTTTTTGGGGAGGGGGAATTGCCTGGACTCAGCCCCTCTCTTCTCTCCCCCCTCTCCCCAGGACTTACTGGCAAAGGAAGGCTCCTCGGGGCACCTCCTGCATCGTGCGCACTGCCCATCCCTTGCCTGGCACCCGGTACAGCTGCAGCTGCGTCCTGCGGATGAGAGGGTGCTGGGGCCCACCTCGGGCAGCGGAAAGCGGGACCCCCACCGGGCACCAGAGGGGCGAGGGGGGTTATGGGGCGAGAAGAGAAGCAGGCAAGCAAGGGTCCCAAGGGCGGGGTGGCAAGCGGGGTTGTTGTTTTAAGGCGGCGATTTGGGTGGGCTGGCACGGAGGGCGAGCAAGGTGGCGAGGGGGGTGGGCTTCGATTCGCCCCTTTGCTTGTCGCAGGGCTGCGGCAAGTATTTCTGCCCCAATGAAAGTGGCAGCGTTTGAACGCGCAAAGCGCCGTCTCCTTAAGGGAAAAGAACAAAGGGTCCCCTCACGGAAGCAGGAATCTGGAAAGGGGCCGCTCACAGAATCACAGAATGGCAAGGTTGGGAGGGACCCCAGGGGTCATCTAGTCCAACCCTCTGCCATGCGGGAGTCCAAACCAGCGCACCCCGGATGGGCGGCCATCCAAGCTCTTCTTAAGAACGTCCTCGGAAGGAGAGGCCGTTGACACCATCGTGTGCCATTTGGCCAGGGGGCAAAGGAAGAGGGTGCCAAGGCATCTGACCCAGGCTGGTGGGTGCTACTGCCCAGTGGCAGAAATTAGCCAGGCACCAGACACATTTTGCGACGGGCGCGGGTGCCAATTGTGACCACGTGGAGATCTCTAGGCCCCAGGTTGGTGATGCTGACCTGCCCACCGGGCTGGCCCTTACAACTTTCTTAAGCAATTCAGCAGAAGAGCTTATTCAGGCATAGGCAAACTTGGCCCTCCAGATGTTTTTGGGACTACGATTCCCATCATCCCTAGCTAACAGGACCAGTGGTCAGGGATGATGGGAATTGTAGTCCCAAAAACATCTGGCGGGCCAAGTTTGCCTATGCCTGAGTTTATCCATTGCATTTGTCTCCCACCTTTTTCTCCGAGGACTCCATGGTTCACCTCCCCCTCAGCTGATCCCTACAACGACCCTGTGAGGTCGGCTAAGAGGCTGTGACTGACCCAGTGAGCTTCCTGCCTGAGTGGGGATTCGAACCCTGATCTCCCAGGTCTTCGTCTGACATTCTCACCACTACACCCCACTGCCTTCCTGAAGTATTTCTGCTATGGGGCAGCTCCATATATTAAGTCGGTAAACTGAGGAGGCCGGGGAGCCCGCAGGCCCCTGGCCCAGGGAAAGGGGGCTCACCTGAGGCCCCTCTGCGCCACCCGGTTGGGGCAGGAGCTGGCGCAGGAGCAAAGCATGTGGCACTCGTAGATGGGGCCCGCCTCGGCTGTGCCGCCGGCCGCGTCTGGTGCCAGCCGGCCATCCTGGACCACAAGAGGAGAGAAACGGCCGGCTGGCCCTCAGTGGCTCCGGCTGACCCCCCCGCCTGACCCCAGGAAGGGCAGGAGCGGCTCTCACCGGAGTGTACCAGGAGCGCAGGCCGCGCTCGACGCACGGGCAGGTGGGCGCAGAGCAGGAACTGGCGCACTCGCAGTGCTGAAAGAAGGCAAGGCGGCCAGGCGATTCGGGGGTCACGCTCAGCCCCCTACAAGGCCCCCAGAGGGCACTCCGCAGCCACAGCTTGGCAGACGCCTAATTCATCATTATTTTTTATTTTTATTACTTTTGCTTTGGCGGTCCTCTGCAGGGAGCCAGCCCTGGCAGAGACCCGCCGAATCCTCCCACTCAAGCCACCTGGGTTGGGTATCCTCAAGGCTCCCGGTGCCGGAAACAACGTCAGCAGGAGCAGCATCACTTCTCTGCAGCATTCGCCAACCTGGCGCCCTCCAGGGGGTTCTGAGGACAGACCCTGTCAGCCCCGGGTCTTCCAAAACATGATATTTGTTGGGTTTGGGAGGGCGCCGGGTTGGCAGAGGATGCCTTCAAACAGCACAAGGAGGCCTGAAGGGTCAAAACGCAGCCCTGCCAAACGTCTCTGGTTTGGAGGGCTGCTCAGAAGACGCCCCCGACTTGTGGGGCGTCTGGATGGATGGTGGGGCTTCCCTGCCCACCCAGCAACTTCAGCCCCTCCGACTCACCCTGGGGCACGTGGACAATGCCCCTCACCTGACTTCTGCCCCAGCCCGTGGCTGGGAGCACCGCCGAGTCCGACACCAAGTTCTGCGTGACGTAGAGGAAGGCTCCGGGGGCCGGCTCCTGGTCCACCCCGTTGACGCAAGGGATGGGGACTTGCTCAAAGCCCCGGGAGATGTCTCTGGGGGCGACAGGAGCGCCCGTTGAGCCACAGCTGCAGCCCGGTCGGAGGGAGGGGGTCCCGCCTGAGCCCAGCCGCCCCGGGGTGCCGCTCACCTGCAGAGGAGCCTCTCCGCCGGGTGGGGGGGCCGCGCAGAGGCCGCCTCCAGGGCCCGCCAGGAAGGGGAGCTGGGCTTGCAGCAGTGCAGAGCCATTCGGCCGGCTCTGTTCTTCAGGGAGACTTTGGCGCCGTGGGCAAGAAGCAAGCTGCGGGACGCAAAGAGGGGCAGCTGAGCATCCTTGGGGGGGGGAGCCCCCAAGTCCTTCAGTCAGAAGCTGGAGCACCAAGGAAGGACTAAGAAGGGCTGTGGGAGCCCCACCTCCCCGGACAGGAGCCCCGGGGAGAACCTCTGGGGGTTGTGCTTCTTTGCTCTCCATCCACACAACGCCCCCCCCCCCCAGTGGAAGCCTCCTGCTGCCTTCTCCTCTAGCCAGGCTTCCCCCCAGACCTCCCTTCTCTCCCACTGCAACTCCTGACTCCCTGGGGGTCTGCTAGGTTGACCCCCACATCCTTCACCAAGATCCAGCGCCGAGGGCCTTCTGGCGGTTCCCTCATTGCGAGAAGCGAGGTTACAGGGAACCAGACAGAAGGCCTTCTCGGTAGTGGCGCCCGCCCTGTGGAACACCCTCCCTTCAGATGTGAAGGAAATAAGCAGCTATCTTCTTTTTAAAAGACATCTGAAGGCAGCCCTGTTTGGGGAAGTTTTTAATATTTAATGCTGTATTGTTCTTAACACTTGATTGGAAGCCGCCCAGAGTGGCTGGGGAAACTCAGCCAGATGGGCAGGGTATAAATAATAAATTATTATTATTATTATTATTATTATTATTATTATTATTATTATTCCGATCTGGCTCAGAGTGGCTAGGAGCCCTCCTGCCTGCCTCTGTGCTCCTCCGCTGCTCTCTGTTGGGGTGAGAATAGATGCTGGGAGAGGATATACGGTATTGGCCTGAATATAAGCTGCACTTTCTTTTTGCCAAATTCCGACCGTGAAAAGTTAAAAGTGCGGCTTAAATTTGCGACCGTACAAAGATCGACTTTTACGATATCGCTGCTGAAACAGACATGCGGTCAAAATGTTTTCTTGCCCATTTGCAAGCTTGAGACTGTTGTGCAATCAATTCTAATATCATTCATAGCTTCCCCCGAATTTTACAGTGCAGTATTGGTTTTTTATTTACATTTACGGTGCTATGAACAGGTTTTTAACCCACTTGCGGGTCCACTCTAGTAGCCACAGGATTTTCTTCTACGTTTGCCATTTACGGGTGTGAGTGCCTGCAGAATTTTAAGGGAGCGGCTTATATTCGGGTATTGTCGTTTTTTCTCCCCCCCCCCCCCTTGAATTTTAGATGTGCGGCTTATATTCGGACCATTATGGTATTTGCTAGATATTATCCTTCCTTCCTCAGGTTTGTGAGTTCAGCAGGGTGTCATTCCTTTGCGGCTTAAAAGGGAAGCTTAGCTAGGCTGGTTTGAGCCTTTTTGATGGAGGAATCCAGGATGCTTTAAGGCGGAGCGTCAGACTCAGCAGATGCTCTCACAGTTCTGGCTGGGTGGAAAGTGACGAAAAAGAGAGGAAGAGCCCAGGCAGGTTGGAGGAGATACAGAGCTGGGCCCCCTTGCTCTCGGGACACAGCGGGAGCATCTCTCACTGCAGAGTCCTCTCTAGCAGACTAGAGCTTCAGCGCCTCTCATGTGCCAGCCAGCAGAGAGTGAGCGTCTGGTCTGCACAGCTCTGGTCACACGCCGGGGGAGGATGCTCCAGACAGGTGTGACAGGAAGTCCTCCTGGCACTCGAGTAACACCCCCTTGTGTGTCCACTCTGGGCAAACAGGAAATGTTGTATTTGACTGCTACATCCCACAGCCCAGTGGTCCTAGCCAGGCCCAGAGCTTGGCTGCGGAGAAGATGCAGCCATCGCCCAGAAGCTCCCTTGTGCCCTTGGCAAGGAGATGAGAGGTCAGCACCCACCTCTCCCTTGACCTGTCTGGAGCATCCTCCCCCTGCGTGTGACCAGGTAGGTGAGTGTGACCCCGGGAGACCCCATAAAAGAGCTGGTCATGCAGCCGTCTTTCTCTTGATGCTGCTCTCTTGATATCTTTTGCTGTCTGCTGGCTCTCAGCCAGCAGCGCATGGGCTCAATCCCCATATAGGATAAACTCACACTCTCTTCTGTAACTACAAGCTAAAGACTGCCTTCAGGATCATACCGTGAACTGAATGTAAGTAAACTTCTTCTTACTTTTAAGAGAAGACTGTTGTGTCTTTATTCTTTTTAAGAGGGAATTAAAGGGGAATTTAGCAGGAACAAACCCAATCTGGACAAGCCAGACTGGATTGCTTAACTCAAGAGATTCCAATGAATCTACAAACTTCCTGCAATATTCAGGGGAATGTACTAGCATGAGTGAGGAAGGATACTATTTAATCTCTATATCCTCTCCTACTGTCCACATCATTCCCACATGGGCAGGGGAGACCCTCACTCACACGAGACACTCGTAGCGCCTCTCCTGGGCTGCCAGGTGCAGGGGAGAGTCCCCTTGGCCATTCAGCGCATCCACATCGGAGCCAGCGTCCAGCAGCATTCTGGCGATGGAAGGGCTGCCGACATAGACCGCCCAGTGCAGACAGAGGTTCCCTTCCTAAGGAGGGAAGGGGGGTGGGCAGCAGAGAGAATGGGGTGAGCTGAGCTGGGGGGGCCCTCAGCCAAGCACCTCCCAGGCCACCCTCGAGGGGTTGTGTGACTCTGCAAGGTTTGCTGCCTTTCTCCACAGGGGAGCAGTCTGTGGACCCCAGGGCCCCCACGGCCTGCTGCCCCCAGGATCCTTGGGACCTAGGCAGGAGGAGCTGTGCCTGGCACAAGTGAGCAGCAGCCTTCCCTTGCAGCCTCCCTGCCTGCCTCTGGTTGCAACACACAGTCACACACAGCCTCTCCTTGGTCAGCCCCACAAGGTGCCTCCAGCTTCCTCGCTGGCTGGCAGAGCCCACCCCCTCCAGTGCCCAGGGGCAGAGCAAGCCGATCAGGCGACTGGGGCGGTGTGCCTGCCATGTGCCCAGGAGCGGGGCCAGCTGGGGCAGTACACTCCGCGGGGCCTCCAAGGAGTCTGCCTGCCTCCTCTTAGGCGCCCTACAGCTGAGGGAGAGGCAGCAGGCGGACCATTTGGGTGAGTGCCGCCCGGCCTTTTGTCACCCCCCTCAGTGGTGACACCCGGGGCAGACCACCCCCACCCCTTCCTCCACCCCTGCCAGCGCTGTGGCATCGCGTGGCAGTATGCCAGCAGGGAACGTGTGCCTGTGAGAGCTGCTTGTCCACACTGGCAGCCCAGCCCACTTTGGAGATTCCCCGCTCAGCTCTGGCCTTTTCCTACCAACCAGGGCAGATTTACTAAGAAAGGAACAAAGCTTCAGCTTCTGGGCCCCAGAAGCCACTTTAGTCCACATGACTTAATTTGGGGGACCCCATTTGAGCCACATGATGGAGGCCAATTGCTTTGACTCAAATTGATTAATTTTTTGTTGTGTATATATCAACCAACACAAAGTTTGAGAGTAAGGGGCACAGTTCCGACGAAAGAAGAATGGCAGACAAAATTAATGGATTATGCAGAATTAGATAAAATGACAGGAAGGATTCGAAACCTGCGGACCAGAGATTTACAGCAGATTGGAAGAAATATACGAACTATTTGAAGAGCAACTATAATCAACAAATTACGCTAGTAGGACCACAAGAAGTTTTGTAAGGAGAAATGTATGAAGCATTGCAAATTAGAGAAAGAACAGTGATGTCAGTTATGAGTTAAAAGTAATTGTGGAAGTGAGAAATGTATATTTAGTGATTAGATTGGAAAATTTTCAGATGAGATTGATGGAAGTCCAAAATAATAATAATGTATAAGATGTTCAAAAATATGTTTAATTATTGTTGAAAATTAATTAAAATTTATATATATAAAAAAGAGAGTAAGTAGCACAGATGTTGTAAGGAAGGAAGGGGAAAGTTGGCTGCTTTGCTGTCGCCCCCCCCCCTTTCTAACAGACCTCCTTCTGGTTGCGAAGGGGCCTCCATAACAGTTTAAGCTTCAGGGCCCCCAAATTGTAGGTCCATCCCTGCTCCCAACTGGTCTTCTGTCTGGGTGGGCAATAGGGAGTGAATACCCCCACCCCAATTCATTCCTCCCCCCCCCCAGGGATCCAGCCTCGTAGTGCAATCGGAGGGCTAATTCCTCACGTGATCCCGCACGGCTGGGTCTGCTCCGTGGGCCAGCAGGAGCTCCACCAGGCTCTCGTGTCTGTACTCCGTGGCCCAGAAAAGGGGCGTCCGGCCACTGGCGTCCTGGAGAGCGAGGGGGAAGCCAAGAGAGCAGCCGTGGGGTGGGCCTTGTGCAGGCAAGGGGCCTTGGAGAGGGGCAAGGAGTCATTTCCCCCCCATCGCAGGCACATCCCAGCCCTCCCACCAAGGGAAGGGGGTCCACCACAGCCTGGGGGGCAGGGGGGCCCTCCAACCCATCCTCTGCAGCCGCTGGCTGACCTACCTGGCTGTTGAGGGCCTCTGGGTCCTGGGCAAGGAGCTGGCGGGCTGTGTCGCAGTGGCCCTTCCTGGCCTCCATGTGCAAAAGGGGGTCTGCGGCCACCGCCTCATCCTCCTCATCCGCCTACAAGCAGGAAGCAATTGGCCTCCAAGCAGCCTCTGCCCCCTGCCCTGGCCCTCCCCACAAACGGGTCGTCCTGGCTGAGAGTGGCCCAGCCCAAGGGAGTCTGTGGGACCCCCTTCTCCTCCTCACAGAGGGTCAAGGCCAGAGACCTGGAGAATCTGCTTTGCTGGGCAATGGAGCAGACGGCCAAGGGTCAGGGAGATGGAGGCTCCCCTCTTGCCCAGCAATGTGGGGAGGGAGGGAGGGAGGGAGGGAAGAAGCCTGTCCCCCCATCAGGGACCCCAAGGGGGTCTCTGCCCAGAAGCATTCCTTACCTGTCTTTCAGAGGGGGCTTCACCAGGCCCCAAACCTCTACTCTCTGTGGGGAAAAGGTTAATACAACATGCAGTTAGCTTGATGCAAGGTTGAATAAAATTTGGGGGGGGGGAATAAGCCCCATCCCATATAATCAATCACAAGAAGCAGTGCATGTGCACTGTTTGAATGGCAATCAACTTTGGGGAGGGGTCTGGCCCCCTCAAATATTTTATTGGGGAGGCCAAAGGGACCTCAGCCAATAGGCGTTGGCTCCTACGCTGGGGGGGCGAGCACTTGAGAAACACACACTTCTTGGAGGGGGCTCACTATGTCCGTCAGTTTCCTTTGCTCCTCCCGCCCAGAGAATAAGCCCCCCACTCTGTGCCAAGACTCCCATTTCCAACACCCCCCCACCAAGCCTGCCTCACCGCTGAGCCCCATGGCAGTGCCACTCTGCGTGGGCAGCAGCCGTTGGGGTGGAATTCAAACAATGCCTGCAGCAGGGTGGGCATTCCATGGAATGGCGCTGCGTCCGGCCAGGACCAAGTGAGGAAGAGCAAGGGGAAGCTGGGCAGGACCCCACACAAGACCCCCATGTGTGGTCGCTGCTGGCCAACACCCCCTGGGAAGCCCCCCTCTGGGTTGCTGAGCACAGCCGCAGCCCAGGCGGTCTGGCCAGGGAGAGGCCTTCTCTAGATGGCCTGCTATTTCTTCTTATTGTTGTATTATTATCCCCCCCCCCTTCACTCTAAAGTCCCAGGGATTGGGGGGGGGCGTGTTAATAATGTTGTGATTTGGGTCAGTCTGCCGGGTGCCTGGAGCCCCTTCTGACACTTGGAGTCCTGAGTCCAGGAAGGGTTAATAGCTGATGGGAGAAGCCATGGCTAACTGGGCAGTTGCAAGTGAATGGCCTGCCATTTAAGCCCCTCCATCAGCATCTCTTTGCCCAACCAATGGGTCAAAATAAATAAATAAAAATTGTCCAGTAGCACCTTAGAGACCAACTAAATAGGTGTTGGCCAAGGGACTAGGACTGCCAGATTTCAAAATGCAAAAATCCTGAAACAAAAGTTGTTCAGCTTTTCTTTTCTTTTTGCCCAAAGTTGTTGATGTTTTTGGGGGAAATCATGGCTTGCCACACACCTGGATTTTCCTGGACATTTTGCTGAATGCTGCTTCCCACTGCAGTATTCTGGTTATGTCTGGGAAATTCACACCAAGGACCATCAGCGTCCGAAATTAAGGAGCTGGATTGCCAAGGCAGTGACTAACTGCGGGTGCCTCGCCTGGCTGGGATGTGGAAGGACGATGGCCAGCGTGGTTGGGTGAGAGCTGAGCTGAGTGGATCCTGCAGGCTGAGAAGCCAGAGAGACAGCGCCATGCTTGATTGATGAGCAATTCCAAGGCTTTCACAGAAGAAAGGCCTTTTGGGGTGTCAATGCTGTGAGATCCCCCATCTTTGGCTCAGGCTGTAGACGTGTAAATAAACCACAGATCCTAAAAACACCACGGTCTCTGCTGTCCCTCATTCCAAGGGAACCCAATTCTGGAACCCCTGCAATCTCGCCCTGCTTGGAGATTGGGTGCCAGGCAAGCAGTGCTTTTCTACCAGTTCTGTGTCCCCTTGAATACCCCCAGAAAAAAGCACTGATGCCATCAAAGTCGGCCAATTAGCTCACATCAAAGCAAGTGAGTATAAACGCGCTCATTGCTACTATTAATTGTGGGGTTATCTTGACTTCCAAGATGGTGTTTGCAGAGCTTCCAGAGCTGTTTGCCTTGGGTTCAGCACCCCGTCCCCAGCAGCTCTTATCGGGCAGCCAGTGGGGAAGGGCCACGTGGGGCAAACTCTGGCTCCACGTCACGGAAAGGCTTGCCCCGGGAGCTTTATCTGCCCCTTCCCTGCCTGGCATCTCCTGGCTCCGGCACTCTGCCTCTCTCTCTCCTCCAGGCCGCAATGGGCTGCTTCCCGAGACTCCTGCTGGCACTGGGGCTGGCAGTGGCCTTAGTGCAGCGTTTGGGGGCCCAGGAGAGCAGGAACCAGGCAGAGGAAGAGGAGGAAGAGGAGGACCAGGGGGTCTTGGTGCTCAACCAGAGCAACTTTGCCCAAGCCCTGCAGAAGCACAAGCTGCTCCTGGTGGAGTTCTGTGAGTAGCAGCTGCTGCAGGGGGGAGAGCTTGAACGGGGCACCACCGGGGGCTCCCCTGGCCTGCACCCCAAGGCAAAAAGCAGCAGGCGCTGGGAGGGGGCAGGTGGGGCAAACCGGAGCGCCCCATTCAGGCTGCTTGGTTGCTTGGGGGAGGGGGCACAGCGGACCCTGTTGAGAGACATCCCCTCCAGCAAGGATACCCTCTCAACTAGGGCCAGGGCCTTTTCAGCACTGGCCCCGACTTGGTGGAACGCTCTGTCGCAAGAGACCAGGGCCCTGCGGGACTTGACATCTTTTTGCAGGGCCTGCAAGATGGAGCTGTTCTGCCTGGCCTTTGGCTTGGACTTAGTCTGACCCCTTATATTGGTGTTTGTATTGGTGTTTGGTATATAAATTTTGCCTTGGCTTTTTTGCTGGCCCATATAGGACCAGCATGGGTGAATATCTGATGTTTCCTCCCCTTATGTTCTTGATTTATGGGCTACTACTAAGATGAGGCTGCATTTTAAGCAGTATTTTAATTAACTTTTTCCCTCATTACGTTTTGTTGTAATTTATATTTGGTGTTAGCCGTCCTGAGCCTGGCCCTGGCTGGGGAGGGCAGGATATAAATAAAAATTTATTATTATAATATTATTCTTACCCTTCTTGTAGCTCCTGCCTCACCTTCCAGCTTCCCACCCCACCCCAGCTGTGTCCTCCTGTGGCACCACAGAGCTGCTTCTGTTGGAGCAAACCTGTTTTATGCGCTGGAAGGTGAAAAAGAGAGGAACGAGATGAGATTAAGCAAACGCGGCTATCAGCAGCCTATGGGGAGAGCAAACATGGCACGCCAGGCCCAGGGGACAGGAGGGAGGGCAGCCTACAGAACCACACTCTCCTGCTGTGCCTGTGGCTCCTGAGACCCACTGGTGTGCATGTTCCCCCCTCCCCCATCACCACCACAATGGGGTTGCTCTGGCCCCACACTCAGAGACAGCAAATGCTTCCCAAGGCCAGTTGCTGGAAACCGCAGGAGGGAAGAGTAGCTCTCGCACCCAGGTCTTGCTTGTGGGCTTCCCTGTGGGGCTTCTGGCTGACCACTGGGAGAACAGGATGCTGGACCCGATCCAGCAGGCTCCTCGGATGTCCTTACACACCTCCACACTGCTATTGGTTTCCTGTGGGGTTGACGCTTCACCCCTCCTCCTTTCCCCTCCCAGATGCCCCCTGGAGCAGTCACTGCCAGGCCCTGGCCCCGGAGTACGCCAAGGCCGCCGCCCTGCTGAAGGAGGAGGGCTCTGCGCTGCGCCTGGCCAAGGTGGACGGGGAGCAGGAGAAGGAGCTGAGCGCAGAGTTCGGAGTCAGCAGCTTCCCCGTCCTCAAGCTGTTCAGAGACGGCAACCGCACTCACCCGGCGGACTTCACAGGTCAGAAGAGGCAGTGGTTTTGTGGGGTGTTCTCAGCCGCTCTGGACCTCCCCAGTCGGAGGCAGGGTGGCTCTGAATACCCATTGGTGTGGCCCTTGGGTCCCTTTGGGGGCATCCGGCTGGCCCCTTTGAGAACAAGATGCTGGACTAGATGGGCCTGATCCAGCAGCAGCTGGGATCTCCCTTGGTTCGTATCGTGTGGCTCTTTGGGCATGAGGTGTCAAGCGAGGGAGCTCCCCTCTTCCTCCAGTAGCTCACAGATATGAATTAACGAGCAGTTGATAGATTTATAGTCCTTTATTACAACATCGTTTTGCACACACAGACAACCCTCTGCAAGGAGATCAGTTGCATATTCTGAATCCGACTTCCAGCTTCCGCAGCAAGGAGTGCGCCAATGGGAAGTCCCTCCCCCTCTCAGTCTCCTTTCTTCTCTGATACGTTCGGACCTCTGAGTCCAAGGGGAGAGGGGTCTCCCCCCCCCCACTTTCAATTGATGTATCTTCCAGCTGCCCCCTCCCTTCCGGATCTCTTGTCATTATCTCGTAGCTGGGTAACTCCTCCCTAATCTGTTCAGCTTCTATGTTTGTTTCTGCTTCTCTCTCTGCTTCTGGAAATGCTGGAGGTGCGGGGGGGGATATTCCCCCTCCACTTCCGAGAGGGGCTTATCTGTCTACGACTGCATTCCCCAGTCTTCAGATCCAGACCATTCCCTGACATGAGGGCTTCACCTCAGAGGGAGCAACAAGAGCTCTTCGCTTGCAGCTCCTCGCCTAGATTTCCTGGGATTGCATTCGCCCTCTTTGCAGTGGCATCACGTCAGGGGCTTATACTCATCTGAACCTCAGCCGCCATGAGCCCCTGTGAGAGGAGTGGCACCATTCGCCTCTCTCCTTTCTTAACACAGCACCGGGTCAAGGAGCCCCACAACTCACACTTTTGCCGCCCGTTTGCCAGGCCAGCGAGACGCAGAGGGAATCGTGAAGTGGCTGAAACGGAAAGCTGGGCCCAGTGCGGTGCTGCTGGAGAATGCCAGCCAGGCGGCTGCTTTCCTGGATGCCAACGTGGTGGCGGTGGTCGGATTCTTCCCTGTGAGTGCCCCGCTTGCACCTCTGCACTCCTGCAGCCAAGCCAAGCTCCCAATCCTGAGCTGCTGTTTCCTGGTGGTGCAGCCTGCTGCCCGTTCCCTGCAGCTGGGAAAGGGAGGAAATGTGAGGGTCAGCCTTTGGCACATTCCAGGGGACATTTGGGGCCCAACTGGCAGGCTGGGGAGCCCCCAGGGAGTTGCTGTCTTAGGGCAGCTTCCCCGCACCCAAGGCCCTGCTGGGGGAAGCAGGTCTCCCAGAACGAGACTCTCTTTCCTCTCCACAAACGGAGCACAGGCCTCGGATATCCTTTGCGTGCTGCTCCTGGCATCCTGTGCCCGGCTCAGCCGCCGCGCATTCCTTGCAGGACCTGCAGGATGAAGACGTGCGCCTCTTCTACGATGTGGCCAGCGATGCTCCGGACATTGCCTTCGCACTCACCAACCGCTCGGAGATCTTTGAGAAGTTCAACGTGACCCACCCTGGCACCGTCTCTCTCTTCCGGAAGGTGAGAGCTAGGCCAGGCGGGCACTTCCAGGAGCTTAGCAGGGTTGGTTAAAAGACCAGGGGGGGGGGAGCATTTAGAGGCGAGGCGTTTCTTTCTGTGACTGGTGCAGCTGCTGAGATTTAGATGGTGCTCCCTGGATCTGCCCAGACAGACTCTGTCTCCACTTGTCACCATTTTTCGAGTGGAATTTTTTGGAGACATCCCTCAAGTACAGCTGAAGGCAGTATATTCAATCTTGCGAGAGTAAAAGTGCGTCTATATTTTAGAATTATTAAGTTATGCAAACAGGGTGCCAGAGAGTCAAGATGACTGGGTGAAAAATAGTCATACCATGGGCAAAATTTCCTTATTGTGGCCAGATTGTTCTGTCGCTCGATATCATTTTAAGCGCTGCCTAATTAAGTTGTTCGCTTTTCTAAAACCCAGTGTGAGTAGCTGGGTTATCATCCCTCTATTATTGTCCATTCTGGGTTGCCCAACCACAGTTACAGTGTCCCTTCTCTTGACAGATCAAGATGAGCAGGTGACAGCAAAGGTTGCAAGGTTTTTTGCCAGGGCAATTAGCATAAGATCCCTTATTTGACTATTAACCCAAACCCCCAAAATGTTTTTTATATAATTGACTTTTTACCTTTATCCTCTGTATACCACAATTTTGTTTGCTTTACAGTGGTACCTCGGGTTAAGAACTTAATTCGTTCTTAACCTGAAACTATTCTTAACCTGAGGTATCACTTTAGCTAATGGGGCCTCCTGCTGCCACCGCGCGATTTCTGTTCTCATCCTGAAGCAAAGCTCTTAACCCAAGGTACTATTTCTGGGTTAGCGGAGTCCGTAACCTGAAGGGTCTGTAACCTGAGGTACCACTGTATTGTTATGGCTGGTGGCTGGTGCAAAGAAAGATTAATTCATTCATTCTCTTGCAGCACGATGAGTCCCGGGAAGACTTCCTGGTGGATGAAGAGCTGGGCCTGGACAGGGCAGAGCTGGCACAATTCATCCTGGCGCAGAGCCTGGAGCTGGTGATGGAGTATACGAGCCAGGTGAGAGGGTGCAGTTCCTCAGAGGGAGACCCTTCTTCCTCCTGGCTGCCAGCCAGAGCCCAGCTCCTCCTGGCTCTTTCTTGCCAGGGTTGCTTGTCCCTTTTAGGGATTTTCCAGCATTGCAGGGGGTTGGCCCAGATGACCCTGGGGGGGGGCCTTCCAACTCGTGACCTCCCCTTCTAGCAAGCAAAGCCCTGCCACAGCTCAGCACCACCAGAGGGAGAGGAGCCACTGCGTGTCAGGCTCCAGGGAATCTGATCCCTCCTACTGTGGCAGCCAAGTAGCAGATAAAAAAAGAAGAGTTCTTACCAAGTCTTTTATTCAATATCTACAGAGAGAGAATGCAGAAATTGTGGGAATGTTCAGGGAGGCAGGAGAGGATATATTGTTTATTAATATCCTTCCTAACTTGCGCTAGCAAGTTCTATAACCTAGCAGAGTTTTAACAGTCCTCTTTAAACGCACAGTGGGTAGCTGGTTGCAAGCATGTTTAAGCTTCTCGATATAGATTCCTGGTAAGATCCCTTATTTCCCTCTTAAAAGAATAAACACACCACAATCTTATTTAAGAGATATAAAAGTAGTTTACTCACATCATCAGTTCACAGTTGGATCCCTGAAGGCAGACTTAGTTACAAAGTATATCCATGTGAGTCTATCCCATATGGAGATAGTCTCTTTGTCCTCTGTTGGCCAACAGAGCATCTCTAGCTAAAAAGCTGCTCCAACGAAGAGAGGAAGTCAAAGAGAGATGGCTGCATGCCTTGTGCTTTTGTTACCTGGACAGGTAAGGTCATGCCCACCTCTAGTCACATGCAAAGGAAGTATGTCCCAGCCCAGGAGGAAACAGGAAGTTTTCGACTGGCTGGTCCAAACATCCCCTTGCATGTCCACTCTAGGAAAACAAGGAATGTTGTACTTGACTGCTACTTATGTATCACATCCCACAGAAATGCCATCTCTCCTAGATAATGGCATTGCTCTGAGTAAAGTCCCACCCCCTCTGCCTCTCCTATTCTACGTCATCCCTGCTCCAGTTGAGCTGCGCTTTCTGCCTCTAAGCTTTCTGCTCTACTACTCTCAATGCACGCCTGGTCCTGGGAGAGGGGGGGTCAAGAATGCTTTTGAATGATAACGTGTCAGCCAGCTGCTCGGGCTCTGCTGCTTCCCCCTCCTCTTCCATTATGTCCCAGCTTTTTCCCTCTTCTGTCTCAGAGTCATGACCTTCTGCAAACCACCATTGTAATTCTATACCGCCCTCCTCTTCTTGGGAAGGTTCAGGAGAAGAAGGGGGGCTGTCTCTATCATTCCTCCTCTGATGTCCAGTCCCTGACGCTGCGGGTGGGACCCCTCTGCTCAGTGGAAGGACCCCTGCTGGGTCACAGTCAGCTCTGGGCCTTTGGATCTGCCTGGCAGGGAAGGGGGGTCCTGAGAGCCCAGCGCAGCCCCCTCGCCATTTCTGCTGCAGAGATGCGGGCTTCCTCCCTGGGGAGAGTGGGCTACTCTTCTGCTTCTGGGATTTTGGGGCACCTGTCCTCACTGTCGGAACTAGCGTTCGGCCAAGCTACCCCTCCGGTCGAGCCCTCCGGCGGTGATTCACGACCTGAGCCTTTGATGAGGCTCCAGGCATGTTCCCTCATTACGCAGAGTATCCAAGCAGCAGAAGGACGAGAAATATGAGCTACATTGCTAAGAGCTTTATTTCTAACTACGCAGACAGAAAAGAATATACATCCTCTCTCTGTGAAAGCAGAGAGGCAACTGGAATAAAGGAACAGGAAACCAGTAATATCAACATCAGTCTCCCGTGAGACTTCCAACAGTCTGGAATGTCTGGAATGTAAAGAGAGTCTTGTGACTCCAAGCACTGCACAGTGGCAAAACAGAAACCTAACATCCTTCCCCTTTCTGTGAACACCACTGGGCAGTGTGTCAAAACAGAAGCCTAACACTTACACCCCTCCACCCCTGGGGGGTCCCCGCTGTGACATTCCCAAACCAAAGGAAGGATTAGACTCTGATTAATAGAAGACACACAGAGGCTTGACCAGCAAGACTCTGAGAGGGGTGCATATAATAATAATTCCTGTCCACCCTTCGGCCCAGATTGTTTTATTCACAAAAGAACTTTTTACACAGTGTACCTAAGAACCAATCAGATTTCCTCTGAGCATTTCAAAACCCCCACGTGGGGACAAAGTTAAACTACAAAAACTAATTAAGCATGCATACTTCTGGGGTAAATAAAACAGAACTAAAAAGGAGGGATGCATTCAGCAACCCCGGAGGTCATAAACAGCAATAAACATGGCAAGGACGATAGGGATCTCTATCACCTTCATGTGAAAAACTATTTCTTGGCCCTAATATGAACAAAATCAAGGAAGGGCACATCAAAGAACTGCCTACTATCTTTCATGGCCTGGCAAAGCAACTGGTAACTGGGCTGTGTACGTGACTTGTCAAGCAAGAGAAATAGGACAGGGATGCGGAGGCATGGATTGATAAAAATCATAACAAAATGGCTTAAACCCAGTCAACGCCCTGAGAGACTATTTCGAAATAAATTTGAACACGACGACAGAAAAAAGAGTGATTTGGGATGCTAGTAAAGCGGTGATGAGAGGATTTTTGATACAACAAAATGCAATTAGGAAAAGATACCAAAATGAGAAGAGAGAAAAAATCTGGAGAAAATAAAGGATGGAGAAAAAAGACTGAGAGCGAAACCGAACTCACAGGAGATTTTAAAAGAAATAAAGCTATACCAAGTACAGTATATGAAATTGATGAATCAGGAGATAGAATGGAAGATTCAACAGATGAAACAAAAGACCTTCGAATCGGCAAATAAATGTGGGAAGTTATTGGCCTGGCAAATGAAGAAAAGACAAAAGCTGAATACAATTACAAACTTGGTTGTAGAAGGAAAGAGCATACAGAATCCTGGAGAGATTCGGAAGTGCTTTCAGAATTATTTCAAACAGCTATATACGCAGGAGGCTCAGAAAGATTTAGATATTGACAGATTTTTGGAAAATAATGGATTACAAAAATATCTCAGGACAGTAAATCAATATTAAATTCGACTATATCTGATCAAGAAGTGGAAGGAGCCATTCTGAATATGAAATTGGGCAAATCCCCAGGGCCAGATGGACTAACTGCAAAGTATTACAAAACTTTGAAAGAATGGCTATTGCAACCGTTGAAAGAACTTTGTAATGAAATACTACGGGGAGGAAGAGCACCCGAGTCGTGGAAAGAAGCGTACATTACACTTATACCAAAAACCGAGGGGAGAAGACACAGTTGAAGAACTACCGTCCCATATCCCTGCTAAACGTGGATTACAAAATTTTTGCTGAAATTATGGCTAAGAGATTAAAAATGTATTGGTAAAAGAGATTCATAAAGACCAGGCGGGTTTTCTGCCTGGAAGACATTTGTCAGACAACACTAGGAACATCATTAACATTTTGGAAAAACTGCAAGTTAATATTAACACTAAAGCTGTTTTAATATTTGTGGATGCAGAGAAAGCGTTTGATAATATTTCTTGGAGTTTTATGAAGAAAAATTTGCAGGGGATGGGGTAGGCCAAAGTTTCGAAAATGGTATAGGTGCAATTTACTCGGAACAAAAGCTAAGCTTATTGTGAACAATGTAGTTACAGAAGAACTTAAGATAGAGAAAGGAACAAGACAGGGTTGCCCAATCTCCCCATTGCTTTTTATATCGGTCCTTGAGGTTCTGCTCAATATGATTAGAAAAGACCAATTGGTTAAAGGTATACAACTCGGAGCTAAACAGTATAAATTGAAAGCTTTTGCTGATGATTTAGTTTTGACAGTACAGGAGCCAGAAGCTAGCACAAAAGGGTGTTACAATTAATACAAGAATTTGGTCAAGTAGCTGGTTTTAAATTAAATAAGATGAAAACCAAGGTATTAGAGAAAAATCTTACAGAGATAGAGAAGGAGAGATTCCAGAAAGAGACAGGATTAACAATTGTTAACAAAGTGAAATATTTAGGGGTGAACATGACTGCTAAAAATGTGAATTTGTTTAAAGATAATTATGAAAAATGTTGGTCAGAGGTGAAGAAAGATCTAGAAATATGGTCAAAATTGAAGTTATCATTGCTTGGCCGAATTGCTGCGATAAAGATGAATGTATTGCCTAGAATGTTGTTCTTGTTTCAAACATTACAAATTGTGGATAAAATGGACTGTTTCAAGAGGTGGCAAAGAGACATTTCCAAATTTATCTGGCAGGGCAAAAACCTAGAATAAAATTTAAGATATTAACAGATGCAAAGGAAAGAGGGGATTTGCCCTGCCAGATCTTAAACTTTACTATGAATCAGCCGCTTTTTGCTGGCTGAAAGATTGGCTACTTCTTGAAAACGTGGACATTTTGGATTTAGAAGGTTTTGACAACGTTTTTGGATGGCATGCATATTTATGGTATGACAAAGTTAAAGCGCATAAGGCCTTTGAGAACCATATTGTCAGGAAAGCATTGTTTAATGTTTGGGTGAGATATAAGGACTTGTTGGAAAGTAAAACACCAAGGTGGCTATCACCAATGGAGGCAAAGGCATTGAAAAAAACCAATATGGAGACAAACTGGCCAAAATATTGTGAAATTTTAGAACAAGTTGGAGATAAATTAAAATTGCAGAATTTTGACAAATTAAAAACCAAAGTCAGAGATTGGTTGCACTATTATCAAATAAGGGAGGTTTTTAACTTAGATAAAAGATTGGCTTCCAGGAGGAAAAATCCAAACTGGAAACGGAATTGTTAGAACCTAAAACTAAAAATTTGTCAAAAATGTATAATTTGCTGCTGAAATGGAATACACAGGATGAAATGGTTAAATCTGTTATGATTAAATGGGCGCAGGATGTTGGGCATAACATTATGTTTGCTGACTGGGAACGGTTATGGACCACAGGTATGAAATTTACGGCTTGTAATGCTTTAAGAGAAAACATAATGAAAATGATTTACAGGTGGTACTTAACCCCAGTCAAGCTAGCAAAAATTTATCACTTGCCTGATAATAAGTGTTGGAAATGTAAAGAAAACGAAGGTACTTTCTTTCACCTTTGGTGGACGTGCCCAAAGATCAAGGCATTCTGGGAAATGATATACAATGAATTAAAAAAGGTATTGAAATATACTTTCTTAAAGAAACCAGAGGCCTTCCTCTTGGGCATGGTCGGCCAATTGGTGCGAAGGGAAGATAGAACTTTTTTTATGTATGCGACAGCAGCAGCAAGAATACTCATCGGGAAATATTGGAAGACACAAGAATTGCCTACCCGAGAAGAATGGCAGAGAAAAGTGATAGACTATATGGAACTGGCTGAGATGACTGGAAGAATTCGAGACCAAGAAGAAGGGTTGATGGAACAAGATTGGAAAAAGTTTAAAATATATTTACAGAATTACTGTAACATAAATGAATGTTAGGAAAGGTTGGAGAAGAAATATTAGACCGTATTGGCAGACAGAGTATAATGGAATTAAGTAAATATAAAGTGTAAACTAAAGGATAGAGGAGAATTAAATATTTTTGAATGTTAAAATGTTAAAATAAGTGAATGAAAAGAAGGTTAGAAGGATTTGCTGGAGATACAATTTGAATTAGAATACAAAGCAGAGAAGTGAGAGGAAGTCACGGAAATAAGTAAATGGGAAAACGGTTTGTTAAATTTGAATTCTTTTTTTCTTGTTATTTCTTTATTGTGATTTTTGATTTTGTGTATTTTTCCTTTTTCATTTTTTTTTTCTTGTATGGTGTGTATTTTTTGTAAGATGTATGTGACTGGTTTTCTTGTTTTGTTTTTTCTTTCTTTTTTGTAATTTTAAAACTTGAATAAATATTCTTAAAAAAAAATAAAAATAAATAAACCCAGTCAACGCAATGCTTTCATCGCTGACACAGATGGCTTGCTCCATATTTGGTATAATTCCTCCTAGCAATCCCACCTGATCACTACACCCGCCTGTGTCTTTCCCCTAGAACTCCTCCAGGATATTTGGGGCAAAGATCCCAAACCACCTGCTGCTCTTCATCAACAAGACGCAGGACTCTCAGCTGGAGCTCCTCCGCAGCTTCCGGGATGCTGCCCCTGCCTTCAGGGGACAGGTGAGCACCCCTGGCCAAGCGGCACATTTGCCCTGGGGCTTTGGGGTTGGGGGGTCCCATGCAGGGAGGGGCTGGGGTTTGTGTGGGTGCTGTGTTTTCTGCTTCTGGGAGGCGAGTCCCAGGGAGCATATTCCTGCCCTACCAGGGGTTGGGCTAGACGCATCTCTGCCCCTCTATGCAGGTGCTTTTCGTGCTGGCCGACGTCAACGGGGAAGGAGCCCACATCCTGCGCTTCTTTGGCCTCAAAAGCCACGAAGCTCCCGCCATCCGCTTCATCAACATCGAGAGCAACAGGAAATACCTCTTGGTCGCAGACGGATCCCTCACGGCTCCTGCCATCCATGCCTTCTGCCAGGAGGTGATGGAGGGCAAAGTCCAGGTGGGCAGCCACATGGTCAGGCTGGGTGTGGGGGGGAGTAAGGGACAAGGACTCTTTTTTATATTCATTTTTATTAGGTGTTTTTTTTGTTGTTGTTAAAAAAAATGTATTTCACATACAATTTATCATTCATTTATATGTTTCTTTTTGTCTTCCCACCCACCCCACGCTGATGTTTTTTATCCTTAATTGCTGCATTTATACTTGTTACAGTACTAAACCCCCCAATTCCATCTGATCTTCCTTTTTTTCTCCCGCTCATATTTCAAATCCACTCCTACCATTCCTGTTCATGGAACGTTTATTTGATTCTTATTAGTTTGTGACCCCATGCACATTTTGTATGTCCTTTTTTTATGAATTTTGAAACAGTATAGTGTTATAAAAATAGTCAGTATATTATTAGCTGGCATGTTGCTTGTTGTTGTTCATATTTCAAATCTTGCACGCAATTTCCTATTGCTAAAATATTTTGGCAGGTAGTCCAAAAAAAAGGCCTCCCATTTTCCATAAACAGTTCATCGCTGTGTCTGTCCTCTGAGTTTTACCATCAGTTTTGCCATTTCAGCATAGCCCATTCATTTTATAAGCCATTCTTCTCTGGCTGGAGTCTCTTTGCAGGCTCTTCAGGGATGCCACTGTCAGGAGCTCATCCTACACTCGAGTAGGACCCTGGTAGAGACACATGCCCAACTGGCATGTTCTCTCCCTCCTGGTCATTCGTTCGGGAGTTAAAAAACTTTCTTCTGCCCGAACATCACAGCGACCGATGCCAACAGACACCGGCACACTTGGGGATCTGCAGAGTTTGCGCAGTTGCATAACAGACCTCAGCAACTCAGCATTTTGGCTAATCTACTTTATTTACAGTGGTACCTCAGGTTACATACGCTTCAGGTTACATACGCTTCAGGTTACAGACTCCGCTAACCCAGAAATAGTGATTCAGGTTAAGAACTTTGCTTCAGGATGAGAACAGAAATGTGCTCCAGTGGCGCAGCAGCACTGGGAGCCCCCATTAGCTAAAGTGGTGCTTCAGGTTAAGAACAGTTTCAGGTTAAGAACGGACCTCCGGAACGAATTAAGTACTTAACCCGAGGTACCACTGTACATATAAACACACACGGAGCACTGCAACATGGCTCCCTCTCTCTCTAGCATCAGACAGCAAAGAGAGAAAGAACGAAGGACAATAGCCCTATTTCACGGAACACAGTAACACAAAACATCCTGTCTCCGTCACTTCCCACACTGTGGAATGAAAACTTACACCGTCATGTGATAGACAACAATCCCATGACTGCAATCACGGAGCAGGAATTCTAACAGCCACCCTCCCTCACCCCAGATGGGAAGGAGCTCTGCCCTACAGGTGAGCTGCTGGTGGGGCAGTGGCCGCAGCCTCCGCCAGGCCCCCTCTCCCCCCAGCAGTAGGGAAGGGGCCAAAAATTCAGAGTGGAGGAGGCTGCCTCCCTTGCAGTGGGGGGAGACCCATAGGCCTGAAGTCTCTCACCACTCCTGGTCTTGTAGTAAGGTTAAAGCTTACTGGGAAATGATATATAATGAATTTGAAAATATGTTTAAAATAACGTTTGTAAAAAAAAACCCCAAAAAACCCAGTAGCTTTCCTTTAGGGAATTGTAGGGAGAGAACTACCCAAACTGTACAAAAATTTATTCATGTATGCAATTACAGCGGCAATAATATTTTTAGGCCCAAAAATGGAAAGAGGAAGAAGTCCCAGAAAAAGAAGAATGGATACAAAAACTTATGGCATATGCAGAAATGGCGAAACTTATAAGAAAAATAAGAAAGATAGCAAACTTTTTATAAAAGAATGGAAATGGTTTATTGAATATTTACAAACTGTAAACAGATAAGAACATTGGCAGGATTATTGTAATAACCTGCAGTTTTATAAGAGTATGAATTTAAAGTAGATGGATAAATGAGCAAATTAAGTTAATTTGGATGTGCAGAGAATATTAAAAATAAATTTAAGGACCTACAGAAAGAGGGGGGAGGAAGTCAAGTTTTGAAATGTTAAAATGATTGTAAAATTATTGAAATGTATCAAACTGAAAATCATAAATAAAATAAAATAAAATAAAATAAAATAAAATAAAATAAAATAAAATAAAAATAAAAAACAAGTCTATCACCACTCCACCGACCCACAGCACTAAGGGTTGCTTCATCTTTCCAGCCGTACCTGATGAGCGAGGAGATTCCAGAGGACTGGGATAAGGCGCCCGTCAAGACCCTGGTTGGCAGAAACTTTGATCAAGTGGCATTTGATGAGAGCAAGAGCGTCTTTGTGAAGTTCTGTAAGCAGCACTTTGGGACTGGGGAGGAGGAACCTCAAAGCTGTCTCTGAGGCTCGTCCGCGTTCCCTCCGGGCATCCTGTGGAAGCTTACTGGGAGGGCAGAAAAAGCAGCGGCCAGCCCTCCTTGGGGGTTTTCTCCTCTCATCCTCAGTTAGCAGAAACAGGCTTGCCCCAGACTTTTCAGGTACATATACAGAGCTCAAGGATATATACATATACAGAACTGCAGGAATCTTTTTGCCCGGTGTGGGACTCAAACCCACAACCCTGAGATTCAAAGTCTCATGCTCTACTGACTGAGCTATCTCCAGGAAAATTGCTGCTGAGAGACCTTGCTTGCTTTGCAGACTTTCAGAGCCCAGCCCTTTCCAAGCGGTTCAGAAAACATTTATTACAAAAATCACATAGAAATAATTTACCAGTGTGATAACAAATGTATATCAGCCAAACAGTCTGGAATTTATAAAGTCTTCAGGATACTTTGAAATGGGGCCAGGATACTCAATGGGGCCAGAATTCCCTGAGGAGGAAATCCCGAAAGGCTGGGCCCACCACTGAGAAGGTCCCGTTCCCCATTTTTAACAATCGATTGGGAGCTGCTCATAGTAGCTGGGGAAACTCAGCCAGATGGGCAGGGTATAAATAATAAATTATTTATTGTTATTATTATTATTATTATTATTATTATTATTACCCATCAATCCAATAGGCCATAACAGGCCACAACAGAGCGGGGTCTTTGAAGCTGAACTTACAAGTCCCGGTGGGCTTACAGTGGGGCAAGGGGACCCAAACTATGTAGGGCTTTAACAGTTGAAACCAGGGCCTGAAAATGGGAGCAGAAAGCAACCGGCAGCCAGTGCAATTGGTACCAGATCAGTGCAAACACCCACAGCCATTACATCCTCTGTGCCAGTTGTGGGGTCATTTTTAAAGGCAGCCCCACAGCGAGGTGTTAAGAGGGACGCAGCCAGCACAACTGAAACCAGGTCAGCTTTCTCCAGAGAGGGATGCAGCTGGTGAACCAACCTGACGACAAAACAGACTTGCGTCTTCCTAACTCCATCCCTTCTCTTCCGCTTCCACAGATGCCCCCTGGTGCCCCCACTCCAAGGCAATGGCGCCCGCCTGGGCAGAGCTGGGCGAGAAATATAAAGACCGCGAGGACGTCCTCATCGCCGAGATGGACGCCACGGCCAACGAGGTAGCAGGGCTCCCCATCCCAGCCTACCCAACGCTGTACTACTTCCCTGCAGGGCAGGACAAGAAGGTAATGCAGATGCCCCATGGCGTGGGGGACTGTGGCCACAGAATGTGCCCAGCTCCTCCGGGACAGTAGAGCAAGGAGGCTCCCCCAGGAGGTAGAAGGGAGGCAGCAGCTGCTTGTGGGGCAAAGCCACGCCAACACCCCCCGTTTTCCACCCCAGATGATTGAGTACCGGAGCGCCAGAGACCTGGAATCCTTCTCGGCGTTCTTGGAGAACGGGGGTGAGGTCCCTCCCCAGGATGACACCCAGGTGAGTTTCAGCAGCAGCCCCTCATGCCCACTCCGAACATTGAGTTTGTCCCTGTTCCCACGGTGACGCTGGGCTCTGGCTTTCCAGGCTGCTGAGACCCCCGAGGAACCCCAGGAGAATCGAACGAGCCCACCAGGCTCCTCAGAAACAAGAGACGAGCTGTAGAGCCGGCCGTGGCCTCTGAGGGCCTCGCTTCCTTCGTGGCTCCGCTGCACGTTTGCCGGTGGCCAAAAACCTGAGGATCTGGGACAGCCGCCACGTGAGAGTTGTGCAATGTAGGGGACAACAGCTCCCTTCGCCCCCCCATCAGGCTCCCCCTCCTGCCTAAATGCTGCCCTGGGAAGAGACCAGCAGCCCCTCCCTCCTCGTTTTTATATATTTATTTATATCCCGCCTTCTCCCCTGAAAGGGACTCAAAGGTGGCTTACAGACGAAAACACCAGAAGGAAGCAACAATTGAAAAGCAATGAAGCACTAGCAGAAATCTAGCATCTATCAATCATAATGATCTATTAAAAACATGCAGATAATTGCAGCACCAGCCCTTTCATTAACAGCAGCCCCCGTGTCCCACCCTCCCCAGCGGCGGCCTCCATCCCAGGGAGAAAGCTGCAAATACCTGCAGCTTAGTTAGAAGGTGGCAGCACTAGTTTAGAAGTCACACGGGACTCTTCCTCGGGGAGAAGGGAAAGGCAGCAAGCACAGACCATTTGGGGATGGGGATGAGGACTGACCTAAGGCCTATCCTCTAAATCATGGGTAGGCAAACTAAGGCCCGGGGGCCAGATCCGGCCCAATCGCCTTCTAAATCTGGCCCATGGACAGTCCGGGAATCAGCGTGTTTTTACATGAGTAGAATGTGTGCTTTTATTTAAAATGCATCTCTGGGTTATTTGTGGGGCATAGGAATTCGTTCATTCCCCCCCCCAAAAAAAAATATAGTCCGGCGCCCCACAAGGTCTGAGGGACAGTGAACTAGCCCCCTGCTGAAAAAGTTTGCTGACCCCTGCTCTAAATTAAGAGCATGTTTCACCCAAGCGATGTCCCACCGTCTGGCTGAGGTCCCCAAAGCAAGCCAAGGCAGGACCTTGCTATCAGCCCACACAGCCCTGCAGATGGGGGGCACAGGGGTCTGAGAGTGAGTGATTGGGGGGGGGTTGATACGACATCCTTGTGCAAAGATCCCCCCCCCCCGAGTGTCCGTTGCTGCATCTGCGCAGATTGCAAGAGCAACGTTGCTTCTGCTGCTCTTCCCCACATGGAAAAAGGGTCCCAGAGCATGTCCAGAGTCTTCCAGGGCTGCCTGTTGGCCACATCTGAGTGAGCTCAGTTCCTGAGGGGTCTCAGGGAAGGGTGAGCTGATCGGTGCCCCACATAGTCCATGTCGGAGCAGGCCTCCCCCCCCCCCCACGCAAGCAGAGGATGGCAACCCACACAACTCACAAACACGCAGAGCTGCCATCTGAACATGGGCTTTTATTCCATTATTATCCAAGTACCTTTTAAAAGATAAATTGTACAAGTCAACATGTGAAAAAAACGTTCGGGAGATGCCAGCCGCTGGCCCAACCGCTGGTGGCTGATGCCGTCTTTAGAAAATGTACATATTTACAAGGGAACCCTTCAGGAAAAAAGGGAAATGAAAAACCCGCAACGGGTCCGAGGCCTTCGGGGTCCCGGCCGGCACAGAGGGCAAGCGGGACCCGGGGAGGAGGCCGTCCGGGGCAGTGGGTGGCAACAGAACAGGCGTTTGAAGGCACTCGGTGATGTACGCAAGAAGGTGCACGGCTCTGGCGAGGGCAGGCGCCCCCACAGCCCAGGGGTACCTGGAGAGCAGCAGGGGGGGGCAGGCAACTGGGGAGGAGTGGGGAGGCGAAGGCTGCCCCCGGCAGGGAGGCAGAGCAGGGGCAGCCACCATCCAGGGTGGGGGGCACTGAATGCACCCAGATCTATGGGGCGCAGGGAGGAGGCTCAAAGGGGCAGCCCAGAGGTCCCGTCCCACCTCCCAGCAAATACCAGGCTGCCCCTTCTCTAGACGATGAAATCTGCTCTCTCCTCAAGACTCCCCCCTCCCCAACCCCTCTGACCTGGCAAGGTGGGCAGCAAGGTGTGGAAAGGCCGCGGGCTGAGATGGAGGGGCCAGCCACCAGCCGTAGAGCAGCAAGGTGCAAAGTATCAAGTGGCAGCTCGTTCCACGGGTGAACAAGCACCCTTTGGAGCTTCCCCACCTGTGGGGCTGCTGCCGCCCTCCCCGTCCCAGAGGAAGCATGTGCACTTTTTTGGGGGGGGTGGCTGGACTGCCCCATTCCTGATGATATCAAAACGGGCGGCTTCGGTGAACAGCCCCCTAATGCGCAAAGCATCGGCGTTATGTTGAGGGGGCTGGTGGCCGCCCCACAGGCAGACAGGGGGAAGGCAGAGCCATTCTGGGCAGCGGGTGTGGAAGGATGCCAGTGCTGCCGGTGCCCCCCCGCCCCCCTCCCTGGCCGGAGCTTCCGCCCATCTCTGGCTGCTTCCGTCTCGCTCGGCCTCCTCTGGGCTAGTCAATCTTCTCCACCTTCCCAATGATCTTCTCCTCAAAAATGGGCAGGACGGCCTCATCCTCCCGCACCTCTTCAAACACCACGCCGCAGTCGAACTCGTCGCTTACTTTCTTGAAGTAATACCTGCAAGATGGGGGACAGAGAGTGTGGGGGATCCAGAGCCTGCAACCCTCAGAGGCTCAGCGGGGTGCTCGGGGGCCTTTCCAGCACGAGCCCAAGGCAGAAGGCAAAGGGGGCGGCAAGGAGGACCCCGGGCCAAAATCCCCCCTTCCCCGCAGCTGGGCCCTGTCCTCCGAGCCCCAACTCTACATAGATTCACTGGAAACCACCGGCAGCGTTTTAGCACAAGTGAAGAGGACAGAGGAAATGCGCAAACTTTTGCAGGGCTTCCGCGGAGCAGGCTGATGAGCCAAACCCTCTGCGGATCCTGAGGCAGAATGACCGGCAAGCCAGCACACTTTTTAAATTTGGGTGGGGAAATCTGTGTCACTCCAGGACTGCGGCTCCCATCATTCCTGACCGCTAGCCATGCTGCTGGGAGCTGAAGTCTGGCGACACCCGGAGGGTCCCCACAGCTCCCCCTGCTTTAAAGCAAGTCTCTAGTCCTCATCAGAATTTGAAGAAGGGTCATGTGGTGCATGGCTGCGCTGACAGAGGGTTCTCCTCACAGCTCAGGTGCCCCCAACTCCTGCCACCCCCACCTCTAAAATGGGCCCATTCTGCTCTCTGCCAAGAAACTAAAGGAGAGGTTCTGCAAAAAAATGGAAATTGTCGGTTCAGAAGAAAGCGTGCAACTCTGAACATGACGTGCCATTTAGTGTGTTTGGGTTTCCCTTGGCACAGGCTTCCTCAGCTCTGATGCAAACAAAATCGGGTTTTGACTTGAGTTTCCTTCTCCAAATACCTCTTGGCTTGGTTTTGCGGAGGTGAGATTTGCACTGCGATCCATCTCCCGGCCACCCTCCCCCTGCCTCTTTCCTGGTTCTGTGCCAACCGTCAGAGTTGGGGCCCACACATGTGTGGGACTTGTCATCCCCAGGGGCAGAGGCTGGAGGCCACAAGCCAAAGAAGGGAAGCACCGGAGGCAAGGCTTCTTGCCCAGGGACCCGAGGCATCCCTCCCTGCTCACCTGTAGTTCCCTTTCTTGGTGAGCAGCTCCTTGAAGTGGCCCAGGGTGACGACACGGCCTTTGACCAGCGTGCGGTAGGGGATGGGTTCTCCGCAGAAGTAGTAGGCCACCACAATGTTCTCGCAGGGCTGAGCGGAGCTGGCCCCCGGCCTCTTCTGCACCTTCGCCCTGCAAGGCAAACACAGCGCAAGCCCTTTACACGGCGGGAAGCCGATACACCACCTGCTGAACTTCCTTGGAGGAGGGAGGGAACCGGCTCCCTTGCAAACCGGGCGCAAGAACGGCACAGGCACCCCCTACCGGGACCCAGGAAGCTCTGGGGGAGAACAGCTTCCTCTCCAGTCCCAGAAGCCCAAAGGAGAAGGGCGGCAGGTGACTGGAACTTCCCATAGCCAAAGGGCAGGAACACAGAGAGAGGAAAAAGCCACAGCTCAGAGGGGGGGGTGCCCAGGCCGGGGTGGGTGGGTGCTGCAGCCATCCCAGCATTGCTACCTGGGGAAGAGGGGGACAGACACCCCCAACGCTTACTAGGCAGGGAGCTGAGCAAAAGACCTTTCCAAAAGAGGGGGGGATGTTGGTTGCCTCAAAGACCGAAGGATTTGTTCAGACAAAGGGGCGCCACCTCTTTCTCTGGGAACGACTCAGTCCCAAGATGTCCCTGCTAAGGGAAAAGCCCTCGCTTGCCAAGGAACCTCCTTCAAGGAGCTTCGCCAAGAACCCTGGACCAGCACACAGCTCAGCTCCTGCACAATTTAGCTCCCTTCTGTAGGAAAGGGGGCAGGAGGGGCTCAAAGCAAGAAGCCGTCCCAGCCCACTGCTCCGGCGCAAGGAATGAGGGGCCGTTGGTACCCGGCTGCACCCCTCCACTCGCCAGCCCATCCTGGCTCTCTGCACGCCAGCTGGGTGCTCAGACCAGACACAAAACCTTCTAGTGAGGCAGGAGAGCTGGAATAAAAGTCACATCTGGCAAACAAGGGCCCCTTTGGTTTCAGATAGTGCAGGGGTAAAGGTAAAAGTAAAGGGATCGCTGACGATTAGGTCCAGTCGCAGACGACTCTGGGGTTGCGGCGTTCATCTCGCTTTATTGGCCAAGGGAGCCACCGTACAGCTTCCAGGTCATGTGGCCAGCATGACTAAGCCATTTCTGGTGAACCAGAGCAGTGCACAGAAACACCGTTTACCTTCCTGCCAAAGCAGTACCTATTTATCTACTTGCACTTTAACATGCTTTTGAACTGCTAGGTTGGCAGGAGCAGGGACCGAGCAATGGGAGCTCACTCCGTTGTTGGGATTCGAACCGCCGACCTTCTGATCGGCAAGTCCTAGGGTCTGTGGTTTAACCCACAGCGCCACCCGCATCCCTTAGGGGTAGATGAGATTAAAAAGCCCAGAACACAAATATTCATGGCCCTCTAGTGGGTATGATGGCTCACTTACCAGAAGTAATGTATTTAGGGCTGACATACTTCCGGATTTTCCCAGACATAACTGGGATTTCAAAGGCGGAATTGACACCTGGGAGAAATTTCTGAAACGCAACGCTTTTTTTGGCGTTTTTGAAAGCTCAACAACTTTTAGGGCATCCTGGTTTTTACTTTTTGAAATATGGCAACTTGATTCTGACCCAAAGAAGCCTCCTAGGCCGAGATCATAATACAGTCGCACCTTGGAAGTCAAACAGAATCCATTCTGGAAGTCCGTTCAACATCCAAAACGTTCGAAAACCGAATTGTGGCTTCTGATTGGCTGCAGGAAGCTCCTGAAGGCCCATCGGACGTTCGGGTTCCAAAAGAAAGTTTGCAAACCGGAACACTCAATTCCAGGTTTGCGGCATTTGGGAGCCAAAACATCCGAGTTCCAGGGCGTTTGGGATCCAAGGTATGACTGTATACACCAGGAGGCTTAATTAATCGAGGCTGCACTTCCAGAGTTAACACTAAATACATTCCTCTGGATGCTCTGTGAAAATGTGTGTCCTGGGTTTTTTAGACTCATGTTCTATTCATGTACCACCTGAAACCAAAGGGGCATGTTGGTTGCCAGATGTAAAAAATATTGGCATTCTTTTCAGCTCTCCAACCCTAAAAGGCAAGCCACAGAACCAGCCCAACAGGCCCCACGGAAACAATAGCTGAGAAGAACGTCGGAGGAGCTCTGCTGCCACAAAGGCCCCCCTGGCCCAGCACCCTCTCCCCCTGGCCAAGAGCAGCTGGAGGCCAGCAGTCCTCTCCTGCTGCTGCCCCCAACGAGAAGCAGGCGGCCTTCCGCTGGCACCAGGGGGCATCAGCCCTAGAAGCCACGAACCCTCCTCCTCCTCCAAGTTGTCTAATCCCATTTTAAAGCTGCCCGAGACTACCTACTGCTAACCCTGAGCTGCTCTGGGCACCGGGGGCAGGCGGGAGGCTGAGGCCAGGGAACTAGAGGACTCCCTCAGCAGGGAAGGAGGGAGGGAGGCTCTCCACCTGCCTAGTGGCGGCTGCCTGCCAGATCAGAGGCTTCCCAGCAGCGAGTGAACGGGCACATTGGGGGCAAGGGGGCTCCAGAGGGGTCCCCGCAGCCTCCCTGCTGTGCCATACAGGACCACCTCTCCTGGTATGCCCTGCGGAGGACCTTAAGGTCCACAAATGACAACACTTTGGAGGTCCCGAGCCTCAAGGTGGTTAGACTGGTCTCAACTAGGGGCAGGGCCCTTTCAGTACTGGCCCCAACTTGGTGGAATGCTCTGTCCCAAGAGACCAGGGCCCTGCGGGACTTGACATCTCTCTGCAGGGCCTGCAAGACAGAGCTGTTCCGCCTGGCCTTTGGTTTGGACTCAGTCTGACCCTTATGTTTCCCTCTCCTTATGGTCTTGATTTATCGGCTACTTTTAAAATGAGGCTGCATTTTAAATTGCATTTTTACCTGTATTTTAAATTGGTTCCCCCACCTCTCTTTCCCCCGTATTATGTTTTTACTGTGATTTTATTGGTGTTAGCCGCCCTGGGCTCTGGCCGGGGAGGGCAGGGTATAAATAAAATTTATTATTACCATTACTCCTCCTCCTCCTCCTACTATTATTAGGGGTCCCTGGTCCAGCCGCCCTGTGGCTGAGGCCGGTCCTGGCAAGGCGGCAGAGCGAAGCCCCCAGGGTGGGAGGTGGGGAGGGTTCTAGAGAGGCTACGGGACGGGTGGGTGGGAGGGAGGAGACAGGAAGAGCTGGGGCACCTACTCAGACTCGGAGAGATCCAGGTCGGAGACGGCGGGCACCACACTCAGCAGCGGCATGCAAGCCGGCCTGACAGAGGAGCGACCTCGCTGGATCACCTCTTGGGCATACCTGGGGAACAATCTCAGACATTAGACAAGCCTTCCTGCCGCCGGCCGGCCGGGGAGCCCCGTGGGGTGCAGGCCCCAAAGGCCGGGGGACTGGGGCCTCCTCTCTCTGCCCCTCTCCCGGGGGCCTGCCCAGGGAGCTCTGCCACGGGGGGAAGGAGGGAGGGGCCCCGGGAGAGGCGCTGGCAAGAGACCCAGGCCAGGGCCCAAAGCACAGCTCTGCTCGGGGCCCAGAAACGCAACAGGAGCCAACCTTGTGGCCGTTTGGGGCAGGAGGATGGGTGGGTTTAAAAAGGGATCCGACAACTTTGCGGAGGAGGCGGCTCTCAATGGCCAACAGCCCCCCCCCCCCCGGCTAGGCTCTGAGGCAGCGATGCTTCTGATCGTCAGCAGCTGAGAGTCTTCCTGGGATCAGGCCCCACATCCAGGTTCCCTTTGGGGGCCTCCTCAGAGAACAGGATGCCGGATTAGAGGGGCCACGGGCCAGATCCAGCGGGGCTCTCCTTATGAAGGGGGCGCCACACCCCAAAAGCCACCAGCAGCTGAGGCGTCTTCCCCCCCCCCCATGACAAAGGGGGTTGAGAGCTAGTCACCTGGGCCCAAAATGCACACACGCACCCCACCCCTCTGGAGCGAACAAGCCCCCTCGATTCCCTCGCAGTCGCCCGTGTCTTTTGGGGGGGGGGTTTCCTCACAGAGCCGGCAAGTCTCACACCGCAGCCTCCCCCCCAAGCATCTGTGTCTGTTCCTCCAGTCGAAGAAGAAATGAGCGCCAAGAGGCAAGAAGCAAAGGGAGCTACTCTGCCCGTTGCAGCTGAGATACCCCCACCAGCCACGACCCCAAAGGCCCAGAGGAGAAGGAGGCACTTTCTCTACTCTCCCCCCGCCCCCCGCGTGCTGCTCTGCTTAGCAGGTAAAAGTGCAAAGGGGGGGCTGTGCAGAACACCCACCAGCCAGCAGAAAGCAGCTCTGGACTGCAGTGTCTCCCAGGAGTGGAGGGGCCAGACCAGCCCCTGGAGGGCAGCAGACCCCCTGCAAGGCACACCGCCGCCCCCCAGGTTTTGATACAGGCCCTTGAGGGTGGGGAGTCTCTTTTGGCCCTCATCTCCAGCTGTTCAAGGCCCTTCTGCCTGCCTGCCGGGGAGCCAAACCCAGCAGTGCGCCAGGTGCAGGGCCAGGGGGCCTGGGGGGAGACAACCACCCACCCACTCCTGGTGAACCCTGTGGCCAGGACAAGGCCACACCCCCTCCCCCAAGAGCGCCCCCCCCCCCGGCTGTACCGCTGCTTGGCCGGCGGCTTCCCTGTCCTCTTCTCCTCCTCCTCCAGGCGCCGCCGGGCTTCCTCCAGCTGCGTCAGCGGGTTGGGGGCCGGGTTGGGGGGCATGGTGGGGTCCTGGATGAAGGGGTGCGAAGGCTGGACGACGTTGCGCAGCTGGGCGTTGACCCACGGGTGGACGGCCATGGGGCGCTCCACGGAGACTGGCCGGGGCAACTCATGGGGCAGCTGCTTCTTGGCCCCAGAAGAGCTGTGCGGGGGGAGAGAAAGCAGAAGAGGTTTTGGGATAGTACAACTAGTGCTGTAGAAGGGAGTGAAAGAGGCGCCCCCCCCCCTGAATTTTAGCATCACGCAGACTGCCACTGGAATTAGAGAGCCCAATGTCCCCCTCCTTGTGGAATTGGGGGAAAAAACCAAAATCAAAGATCTGGCCAGTTCTCTCCCTCTCCTATGTGCCCCCCACAAGAACCGGGGCCCCCAACAGATCAGTGCAGAGCAACAGATAAGGGGCCCTCTGCCTCCTGCCCCTTCCCTTGAGGAACTGGAAAGTTAAGGGGGGGGATTTTCTTCTGAAGGCCTGGGGGGGGAGAGGGGGCAGCCAAACATAATATATAACAATAATAATAAAATTTTGTTTCTATCCCGCCCACCCCAGCCAAAGCCGGGCTCAGAGTGGCTAACAACAGTAAAAATAACACAGTTTACATAAAATCATAATCAACTAATTGAAATACGTTCTGAAATCAATTCATTCTAAAATCAATTCATGCAGCGAGAGAAGCTGTGAGGGGCTAAGGGGAAGCGCCAGGAAAAGAAGCAGCGCCAGCTGATCTGCAAGGAAGGAAGATGAGGAGCTGCCTCACACGAAGTCAGGCTCTCTGGGAGTCAGGCAGTCTCTGCCAGCCCCACCTGGAGACGCCAGCAAGGATGGAGCCAGGGACCTTCTGCTGGCCAGAAAGGAGGCCTGTGAAGGGAGGGGTGCTCTGGCTTGCGGCATGAGGGATGCCCCCCGGCAGTTGCTCCCAAGGCTGCCACTGGGAGCAATGAGAGGATCAGGCCGACGCTGATGCTGACGGAAGCAAGCCCCCTTGGGCTCCCCCCTGCAGCCAGGCAGCCTTGCTTTCCGGCAGTGGAGCTTTCGCACCCGTGGCCGCCCGCTCCCCCTGCCCCTCTTACCCGTGGCCTGTCTTCTTGTGCCTGCTGATCTCCTTCTCGCCTTCGATGATCCACTGCATGATCTTCTGGTTCTTCTCCACGTCCTCCGAGGAGCCTGGAGCGTCATAGCCGCCGCCGTCGCTCTTCCCCAAATCGGCTTTCTTGACGCTCCTCTTAGAGAGCAGGCCGGCTTTCCCGCTGCGAGGAAGGAGGAAGCAAGCAACCGCCTCAGTCATGAGTTGCTCCCAAGAGTGGGATGGAGGGGTGGGTGATCTGCTGCACTGCAGGCAGGAGAAACCCAGGGGATCGGGACCCCAACCCTACGCTAGTCAGCAGAAGGAGCTCTCGCTCTGTGCTGGTACGCCCTCCCTCACTGCCCCATGGACACTGGACCTCTTCCAGCGCCAGCCCTCCATCCTGCCACTGGCTTGCACCAGAAATCCTCCTCGCCGGGAAGGAAGCTCCATGGAGTCATCGTCCCCCCCCCCTTAGCATTTCTGACTGGCTGCCCCTGCCCACCTGCGGCTCACAGGGGCCAACGCCCGTCCCAATGGGCCCCCTCCGCCGCCACTCACCCATAAGCCGAGGGCTCCGGCGGGCCCAGGCTCTCCCCATAGGCCCGCGACTTGGCAGCGTAGCTGTGCGCGTCCACGTTCCAGGCGAAGGGTCCTGGCGCGCCCTGGCCGGCCTCCGCCTCAGGCGGCTCCTTGGGCTTGAGCGCCCCGTGGTGGTGGACCAGGTGGTGGTGGTAGACGTGCTTGTGGTGGTGGAGGCCGGCCGCGTCCGCCTTGAGGGCCGCCTTGGCGCCGTGCTTGCCGTGCCCGAGGGGCACCGTCCCCAGGAAGCCGTGCAACTTGCCGGCCAGGCCGCCCTCGGGGGAGCGGGGCTTGGGCGAGTGGCGCCCGGGGCCCGGCGACTGGCAGCCCGGCGTCTTCATGACCCGCTGCACGTGCTCGTCCAGGATGCTCTCGGGGTTCTCCTCGTGGGCGTCCCGGAGCTGCATCTCGGCAAAGCGGGGGGCAAAGTGGGGCAAGGCCTGCGGCAGGGGGAGCTTGTGGCCCGCCAGGGGGGCCCCCAAGGAGACGTCGGCTTCCTCGCCTTCCTCCTCCTGCTGGGAAACACAAGGCGGGTCAAGGGAGGGTGGGGGAAGACAGATCTTAGGGAACACCGGCAGGGGAGAACAAGTGAGAGGGCTGGAGTGGGGGCAAGATGTCAGGGGCTAGCTGGACGAAGCGGAGAGGTGGGAGGCGCCAGCCGGGGAACCCCCAAGGGAACCCCCAGAGGAGGACGGCTCAGAGCCAGGGTGGTGGGACACAAGGGAAACGTCAGAGGGAGAATATTGGGAGGTGTTGGATGCTGAAGGGGCAACAGGGTTTAGGGAGCAGGTGACAGGGAGCAGTTCAGACTCAGAGGCTGAAGCAGAGGAGGGGGGTGGTCAAGGGACTGCAGAAGACTCCAGGGAGTCTCCCTCTCCGTCTGTGACAAGCCCCGCTCCCCCTGGTCTCTGAGAACGCACAGAGTAATGAGGAGAGCAGAACAGAGGTGCACAGACACCATCTGATACTGCTTGGGACACATCCAGGCGAGGCCGGGGCAGGGATCTCCACGCAAGCCCCAGCTGCCCCCGCCGCCCCTACTGACCGCTCGGACACGCTTCAGGCGCTCCTCCAGCTTGGCCTCCGCCTCCCGGTCCCTGAGGACTTCCTCCAGGCGGTTGATCAGCTCGGCAGCAAATTTCTGTGGTTCAACGTGGATATCCTTTGGCATTCGGTAAGTACGCTGTGGGAACGACACGCAGCCCTGGTTGGCAAAGGGGCCGGCCACACCCCAGCCACGCAGCGCACAAGGCCCCGGCCACAGCCCACCCTCACTTGCCCACCGGCCCTCCCGACTCTGACTGGCAGCTGCAGAGGGAGAAAGGCCTTTCCCAGGGGCTGGTCCTGCTGGGCCTCATCCCATAAGCAGAGCGGATGCTCTCCCTCTGGAAGACAGGAGGAGGCTTGGCGTGACTCACGGGAATGTGAGGTAGTGGCACACGTCCATTTGCTTTGGCACTTTCCTGCATCTCTCGGCGATGCTGCTTCCGGAGTCGGTACGGCGGGATCCCGTCTCTGGCAAGAGGAAACAGTGACAGTTTGCAGAGGGCAAGGCAAGCTCCAGGTGGAAAGGGGTGCAGGGGGGACAGCGCAGACGGCCAGGGGTCATGGACCGGCTGGAGGCAGAGTAGAGGGGGAGGCAGCAGCCGGGGAAGCCCCAGGGCAAGGAGGCTCAGGGCCAGAGGACTGGTGGCTGGGCGACCAGGGGTGGTCAGAGGGAGAAGAGGGAGCAGGCTGCTGGCAGGTGTCGGAAGCAGAAGAGGCAACAGGGTTTAGCGAGAGGGAAGAGAGCAGTGCAGACTCGGAGGCGGAGTGTAGGCAGGCTGTGGAAGAAGACAGGGAGACTCCCCTCCTGCTGTGAGCAGCTGCCCTCCCCACTGGTCTCCCAGAATATGCAGAGAAATTACGACAGCGGAGCCGCAAGAGGCAAGAAGACAAAGGCTTGGGCCACTGGGGAAGGAGCCTTAGAGAGCGAAGGGAACTCCTTCAATGGCACCCTTTAAATGGCACCTTTTTGACCTTTAAAGCCCTATGCGGCCTAGGATCCACGCACCTACGGGACCGCCTCTTCTGATATGCCCCGCGGAGGACCTTAAGGACCACAAATGACAACACTTTGGGGGTCCCAAGTCGCAAGGTGGTTAGATTGGTCTCAGCTAGGGCCAGGGCCTTTTCAGTACTGGCCCCAACTTGGTGGAACGCTCTGTCACAAGAGACCAGGGCCCTGCGGGACTTGACATCTTTCCGCAGGGCCTGCAAGACAGAGCTGTTTTGCCTAGCCTTTGGTTTGGACTCAGTCTGACCCTTATGTTTCCCTCCCCTTATGGTTTTGCTCTATGGGCTACTTTTAAAAATGAGGCTGCATTTTAAATTAGGTTTTTTTCCTATTATGTTTTGATTGTAATTTTACTGGTGTCAGCCGCCCTGAGCTCGGCTCTGGTTGGGGAGGGCGGGGTATAAATAAAATTTATTATCATTATTATTAATGGGAGCAAGACCTCCTGGAAAGAGAGTTCCTGAGACCACCAGGATTCTTCAGGGGGTACTCAAGGCCACGCAACACCCTCACCTCTTTTTGTTGTCGTCAAAAAGTGTGGCACATACTGTAACGGCTTCATGGCGAGTACTGGCACTTATTTTTCTAGGAAAAAAGCCCTGCTTATGCCTGACGCCAGTGGTGCTGCCGCCTTTCCCCGCAGAGGCTGATTCCGGAAGCCCTTCCTGGATGCCAGGCCCACACCTTGAAGCAGGATAGCAAGGTCCACAGGGAAGGGTGTGAGGGCCACATTGCAAGGCATCTCACAAGAAGGGATCTTGCCGCCACCCCCCGTTAAAGTCCTGCCAGCATCCTCCTCTGACGCAGGCTGGCTGCCACCATTGCATGCCCACAGCGGCCTCTGCGGTCAACGGCTCAGACTTCTCCCCCCCCTCACTTATATCGCAGGTGCCCACCTGCCCAGGACAACCTGTAGATGGCTAAATATTCCGCCCCCTTATTTATAAGAAGAGGCCGGCAAATGTGTCCTCTGTGTCAGGCATGCCAGGAGTAGGGTGCCTCAGGCGTGGAGCTGTAATTGTTGCAAATATTCAGGATTTATTAGGTGTTATTTTTAGAAATAGGCAGCCTGTGAGGATCATTCTTAAGAGAGCACCACAACCCGCCTTCGACCAGCAGCTCTGCAATGGGGAAGGGGCTTCATCCCCCACTGCAGCTCCAACGGCAGTTTCCTGACCTTCGGCACAGAAAAAAACCCTTGTAAACCCAACATTTGTTCTTCATTAGACCCTTCCCTGGGCTGCTGCTGGCTCTCGTTACAGCTTGCATGGATTTACTCAGGTTAAATAAATCCGGAGTTTCAAAAACGAATTTCTGCAGGAAGAGAAGGTTGAGGCCTGCAGAGACCTTTGTGATGCTGCAAGGGTGGCGACCGTGTCTCTGCCCTCAGCGCAACGCAAATGGCTCTGACCGCAAGCAGGTGCACGCTTTCCAAACGCACAAGTCCTCCAGGGCCAGGGAAAGTCACACCCGGCCACCACTCCAAAGGAGGCCTGGCATGGAGAGCCCTCGCCCACAGTGCAACGTGAAGCTTCTCCCAGAAGCCGGGTGTGTGTGTGTGTGTGTGTGTGTGTGGAGCTATTAGCCCCGCAGCTGGGAAAGCCCAGGGGGTCTGCAGAAGAAGCCGGAGCAGGCAATGGGAGGCAGGCTATGAGGACAAGACTCCCGTCAGCCACTTGCTGGGAGACAGGCCTACCTGCCTGCAGCAGTGGGAAGGGCGAGGCAAGCTGCCATTTTGCTAATATTGTTTTACAGATTATAACTGCTTTACTGATCATTTAACACGACTTATGCTGTAACTGTGATGCTTAGCTTATTTTTTAGTTGCTGGTTTGTTAACTGAAAAGGTTTTACTGCCTATTTGTTAATTATTACATGTATTATATGTAATCGTATTATATTCCAGGCTGTTCTTGCGGTGCTCTGTTCTGCTGTTGCTGTTTATTGTTTGTAAGCCACTTTGGGATTTGCTGGAATGGAAGGCAGTGTAGAAATACAGTAAACCGAATCAAGGCACCAATAAGCAGGCTCCCCCTGGCTCCCTCCAGATGTTGCTGGCCTTCGACTCCCCCCTTCCTTGGCTCCCATGGGGCCAAGCTGGCTGCTGGGGCTGCTGGGATTTGGAGTCCAGCAGCGCCTGGAGAGGACCCCTGTGCAGGCCACGCCCCCTCTGCTCCGTGCTCCGCCCCCTTGTCCTGGCAGCCCAGTCCCAGGTGTCTCTCTCGGGGCAGGTACTCACACGCTGCTGTCTGTCAGCGACATGGTGTCGGCGTCACTGGACATGCTGTGCTGCTCGCTGTCGTTGGCGCTGGTGGCGGGTGCCAAGGCGTAGCCCGTGTTGACGTAGTAAGGGTTGACTGGCTCTCTCCAAGGCCCATGCCTGCAAAGGAGCAGAGAGAAGGGGGTCCCGGTCACCCTCCAGACTCCGGTCCCTCGAGGACCCATCCCATCCAGCCTTCGAAATTCCCCAGGCATCAAGTGCATTTCCCCAGGCATCAAGTGCCACGGGTCCCAACTGCAACCACACATACATGCCCACCTGGCTGGCCCCTCCAGCTTTCTTAAGCAGGTCAGCAGAAGAGTTTCTTTGTTCCATGTGTCTCCCACCTTTTTCTCCAAGGAGTCCATGGTTCACGCCCCTCCTCAGTTGATCCCTACAACGACCCTGTGAGGTCGGCTAGGAGGCTGTGACTGACCCAGTGAGCTTCACGACAGAGTGCGGATTCGAACCCTGATCTCCCAGGTCTTCGTCTGTCATTCTCACCACTCCACCCCACCCCACTGCCTTCCTAAAGTATTTCTGCTATGGGGCAGCTCCATATATTAAGTCGGTAAATAAATAGCGGGAAAGCAATATGTCCCTTAGAGATGGATGGGAAATATTTTCCTGGAAGCCTGAAGTTGATTTATTCTGGATGGTTGTTTTTGAGGTTTTAATGTGTTGCAAACCACTTTGAGATCTTTTTTCTTTAAAATATAAAGCGGTAGAGACATGAACGATGGCGATGAAGAATAATCCCCACTGGGGGGAAATGGAGCCTCTGACATTCGGTTGTGGCAACCATAATAACCGAGGTTTAAGGTGCCATTTGGCTTACATATCTGAGCCACCACAGAAACATGGAGCCAACGTGCGTGGAATACGGCACTTAGAGGACGCTTAACTCACCACCAGAGGGTGATAAGAGGAATAACAAAGAAAAGTGGGCTTGACTCTGCACGCTCTCAGTTTATATCCTTGATGAACAACAGCGCAGCCATCTCCCTTCCATCTCAGTCACAGCAGCCACTATGGAGAAATCATCTTAAGGCTTTAGACTGACGTGTACCCTGAGGATGGCAGCTTAATCTTTAATGTAAAAGATTTTCCAAGTCGGTTTTGTTGCCCATACAACTGTATACAAGACACTAATGCATGTACATGTATTTTGTTCTGGAAAGCAAGACTTCATGCTTGGTAACTGTTTGTAAAAGTCCCAATATAGTCTGTATTGGGGGGAGGGGTACAATTTGCTTTTGGCACCTTCTGGGTCCCACCAATGGGGACTGCAAAGGGGGCAGAAGCAACTTGGAAGCTCCTGCAGAGAAGCAGCCCCACAACTAGGAAGTGCCAAAGGCGTCTGGTCACACGTACAAAAGCCCCCCAGCACAGACCTCCACCATTTCCCAAACTAGATGGCACTGAGCGGCCAGCAGAGGGAGAACACCAGCCCCACAAGGCACAACCACGTTGCACTGGGTCAAGGACCAAGGAAGCCAAAACTGGGCTCCCCAAGAAGGCAGCCAAGGCACGGAAGGGGCTGGGCTCAGGGGCTGAGCTCAGGCTTGCTGGCAGAAGGCCCCGATTCATTCCCTGACAGCTGTGGGGGAAAGCACTGGGGGAAACCCTTGGAAAGCCATGGTCAACCAGAGAAGATGGCAGCCAACCAGAGAGGACCCAAGGCTGCTTCACGTGCACCTCTGGAGAGGGTCTTCCATCTGCCCAAAGGCTTCCCAGGCAGAAGTCTTCCAAAGAGAGCAAAGGAGCAAGGATCCCATATCACCCACCCCCAGGACTGGGGGCTCTTGCAGGTAAAGGACCCCTGGATGGTTAAGTCCAGTCAAAGGCGACTATGCGGTTGCGGAGCTCCTCTCTCTTTCAGGCCAAGGGAGCCGGCGTTTGTCCACAGACGGCTTTCCAGGTCATGTGGCCACCAGGAATAAACCGCTTCTGGCACAACAGGACACTGTGATGTAAGCCAGAGCGCACGGAAACACTGTTTGCCTTCTCGCCACAGAGGTACCTATTTATCTACTTGCGCTGGTGTGCTTTCGAACTGCTAGGTTGGCAGGAGCTGGGACAGAGCAATGGGAGCTCACCCCGATGGGGAGATTTGAACCACCGACCTTCCGATCGGCAAGCCCAAGAGGCTCAGTGGTTTAGACCACAGCGCCACCTGCATCCCTGCTATAAATGAAAGTGGGAAGGAGACCTGGGGTTTTTCACTTGAGGCTGGAGTTAAAAAATGCTTCCCCGTGGACGTGGAATGCCCAAAGGGAGACCCAGCCAGCCATGATCAGGGACAGCACAGTTTAAAACACCACATAAGTCTGATTGATATTCTACAGATTTTTAAATATGCTTGGAGGGGTGTTATTATGTTTTCCTTGTTTTGCTTTAACTATTTACTTGTGCTTTTACTTTGCATTTTTACCCTGTGACTCACCCCCTGAGATCTTGTAAGAAAGAGGTGAATATAAATCTAATACACAACAAACAACAACAACAACATGACGAGGTGTGGGGCAAACTGAAAGGGATTCTGGAAGAAGCACCTGCGCCCTTCACCCACCCTCATACTGCCCCCCTGGGGTGTGGATCTGGAGATCAGGCTGCTCCACGTTTAGGGCCCTCGGAGGTGGCAGCACAAGGCTTCCTCCGACCCAAGGCAGCGGAGCTCTCCCCAAAGGCACCAGCGTCCCTGCCTTGCTGGCTGTGCAAGAAGCGGCCCCTGAGCTTCTCCAGGTGGCCCTTCCCAGAAAGGCCCAGGCTCTCTCTGCATCCAGCAGGCCCAGCTCAGGGCAGGCAGCCATGAACGTTTCCCTTTATTAACAGAAATTCCAGGGAGCTTTTCATCTGGAATGCATTACTATGAGCAGAAGGAAGGAATGAAAGAAACGCCACCGTCCGCACACAGACGGGGGCAAACTGCTCCAGATCCCTTCCTGCCCTGTTTACAAGAGCGACTTCGGCTAGGGAAGTCGGGGCAGAAAGCAGGCCTCCTGTTTCGGGAACGCCAGCCAATGTTCCCGCGGGGTGCAGGCAGCCTCCGGGGCCAGCTTCCCCTCCAAGGAGCAGGACCCAGGTCTCAGCATGGGCAAAAGCAAAGGGCCACACCAGCCCTTGCCACCTTCACGTGGCTCAGGACACCCACCTGGGCCAAGAGCAGCCCGCAGTGGCCAAAGCAAGAGGGGCAGCAGGATTGGGGGGGCACACACTCCACCAGAACATGCTAGCAGGAGGCCTGACCTGAGGGATAGGTAGAAATGCTCAGCACTGGTGATGGAAGGGAACAATGGAGCAAGCTAAGCTGCTGAGATGCCAGGAAGAGGAGCCTCAGGTGAGGGGAAGGGGAGGAGGCCTGGGCCTGGGAGGAGCAGGAGGACTGGCCAGAGGGGGCAGGGGGCTGGAAGGAAACAAGGCATGCAGAGGAGGCTGAGGCTGAGCAGAGAGGCAGAGGCCTCCTCTGGCAGGCAGTTCTGGCTGTGTGACACAGGATCTGGGCAAGAGTCTGAGAGGTGGACAGACCCAAGGGGGAGTGGAAGGGTCAGGCCGTGGCCATGTTCCCTCCTGGGCAGAAGACCAAAGGAAGGAGACAGGCCCCGACCCAACGGAAACAGACCCATGTCCCCAAGCTGCAGGTTTCCGTATTAAACGCACAGAGGAGTCGTCCGAGGATGCCCATCCACAGGGCAGGCCACGGACGAGGTGGGCTCAGGGGCCCAGTCTGCATCCAGCAGCCTACCAGCCTCGCTTCACCTAGTGGCACAGGCCAGCCTTGAGCGTGAGCAAGTTGGGGGCATTCAGCTCTGGTGGCTGAGACGTCTCTCTTTGCAGAGCTCAGAAGGAATCTCAACAATTTAAACAACAAGAGCCTCCCCCGCCCCCTCCCAGGCCGCCAGATTCGGAGCCACTTTTTCCATTTCACCCAAATCCCATCTGCAAAGCTTCTGGGGTTGTTTTCTTAAACACCTGTGCTACTTCGGATGCGGTGCAAGAGGGGCAAAATGTCCCCCGAAAAGCGTTTTTACAGAGTCGCATCCATTCCTAACCCTTCCATTCTGCGGTCTATTTTTACCCCAAACATTTGGTGCACAATTGAGGAGCAGCAGCGACAGGTGATGCCGTGATGCCTGCAAGGCGGGACGTGCGTTCGGATCACACACACCAATCCAATTAGCTGTCAAAAAGGGGATGGAGGCAGGCCCCTCTGCAGAAATAAATTCCCCCAGCTAGCAAAAGCCTGCGTGCTTGGAGCTCCCTTTATTTGTAGGAAGTGCCGCAGGTGTCTATTGCACCCACAAAGGACATTTCCAACTTGAGCTTTATGGTCTGGAGGCACCTGGCACAGCTACCCTGCTGCAGGCGGGCAGGTCTGGGGGAGGGCGGGGAGAGTCTCCTGGAAAGAACACACAGGTGCCGCCTTGCGTCCCACGACTGTGGAAAGGCAGGCAGGACATCATGGTAGAAATGGTTAAAAATAAAACAGCAAAATCGGCAAGATATTCATGCAGAAATGGGACTTCTTGTTCCAAGAGGCAGTCAAGATTTTTAAATGGATCCTGTAACACAGAGGACGTGTGGCAAATTGTGTTTTGATCCAGTCAAAAAGTCTACCTGCCTTCGATAAGATTGTGCAAATGTATAGCAAGGAGGGCTCATTTGGGTGACTCCAAGGGAGAGAAAAACAGCTGCCCAAGTGTGCAGGCAAAACTGCCAAGACCCTTCCTGGGTCGGGAACTCCCACATGGAATTGTGTGAGGAGGAGAACGTGCTTTTTCACATTATGTGCCATGACAAACACTTTCCTGAAGCTGAAAGAGTTCTTCTCTCTTGCAAACACACCAAGGTGCAATCTGAAGCTGAACTCCAAACTGATTCAGGTGCATCAACTTCAAACACGAAACAAACACCCAATGAGACTGTGATTTTGGGGGAGCTGGGGTTAAAACGGCCTTGAAGCTTGTCACTTCCACTGCCAGTATCGGGGCCCAAAGACGACGATCCCATTGATCCCTTACGCAGGGCAGCAGCAACTTTTAAACCAGTGAAGTAAGAAAACCAGGTGGCTGTGGGCTCTGCTTAATAACAATAATAATAATAATTTTATTATTTATACCCTGCCCACCTGGCTGGGTTTCCCCAGCCACTCTGGGTGGTTCTGATTGCCCTCTCTTGCTAGCTCTGGAAACTGGGGAGGAGGAGCAGAAGGAGAAGGTTTCTCTTCACACAGACCCTGAAATAGGGTTTCCTTAAGAGTCTGAAAGCAGCCCCTAAGAAACAAGGACCACAGGTGTACTTTGCAAAGAAAACAAACCACCACCTGCAGCCATGAACAAAAACAGGGTGTTTAGGCAAAGCATCCCCACCTGATTTGCTAAAAGTGTCCCATCTCAGCATCAGCAGGTGCCCCATCAGGTCCCAAAGCTTCCCTCCGCCACCTTGCCTCCCTCCCCCTGGAAAATCCTTCAGACCGTCAGTCGTTTCAGAGACCAGCATTGCTCTGTCATGGCAGGCAAGGGCTTCACTGCCTCACATGCAATTCAAGGGCTGGGTGCAAAAGGGGCTTTTAAGGAACAGCCACCTGGAATGTTTATCATGAAGGTGGTACTGACAGCGCCCCACCCCCCCGTCCACAATTCATCCAGAGGACCCTGTTCCTGGGACTGCTTCCCATCTCCAAACACACTGGTGACCTTAAAACAGGGAATCCGGGAACCACGTTGCCAGAGGTAATCATGGGTGATGGTCAATTAAGTTTTACTCAAGTGCAGACCGGTTGAAATTAATGGACCTGTATGGTGTTCATTCATTTCAAAGGGATTACTCTGAGTAAAACTTAGCAGACTACTACCCCACACATTTCATTCTGGGACCCCATTCATAGGGACCAGCAAGGGAGGCAGAGAATCCGTCCTTCCAAATGGCTCCAGGCTGTGCTTTGTGTCGCGATGCTGTTTCAGCATCACAGGTGGACCCACACAATTCCCTGCCCCCCCCCGCACACCTTCGCAAGTCATAAACAAGGAACACACACACTCTGTCATTGCAGAACAAGAAGAAATCTCTGTAGGCCTTGCCGTCTAGAGAAACAATGAACGGTTACCAAACTCAGCCAAAGTTGCTTCAAAGCTACCATCTTCCAACTCCCCATCCCCGACAACCAGTGTGCGAAATTCCCCAGGTGCCAAGCGCGTTTTGCAACTGGTGCGGTTCCAATCGTGCCCACGTGGAGATCTCTGGGTGCCAAGCTGGCAACACCATCTGGCTAGCCCCTCCAGCTTTCTTAAGCAGAGAAGCAGAAGAGTTTATTTATTGCCTTTCTATCCCATCTTTTTCTCCAAGGAGTCCATGGTTCACACACCCCTTTTCAGTTTGATCCCTACAATGACCCTAAAAGGCTGCGACTGACTTCAAGGTCACAGAGTGAGCTGCATGACTGAGTGGGGAGTTGAACCCTGATCTGGCAGGCCCTGGTCCGACACTCTAAGCACTACGCCCCTTCTGCTACGGGCAGCTATATAGATTAAGTAGGCAAAAAAATATGGGGAAAGCAAAATGTCACATAGAGAAGGATCTGAAATGTTTTCACTGAAGCTTGAATTTGTTTTATTCTGGATTGTTTAATTTGATGTTAAGATTTTTTCTTTAAAATATAAAGCAGTATAAATCATCATCCCCGATGGCCGGGGGGGCGGGGGCAGGGAATGGCGCCTAAGCATTCCGTTCTGGCGACCGTAACTGAGGTTTAAGGTGCCATTTGGTGATTTGCTTTCTAACACAGCCTGAACTGCAGCTGCTCGCCTGGATGTTAGCACCACCCCTTAAATACAACTGTGCAGACTTCCTGCAACTCACCTGCCCACGAGAGCCACAGCGTAAGTCTCTGGGTCTGACCTCTGTAGTGTCAAATGGTGGCCTTGCTTAAGCTAGGGCTGGCTACTTGCTGGCCTACAAAGTTCCCCATCCCTTATGTAGGAGGGGAAAGTTCTTGGACCTTTTGTATCCGGAAGACCTCCAAGGCCAGGGATGGTCATCTGGAGTTCAGGAGGCGGAATGCCATAGTGATACAGAGGAACAAGTCATAAACCTCTCTCTCTCTCTCTCTGAAAGGGTCTTTTAAGAGTTCCAAAACTTTGCCCCCAGGAAAATGTTCTCCCAGAAGCACTTGGAGCAGGGGTCAGCAACCTTTTCAGCCATGGGCCGGTCCACCGTCCCTCAGACTATGTGGTGGGCCAGACTATATTTTTTGGGGGGGGAGAACGAATTCCTATGCCCCACAAATAACCCAGAGATGCATTTAAAATAAAAACACACATTGTACTCGTGTAAAAACACGCCGATTCCCAGACCGTCCACGGGCTGGATTAAGAAGGTGATTGGGCCGCATCCAGCCCCCGGACCTTAGGTTGCCTACCCCGGACTTGGAGGTTCAAACTCCACAAGGAAGGCCCAGTAGCTGGAATCGTTTCCAGCCTCCTGAGTAAACTAGCAAGAGATCAGAGGAGCGCCTCCTTCTCTTGCGGTTTCGCATGCAACATTCCTGTCTCAAAACCCAGATGAAAACAGTACTCAAAACGGAAGGCTCCCAGCATCTGCAACAAGGGGCGGAATTTGCTTGGGGGACGATGAGATCCAGCTGTTGCCCTCCAGACTGCTAAGACAGTAAATGCAATAGGCAAAGGGGGTGGAAGAGCTTATCTCCAGAGCCTAGCAAGAGGGAGGGGGGACCTGCAAAAGCACTTCCTGGAGTTCCCCTGCTGTTTCTAGAAGCTGTTGATGCTGGGGTTGGAGTTGGGTGGGGGGCAAAGAGAGACAATCATAAAATAAAATGCAATTTGAGCCTGGAAGTAGATCGTGGGATTTCTGGATTGAGTGGATCTTTTTTTAAAAATCTTACTAGTTTATGTGCTATGTTCTTCTAATAAGTTTAGAGCTTATTCTAGGTTATAACAAAGTTGTTGGGGTGGGGTGGAATAGACGGTGTGAGACTCAGAGGCCAATTCTGGAGAAATTCCCAGCAATGCATCTATCAATAACTTCACCAAAATTGTTGCGAGAGCAGTTAGGCAGGACAGCAAAACTGCCAGGAGCTTCAGGCAGGGGCCGCAGCCAAGCATTGCAGACGGCAGGGGATGAGCTTCGCTCAAATCTCTGCCGTGAAAGTTGGAAGTGCTGGGCCTGTAACCCCTTTCAGCTCTTCCCCAGCCGCCAGGGGGCGCCTCCACATCCTGCCCTGCTACCCGGTGGAAGCAGACTTCTGCCCCACGAGGTGGGGCAAGCGAGCGTCGCTCACGCGGAGACAACCTGCAGGTCTCACCTGTACTCTCTCCCCTCGCTGTATCTCCTGGACGATGTGGCTCGCTGCGTGGCCGTCTCCAGGAGGAGCTTCTGGGTGAGCCTGCTGGAGGGAGCAGACTCCCGGCCGGCCATCTCCTCCTCCACCTCTTTGTCGCACTTCCATTCCTCGTCCTCGTTAAGGGTAGGCAAATAGCCGGGGAGACACTTCCCTGTCCCCGACCCTGAGCTCTGGTCACTGTACACCTTCGGACTCTCCCCACCCGTCCTTGTATACTCCAAATAAATATCCGACTTAAGGAAGAGGGGGTACGTGTTCTCCTCGATCATGGACTGGATCTCCGTCTGGGCCTGGTCAAACATGGCCGGATCAATCAGCTGCTTCATCACGCAATCTTTTATAAAGCTCTTCGTGGCCGGCTTGATCTGCCGCGACACAATCCCGTTATTGTCCAGAATGTACTTTTTGTAAATGGCCTTGGCCAGCTTGAGCCTCTTCTCCTCGTTGGAGTCACACGGCTCCAGCTTCCGGAAGCCGCTGCAGGCAAACCAGAAGTCCAGCAAGTCCGCGCAGTCCTCCTGCTTCAGGAAGGTCCGGAAGAGGTTTATCCCATCTTGGTCGTCCAGCAGAGAGTGCAGAGACTCTGCCCATCTCAGGTAGGGAGGGGTGGGAGAAGCGCTCCCCTCTGGCTCATACCCCAGGTCCAGGTCGGGGCGCCTCGGAGTGGCCGTGGAAGTCTCGGTTTTGATGGCATCGCACTTCCCGGAGTAGAACCCGTGGCCGCTTAGCCGCAGGTCTGTGGAAACGAGTTCCCCTTCCTCTCCTGGCACCGGGGGCCTCGGAGCATCCTCGGTGAAACTCCCCCCAAGGTCCAGAGGGAAACCTTGGCCCTGCACACTCATCTCGACGGCATCCGCGGGCAAAGCAGCAGCAGCAGCAGCAGAACGGCGGCCCACGCCTCAGCGGCCCAGCAGCCCCTGCCCCAGGGGGAAGACACACGGCCGGCTGCAAGGTTGGAGAAGGACGGTTAGAAAGCAGCGCAACGCTGGCAGGCTCACCCTTCCCAAGGCCCTGCAGCCCGCTCCTCCGAGGAAAAGAAGGCAAGACTTTGTCGGGCAAAGAGGGAAGAAGCTGAGCATCTTCTCCCTCAAATTAAGAGAGCCAAGGGCCCCGAATGAGCCACGCAGAGGACCTGAACGCGGCACACGCGCCTTTCCCCACCCTCAGACGGGCAATGGCCCCCCGAACCCCTAAGAACTTCCTGTCAATTCATGCACCGCAAAGATAAGATGACCAAGTTCCCTTTCTGGTCCTGATCCTGGAAAGGCCCAAAGGGGAGAAATCAAGACGAGTGTAGCTTTTTTGACAGCACACCAGGATGCAAAACAATGCAGAGGGGGCTTTTAAGAAACCTCCCGAAAATATGATTTGTGCGAAGTATGGTGGAGGGCTCTGAAGAGGGGAAAGGGCAATCCTTTGCAGGTAAGAGCTAGCACAGGAGAGGCATTTTATATCCTATTGTATGCCAGAAAGCCCTGCTGTGAGTCTTTGGGGGCCAGGAAGCCCAGCACTCCACTCCTCCGGCTCTGGGGGCTGAGGGGCCCTGGGAAAAGCCAGGAGCCTCGGGGTCTCAGGCTGGCCGGGGGTGGGCTGGATGACCCCGGGGGTCCCTCCGGAGAGAGCCGCCCCTTCGCGGGGACCGGCCCGCCGAGAGGGGCGCCCGGGGGTGGGCGCGGAAAGGGGTCCGACGGGGCGCTTCCTGAGGGGGGACCCGCCTCCCGCCCTCCCCGGCCCGACACGCGACAGGCACGTGTGAAGGCGGCCGCCCGGCCCGCAGGAGGCGCAGGCCCGTCTCCCTCACCGGGACAAGGAGGAGGCGAGCCGCGGCCCCGGACGGGAAGCCGCCGCGCCAGGCCGCCGGCCCCGGGACTCCGCCAACGCCGCCGCCGCCATCATCCGCGCCGCCTCGGCCTCCGCTCCGGGTGGCGGGCCTGGTCGTCCTCCTGCTCCCGGTCTCCGCCGCCGCCTCCGCCTCCCGGCCTGGGCCTCCTCTCCGGCCTCCTCGCGCTCCCTTCCGCCGCCGCCGCCGCCGGAGACGGACCAGGCTCGCCAGCGCCCCCGCAGGCCGCGCCGGGAAGCGGAGGCCGAGCGAGCGAGCGAGCGAGGGAGGGAGGGAGGGCGGGAGGGGCTGCGCGCGCAGGCGGGCCGCGGGGAGGTCGCCTAGCAACGCCAGGGAGGGCCAGGCCCGGCGCCCACCGCTAGGCGGCGCTGCTGCTGCTGCTGCTGGCCGGCCGGGGACCGGAAGCGAGGGAGGCTGTCGCCGGGGTCCGACTAGATGAGCCCTGGGGTCCCAGAAGAGGCCTTGGGGCGACTACTGTTCCACAGCTTTCTAAATACGTTTCTTTGGGGGGGGGGGGGGTTACTGTTTTGTTGCTTCTGTCGGGGCTGTTTATTTCTGCATCTTTGATCTAGGTTTTTTAAAAAAAAAATCCTGGTGAATCTTTATTGATTTAAAATACAAACGTACAGCAAAGAGAAGTATAGAAGAGTTAAATACAAAAGAAGAAAACATGAAGACAAAAGGGTCAGGAAAGGAATTAAAAAGACAAAAAAAACCCCAACAATTTATACAAAATCATATCCATCAAATAAAAATTTCTGCATAAATTTCTTTCGGAGCTATTTGTTTGTGCATCTTTGATCTAGGTTTTTTTTAAAAAAATCTTTCAAAATACCCCGAGATATTTTTTGACGAAGGGCGGTATAAATCAAATAAATAGAAAGCAGCAGCCAAGCGCAGGGAGGCGAGAGGCAGCCGCTTCTGCTTTTTTCTTTTCTTTTCACAGTCTGACTTATTTATGTTAATTGGGGTTTTTTAACAACTTTTTTGGTTTTATTTATTAAACAAACCAGCTCGACCACCTTTTCAAAAACTCAATGCTTCCGATTTCAAACTCGGGGGAGCAAATAGGAGAGGAAACAGGCTCCCAGTCTCACCTCCCCCCCCCCCGCCCCCCTAAACAGAAGAGGGGAAAGGAGAGACCCCCCCCCCACACGTTCATATTTATATATATTTACACTCCAAACGTCGGAGCTGCTCCCCCCGCGGATCAAAGGACAACAGAGTCCCTACCAGAAAAATAAACTCAGGTGAAACCAAAGGAAATAAGCAACTCCTTTTCTGTTTGCCCCTTGGAGTAGGGGTGTTAGACACTTAGTGGGTGTAATAATAATAATAATAATAATAATAATAATTTATTATTTATACCCGCCCATCTGGCTGAGTTTCCCCAGCCACTCTGGGCGGCTTCCAACAGAACACTAAAATACAATAACCTATTAAACATTAGAAGCTTCCCTAAACAGTGCTGCCTTCAGATGCCTTCTAAAAGTTTGGGAGTTGTTTTTCTCTTTGACATCTGACAAGAGGGCGTTCCACAGGGTGGGCGCCACCACCGAGAAGGCTCTCTGCCTGGTTCCCTGTAACTTGGCTTCTTGCAGAGAGGTAATCATTCTGCCCTCGGCGCTGGACCTCGGTCTCCAAGCTGAACGATGGGGGTGGAGACGCTCCTTCAGGTATCCTGGGCCAAGGCCGTTTAGGGCTTTCAAGGTCAGCACCAACACTTTGAATTGTGCTTGGAAACGTCCTGGGAGCCAAAGCAGGTCTCTCAAGACTGGTGTTATGTGGTTTCAGCGGCCACTCCCAGTCACCAGTCTAGCTGCCGCATTCTGGATTCATTGCAGTTTCCGAGTCACCTTCAAAGGTAGCCCCACGTAGAGCACATTGCAGTAGTCCAAGCGAGAGATAACCAGAGCATGCACCACTCTGGCAAGACAGTCTGTGGGCAGGTTAGGGTCTCATCCTGCGTACCAGATGGAGCTGGGAGACAGCTGCCCTGGACACAGAATTGACCTGCGCCTCCATGGACAGCTGTGAGTCCAAATTGACTCCCAGGCTGCGCACCTGGTCCTTCAGGGGCACAGTTACCCCATTCAGGACCAGGGAGTACCCAACACCAGCCTGCCCCCTGTCCCCCCCAAAACAGTACTTCTGTCTTGTCAGGATTCAACCTCAATCTGTTAGCCACCATTCAGCAGAGTTCAAAAAACTGGTGAGCTGAAACTCTGCTTGTTCACACAAGCCGAGGAACAGGCCAGCCCCATCCACACTGCGGCACGGAGGCCCACGTGGCCAGGCTGACACACACACGCCTTCATCATGGGAGAATCATGGAGCTGGGAGGGTCATCTGGCCCAACTCAATCAGCTTCAGCAAGCTTGTCCAGCAAACACAGGAAGCGCCTGAAGACTCTCCCCCTCCATCTCCCCTGCGTCACGCAAGTGAAGCGCCCTGAGACCTCTGGGTGGTATATAAATTCAATCAGTAAATAAAGTGACATCTCGGACTCTGCTCCACTCTCCCGCTGATCCAACGCAAGGATGGAAGACCACCTTGCAGGAGAAGCCAACTGTGGGAACCTTTCGTTTTCGGCTTCCCCTTGCCGTCAACCTTTTATGATTTTGCTGTCAGTTTAAAAGTGTTGTAAAAAATAAAAATAAAATTGTTGTAAACCGCTATGGCATATTTCTATGATACAGCAGTACATTACACACACAAACACAGACAGCTGCATTCTACATGATTACAGGCCAGCACAAAAAAATGGGAGTGTAAATTTGCTAGTACAGTTCTGCTGTACTAGCACAATCCTCTGCCTGAGAATCCCCCAGCTGTGGGACTGTAGCACCCAGCAAAAGCCCCACTTTCCTATGAAAACGGCAGACAGGCCATGGCTATATATTGATCCATTTATTGACTGCACTGCCCTCCTTTTTCTCCAAGGAGCTCCAGGTTGCATGCATGTTGTTCTTCCTGTTTCACCCTCACAACAACCCTGTGAGGTAAGCTGGGCTGAGAGGCAGGCACTGGCCCCCAAGGTCACCCCCTGCGCCCAACGGCCGAGCTTTTCTCTGGCAAAATAGGTGCCAGTACTCGCCAGGAAGTTGTTACAGCGGGTGCCACTCTTATTAACAACAAAGAGGTGCCACTACTGTGTGCTCTTGAGAACCCCCTGGGGGGGAAGCACCGGCCAAGTGGGGAATCTGAACCCGGGTCTCCCAGGTCCGCTGCCTCTCGCGTGATGGTGGATGCCTGCTGGCAGGAGGCACCACCCAGCCCATCTGAAGTGGGTGGGGGGCGTGGGGGGCACCTGCACCCCTCTAGTCCAGCAGGAGGCGCTGCCTGCTTCCTTCGAGATCCAAAAACTGTGCTGTTAACACAGACCATCGGAATGTGAGCTTTTTCTGTACAGTGGTACCTTGGTACTCAAACGGCTTGGCTCCCAAACGCAAACCTGTAAGTGCTCCAGTTTGCAAACATTTTTCGGAAGCCAAACATCCGACACAGCTTCCGCTGAAGCTCCTGCAGCCAATAGGAAGCCACACCTCAGTTTTCGAATGGTTTCAGGAGTCGAAGGAACTCCCAGAATGGATTAAGTTTGACGAAAGAAGAATGGAAGATGAAATTGATGGACTATGCAGAACTTGATAAATTAACTGGAAGGATTCAAAACCTGGGGGATCAGAGATTCTTAGAAGACTGGAGTAAATATACAAACTATTTGGAAAGTAATTGTACTGAACAGATTACGCTAGTGGGACTGCAGGAAGTTTTGTAAGGAGGAATATTCGAAATATTGCAAGGAAGACTATGAAGAGAATTATTAGTTAATGATAATTAAGAGTAAAAGTGAAATTAAGAAACGCAGAATAAGTGATAAAGAACGAAAAATCATCAGAGGTGTTGATGGAAGTCTAAAACATTGTATAAGATGAAAAGTTATGTTATATGACTGTTGGAAATGATGCGTTAAAAAAGCCTATAAAAATGTATTAAAAACAAAGTTTGAGAACCAAGGTGCCACTGTACCAAGAAGTTCCTTGAAATGCTAGTGACGTTTTTACTGGTTTTATTGCGTTGACCAGGTCACATTCATCATGAAAGAGCAGCTTACAAATACTTAAAACAAAGATTGCTATTACCTTAAGAGAAGCTGTCCTCTTGCATACCTGCAGTGAAGGGCTGGGGGGGGGGGTCATGCCTCTGAAAACAGTCGGCCTCCTTCAGCCGGGGGGAAAGGACCCCATGACCCCAACCCAGCAGGGCTGCAGGTTCTTTTGTGGGCTCCATTCCAGGTGTGCGGCTTCTCTCTCTCCAGTTGCCCATGCAGACATCAAGGTCTGCTGCAGAGGCCCTCCAAGGGCCCATTTGCCCCAAGGTGCAAAGAGGGGCAAGGTGGGGGGTGGGACCAGCAGTGATGTCACGGCGGCCAGACACTTTCCTCTTCTCCCAGGACATTTAAAAGCATTTTTTAAGCATCTCCCTTCCACCCAGCAGCTTCAACAGATTCCCCTTGGTTGTGATGCTGCAGCGCACAGCAGAGACAGATGGAGAGGTCACATGGAGACTGTGCGCTATAGCAGTGTGTTGGACCAGGACTGGGAGACCAGGGTTTGAATTCCCCACCCAGCTATCCAAGCACAGTGGGGGACTTCGGCCTGGTCACTGCCTCCCTCTGCCTGACTTACCTTTCAGGGTTCTTGTGAGGTTAAAACATTGCAGAGGGGACCACGTGCACCACCTTTAGCTGCGCAGAGGAAACGTGATACTGTATAGATCCAAACAATAAACAATAAAAGTAGGACTGTTGTCTGTTTGAATAACAGATCGCCTCAGTTATTCTTTATTAGTCTCCATAACTCCTCTGAGCGCCTTGAGCGGGAGACTTGCAATGTCTGTCTCCGTGGGCCACAGATCTCCGGCGAGTGTGGCGGCTAGACTGCCTTGGTGCCCTTCTACATCATCATTTGTGGCATCACCCGTCACAAGCCCTGCCAGCCCTTTGGGAACATCTTGGAAATACACTATACGATACGATATCTTTATTGTCATTGTCCCTTGTGGAACAATGAAATTGAAAATCACTCTTCCAAGAGAGATGCGTTTGATGGCTGAGAGATACTGCTCCTGGCAACCCTGAAATCATTGGTGGGGAGAAAACACTAGATCTGTTCCCAGCCCCTTTCTGCACAGCATTAACCCACCCGTCTCCCCCTCCCCAAACACTGAAAAGAGCAAGAAGCCACTGT